CCATCCGAGATAATTTGCTTCTTGGAGAGCGAGAGAAGGCTGTGTGGAGTGCGGCCGATAACCGTCTGTGGGGACATGCTATGATAATCGCCCAGACTCTGGACAAGGCTGTTTGGAAGCAGGTTGTGCAGGAGTTTGTGAGACGGGAGGTCAGGTCTTCAAGCGGCCATTCCGAGTCGCTTGCTGCTTTATATGAAATCTTCGCTGGCAATTTTGAAGAAAGTGTGGATGAGCTTGTCCCCCCATCCGCCAGGGCTGGACTGAAAATGGTTAGCAAGGTCGATGGTCAGGGTGCCTCCAAGGATGCTCTAGCTGGTCTCGAGTCTTGGAAGGATACCCTTGGCTTAGTGCTAAGTAACCGGAGTCCCCAAGACCACCAAGCACTATTGGCCCTTGGGCGATTACTGCTGTCATATGGTCGGATAGAGGCCGCTCACATTTGTCTCATTTTCTCGCACGGGGCGGTGTTTGGAGGTCCGAATGATCCCAACGCGAATGTTGTCCTCCTGGGTGCGGACCATGTTCACTCCTCGCCAACGGCTCTGCGAGAAGATGATGCTATTTTGCTTACCGAAGCATATGAATATGCTACGTCTGTCTTGGCTGGATCCCTCACGTCCACGCTGCATCATCTTTTGGGGTTCAAGCTTGTTCACGCGTGGTCGCTTACGGACCAAGGCCACAAGGCTGAAGCACAGCAATACTGCGACGCTATTGCTGCGACTCTAAAAGCTTCAACGAAGCCATCGGGATACCACAATGCTCACCTGCTAGATGAAGTGGATGTGTTATCGGCGCGCCTGAGGCAGACTACAGCCGATGGGGGCTCATGGATCTCGAAACCTAGCATGGAAAAGGTTTCCTCCTCGGTGTGGAACAGGTTCAGCAACTTCGTTGCTGGCGACGACAGTGACGCTGCGTCAACGGGCTCGGGCAAAGGCGGGGAGCCAGAAATTGGCCCATTTGCCAAAATGTCTGGTACTCCTACAGTCAGCCGTTCGCCATCTGTGTCGGACTTGTATGGTCAGTACCCAATGTCTGCACCACAGCCAGTACCCAGCGCGGGTGCTTCGCGTTATCAGCCGAATAACCAATACGCCCCGAACGCGTCGCCCGATCAAGGTCGGGCACGGTCGTCGCTGGACTCCCAGAGATCTGCTTCATTCGGAATCCCCTTCGGACAGCGCCGTAGTTCGCAGGAGTACACCCCTGCGACTGAGAACCCGATGTACTCGGGAAGTCCGTTTTACGGGTCTCCAGCCGCTGGCTATCAGTCCACCCCCCCTCAGACTTCATACATGCCCCTTGCACCTGTCGATGAAGATAGGCCACAGCAATCGTATTCCCCACCAACATCTGCACCGCAGGGCTTTTTTGCCCAAGATTCGCCTTACCAGCCTCAACATAATTCTTTCGATCAATCATTCGGTAAAGCAGTCCCACCGGTCCCTCAATTGAACGAGCCCGAGCCCAACGGATACATGCCTCCTGCTAGTGGCTCCGGATACGAGCCTCCTTCACTTGGGGCTGGACCGGAACTGGAGGTAACCGAGGAGCCCGAGGATGAGAAACCACGAAAGAAGTCGACCGTGGATGATGACGACGATGACGACATCGCAGCGCGTGCTGAGTCCTTGAAGAAGGCTGAAAAGGCGCGGAAGGATAAGGAAGCTGATGAGGCGTTCAGAAAGGCTGCGGAAGCTGATGGTAAGTTATATGTTCTATCATCGTGAAAAATAAAATAGTTGCTAACGATGTCCTGTAGCCAATAAACCTGCACCGGCCAAGAGCTCGTGGTTCGGATGGCTTAAAGGTGGTGGAAACAAAGAAGAGCAAAATGCCGCCGGAAAACCAATAAAGGCAAAACTTGGAGAAGAAAGTTCGTTCTATTTTGACGAGGATCTCAAGAAATGGGTCAATAAGAAGGACCCCAACAGCGCTACGCCGGCTCGCGCCACGCCGCCGCCTCCGAAGGCCTCTGCCCCTCCCAGCAGAAGTGCCAGTGGAAGCAGCATGGCTCCTCCCCCTGTGCCAGCAGCATCTGGCAGTCGGCCTGGCTCGTCCGCGGGTGCTCCTCCTCCGCCGCTATCTAGCAGCCCGGCATCATCTTCACTTGGTCTTCCACCTACACCTGCGTTCGGACCTGCACGGTCTGTCTCTACTGGCGCTGTTCCACCTGCCGGGGGTGCTTCATCCCGACCAGGAAGTTCTGCCGGACCTCCCAGGCCTTCCACTTCATTGAGCCACGCTAGTTCAATTGACGACTTGCTCGGGGCGCCAGCAGCTCGTAAAGGCAACACCGGCCGCGGCAGAAAGAAGGGCCGGTATGTCGACGTGATGGCGCAATAAACGCACTGCGGATACTTTCAACATCTGCTACCAAACTCCGCATCATAATACCCCAAGATTTCCCTTGTATTTGCATATTGTGAAGTGTATACCCTTGTTGCATTGCTGAACATTCAGCTACAATTGTTGCAAACTTGCATGCCATGCATATCTACAGTGTGTATGGCCTGGCTTTTTCAGGCGTTCTTTGATGGCAAGACTGAATTGGTCTGTCATCTTGCATCTTCGCTATATGCTTTTCATGTACAAATAAACCCCCTTCCTCTTCTTCCCCCATGTTTTGATTCCACGATTTTTTTATTTTATTTTAACTATTTTCTTTTGTTGTTTCCTGTGTCGATGTCATGATCGCAGTGCTAGAGGGTTCTTCTACAAAGATGAGCCTGGGTGCTTGCTTATGAAGCACGATGTTTAATATAATAATACTACCTGATGACCTGCATTTACCATATTTATTATTGAAGACCAACGTAGACTATATAGCTTGACTCGTTAATTCAGGTAGGAGTTGATATAATACTGTTTTCGTTAGTTGTAATTCATATATAGCTGACTGGGGGACTGAATCAACTCACCGTTAAACAAGCATCCTCCTCACCGAAGCCACTGGGAGGATATACATAAAGAACCAAGGCGGTTTCGTGGACAAAGCCTGTCAGCAAGGTTAATTAGAACAACGCGACAAACTCAAGAGAACGGAGGACAACTCACAAGCAACAACCTTCGGATTTAACCTTCCTACACTAAGCACTCTCGCCCAATCCCTTCCATCAATCTTTACCTTGGCCCATCCAGCCTCATCATCCCCAGGCAATGCCCTCATGCGTTCACTGGGTAGCTGCTCCAACTGGCTCTGCGAAAGCTGGCTCGGATCAAGCGCCGGATTCACCAAATCACTCCACACACTCGAGATGCGCAGCGCGTCGGTGGCAATGGCAAGCCGAAGCGAACCATGCATGTTAGCCGATAGCTCAAGTTTCGGCGAAACACCCGCTACATTCCCACCTGGGAGGTCAGAGTTCTGGGTTGATGATATTTGCACTGCAGCGGCAGCGGCCTTGGGTGAAGAATCTGCGGCAAGTTTCGTGAATCGTTCGGATATACTTTTCAGCTGGAATAGATCGGGCAGGATAATGTGGACGTCTGGATCGCGGCATCGAGGCTCGTGTAGACCCTCGACGGCGCTTTCATGGAGCACTTTCACGGGGACTTCTTGCGTGATGAATGTTTCGCGCTCGCGCCGCCCTGTAGCTGGTGCTGCTGGGGGTCCCATTAAACCAGCACTGGTTGGTTCTTCAGCAGGGAAAGCCGAGGGCGTTTCGTTAAGGTCATTGGTAGTACCGCCGGTGTTTGAATTGGTAATACCGAGCGGGTTCGCGCCCTTCGCCCAGCTCTTCGATTTAATCGTCAATGCCAGGAGAGGGACTTTGCCCTTCTTCGTTAAACGCAGCTGCACCCATTTTGCGGAGGCAGCGGAGCGGAGAGCGCGATGGAGCGCCGAGAGCGGGACTTCGAGGTTTATTACCCCTGTGTTGGATTCGAGGGTATAGTCTGTATCCTCGAAGATGGATTCCTGGGTGGTTGTTAATTCTGGGTTTTGAGACAGGATAATGATTGTGAGCGCGGAGAGCATACAACAGGTAATTCGGCCCATACTTGGGTACCGTGATCGGGGATTATGGTGAAGCGGACCACAGACTCCTCTAGGCGCATCCAACATAGTTTTCCTAGCGAGGAGAGGGAGCCGACCAGTTCTGGTGGTGGTGATTAGATGAGTCTAGTAAGAGGTACGCGAAACGACGCGACACGTACTGGTGAGGGTGGCGGTGTTGACCACTTGAGTGCGGAAACGCATGTTTTCATTGTTGCATTTCCTGGATGGACTGGATCAGATGTAGATACCGACGACGCTCGAAAGATGAAATTCGAGGCGGACGTTGAAATCGAGAGGTTCGAGAACTCGGCAGAGTTGTGGGGAATCCGATCCAGGCAACATTCCAGGCTGAAGTCCATCTCTCAACATCCTCCCAACTTCATTTTCCAACAAAAGTCGGAAGTATCTAAAATTTACCATCCCAGCCAGGGCTATGGAATTGTTTATAACTCCGGTTTTGGCTGAATTTGTCATTTTTATTACAGGATGAGGTTTTTTATACCGAATTTAATACATTCGCCTGCATTACAACACTCCACAGCAGAGAACACAATGCTTTACTTGGCTGCAATACCAAAAGCACACATCTGAATTCACCTGCCGCAGGCACACCGACTCTGAACCTGCAGCAAAATCTCCTACCGGCTGTGCCTGCTTTGCTTCTTCCAAGTTCCGACCATCAGGGCCACGTCAACATCAATGCAAAGGCAGCCTCCTCGCCTATGCACAGTTTTGTGCCACCCATTTCAGGATTAAACGCAGCCCTTGCACTGTACTACACTCACCTGTGGTACCAAAAGCATGACTCGCCGTCACGTGCATGTATTGCCACCTGCAGTAACTTACGTTGCTACTATACGGAACTGTCCTGAGCCAATTCTGTCAGAAGGTTGTGTTGGCCCCTCTCGTTGACCATGTCCTTTTCTTTCAACTCCAGTTCCTCGTTTTCTTTCTCGTTTCACTTGAAAGTGTTACCTCTGAACGTGAACTTACCACCATGGGGGATCCAAACATCCCTCGAGCTCTCCGGAGCAACACCACTCTGCCGAACGCTACCTCATCTCCGTATAGAACTTTCTCCGAGATCAGAACTGCGATTTTAGCCTCGACCGATAACGCGGAACTCACGTTCAGTAATATTCCTCCAAGTATCGGGCCCTCCGTTTTCGACGCGCTTTCAGAAGATCATAGTATTGAAAACCTTACACCACGGTAGGTCCACACCAAATCCGCAGTTATAGCTTGATAGGATTTACTAATGTTTCTTTAGCATGAATTATAACTCCCTCACGCACACATTCACAGCTCGAGTAATACCAACTCGGATTCATGATGTCCCCCAGATGTGGCTATCATTGGAGATGAGGATAATGCAGGTTTCAGGCTTCTTGTCTCAGGAAGAAGGCCAGCATTTATTGACTGTGGTTGGAACAAGTGAGTAATATTATACTGCAGTTGTTTGAAAGTCATACAAAAGGCTTGGCTCAGGGCTGACATCTCCGAGCGTTCGAGGGCTTTGCATACCCCTATGTGGGTTCCAGGAAGGAGCCCGATTGGGCCATTCTCCCGAATTCAGATACACTTCCTTCTGTAGCGGCGGAGTCGGGATGGTCTGAAAATTGGCCAGCCTTGATTGGTGATATGGAGTTGTTGCTTGTGGGAGGGCGGCCGAATGTCCAACTGGTTTTACTGTTCAAATGGTCCAAACGAGCCCACAATCGTGTGGCAGGGGAGTTACGCGTCTACGAGCGGACTCCAGCGGGCAATACAAGCGAACGGCTTCGTTCGAGTATTTTTCCTATCCCCGGAGGGGGCCTTGCCGGCATTCGAGTGACCCGTGGGGAGCTCTTTGGTGTATCTGGTGTTTTCCCGGGGCGGAACGCGGCGGACTTTTGGGAGCTTTCGTTGGTAAGGCTGCGAGAGATTGCGGAGCGGATGATACGGGCCAGAGGATGTGTACCAGCATGAAGAATGTTGGTACTGATCCACATAAATCTTCTTCTGCTCTGGAAGCTTTCATAGTTTCAGCCTTTCTGACCTCTTCCTTACCTGAGACAACCCTCCTTACACATTTGGGGCAGGATCCACCATCGACCTGAAACACTCACCTTGCCTTCTGGTGCCCTGTGCCGTCCCTGCTTTCCTGTTTTGTCACTTTTGTGCTATACTGCGATGGCGCAGTGTGGGGCAGGTTGAGCAGGCAATGTTTTTGTAATTCCTGTTTTGTCTTATTTAAATAGAAGCTGTACAACTAGTGGCAAATAGTGCGCGTTTGCCGACCCCTTTTGGCGCCGCTCCACCCGACGCGTTGTAAAAAAACGAGCGAGATCGTAAAAAAAAAGAACCATTCGTCCACATTGCAAGGTCTGAACCTATTGGCTGCTTATTATACGGATTGGGCCCTCTGCGTTTGACACAGCTGGACTTCCTGCCATCCACTCGTTTCTTGACGCTCGTTCCTCCCCCCGATCCAGCCGTCCTCCAACTATCACCACCGCCTGCACAACCACTTCACTCCTGCTCCAACCTCCAACATCCCCCCTCTCCAAACTCACTCTCATATCCTTTTTATTAGTCCTTTTCTATACCTCCCCTTCGGTTTCTGCTCCTTCGTCTTGCTGCCACTTCCTCCCACTGTCGCTAGACGGGCTCATGAGATCGCGTCTCAGCATGCTTGCTCTTCATCCACGCTTCGTTTCCCATATTGTCGATTTCGCTGCGCGACCTCCGTTAATCAACCTCCGGTGTTGAACTCAGATTTAGAAATATATTGCCGAACCTTGACGCCTTCTACCCCGCCCGACAAAGGCCGACGACATGGCGAGCGGCCGCATCAGTCCACCTCGCCGGCCGTTTCAGGCGCCCCCCACGTTGGCCCCCAAAACATCAGATCGCCTGACTGTACCCAAGTATCACGTTGTGGACCCTCTCCTCGGAAACCTGTCGCCAGAATCGACTCTGCTGGCCCTCTCGTCGACCGATGCTGTGCCTAGTCACGAACAGGCCGCGCACGATATCCTATCCACGAGCATCGCCCAGGCCTCGTCAACAGAACGAGCTCTCGGAATACGCGCTGCACTAGCAGCTCAAAACCTTGGACAATGGTATAGAGAGGTACGCGCGTGGGAGTGGCCAAAACGACCGGATGCCCAGGTTGGAAAGGGGTTTATCCCCCCGCCCGACGCAGAGGAGTCAGGGTACTGCGGAAGCCTCCCGGCGGCTGTTGTTCAGCAACATGAGGGACGTATCGAAGAGATTCGTGATGGGATGGATAGCTTGGACGTCGAAGAATTGAAGGAGCACGTCCTCAATGCCCACATTCCAGGCCGCTCTCGGCCTTCGTCAGCGAACAGCACCATGTCCGTGCCTCCCCCACTCAACTATGTTCAATTGAGTGACTTCACCGCTGTCATTACTGCTACTATATTGCGAGCCCTGCCGCTGCTATCGCGTTTGAACGCGTTGTTGTCTACCTGGGATGTACGACTGCTGGTTATTAAACAAATACCCGGGTTACTACTGAGCTTGAAATTTGCTAGATCGGAGCTTAATTCCGCCCTCGATTTGTTGAAGTCTTCGGTTCCCCCGACTGAGAGCGATTTTTTGTATTCATCTTCCAACTACCATGCAAAACGGGCTACCTTGGAGTCAACAGTGTTATCAGCGGGTCGGAGGATGGACCGGATACTGGATTCCCTGGACGGACGAGAGGATTCTCTTCCTGAGAACTGGATTGACGACCTGGAAACTATTGAGGCGGACTTTGCATCTTGGGTTATGCAGGCTGAAAAGCAGACCCTTGAAAACGAATGGCGCCGACTATCAGCTCGTTTAAGAGAGAACGACAAGCTCCAACCGGATATTACCGAACAGGATATGCCCGAGAATAAATTTCTTGCGGAAAATTCCGCCGAGGCCGCCAAAGTTTCGCCCGTCGGGTCCCCGTCAGGAGAGCCTCCTAGCCAACTAAATGCTGTTATTGCGCCTGAACCTGAGCTTGAGTCGGAGCCTGAGTCGGAGCTTGAACCTGAGCTCCAGACTAGACCGGCTGTATTGCAAATTGGACGCACTCTCCCAATGGAAACTATCGCCGAAGAAATTGGCAGTCCCTTTGATCAATCTCCTTCCCGAAATGCGCGTGGTATCGATGATGCTTCCGTGATAGAAGCAAGAAGCGTTCCGGAATCTCCTTCGCCATTACCTTCTGATCCAGTTACAAAGGGGGAGAGTCTAGAATCAGTCCAGGCTATACAGTTAGATGCAGGTACCGACGTGCCTGGCTCTGCAGATATAACAACAGCTGGTATACCGCAAGATATTGTTGATCATGACGCGGACATCCTGCCCTATTCGGTTGATGGTTCGCCTGCTGAACAGCTAGTGCATGTGCCAGAGTTAAACCGTTCGTTATCCCTGCGCTCTAACGAACAGCAGAGTGTCCTGGAGCGTGACGAGAAGCAATCGCCATCCCCTGTTGACGTAACGGCCACAGAGGAGACTGTATCGCTTCCCAAAGAGTCCAACGACAGTTTCGAACATATGAACATGGAGCCACCGGTGAGATCAGACGCACCCGAGAATGAGACGATCCAGTCTTTTAATGTGGTATCCACCGATGAGTCTCGACCTCAGTCTACAAATCCAGACAATAATCGCCTCACTGACTCAAGTCCCGAGGAACTTGTGGGCTCCCTCGCTGATAGCAATTTACTCTCCACAACAACCCGGTCCGAAGACAGCGCTCAAATAGAAGCGAAATCCTTGGCGAGTCCCGATATTACTTCGACAGGTATTCCAGGAACCGACCTGGCGCGAGTGGACCCTGAAGCCCAAGAGACCCAATCCTCAGCACAATTATCTCCCGCAGAGCAATCTCCTCCAGCTGAAAATTCTCCATCAAAAACAGACGCCGGGGTTAACTCACCACCTTCCCAGGCCTCTACCGCATCTGAGCCTATATCCGAAAATGCTGTTGCATCGTCTATGGGTAGCGAATCGTCGAAGGCTGCTGAAGGACCCGAACCCATTGCTGAGCCCATTGCTGAGCCTGTTGCTGAGCCTGTTGCTGAGCCCGTTGCTGAGCCTGTTGCTGAGCCTGTTGCTGAGCCTGTTGCTGAGCCTGTTGCTGAGCCTGTTGCTGAGCCTGTTGCTGAGCCTGTTGCTGAGCCTGTTTCTGAGCCTGTTGTGACCGAATACTCTCCTCACCCTGAGCACTATGGCGCCTTCTCGGATTCCAAAGAGCTCCAGCCAATTATTGAGAACGACCACCCTAAACCTTCGCCTGCAGACAACGAAATTGTTGCCACGGATAATGTTGCAACTAAAACCTCACCTGGGCCTGATACTCCAAGGTCTACTGAGCGTTGCGTCACCCCTTCGAACGATAATGTGGCAGCACTTCCGAACCTTTTTGTACCCAATGATAACAGCAAGATTCCCACGGAGCAACATGATCCTGAAGAGTCTGACAGAGACGAGAATAACACGCCGAAGAAGCCCTTGGAAAGTCCTATCAAGCTGTCCAAGACTCGCCCTGGTCGGCTGGATCTGGACAAACAGAAACAGAAATCTCGCGTTCGAAGGACATCCAACGCGTCTGACGGTTCAGTGTCGGATTATCCTTCCCTTGTGTCGAGCCCAGAAATTCCTGAGCCACGAACTTCTTCATCAAATGCGACACCGTTGCTCCTTGAGACTCCACCACATTTCCCAGCGGACTACAGACCGTCCAAACCTGCGCGCCAGAGCAATGGCCATTCCCTACGCGAAGACCGCCTGTTCCATCTAGACGCCCAAAAGCCCTCCCCGCGGGACGCCTTCGCGCACAACAGGACACTCAGCTTACCGCTGCAACGTTTCATAAACGAAAGTCTCGATGTCAACTACGACACAGGATCTGGCAATGAGGAGGATCCTTCAGCCGCTAGAGTTGCAGGGCATCAGAAGAACACGCCCACAGAAAGACGCCGAAAGTCTAAATCTGCGTCCTCAACCAGCGATATGGAACGATCGCAAGGGCAGGAACGTGTTACTACGCGTAGAGACAGTTCTGGACCCGATTCTGACGCCTCTGTTGAGGCGCAACCCAAGTCCCAGAAGTATAAGGAAATTTCCCCCAAAACGCGCGTTGAGCCATTAAGTAACACAACCACGGCCCGCCTGAAGAAACGGTTGACTGCTCATCCTAGCCTCGAAAGCATTGGACCTTACAAGTCGAATACCCAAACCGGCCACTCAAGACCTGCCCTGGGCAAAGCCAAGTCTCGATCATCATCTATAAACAAAGGACTGATTCGACCCAAGGATCAAATGGATGTGAAAATCAACTCCATCCTGACTTCCCTTCCCGGTCACATTCATCTGGTTCCAGCCGACCAAGACGACGATGCTATTTCTGTGGCGTCCTCCGTGCCATTCAGACGGGAGAGATTTCGCTCAGACTCGCCTCAGGGCACTCCTTCGCGCAGCTTCACCCCCACCCCTTCGCTTAGCCTGCGACCCACCGCTGGTCGCAGGAGACACTCCCATGCCCCCGAAGAGAGTTCGGTGAAGCTTTACCACCTTCACCGTGGCGGGAAGTCCGCCCCTACCAAGCTCTTCGTACGGACTGTTGGTGAAAACGGAGAACGTGTGATGGTTAGAGTTGGTGGCGGATGGGCGGATTTGGCCGAATATCTACGAGAGTATGCGATCCATCACGGACGTCGCCATGTATCTGAGACGCCTCGCGTTGAAGTTGAGGGTCTCTCATCCCGCGACTCCCCATCATACTCGCCACCTGCTAGCCGAGTTCCATCGGGTAATGCACGGAATATGCCGGCTCGACCTGGCTCAGTCATAAGTAACCGCCCGTCTTCCTCTCTCGCAGTCCGCAAAACCAGACGTTCGTCCAATGTCTCCGACATTGCCGATATCAGAACAGCCAGTGCCGGTGATGCTCTCAACGTTTCCTTTTCTCCTGGGTCCAACGCCTTCGGCAGCAGACGACTATCCGTATCGTCAAATGTCTCCGCAGGTGCTATGTCGTCTGTCAGTGAAGCCCGTCATGGGTCCCCGGGAGCTCCTGCTATGCCTCTTGGTCTTGCAGGACCAAAGCCCCGAGCTAAACGCGCTGCAATTACCCCAGAGGGTGAGGCTTGGGTAGAAGACGTTCTTGGCCAAGCGCGACGGAGCACCTCTCTCAGACCATTCAAATACACTCTACCAGCCGTGGATAATGAAGGGGACGAAAACACACCCACGTTACCCAAATCTCGGAGCATCAGCGACATTAGCAAAGCGGGCTCAAGCAAGCGTGTCATACTCCGTGGCTTACGGTAGCCATTGCACCTCATCATCTCACATCACCTACTCCTGATCTTTTCCTCTGCCCTCCTACTCAACTATCATACCATCACCTTCCTAAGGGTTCTTGTTCCCGTCTCCTATAATATTTTACCTCCTTGCATCTTTCGAGCGTGCTTTTAACATCATTACTTTCTGGCTGTTTAGCGGGTTGCATATTAGGCATGGTCATTGGCTTTGATGCTTTTTCTTTTTCTTTTTCTTCTCTTTTTTTTTTTTTTTTTTTTTTTTTTTTTTTTTTTTTCCGCTGTCACATGCATTCGTTGGGGGCATGCTTGGTTTTGTTATCTTATTATCTTTTGGNGGCATGGTCATTGGCTTTGATGCTTTTTCTTTTTTTTTTTCTTCTTTTTTTTTTTTTTTTTTTTTTTTTTTTTGGACATATTTCTACTTTGGCATTGATTGGTTATGTGCATGCTTGGTTTTGTTATCTTATTATCTTTTGGACTGGTCCGGTTTTTGCAAAGATACCCTCTGACAAAGGTTAGGTAGTTTGTTTATCTTTGATATTCATAAATTGTTTTGATTCTTCAAATCCTCCTTCCTAGAAATGTATGGGAAAACCATTCGGGTAGACAGCCTATCTAGTTTATAGATACATATTATCGAGTATCCCGAAGAGCATATATTTACACATAATTAATGGGTTGTTATATCAAACCCGTACACTTCTTTGATCCTAGCTACAGGGTAGTGAACAAGAGTATATATAACAATCGTGTTTCTAAGATAGATGATTTATTGATTGATATGGATTAAAAAAAATATGAAATGATCCGTGGCTACCTATAAAACTCTAGCATCCAACCGAAACGCAATAAACACCGTTAATAATAAACGAGTAAGAGTAAGTATGAGACTGGAGATGGTAAATAATGTCGTATCATATCGTATCGTTATAAAGTCTGTAATGATGATCATGACAGAGACGAAGCATTTCGCCCTTCCTGTAGTTCTAAATAAGTAACTTCGGCTCCATGACCAGCCCTATGTGAATTAGGCGAATTATTCATGAAGTATTGGGCGAGTATGACTGGAGAAAGTGCTACGCCGACTCCGAATGTGAGTGTGAATTCTCATCCGGGTTTGCAACTGAGTCATGATCATTCCAGAATATGTCCTTCCTTAGCAACTCCCTCAGCTCAGGTGAAATGATTTTGGTGTTGGGTTCTTTATCACCGGGCCTTAGGTTTGAGGATGAGGGGCGGCCTGTGCCGACGCCCGAGGCTGAAGCTGATGAACGCTCGGGGGATTTGCCCTTATTTGCATTGGAAGGGGACTGGGGTTGAGATTGGATGGGCTTGCGTTGTTGAGCTGACGGGGTGGGGAAATTGCCTTTCTTGTCGATTGCTTCGACGGAGCGGCCGAAGCGGTGGAAGAGAGATTCGGCGCGGGCGAGGATAGGGAGGAGGTCCATGGTGTTGGAGAGTTCGTTGACTGGTTGGTTAAGGATGTTAGCGAATTGTGTTTGTGTTCAAGTGGAGATGAGAGGAATGAAACCTACTGTATTTCAAGACTTCGTCGAATTGTTTGAGGTGGTCCATTATGACGTCTCTGTGTTTCTCTAGGATGGCTACAGCGACGAAGAGCTGGAAGTTGCTGGTTAGGTAGTCGGTCCATAGAGTTTCCCAGAGACGCAGGACGTCCACCCATTCGAACTCCCGCTTGTACCAGACGAGAAGCATACGGAAGAAGAAGAAGAAGTTTGTGCTGTCGGCGGATTGGAGATGGAGATAGAGTTGGGGGTCCATGAGCTGGACGAGATGGTCTAGGGTGAGTAGTTGAGCACGCATTCCGGACTGGTCACGGAGGAAATTTCGCTCCTAAAGGGCATACATTAGCAAATTTGGGACGGGTCACTAGACTGCTGATTTACATACCATCCTGTTCATGAAATTGACAAACGCCCAAAACGCAACTGCATCATCCTGCATAACGGCGTAGAGAGGGGCAAGAAGGTCGCTCATGCCTTGAACGTAGCCCAGATCTGGGTTGTATTCGTTATAAGTAAGAAGCATGTCCTTCATTTGCTCGAGATGTACGTTGGTGCCGACATCTGAGAATGGGGAATCCGGGTCTGGATGAGGGATATCCTCTCCTGCGAACAGAGGAATCGTCCTGTCCGTACGGTGGACGTCTTTCTCTGCGTGGTGTCAGTAAAATATGTGATAATCAAATGAAGCCCATCTTACCTATTCGATTCCTCTGCTCCTTCCACCATTCCTGCTGCTCGGCGGTAGAATCGCCTTCAACCATTCTCTCCCACCATGCTCCCTTCAAGCGAATGTATTCATCGCGTCTCGAGTTCATCAGTGCCTGACGGTCGTCACTGTCACTATCCCACGGATAGACATCAAGCAAGAAGAGCCAAGCTTCCTTTCGAACTCCGTCATTCGGATCTAAGCCGCCGTGGAAGATTCTCTCCTTGACCTCGTTGACCGTGACGTGAAGTCGCCCAGTTCGCGGATCAAAGAAACCCTTCCATTCTTCCAAAGTGACTGGCCTTCGGCGCTCGTTGGTCGACATATTCCCCATCTCGAGGTCCAGAATCTCAAAATCCCCGACAGAGCTATTCTCCATCTCAAGTACATCCTTTGCAGTATATATCCGCTGGTTTCTTTCCCGATCGCTCTGCTCTGAAATACTCATCGCCCAGCGGGCGAGGTATATCCTAGCGCTATCAAATTCCTCTTGTAGGGTTTGAATTTCCGGGGTCTTCAGAAGGCGACGGACTTGAGGAGGGACGCGAGGGTTATCGGCTATCTCGTTCGCCGTGCGTCTCGTAAAAGTTGTAATCTTGCTCAACTGTTCAAGGACCTTCCATCTCGTCTCCTTGATTGCCTTCGTAAACGGGTCCATGCCTGCATCGTGCTGCTGGGCGGATGCGCCTCTCGGAGCTGCAGGGGGCTCCTGCAAATTCGCAGCAGAGGCATCGCCAAGCTGTGGTTTCCCGAAGGAGAGTTGATCCTCCTCGGAGGGGTTTATCAGGTAAACGGCACTGTCGACGGCGGAGCGCTGCACGTCAACGTATTGCCGAAGCCATCGGAGAACCTCATCTCCACCCCAGAACACACTCCCACTCTCATCAAAGGGGTCGAAAGTTTCCCTTGTCCGCTTCCTCTTCTGCAGTATAGTGGATTCGCATTCGCTGTCGTGGAAAAAGAGCGCGGGGAAGCTGTCACCAGCCCGAGAGTTGATCACAAGACTGCCGAACCACCAACCCAAGCTCGGAGGGCGCACGAGAAGAGAATATATATGTGATAGCGGGACAGCGAATGCGTATAGGCCTATTGGATCTTTGAATGTCGTTGTTTCCGGAAGCGCGGGGACGAGGTACTTTTGGCGGGGCGGGGAATCGCCCTCAGCGAGGTCAACTTTGACGTATGTGTCGTAAGCATCACCAAGGGCAGATTCGGGAACCCAGGCGAGAAGGTAGGAGGACAGATCCGGTTTATTTGAGGATCCGGGGCGCGAGGGATTGTGAAGGGAAGGGACGGGCTTTTGTTGGAGGAGGGCGATGAAGCCGGGGATATTGTCTTTCGAGGACGGAGTTGGGTGGACGTATACCTTGAGCATAGATTTGATCAGCTAGGGACGAAATGAAGTCGCCGGAGTGCTCTCACCTTGCTTTTGGAGAATAGAAGCCTCACGCCTCTCCTGGCGGCGGCATGGGCGATGGTGTTGTATTCATCCTCTTCCGCGTCGCTGACGTCGAAGAAGGAAGCTGTCGGAGAAGGCGGCGACGGCGGAGGGGTAAACTGGACTTTGTCGGAGCCCGTCATTCTGCTCCAGTGTTGCAATAAGATGAGCTCTAGAGAGCTCTAGAGACTTCCGGTCGTAACCTCAAAGCAGTTCTGTCTTGGGGCTGCAGCGTTGACTGGAGAGGGTCACGTCACGACGTAATCAGTCGCGGGGTCCCGGCATGTGATCTCCACTGGTGAAGGACTCTGTGACGGCGAGCTGCAGCTCTTGTTTTGAGCAAATGAGGACACAGAATCTTTAAAGAAATCGGCAAGATAAAGAAGACAAGTTCTGAAGAGTCATCGCCGGCCTCCCTTCCGGCGGATGGGATGGCCGCGCATTCGCCACAGCAGATCCAGGCAGCAACAAATCCATCCAGAACGAAACACCAAGTATCTTGGAAATCAGCTTTGATATCGGATTAGTCATTTTTTAATGGCTGCGACCGGAAGTTATTCAAGTATTCACCTACTTTTGTTGTATTGGCAGGCTATATCAACGAAGATATATACAACGATCACATTGCGGCGTCACGCTGATCTTTGTGGCTGGACCTCAGTCTAGCCACCAAACCCAGATTCAAAAAAAATGTCTTAGCTGGATGGTCTAATGTTCTAGAGAGGTACAAGTCGGGATCCCATAACCTCTTCAGGAAAGCTGTACCTGGCCAATTGGACGGCACACAAAACACATCTCGCAGACGCCATGACAGATCGACACAATGTACGTGAGTTGGAGAGACTATAAAGTACGGAAAGGCGTCGTGGAGTTCCATAGCAGGCCGATCCTCAGACAAAGCGTTCCCTTCGCAATGGCCGAGCTCACGCGTACACTCCCAGCATCCTGGTACTGCAGCCTACCGCTATATCAGCTTGAAAGGCGGGCGGTCTTTATGAAGGTCTGCCAAACCCTATGAATCGAGTGGCTGATTACTGATGCTGTATAGTCCTGGTTTCTCCTTGGTCCTTTGACAAGATTTCAGACCGTTGGCGAAGTGGTCGAGTATGAAATAGCACAGCAGCCGATTCATGCAGTCCGAAGTACGGGAGACGCACATATTCCACTTCCTGAGGAGATTCAGGTTGTCTGCGCGGACAGTGCAAGTTATCCTGAACAGTGATTGTATACCCTCACGATAATTGCTAATACTCTACAGAAGGCACCGCTTCGCCATCATGTTACGCCCACTGGGCTTGTCTTCACCACTCTGTCAGAAGATACACCCAGCTTCCACGAATTCTTCCCAGAGCTGGAGCCGCTTCTTCAACGAGTCGACTTCACCAAGCTGCCCTACAAACGAAGCATCAAGTACGAAGGAAGATTCAACTGGAAGACAATGTACGCCACTTCAAAGTATCATAAGCGTTGAAGTTCAAAGACTAAATAACAACAGGGTCGATGGCTACCAGGAATGCCTCCACTGCCAATACACCCACCCGTCATTCTCGATCTACTACCCACCAACCTGGTACAAAGTGCACAACCACAAGAACTTTTCCCAGCACATAGCAGACCCCAAGAAGCCCGATGACGGACTCTTCTTGTACTTCTTCCCAATCTGCACCCTGAATGTCTACGGGGGAGGCATGTCCTCGTTCCGCGTGTGCCCAACGGACGACCCCAATGTCACACGGATGGAATTTGATTATTATCATATGGAGACGGGGGAGAAGTTCGAAGAGTACTTCCGCTTTGTCCGCCAGGTCGCCATGGAGGATTACGAGTTGTGCGAGAAGGCACAAGAGAATCTTGAAAAGGGCGTCTACCGCGAGGGGATCCTGAACCCGGAAAAGGAGAGTGGCGTTTCTTGTAAGTTGACAGTCTGGTCTACTTTTTTGGTTATTAACGACTTCAGTCTACCAGGACCGCGTCTTTGAAATGGTATGCCAGCAGCACGCCGAAGAGCGAGAGAAGGAAGTAAGCTCCCAATCCAAGTTGGAGGGCCCGGAGCCAGTGCAACCAGCAGGTGTTCAGGTAGTTTCGTGATCATCAGTGCCAAGGGCTGGATATATAGCCAGAATATGTAGAGTCGTATTGATTTGCAATGGTAATCCACCAGACCCGACGAGACTGGCTGGTGAGTGTTTTAGGCCGTGCTGGAAAAGTGCACCCAATTCGGCAAACCGAGAGACATAGTATTGGCCAATGAAGTTTGATAGTCAAAGCTTACGGTAGTGTTTACTTTAGATATATTAAGATAGGTCTCTGGAATCAGATACTCGCAATTATTCTCCGCAGATTGAACTATTGAAAATGGAGAATCTCTTCCCAGCACTCGTCGCCGTCCTTGCCGGTCTGGCCTTCCTGTATCGCACCAGAACCTCATCTACAACCCCTCCCAAGGCTATTCCTTCACCTCCTACACCAGCAGAAGTAGAAATCGTCTCCAAAGAATCCGACTTCCCACCAGATTGGCTAACATCCAGCCAACTCTTTGAACTGGAGCGGCGGGCCATCTTCAGCAAGGTCTGCCAGCTAACCCTACATCCATTCCATCCACCTTAAAAGTAATAAATCTAACAAGAACAGACCTGGATCCCTCTAACACACAAAACCCACTTCCCATCGCCAGGCTCATACCACACATACAATCTAGCCAGCATCCCCATCCTACTCATCAAGGGTAAAGACGATAAAGTCCGCGCCTTCCACAACGTCTGCCGACACAGGGCGTATGCCGTTGCAACGCGGGAGTCTGGCACCTCCACGGTCCTGGGGTGTCGGTATCATGGGTGGAGCTATAATGCGAACGGGCAGTTAATCCGGGCGCCGCATTTTGATGGCGTTGAGGGGTTTGAGAGGGGGGAGAATGGGCTTTTCGAGGTTGGGGTTAAGGTTGACGGGCAGGGGGTTGTTTGGGTTAATTTGGGGAGCTGTGATGAGAAAGAAGATGGTAGCATAAGTATAAATGGCAAGATAGGTGGTGGATGGAGGTGGATTGGGGGAGGGAAGTTGGATGGAGCGTTCAACTGGAAGGGAGCTTGTGAGTATCGAGTATACATTTATACGTTATATGATCTTGCTAACTCTGCAGTGACACCCCCTGACCTGGAGATGGTGCCTGGCTCGTTCATCCAGAGTCTGCTTCAGCCAAAGTCCGAATCGACTCATCTCTTCCCGAACATGTTCATCGTCACTATCCCCAGGTCAGGCTGCTGGCTGTCTCTAAGCCTTATTCCAGTATCTGAGCGAGTAACCTCTGTTCGATACGATGTGTACGGTGCTGCGAATAGGAAAGACGAAAGAGCCCAGGCTGTACTTGCAACTATCGAAGAGAAGGTAAAGAGCAGGATCTCCAACTTAGAAACGGAGTATCAGTCCTGCCTTAACACTGGGTATGTCAGATTCCGCTATATCAGAGATGTACTAATTATCCAAGTTCTATACTTCCAGGGCTTGATCTAGAGCATTCAGGTATGCGCATTTTTCCCGCAATTAGATCTAACAAACACTAACCAACTGTATAGACACACAGAAACAGATCCTTTCTCTTCTCAAAGCACATGCTAAGCTCGAAAAATCCCGTGGAGCAGAGATCTATCCCGCGAGAAGAGAGCCGCGGATGAATGTCAAATACCAGCAGGCTGAGCAGCGTTCGTGCCCCTTCCAAACCCCTATATTGAGTCTAATTATCTCTAGTATGTCAAGAGCTGGACTGTGATGCGTCTCACAAGAGTCTTGCATGGTAATGCCTCGACGTTCAGGTGGTTAGGTTGATACACGAAGAGAATTATTAGTATTTATAACTAGCATAGCTTTTAATTCATTACTCATGATTTTGAGTGTTCCCTCATCGACCTCTAACATCAAACTTCCCCTCTGGAATCAAATTCTCCTCACTGGCCTGAGCCTTCAACGCCGAATCCCCCCTCGACCGACCCCTCGACCTGCCTCTCCCCCGCCCATTTTCCCCTCCATCCCCCTCCACAACAGTAACAGTCCCCAGCGGCACATTCGTCTCAAACAAATCCGTATCGTGGAACTGATTCGGCGTGAAGCGCGGCCTCGCACGAGCCGAAGACGTCGACGCCGCCGCCTCCGCCTCCCTCTCCTTATACGGGTCCTTGCGCAGGGTAAATAGTGTCGGGACATTGGCGACGAACGCGGCGAAGAATTCCTCCACCGAGCCCCAGGTGTTGCGGTTCACTTGGGCCGTGCTGGAGGTGTAGTAGGGTAGGCGCACGATGGCGATGGCTATGAGAAGCAGGCCGATGGAGAAGAGGGCGATGTATTGGAGGCGCCTGTACATTATTACTTCTGTTAAAACGGGACAGGAATAGATAGAGGTAGGGGGACGTACTTCCACCATGATTTGCGCACGCGGACGAGCCAGGGCATAGGGAGGAGAATCAGCATTGCGTCCGTGGTGATATTCAATGCGACGAGGGTGACGAGCTGGGTGTTTGCTTTGACGCAGTCTCCTGTTTGTAAACATGTTAGGGCTGGTATAAGGACTGGATGGACGTCATACCAGGGTCAGGAACAACCTGCCAGTACAGGCGCGCAGGGCGACACTCGCCAAAGGTCGTTCCCTGGACAGCAACGAGACTGCCCAAGAGCACGAACCAGTAGATCTTGACGACCATCTCGGGTTCTGGGAGGCCGGTGAGCACGCGTCCGCAGAGCAGCAGGACGACGCCTTTCTGGACCCACAGGCTGGGAGAGCAGGTACTGTTAGCAGGCACTCCGAGTGCGTTAGTTAGGTGGCCGCGTACTAGGTATTGTATATCGCGCGGTTCGCAAGCGTCATCTGGCTCCCCACCGTGCGGCGGTAGATCTCCAGCTCCGAGAGATCCGGCGCAGGACGGTCCATGTTGTTGTTCCCCCACAGCAGGACGACGGTGGTCAGCGCGGACCGGGCGAGGATGAAGACAATGCAGAGCATGGTCAGGTAGTCGCTGAGGATGAAGTCCTGGTTGCGGTACTTGCGCATGAACAGGCGCAGACCCATGAGCAGGATGGACAGGCCGCCGAAGAGGCCGACCAGGGTGAGGGTTGTCGTTAGCTCTTCCTCCATTTGCAGCGGTTGTCTTGCGAGGACATTGTCAGGTTGGGATAGGCTGGCAGGACGAGATGGATGGATGGACGAGATTGACGGATGAGTCTGGACTTTTCAGCTTTTCGTGGCTGTCGGCCTCAGTCGCACTGAACTGAAATTAACGATCGGCAGGAAATCGGGTGAACTCTGATTTCCTGCTTGACAGAATTGCCCGATACGAAGTGGGTATCTGAATCCTTCAGGCGATTCTGAATGTGTCTCTGTATAGACCACAAAGCCCTAACTCGCAACAGTTCAACAGATTAACAGAATTGTCAACAGACTGTTCAACCAGTTCAGCAATGAATGCTCAGGTGAATAAACCATATTTCTCCATACCAGTCCTATCGTTATTAATATTATTTGTATTGGAGATATTCCTTACCCAACAGGCAAGGATTAACGCCACTAGCTGGCAGTGGAGCATAAGCAGCCAGATAAAACCACCGGCTCAGCACTAGGGATTATTGCTCCAACTTCCAAGACTTCTCCCATTTTGCTGGGACGCCGGCGGCCAGATTTAACACGGCCGGTTCCTGTTTTCTTATTTGCATTCCTTGCCACCCCTGCGTCTGCAGTCTGCAGCAGTTTCAGCCCCATGCAGCTCATCTTGGCCGCGTGTCTGCTATTAGTCGCCCTCGTGCAGGGCGGCCCAGCAGAAGCCCTGCATCGTCGCGAGTACTTCTACGTCGGCGGCGAGTACCTCAACACCACCGATGGCTGGCTCTTCCATAACCAGATGTACGTCGAGAAGCTCTCGCCGTCGGGTGGGACTTCTCAACCGTACCCGATTGTCCTTTTGCACGGTGGCGCCCAAACCGGCACAGTACGTCTTCGATCAGTAGACAAGGATTGGCTGCTCACATCTATAGAACTTCCTCAACAAGCCCGACGGCGGCAGAGGATGGGCCTCCTGGTTCCTGGAGCAGGGCTACGAGGTCTACATCGCCGACCGAACCATGACCGCGCGCTCAGCCACAATCCCCCAAGACGGCTACTCAGAGGACGTCTTCTCTGCTGAATTCATTGCCCAGCGATTCACAAACGTGCAGGACTATCCTCTCTGGCCGCAAGCCAAACTACACAGCCAGTGGCCTGGAGTAAGCCCACCACCACCTATCCCATATGTTTCATACCTAACAATATGTCTAGACCGGTGAACGCGGCGACAAAGTCTTCGACGCATACTACGCAAGCACCGTGCAGTCCATCTCCGACAGCCTCGCGCAAGAACAAACCATGCAATCCGCCGGCGAAGCCCTCCTCGACAAGATCGGCCCTGTCGTGCTCATCACACACTCCCAGGGCGGGCTGTACGGCTGGTCCTGGGCCGACAGCAGACCCTCGCTCATCAAGGCCCTGATCCAGATCGAACCGAAGGGTCCGCCGTTCCGCGAAGTCATCTTTTCGAACTCCCTCAGTCGGCCGTGGGGGCTGACCTCGATCCCGCTAACGTATGAGCCTGCGCCGACGAATATGACCGCCCCGCTGGCTATGAAGACGGTCCCGTCGGATTCGCCGGGGGAGTTGCTGGAGTGTATCGTCCAGGCTGAACCGGTGAGGAAATTGACGAATCTGGCGAAGGTGCCGATTCTGATTGACACCGGCGAGGCGTCATACCATGCGCAGTATGACTATTGTTTTATCAAGTTCCTGGCGCAGGCGGGTGTTAAGGCGCAGCATCTGGAGCTGGGGAAAAAGGGGATCCATGGGAATGCGCATCTGCAGTTTCTGGAGCAGAACTCGGATCGCATTGCGGGGGTTCTGCATGAGTGGATTGGGAATGTTACTAAATCTGCTTAATTATATTCTTCTATCTGACTGGTATGGATATGCTGTGCCATATCACAACACCAGATGTCACTCTGTATAGATTAAATACTCCGAACTCCGCTTCACCGAGTCTAGATCGGATCGACAGTGCATTGATCACTGCAGGGACCCTGGTCGGGATACGAGGCCAGTGCAGACGCAGTCCTACAAAAGCAAACATGCCAATGCTGCCTTGACCAGTCTTATATAAATACCCCCTTTCCCTGACTGATTGATCTGTACATAAGATATTTCGATAATGAAGCCACTACAATTGCTGCCCATTCTCCTCACCGCTAATGCGAGCCCTATCCCCCTTTTCGGCCCTGGGGGTCTCCCAGACCTTCTCGGTTCTCTATTCCCTGGCCTTCTCGATCCTGATGACGGTGACATAGATCCTGGCCTAAGCCCTGATCCAGGTTCAGGCATCCCATCTCTACAAGGCTACACCCTAACCTGGCACGATGAATTCACCAACACCAACAGTGACAGTTACCTCCCCAGCTCCAACTGGCTCTTCGACACAGGAACATCCTACCCCTCCGGCGCCTCAAACTGGGGCAACAACGAACTCCAAACATACACCACCTCCCCCTCAAACATCCACATCACCCCATCCAACACGCTGCAAATAACCCCCCGGTACCTACCAAACCAAGACGATGAATCCGGAACCCACTGGACAAGCGCACGGATCGAAACAACAGACTCAACATTCCACGCCCCCCCGGGCGGAAAACTCTACATCGAATCCCGCCTCCGAACAGGCTGCGCTCCGTCCGAGCAACAGCACGGAATCTGGCCGGCCTTCTGGGCTCTGGGGGCTTCGTTTCGCGAGGACCCTACGTACTGGCCTATGGCTAGCGAGTGGGATATTGTCGAGGTTGTGAATGGGGAGCCGATGGTTTATAACACCGTGCATTGCGGGACGGAGACGAGGGAGGGGGGTCCCTGTAATGAGTATACGGGGCTGGGGAATGGGGGGGTTGGATGGGCTGGGTGTGACTGGCATGTTGTTGGGTTTGAGGTTGACCGGTCTGCTGCGGATAGTGGTAGTGGGACTAGTACTGGTGGAGGATGGGAAGGAGAGACGCTCAAGTGGTTTCTAGACGGGGAGCAGGTCCATACTGTCTCTGGGGTGGATGTGGGCGATGAGCAGGTGTGGGAGAGTGTTGCGCACCAGGGCCACTTTATGCTGCTGAATGTGGCGGTTGGTGGGAATTGGCCTGGATATCCGGATGAGAATACGCTGGATGGCGAGGATGTTGCGCTGGAGGTGGATTATGTGCGGGTTTGGAATAGTCTTGACTCGTAGCTATCGGTAAAGCAATATATTGTTGATTTGTTGTCTGCTTTAGGGCTCGCCCCAAATGGGCTGGCTGTCTGGACACTGCAATAGAACCAAGGCCGAGGACCTGTCATAATATAGTCACAGATAGCCAGTAATAGGGTACAATGAAGAATACTAAATCGGGAATGATTGAGAGCTAAATTTAACTCATTTTAGTAAATCAGATCTCTGATGTGCGATTTCATCCAGCATCGGATGCCCCTGGTTACCGTCTTTCTGAATAAAAAGGAAGCTGTTTCCTGTTACCATTGATCAAAGCTTCCCAAGTCATATATTGTCTCACAACTTCACTCCAGGTCACTACGTACTCAGTAGTTCTAATGTCTCCACTGCGCCATACGGCCACCATAAACAGTGTGTGCCATAGATAGGATATTTAATACCACGTTAATAAATTCAATGGCGGACCTGATTCAGAGCAAGTAGATATTATTAGACTATTACCATATAAACACAGAACAGACGCCGTACTCCTGATCAGTATAGCACCGAACAGTCCTTACTTTTAGGTCCCCTACCTACCTTAGCCACCTGTCAACAACCTCCAGTACCAGTAGTCGACTTCCAACCCGAGCTTCCTCCGCCTATCACCCTTCACTCATTTTTGGTTCCAGGTTGCTCAAGGCGTAGGCTGAGGCCGACTCCCCCCTGGAGAACCCCCCGAGCCGCCGGACGAACCCCCACCGGTATTCCCACCTGGCATACCCCCAGCTCCACCACCAGGAGGACTTGGGTTTCCGCCGGTACTTCCTCCACCACCACCGCCTGGGGGAGGAGGTGCTGGAGAGCTGCCGCCGCCAGTACTACCACCGCCACCACCACCGCCGCCTGGAGATGGAGATGGTCTACCACCTCCGCTTCCGCCGCCTCCACCTCCAGAACCGCCGCCTGGAGACGGGTATACGCTTGGTTGGGAAGGTTGAGGGTAGCTAGGCTGTGGATGCTGGTTGGAGGTTGGGTATGTATTGGACGTAGGGTAGGTGTTCGAGGTAGGGTAAGTAGTCGAGGTCGGGTAAGTGTTGGATGTTGGATATGTATTCGTAGTATGCTCAGTACAGGTAGAGCACATGCTAGAAGTCGGATAAGTTGTCGCCGTGCAAGTTGGACAATGAGTAGTCGTCGGCCTAGCCGTACAAGTCGGACACTCCGTCGGGTGAATATTGGCCGCGGTGCAAGTTTGGCACTCATTCGCATACGGGATCTGGTCACAGTAAGGGAAATTGGGACAGCTGGGATACTGCGGGGGATGGAATTCTTCTGGAGCGGGATAGCCACCAGACGGGTAGTAGTAGTATGCGTAGTAGCAGTCTGGGTAGTAGGTGTTGTAGCACATGCATTGGTCTGGGGCGCAGCGGTAGTACTGGTATCCGTTGTAATTGCAGAAGCAGGAGCAGAGGCCGGCGCTGTATTTATCGCAGGAGGAATATTGTCTGCTGGAGAGGGAGTCTAGTGAAGTCTTGTTAGCAGGGTCGAGGATACCTGGAGCTGGGCCGTACTTAGACCAGAGTCGACCTCCCATGGAAGAGAGGCGCCCAGGATAAAGAAGGATGCAAAGGTACTCAAGACGGGCTTCATCTTGATAGATATGCTTGGCGTATCAAGCAATATGCACAGATGGAATTGAAGTTGTAGTTTGGATGCAATTGACATTGTAGCAACTTTATATCATGACCCTTATTCAGCCTCCCCGCTTCGAATACAGTGGTTTCGCTTATTACTTCTGTCATAGGAAGTGGCACCACTGATGATACCTGGCTCTACTGCTTGGCTCAATCATACATGATCCGGCCTCTCAGAAACTCATCTCTCTATGATGCCTGTTCGAATCGAAAGATGGCCAGGCCGCGGGGCATCACAGCCCCCCAGCAGGACCCGACAAGACAGAGATGAGCCTCTATGACGTTCATAAGCAGGCCAGACTACGTACTCCATCAATGCTCGTACCGTAACCCACGTCCTGCTGCTCAGATGTAGCCTCGTTACGACGCCGGCCCCCGAATCATGCTATTACGGAGCCCACTGGAGATCGTCGCATGACATCGCGTCAAAGGCACCATGGGTCAGCCTGGGAGCAACGCCGGGCTGTTACGACGAGAACCACCTAGGTACCGCGGGTGAAGCTGTGGGCAGTATCAAGGTTTGGACCTTACCTCGCCACTAGCAGAACCGGTGGCTCGGGCTGGAAATGGCTGGACAGTGAGTGATAAAGCGTGCACTGCTTATTCAGAGTTCAAGTTTATTCAGGAAACTTTGCATTTACCCTCAGAGGGCTGTGATATGCCACGTAAGCTGCAAGATGAGATTAAAGTGCGCCTCATTAGTCCAATGCGGCTACATGTAAGGATGAGGATTCATGGTAAGGAGGGCAAGGAGGCTGGTAGAAGGCAGTTTACATTAGCCAGTAGGCCTACAGCGTACAGGCGGTTCTTTGGGGGAATAAAATGAAAGACATGAGGGGTGATTCTCAATAGACCTATGGCAGTGATTCTGGCCTTGTAACAGATGCTTCTACGTTCTAGTAGAAAAGTATCATGGCTGTTCGCTTCTCAACAGTAGTTGAGACGATGCACTGCCCCTCATGCTCTTTATAAAACCAACTTGAGAGAAGAGTTCGAGAATGACCCATCTCAGCGAATTACTTCGAGTTCATTGGAAATCGACTGCCAGATACTCAGAGCTGACAGTGTGTCAAAGAGGCTGGCGGAGCCCTCATTGCGCGCTGCGTGGAGGCTGCCATGCCGGATTATGAATACCTGCGGACCAAGAGGACGTGGGTGGATTGATAAGTTATAGACTGCATTAAGAAATGAGAAAGGTTCGGTTCTATTTTTTCGTATTTCTGTAGTGACTGGTGGACACGGAGAATAAGGCTGAGGGCGTCTATATTCTGCAACCTTCCATTGTTTATCCCCATATAACCCCCTATTTAGTTTCAGTCAATACATACGACCACAAGGTGTGGAAACAGGCTTCCCGTCCGCTCAGCCGTTCTTAAGCCACCACCACCACCAACGGGGATAAAAGTGCGACGAGCCCTGAGTGTGTGGCTGCTTTTGGGGGTAGCTGGGATGAGTAGGTTGGAGCTGCCGGTAATAAAGAGCCCCATGGCCCGGTTGTACATGAACCGGTCGATCTGGATAACCCACGACGTACTGTTAATGCGGGCGTTGGCTAACGCTAAATTTCAAACCCTAAGTCGCATAGCAATTGCTCTATATCAAGCTCGATGGTGGTTATTCGACCAGACGGATGACCGAGTGCGAGTCTCGAATTATAAAACGCGAAACTGTGCACCTTATACTCAGGGGGGAGCCATATAATCTGCCGTCCGTTGAAAGTGACCCAGTCCTCTTCAATGGAGAAAGCGCGAAAGTCCTTCAGGATAGAGTCAGCACCAGAATCCCTGCCCAGCCGAATGTGCCCCTTCGCCGTCACGATAAAATCACCGGTTGATGAAAGCACTGCGTCCCGCACGTGGGTTGCGCCGACTGGCAATGATTGTCTGCAAACACCCGTGCGGGCGTCGAGTATGATGATGGTTTCATAGCAATTCAGCACAATGGAGCGGCTATCTGTAGACCAACTCGCGCATAGGACATGCTTCGCGCCGTGGGTAAATGTCTGCATCCAGGCTTTACCGTCTGTGTCCCAGAGACGCAGTGTGCTATCGGAAAATGATACCGACAATGTTCGACCGTCAGGCGAGCAGGCTACTGCGCAAATTTCACTTTGGCATTTGAGTGCGTACTTGGCGGTGCCGGTTATGGCATCCCAAATGCGAACCGTGTCGTCAGACGATGCCGATGCAAGCGTTCGGGAGTTGGCGGAGATGTCAGCATTGAAGATGTCGGCCTTGTGTCCTTTGAGTAGACGCTTGCGCTTCAAGGACACGGCGTCGAAAAGCTGCATGATACTGCCTTCTGGGATAAGCACCAGGGTTTTACTGTCTCGCGAGAATAGAACGTCACGGTTCTTGCCTTCAAACGCCTTTTGACAGACGCCTGTTACTATATCCCACAGCTTTACCTCAAGAGCATGAGATACGGTTACAATGTAGCGACCGTCCGGTGAAAATCGAATGTCATAAATAGCCACCCCGTGATCTGCAACGCATTTGAGCCAAGCATTGTTAGCTGTGCGCCACAGATGTACGCTGTCCGGTGATCCTGTCGCCAGTGTATGCCCGTCTGGGGATATCTGCATGATAGTAACAGGCAAGTAGTGTCCCTGCAAGGATAGGGACCTTGTCGTCGGGTCCCTGATCAGAGGAAGGTGATGATCGTCCGTTTTCGGGGGGAAGTCTTGTTGTCGACATAGCAGAGTCACGGCTTGGACAATGCCAAACTCACGGCAGATGATATACCAGCGCCTTGGGTCCATCTTCCTAGGCAGGTGAGGTATGATTAAACCCCCGATGCTGAGAGCCAACAGGGCAAAGCACATTAGGTAGACTGGGAAAACGACCCAGAGAGGTTGCTGCACATGCCGGGCGAAGATGTCGATCCCGTGAAGTGCAAAGGAAATGCCATAGCCACAGACCATATAGTGAAAGATTTGCTTACCAAGTCGTTTCCTAGTCGAAATGTGAAACCGGAAGGGTGGTAATTGTCTTGATGCAGTAGCACCGCCAGCAGGAGGAATGGATGAACGCACTGGTTGGTATATTGGAGTCGAACTATTATCGCATAGGAAAACGTTGCCATTTTCGCCCCCCAACGCCAACATGTGTGTTTCTGTAGAATATACCATGGCTGTAAACCAACACACTGAGTTGCCCATCTTGATAATAGCTTTGGCACGTCCACTCGCTGCAGTCCAGAGGAAAACCTTGCGTCCGAATGCGAGGAGAAGGGACTGACCATCAGGTGCGAAGCAGATACAAGCAGACGGGCAGTTTCCTAGGACATCAATCTTAATAGCTTCCATGGCCTTGCCAGATGATTGCTTCCACACGCCAAGAAATCCATCGTTTGTGACCAATGCGAGAGTCGAAGCATCGGGTGAGAGATCAAGCGCTCTGGTTACATCAAGACTGTGGTGAATGTCTTGCCATTTCCCAGAAGATTCATGCCAGAGCCGAACAGCGCCGTTTAACCAAGCGCATGCTAATACCGCACCATCGAGGGAGAATGCTAAGGCGTTGGCTCGGTTTTTTTGCCTGTGTTTCATCGAAGTCATCAGATCTTCGAACACGCGACGTGCACTTTCGTGTTGGGTGTCAACCAAAATATCGTTCAGCTCGGCGCGGTTTATTTTACCGTTGTGGAATTGGTCCAGACCATCATTGGCTTTTAAGATCCGGTCGAAAGCGGCACCGACCGAGAGTTGAACCTTGGAGCATACAGAGTGTGCTTCGGATAGGTTAATCTGGCCTTGAAAGATGCGTCGCCATGACTTGTTATCGACGTTCCAAAGTAATACAGTGCCGCTGCTCAGGCCCACTGCCACAGTCCGAGAGGCACCGGAGAACTTGAGAGTCGATACCATTCCCTCATCGCTGTTATAAACCTGCTCATACGTTCCGGTACGTGTGTCCCATAGCATAATTCTGCCATCTTCCGAACCTGATAACAAGGCGTGATTACTATCGAGGAACGCGATGGCATTCACACAGCCAGTATGCGCGTTTAAAGTCTGCAGTAAGAATCCAGTCGTCGCACTCCAAAGCTTGATAGTTTTATCGGATGAAGCGGTTGCAAAGGTCTGTTGATCGGGTGAATATTGTGCATCGTTGACTGAGGAGCCTTTGTGGCCCTCCGTTATCTGCAGGCCGAGGTTCGAATACTCTTGAATGCCAGCGATAGCGCGGATATGTGACGGTCTATCTCCCCAAAACAGTTCTCTGATGACACTTTTCTGAGGACAGAATAAGAGAGCTGCGCTATACACTTGTAGAGGCGCGCGATTGATTGTGGAGCCATACCCTAGGGCAAGATGGTGACAATCTCTTAAAATAGGCCGCAATTCATAGTAGGCCAAGTCCGGCTGACAAGCAGACCCTGAATATTAGTCCGGAGGGTCCCAAAACCAGGAAGGGGGTTGCAAATATTGACTTACTTCGTGCATCATAGGTTTTCTCAATGAAATAACCTCATTGGTCGCGTCCAAAAGCTGCTTGACGACTTGTATCCCTTTAGACATGCTGTACAGCAACCCGAGGCACTCGAACCAGTGCAAACAGTGATTCTTGAAAAACGAAAAGATCATTTGCAAGTCGGCTTCACCTGATCTGTTCGAAGCACGCAGGTGATCAAACCAATATACCAAAGAGTACTTTATCGGGGTTATTGGTCCATCACCGTCCCTTTGGCTCTGCGTCAGTGGACCGGGATTTCTGAGTTGACAGATGTTCCTCCGCAGGGTATCCGACATGGCAGACAAAGATCTTTGGAATATTATATAATGGATATCTTCTTGGCTTGATTTGAGGACGGTTTTGGCTTGATAGGTAGCGAGGTAATCTCTGGCTGACTGGTGTATGAAATAAACATGATTCTCGCGAACGGTGAAGAAGGAACCGCACATGTCCACGACCCTGTTGAGGTCTGGCAGCTTATTTATTTCCACCGGTAGTCCAGCTATGGTGCGCATTTCCAACAGATGCAATGGGCGATATACAAAGACCGCCGTGGACAGAACTTGGAGACAACGCTGGCGGTTCCGAGTTGGTAACTGGTTGACTTTGCCCATCATTTGATCGAACACGGCCACAATAGTTGAGGGCATTTCTTTTACTATATCAATCGCATCCACTGCCAGAGCGTTTTTCTTTAATTCCTCGATAACCAGAGCTGCCCACAAGAACGTGCCGTCTGAGTTTCGTTGCATCACCTCTTTTATTGTATCTTGGATCTCGGGATGATTCCTCAGGCTGGCAACGCGGGAGATTCGATCATCGATGAAGGCGTCAATAGCGCCTGAAAGACAGCCGGGGTTCAACTCAAGTCGAAGCGATTGCTGGTCATCGTAGATCCCTAAATGTTGTTCGATGTCATCTCGATTGCGACTGGTCAATAGCCACTTGATCTTCGAAGAGTTGCCGGCGGTCCGGACGATCAAGTCCAATAGATAGGGCCGTCCTTCTTCACATTCATCTACAGCGTCGATAAGCAAGCGTGTTTCTGGAAGAGCTGGATCCTGTAGCATTGCCATGAATGGCCCCACCAAACTGTGGAATTGCTCTAAACCTTCAAATAGCCGTGCTCCAACGTGGTCATACTTTGGCCGGAGATGGCGAAGTAACGCAGGTCGCTGGACAACAAGAAGGTACATCAAGCCTCGCACAACTGAAGCGGCATTATTGAGCCGGGAATCGGTCCCTTGGCAGAAGAAGTAGGACAAGATGGGTGGCGACATTTCCGTTGCCGGCAAAGGTACGCCTATCGCCAAATGGTCAACAATTCCCATCATCAACATAGTTTTGCCCTTTCCAGCATCGCCTCTTATCCAGAGAAGCCGTCTCTCAGGATCGTCTCGCCATTCTTGGAACGAGGGATGGTCAATAATCCAACAGAACGACTCCCAGAGTAACCCGCCCTTGGACTGCTCGAGACGGAGTCTGTCATCTCGAGGGTCTGTTAGCAAAAGATCTCCGAGTAATTGCTTATTCGCAGACGAAATGCCTGACAGTGGTGTTAGCGACGGCGAGAGGAATATGGTGCGATCAACTTACCCGATCCAACGACCGGTTTCCAATGTTCAAGAAACGCTTTGGCACTCGCTGCTCCCGTCGCTGCTGCGTAGTCCTGCCAGAGTTTATTCTTGTGGCTATCAGCATAGTCACAAACGCCCTTTATGATCAGACATGGAACACAGTCCCATATTCCAGCGCCTTCCATCTCGAAACCAATGGCACCCTCGTCCTCGGCTATCTTGTCGCGATGCTCAGCTGACTTCATCACTGTATCAGCACATGCCACCGCTCCGATGTGGATGTGTGGTAGAATTGTGTCTTGATCGAGGCGTCGACGATGAACAGCCTTCATTGTGCCACGACTCATCTGGTTCCGATGATCCGGTAAAATGCCATCGGGCTCAACATTAGTAAAAAGCTTTTTGGATCCCTTTACTTGATCGTTAAGCCCCGAAGCGAATTCCAAGAGTGTGTCCTTGTCGCTACCCGGATACCTCCACGACGGATGGCCCGCCTGGAGATTCTGGAGATAAAAATGGGTGCGCTCGTGAAACTTTCGACGCGTCTCGCTGGTCTTGAGTGTGGCCAGAACAGTTCTTATCTCCCGGTTCGGCCTCCCCAGTGTATCCCTCGCGTCCGTTTTCCGTCTGAAGCCATCGGGGTATTGCCTGCCAAAATCGTACTCCACCACGCTGTCGCTGACGATGACGTCCCCAAGAACAATTTCGGTGCCGTCCCTGGTAAAAGGAACAGCGCCACAGATCCCGACAACCAAAGCCAACCGTATGCCAGGGTAGCTAATTCGAAGCCCAGAGGCAACACCCGCGGCGCTTCCTCTGCCCATGCCAGGCATATAGGTTAAAACGACGTCATGCTGGCCGATTCGACCGTTCAGATAAATGTTGACGTCGCCATCTTGCTTTCCGTAGAACTCGCCGTTGTCGTATATTGCGTCGAAGAGGGCTTTCACGGCGTCAGCTTCGCGAGGGAGGGCGCACACGATGGCAACCTGGAACTCCTCGCGGGTGTGCGGGCGCATACTGCCATCGTCGGCTTTGTAGAATAGGGTTCAACGGTTCCAAAAGATCCGCTCTCAGCGATAAAATGATGGTAAAGACGACGCGTTTGATGAACGGAAGATAGGCATGGCGGAGGCGGAGGTGAGCAGTTCGTCGCCAGTTGAAGACAGCCTCAGCCTCGCCAAGCCCAGCTGACCAGGAACAGGTTTACATCGCTGCCCGGGGGGCTTGCTGCGAATGGAATACCCTTTCGTACCCTGGTTACAAGCAGATAATGATGCTTGCCACTAAAAAATCAAGGCAGTACCCGGAGAGTTTTGACATATCCTCACTCTAAACAACTACGCATTCTAATTGGTGGGAGTCAGCCAGGCTTTTACTAACATAGATATAAACCTCAACATATATCTCCACTGTTTTGGCGACGGAGGCCTCCAGATCTAGGTACATGACTGCCTCTGAGCGTCTTTCCTGGCTGAACAAGGCTGCCTTTGTCGGGAAGGGAGGGTGGATTTTGATTACAACGTTTTATTAGCGATATCGCATTATTCTTGTGAGTATAAAGTAATGTTGGCCCCAACATTTTATAGAGCTGCATATTAGGAGTAACCTGTGGACAGAGAAAATAGACTGAGGAATCCTTAACTTTTCAATGTTTATTCCCATATAATCCCCTATTCAGAAATAGTCAGTACATACGACCACAGGGTGTGGAAAACAGGGCTTCCCGTCCGCTCAGCCGTACTTAAGCCACACGCCGGCTGGTTAGTAGTATGGTGGGTGACCACATGCGAATCCCAGCTGTTGTATGTTTTTTGGCTTTTATTTTTATAGCTATCAATGCTCTGTACACCCAGACTGAGTTTCTCCTGTTGGAGGTTGATCGTGTAAATAAGGCGCAAACCTCCCATGACAACAGCAGAGATACGAAAATTGCCAACGTCAGCATATATTGGTAGCATACACATAATAGAGAATTTTATTCAGCCGCGTGGATCACGGAAGTTGATAATATAAACCTGTCCATCATGATATCCAAGTGCGAGAGCATTGTTCTTTATAGCGAAGCATTGCGGCTGACAGTACTTATACAAGAGCCATAATACCTTTTTCTACCTAATGTCACCCAGTCATCTACTAGAGATATCTAAGGACTCAGATCCTTAGTATTCTCTGTAGTAATAGACTAAATTATGGACTAGGATGGCGGTATTAGAGATTCAGTAACAGACAGGGCTTGTGTTGGGAGGGGAGCTTACCAAACTACGTGATGACAGGCTGCTTGCGGCACTCTAGTTATTATATTAAAATAGTATAAGGTATCTGGAGCTAGACTGCGGCATATCCGCGGATATCAGACAGCAAACAGTATCCATATCATATCCATGCGGATACAATATAGATATCTTATTATTATCGTCTTCCTGCCTGAGGCAGACCACTCATAAATACTCTCGATTACGATATCCAAAGCAGATGTTCTAGTATGCAAAAACATACTCCCTGTCCTCCTCCAGCAAGGTGCTCACGAAATCCTTCGGACTTTTAGGCTCCCTCCCCAAAATCTCTCCTAACAAGGGATGTGTCGTGTGCAGCGCTCCGCTAACAATCTCATCCCATACCGATGCAATCATCTCAAAATGTTCCCTGGGTTTCTCGCGAGGGTCATTCCGCCATGAGTCAAGATACTCCTCCCGCGAGACCAGATTAAGCTTGATCTGTCGACCAGTAGTCTTATTAATGATATTAACCAGCTCCCGAGCAGTGATGGTCTCCTGGGCAGTAAATAGTACTGTTTGATTCTCGTATCCTCCCTGAATCATGATGCGCGCTGTTGCCTCTCCGAGCTCTGCGCGGGAGGTATAGGCTACACTTCCGTCGGCGGGGAGCGTAAGGGTGCCAGTCCGTTCGGGGTACCAGTCGAGGAAGACGGTGAAGCATTCGGCGTAGACGCCTTCTCGGATGGAGGTGTATGTTAGGCCGGATCTGGGTTGGAATATTTAGCTCAGCTCGAACCACGAATAGGTAGAGAGGGATAACATGCACGACATACTCTCTCAGCAACTTCTCAGTCAGCAGATGATCTTGCATCACTAGAGCCTTGGATGTATCCTGAAACCCTCCAAAGGCCAGAGATGTATACCAGATCTAGACAGATGGTCGACTTGTCAGCAACGCCCATGACATCTAGCTAGGGGACCATATATCGGACGCACATGCTTAACCCCAGTCTTCTTCGCGGCCTCTACAACCCTGGCATGCTGCTCGCCGCGACGCATGCCACTTGAACTAACAAAAAGGAGGTTCTCGACAGCGCGTAGGCCCGTTTCAAGAGATTGAGGATCATCATAGTTGACATGCCGAAACGTGATACCACGGTCCTCAAAGGCTGATCTGTTCGCAGCGTTGGATGATGCAGCAGCGAATTCAGAACGCGGAATATTTGCGATGAAATAGTTGAGTACTTCCTTTCCAAGACCACCGGTTGCGCCTGTGATTAGGTATTTGAGGGTCATCCTGGCGTTGTTGGTCGAAAACGGGGTTGCAATGTGTTTGCCCGTGGTTTGAGCTTTCTGGCACTTATCCAAGTGTGTTATTTATCCCGCTCGAAGAGGGAGCTTGTAGATATGTCAATGATGGCTTGATAATCAAGGGGATTAGTAATGGGACCAATTACTATGGAAAGGAAGGGAAGTAGACGGTGTGGGACGCCGGTGTCCCGGGCACCCACCGACGCCGACTATAGACAAATATAGGAACTGCAGGCTTAATAAACAGCACATGCTAATCACAATATCCAGTTAACATTAACCAACTGTTGGAGCTAATCCCTCTTTATCCTCCACTCCTTTTAAAACCTTAGACGATAACTAAATGCATACTTTTAGGCTGCTTGGATCCATCTACACTATTAATCTCACGAAATTACCTCTCCAGAACTAGTCTAGGCTCGTCGACTACAATAGCCCTACATTGCTGCGGTTACCCGCCGGTTACCCGCCGAAGTGATGCTGATGATTCTGGAGTGCCTTCCACCATCACACGTTATTAAATTTCTTCACGCTAGCAAGATGATTGCATTATACACCCATATTATTTTTATTGTTGCAATGATACACTTGGTGGGGAAGGTAGCGTGTTCCATGGAATAAATACGATATAAATACGATGTTCTCTCTACCGAGGACCGTACTATCCACTACATGCCCTAAAGCGCCCATAGCCAAATATAGTTGGACTTATCGAAAGCTATCCAAAGCCGTAAAGAAGGCATCAGCAGTCAAATGTCACCAGTGCAGCTTCACTAGCTTTCAGGCTCAGTCTCCCATTTGGCCCAAGAACTCCTGTTTTTCGACTTCCACGGACAGAGCCCTCCAACTCATCCACATACTGCCCAGCAAGCCTCACGGCTTCCGGGTCCTTGACATCTGCCCCGGCCGCAGTCAACTTCAGAACACTCGCCCTACACCCACCTTGGCCTTTATATTGCAGGTGAATAGAAATCTCCAGCCTCGAATCCTCACCCTCCTCCTCATCCCAACTCCAGAGATTCAACGCAACAAGCGAGCGCAGCGCCCCCGTCTCAGAATCATATATAGCATAAGCAGTAACCTGGTCCTCGGCAAGGACAACCTCGACCTGTTTCCCCCAGCCACCATCCGCACCGAGCGCCTCCTGCACAAGCCAGAAGCCATAGTACGAGGGAAGCACGCCCGCCGGCTCGCCGAAGGCAGAGATCGGTCGCCACGCGCTGTACCGCCATCCGAAGGACTGGTGGAAGCCGAGGCTGGTGATGTTTGTTTGCGCGCTGTACAGCGTGTAGTCGATTGTCCAGAGAGCGGCGGCGAAGGTATCTGAGATGCCTGCCTGGCCGTGGCCGAAGAGAGAGTTTGTTTCGCCCAGGATGTATGGGATTCCCTGGGCGGTTGAGTGGGCGGCGAGCTCGTGGTGGCTGTCGACGAAGAAGGCCGTGTTGTTGTGGTTCATGAGGTATTGGCGGTTGACAATGGGTGTGTCGAATAAGAGCATGTACTGCTCATGTTATTATCAAGGTTGGAGAGGAGGAGGAAGGGCATACCTGGTGGGTGTCGGCATATTTAATGACTCCGTTCTTGTTAATTCCATTCTCAAGCAGAGACTCGACGCTCCAGCAAGTCGTCTCGTCGTCTGGATCTTCGCACTCAATCAGAGTTGGCGCAAGAAATGTCCCTGCGGTATAGATCTTCTTGTTCTTGTCCCCAAACACCGCCTCATTGATCGTATCAGCGTAGTCCACAAAGTACTCCGTAAACTCCGGAAGAGAAACACTCTCCTGTCTCTCATTTCCCAGCTCAAGACCAACGAGTCGCGGTCCTAGCTTCTCGTACGCCCCCGCCGCAATTTCGATACTGGCTTCTAGCAAGCCTTCCTCGTCTTTCGGATATGGCAGGCCGAGAACAAACTCGGTATCCTCAGGCCACGCGTCAAAGGCACTGAAGAAGGCCGGTCCAAGGGTCACATTGTACGTCTTGTCAATACCGTCCTCATAATACCCGATCAAGCGCTGTTCCTGGTCCGGTATCCACCAGACTGAGCTCTGAGAAGAGCCACCAATGCGGACCTTGATGGGAGCGTTTCCGAGATCTCGAATTTGGCTGATAAGGTTTGTATTCATGGGGTTCGAGTAGCTGTTTCTGTTACTTGAGTTCAAAATGAGACAGGTGCGAGAGGGTTGACAAACGTTGCATTCCCCGAGTACTCCATGAAGGAGAAGAACTCAATCGACAAGGACTGATAGTTGGCGTGGATGACCTGGCGGTCCTGTACAGGATGATCAGGTATCTGCACCGAGATATTCCTTGACGCCGAGGAGAGTCCAAGGAGCGAGAGCATCGCCCACGCGCGGCATAGTGGATTCATCTTTGACTGGCACTTTATGACGCTGTGCTGTGAACAACAATAGCAGCTCTTTAAATACTTTGATTCCGGACGATTAACAACGGACCTCCGATCTGTTTCCACCGATGAGCGTTCTTCTTTATAGAAATCTCTTATTGGACTGGCGGAAATTCATTTCTTGGATCCCCGCGTTCCTCTCAGCATACTGCAAAGTAAGTCGGCTTTTCTTATGAAATCGGGTGAATAGCATCGGGCAAATAAACCTAACTGCGAATGGTCTTCCACTTTTTCCAGAAGATGAAGGTTGGTATTGTTATGGGCACTAGTCATGAGCCGATGACAAGTTTAGAGATCTAACAATATGCCCTATGGCAAGTCCAATTCTCCCATTCCGAACCGTTCATGACAGCTCGATGTATCCAAGGCCAAGCGTAAGGAGCTCCGCCTCTTTCTCTCCTTATACTGCAAAGTGTACAGTAAGTGAGATGTTATGATACCCCTTATTTCTATATATATTCCCACCAGTCTACGCTTTGGATATCAGCTCATGGCCAGAGCTGGTCCTTACAGTAGGTCTATATGGGAGGAACAATGTCAAAGTTCAGTCAAACGAGTGTCCATTAATTTTTCAACAAATGAAACTTCCTAAAGCCCGACAGATCCTAGTATTAATCAATCCAAGCTCTACCCCCATCATCTATCCCCTCAATCTAGACCCCTTGGAGACCCATTCGAGATTGACTGATCGCAGTAATCTAGTAGGTGCAAACGCAGACGCTAAAAGTCTAGTCAGTATAGTCAACAAAGAGAAGCGATATCAAGGAATCCAACCTGTCCTCGTTGCAGTGGCCACCGTGGTAGGTTCCGTCCTTAAGGCACTGTATACATATTAGCAGGTTGACGGGGAATCTTTTTTCTTTGGAAAACATACAGATGCGCTGCAAGCGGCATCACCAGCACCCCAGATGTCACCGACCTGGCAAGAGCTGCGGGCAGCAATGTCCTCATTGGGGGCGGCAAGGGCCATGGAGCCGAAGAGGGCAACGGCGCTGAAGAAGATGGTGGAGAACTGCATTTTGATTGAAGAAAAGTGGTGTGAAGATTTGAATGATTCTTGTCTTGGTGGATTGGATTGGAGTGTTGATGAGGACCAGAGAGACGGACATCGAGGGGGTATTTATATTCCTTCTGAGTCCATTGAGCTCAAGGATGAAGACAAAGATAGAACAGAAGTCTTGATGGTTTCTCGTATTGTCGGCTTCGCGAGGACCTTGATCAACCGTGATAATCAAAATACGATGTGATTCAGACGATCTCTGTACACAGGGAGGCCAAACGGAGGCCATGTCGGTGTATCGTGGAGAGAAACATATCCACCTTCTCGCCAAGAATCATGATCAAGCTGAAGCTCTCACCGTCCAAGATCGGCATAGTCGTCCTAGAATAGCAAAGCAGCATCGAGGGCAAAGTTAGTGGCTCGTATAGCCCCATTATACACAGTCTGCGTGGGGCTCCCCATGCTTGGCTATAACCTTGAATGATCGTCACTTCTACACAAGGTAGCGATATGCCTTCAGGTACCCGCACTTCGTATTGTCCCCAGAAGGACTGCTTTCACCCCTACAAGAGTGGGTTTCCTGGCTCTCAGGTGCCCATACTCCGGCGTCGTTTAAGCGAGGGGACTTGGCCAGTGTTTCAATTGGCTCAACGAACAGATCACAGCCCTCCCTGTTGAAGCTAACAGGCTGTTGTGCACTCGACTCCAAGTGCTGAGTATGGTACGGTTGGGGAAGATCGACCTCAGCCCTCTCCTTGAACCTCCGAGATCAGCAAAGGATGGACTTTCACAGGCCGAGGCCATGCTCCACACTTCAGACGCTTCGCTATGATAGCATGCGTATGCGGACGCGGCCATAAAAAAGCTGATTTGTTACACTTACAGTTGACATAAACCAGTCTCAAATGCTAGGCCCAGTCTCTGCTTGAGGAAATACTAGGAATACTTTGAGGGGAGTTTCCTTGGTTTATCCTGGCACGACAAGTGTGCAGTGGCAGGGTGCAATAACCCTAAATGGAAAGATACGCGCCTTCATCCCAGTTTGTTCCTTCAGCCATCAGCAGTTGGGAGCGTGTGTGGAGGTGGGTACAGCTGCCGTTTCAGAAATCCCACTTTCGCATTTTGTATCCTAAATAGTTCATGTTCACGAGTCAATTGACGGTGGCTATAGTGAATTATTACTTCTCCTAACTGTTGACCTTTCCTGGTATGGATCTAGATAACGGCAGCGCAAAATCGTTCGTTATTCGGGTAACTTCCTGTCATGCCAATGGTGTTGAGGGCACCTGAGTTACTCCATCTAAATTCATGCAATGAGAAGGTAGACATATACACTAGTATTATTCGTGGTATATCTATCATAAAAGGTTAGGCTTCAATCCCAAGATAAGTATAACATTCTTTAATATCCTCCAGATAAGATAGAGTATTCTGCCTTCGGAACTTGTCTATAACGTCTATTATAACAGGCTCGTCAAGGCCCGACTACCTCATCCGCCATCTAGAACATGCCATGGCCTTCACTCTGTACATATACTGCCACTGTATCTATCCAATCAGTGGATCAAGATCACGTGCAGCTGAGCCGGCTCGGAGCAGCAGTTTTCCCATTCCGAACCGCCCATTTCCATTGACATGCTTTCAATTACCATTGAATAGTCAATGTTTCCATCTTCTTTTCTTCAATGGTGGACAGTAAGCATATTTTATACCTCCAGGGTTATACATACTTACTAGCACAGGGAACAATGCCAAATGAAACACCGTGTTCCCCGTGTGTTGACATTATTCAGACTCATCGCTATCTTCCCCCAGGAGTTACCAGGATTATTACCCGTGGCAGTGGGAATTTTATCGGTTTTATTAATGATAAAACTGTCCTGAAATATCCTTGTATTCCTGGTGATCTTAAACCCCTTCAGATTGAGGCGCGGCTCTTTGAAGTCCTAGGGTGTCATCCACGGATTATTACGTGCAGAGGTCTGACAGAACATGGCCTGCTGTTACAATATGCTACAAATGGAAGCTTAGACGAGTATATTACGTCTAAGCCTGATATATCTCTCTCCCAAAAGCTACAATGGAGCAGACAAGCCGCTGAAGCTGTGGAGTATGTTCACCAGAGGGACAGTATCCACTGCGATATTAACCTTCGGAACTTCCTGCTTGATGATAACCTGGATCTTCTTCTTGCAGATTTCCAAGGTGTGCTAAAAGGGGTAAATGGCGAAGCAGTACTAGATGGTCTTTCCCGGGAGTCTGCGAAATCATTTGCTCCTAGGCCACATGGAGATTATACAGATAATAAAACTGATCTATTTGCACTGGGCTCTGCAATCTACTTTATCATGATGGGGCATGAGGTATTCCCTGACCTGGACAGTCTGGAGAATGATGACGAGATAGCGGCTCGATTTGAGAATAAACAGTTTCCTACTGATGATCATCCATGCAGTGCAATTACAGAAGGGTGCTGGAACCAGTCCTATGACTCCGCCAGCCATATAATACGTGACATAAGTTCAATCAGCAATCTTAAATAAATTTTGGAACTTCTAATAGCCCGGATCCTGACATTTTCTATTTACTTCCGACATTGGTCGTTGCCTTCTAGGGGTTAGCTGCCCTGTTTGGGTCATTACCTATCAAGAGCCTGCGCTTGACACTACGTTCGTCAGCTTGCTGAATACGATTCAAGAGAGGCAACATACCATCTGGAAATAGAGTCCTCCCCGCTTCAGCAGTTCCTGATGCGTCCCCCTCTCAGCAATTCGCGAGCCCTCCTTCTCTCCATCCCCAAACACATAAATACAATCCGCCTTCTGAATCGTCGCCAATCTATGCGCAACAGCAACAATAATCATATTCCGCTCCCCAGCCAGCCGCTCAAGCGAGTCCTGAATAAGCCGCTCCGACTCGGAATCCAGACTCGACGTAGCCTCGTCGAGAAGCAGGACAGCCGGGTTCCGCAGCAGGGCGCGCGCAATACACAGGCGCTGCTTCTGCCCACCACTCAGCGAGACCTGTGCGTTGATTCCTAGCTCTGTTGAATAGCCGTCGGGAAGGGACATGATGAAGTCATGGATCTCCGCCTGTTGGCATGCCCGTGTCATCTCTTGAGCATCGGAATCGGGGAGATTCAACCCAAGCAGGAGATTATCTCGGATACTGCCCCCGAAGAGCTTGGGTTCTTGGCTTACTAGTGCCAGTGTGCGACGGTAGGAAGACACGTCCAGTTCGTTCAGATTGCGGCCGCTGAAGAGGATCTCGCCCCTTGTTGGCTCGTAGAAGCGTTCTAATAGAGAGATGAGGGTGGACTTCCCACACCCGGACGGACCGACGAAGGCGACGAATTGGCCGCCGTTTATTTTGAAGGTCAAGTCTTCTAAGGTTGGTGACCCTCTGGTGGCATATTGGAACGAAACCTGGGAAAATTCGAGACTAATCTGGCTGGTGGGAGGCAATACATCGCTTGAATACTGCTTTTGGTTTATGAGAGATCCCTCCATTAGGATTCGCCCTGCTGATTCTCTTGTCTGCGCAATGCTTGGGCCGAAACTGAAGAATACACCTGCTGACCCTGCGGCCTGGATTATGGCGATGTAGACCACAAAAAAGCTGACAACATCGTACTCGCGAGATGCTAGGAGTTGTCCTCCATACCTGAGACGTTTAGCATGGGTGTTTAGCAGATGACGGAGACGTACCAGAACGACAGAGCCATAGCCAGAAGCTCCATGCTGTCGGAGAAGGCGAAAACAAGGCTGGAATACCACGACTTCACAGTTGCTTTCTTCTGCTGCTCCTGTAGAAGCTTCGTATGGCGATTGACAATCGAGTCCTCCATGGTCAAGGCAACAATGGTACGGAATGCACGAACCGCTTCGCTGATGAATCTCGAACTATCTGCGTAAACCTCTGCATTGAGGGCTTCGAGTTGCAACTGGTGACGCACCCGGAGAAAGGCAGCCGTGCCCAGGACAGGGAGTACAGAGACAACGCCGACCAGAGCCAGTTTCCAGCCATATATGCATGCGATGACCAAGCTGCCCGTGGCGCTGAGAGCGGCAACAATGGGAAATGTACTCGGGATGCCAGTGAAGTCTTGGACCTGCTTTGTATCTGCCGAATGGCGTGAGACGAGCATTCCGGAGCAGTTCTCTTCCTTGTCGAAGTAGGGCACGGGGTTGCGCAGGATTCCGGAGAAATAGCCAATTCGTGCCTTGGATCCGACGTGCTGGTTTAATTAGCTTCAGCTCTACGATGGGAGTGATTTCGTACCATAGATATGGAGTTCGAGGAGTATCCAAGTATGGAGTAACAGGCGCCCATACTGAGTGCTAAGATGAAGAACACCACTGCCCAGAAATGAGCTGCGTCCAGTAAGTCTGCGAAGAACCGGAATGTGTCGATGAGCTGTGCGAAGAGCCAGCTTTGAAGTGAGAAGCCAACTGTGACGATTAGCATATATGTAGCAAGCGGAACGGTATATTACCTGCTGCGCCCAATGCTGCAACAATTGCGATTACTAGCAAGACAATATGTCGTTTCTGGGGCCCTATCATATCGCCAATACCTCGCAGCAGACTAAACTGGGGTTCCTCTGTAATGTAGCCTTCGTGGGCAGCTTCGTTGTCACTCTGTAACTGCTCCTGTTCGTCCTCATCCTCATCTTCATCTTCACCCAGGGTAGAACTGTCATCTACAACAGGGGCATTCGTATGAATCTGCTGTGCATCCACCAACTGTCTATATAAACCCCCACGCTCCATGAGCTCACTGTGTGTTCCCTCCTGGCGATTCGTGCCATCCTCCATTGCAATAATGTGGTCTGCATTACGGATGGTCGATAACCGATGGGCAATGATGATTGTTGTGCAGTTCCTGGCTACACGATCCAGCGCCGCCTGTACAATCCTCTCGCTATGGATATCGATGGAACTGGTTGCCTCGTCCAGAATCAACACCGACGGCTTGCTTACAATACTTCTCGCTATTGCAAGGCGTTGTCGCTGCCCGCCGCTCAATGTCATTCCGCTCTCGCCGACGACCGTGTCATATCCCTATTACAATCAGTAGGTATACCAGTTGGCTGAGTGAAGTAAAAAAAGGTGAGGTAGTTTACCTGCGGTAACCGTTGGATAAAATCATGCGCATAAGCCTCTTTACACGCCGCAACGACCAAATTCCACTTCACCAGATTCGCCTTATTCTCCCAGTGCGACCCAACCAGTCCAAAGCAGATATTATTATACACCGTGTCATTGAATAGATGCGGTTCCTGCTGCACCAGACCAACCTGGGCCCGCCACCATTTGGAATCGATATGGCTGATATTCTGCCCGCCAACAAATATCCCCCCTGCGTCATGCTTGGCGAGGTCATACCAGCCTTCAATAAGCGCCATTGCTGTGCTCTTCCCTGACCCCGAAGGACCTATCAACGCCGTAGTCTTGCCCTTGTGGAATCGCGCGTTGAAGTTGCGAAGTACTGGAACAGACGGCCGGCTCGGATAGGCGAATGTCACGTCTTCAAAGACAATGTCCTCCTCGCTGGAGACCTGGGGATCTTTCAGTCCCGAGCTTGATGACTCTGGTGCATCGATGATGTCGAAGAACGGGCCCGTGGACCCGATTGCTTTGGAAATGATCATTAACGGCGCGGCGATCTGGCCCATTACCATGACGGCGATGAGGACTGACATGAACACGCTTTTGATATCAGCAATTAAGTACGGAGAGACGGAGGGGTGGTAGGGTATACATAATGATGGTATTCACGTCGTCGATTTCACCATAATAGAGCTGTCTCAGACCATACCAAAACGCCAGCGAGAAGCTGCAGTATACTCCGAAGAATATCAACCCGAGATGTACAGCACCAACAGTCGAGATCTTCAGGCCCCGGTTCCTTGACTCATTCACCCAGTAGACATACCGCTCCGTCAAGGCCTCTTCTGCATTCAGCGACAGCACCGTCCGAATCGAGCCAAATACTTCCGTCGCAATAGACAGATGCTTATCATCCGCCTCGTTCATACGATGCAACAAGCGAACCAGAACCGGCGTCGTGATCGAAACACAGACCGCAATGAAGACAATCGCCGAGCTGACAACGAGCGTCAATGGCCATGAATGGTAGAATGCAATCGCGTACGCGGTGACCAGGATTGTAATAGTCTGGACCAGTATAGGGAGTCTGTCCGAGATACTTTGCTGGATTGTGTTTGACGAGCTCACAACGGCGTTTATTACTGTCCCTGATGAGATATCGTCGAGTTTGCTCACGGGCTGTGCGAAGAGGGCTTTGATGTACTTGAGTCGCAGCGTACCGGAGGCGTGCAGACCGACGAAGCGGAAGCAGAGCTATAACATACATAAGCTTGAGTTATGAACTTTGGTCGCATCAGAGTACAAACCGTGAAGATATACGTAAAGACAAACTTTATCATGAAGAGATAGAGAATGAACACCCTGTCGGCTGTTAGTTATAGTCTTGACCACGGACAATATTGGGACCTGCGTGTTGCGCGCTATAGCAGCGAGGAATTGCTCTTTAGTGAACCCGCTCCCTGGGATGAAGTATTGCGTGAAGTCTCCAACAAGCCGGCCGAAAATGACGTTCATGAGTGGTAGTGCCTGGATGTTCCTCAGTGTCTTTGCTTAGGTATTGTAGAACGAAACTCACCACACCAGAGCCCATCGCAGAGATGGTCCCCGCGAGTATCGCGAAGATGCCGCCGTTGCTGGCTCCATACGAGAGAATCCTCTATACAATTAGCTGGAAATGGATAACGCTGGGTCAGCATACCAGGTAACTTCGGAAGAGCTGCGGTCGATCTCGCTCTCGACCTTGATCATCTGTTCCGATTTGGATATCCATGCTTGACATTGATCATTAAGTGGAGTGCGTCTTGCCACAGTATTTGAATTTCCATTCCGACAGTCGGAAGGCGTGTTAGTTAAGAGTAACTAATTCTCGTAAAGCACGGTTGCTCGGCTGGTGTCTTCTTTCCGAGGAAGCGAATCACCAACCGAGTGGCTCGATATGAGTGTCAGATGAAAGCGCATTGATCGTCATGTTGATCTCACATGGTCATTTCTGGATTACATTTATTATATATTATAAGGCATGACCTACTGTCATGCTAGAATAAAGAGTATAGACTTGGATTAAAATATACTTAGAATAGACTAATTTATTTGATTTATCGACAAAACATATAAGCTTACTAGACTCCATTTCCCCTCTGCTTAGGAACGATTGGCAGCGTCTAAATCTGCCAGATATTGCTTCAGCCTGTTATCCACATCAAGATGCGCCTCGCCGTTGTCAAGAACACTCCCCCAGGTCAAGCCAATACGAGAAGTATAGTACTCCTGGTACATAAACGGCTTGAATTCAGTCCCTTCTTTTCCGGTCAACGGTTGAAGGTCCGTCTCTGAAACAATATTAGTTATAACAATCAAACCATATCAGTATAAAACCACCCACCAAAACTCGGCTGCGCAAAGTAAGGGATACTATAACGGTCCTGATCAAAAGGAACCTTCTCCCACGCGATCCGATGCATAGTCGATTTCAGCTTCCTGCCCGTCCAAAAGGACAGTGCGTCGCCGATGTTAACTACAATCCCGCCTGGGATAACCGGGACATCGTGCCAGCTATTAGCAGGATCGCGCACTTCCAATCCAGGCGCTTCGGTGAATAGAAGCGTGAGTGTTCCCCAGTCGGTGTGCGGGGCTAACCTAGCGGCAAGACCGTCGGGACCAGGCTTCGATGGCATCTTGGGGTATTTCATGAATTTCAGCGCGTTGCCGGGGAGGGCCTGGTTATGGGATGCCGCGAAGAAGGACTCTGGCAGGCCCATGTGCACGGCCAAACAGGGGAGAATCCGTAGCGTCAGATCGTTGCATTGCGCTTTGAACGATTCGATCTCTTGAATTTTTGCAGCGTCCCACCAGCTGTGGATATTGGGGGCTTGGGATAGTTGGCCGGCTGGGAGACCAAAGGCCATTCCCTCGGATGCCGCGAATCTAGGCTTTATCAGTTTTGGAATGGTATAATTGGATTATATTTTCGTACGTGGTGGCTTTGTGTCCGTCGTACCCGACACCGAGTTCGTTTAGGGGTTTCTCGCATTTCACGTCCATTGGTAAGTCGAAGAACTGGCGTGACTGTTGGGTATATCAGTGACTGTAGACCATGGAACTGTCCGTCTTACCAAGTCGAACATTCTGCTGGCGCCGGTGATGCCATGGTCGGTGACAATGAAGAAGCCCCAGTCCTGACTGGCTTTGAATATCTTGCTGGAGATACCGTCAAAGTCGGAATCGAGGTGTTTGATGCTGATGATTGGGAACTCCATAGTATTTGAATAGACAAGCAAGTTTTGTACTCCAGAAACAACCAGTGCCATTGTTGGGGAGTCGAGGAATAAAACATCCCCTGAGTTAGGGCTACATGGAGCAGTTCTTTGTCTGTCCAGGCACCCAATCAGCCACTCCAAATAACCAACAGCGTCGATCATGCAAATAACAAAGAAATAAACCCTAACTAGCTCAGTTATGTCACTTTCTCCGTCTTCCGCCAGGCGCCGAGCTATTTACTGCACGGTCGATGACCCATCTCAAGCTCTCCCAACTCGCAGCGGTACAGCAATCATGTTTTAATGTTACCACTCATATTTACTTTTTCTTCCGCGTCTCCCTCGGTCTTCAAGTTCGGATCATGCCAGATGTCGGTTTAGTTTACCGTGTACCTACAAATGACACCAAGGACAGATGTATCTTAATATGTCATAGGTAAGGAAATGCAGGTCCAGTCAAGCACTGCTGACTCAGAGGACAAGAAGCAACTGCACAAATAAACACCAAGCTGGGGGTATCCAGTCAAAGACATTCCAGAAGGGGGCAATTTTTAGAAGATAGAGAGTAGTGTGGAAGCAGTGGCTGAATAATATATTCAAAACTTGTCGATCAATATTTTACCCAATTTGGCAATCGATTCGCAAGCCCTTGATTGGCCTCCGGCATCCGGTGTGCTTTGATCCCCCGAAATCCGGGCACGCCTGAGATCCTTCGACGGAGTTCGTATGCATAGCGATTGGCTCTTGTGAGGCTGGAAAGCTTCTTATCATGCTAAGCTCCAAATGACAGCTGAGGCGACCAGCTGAACATTCATGGGCGGTGGGGGGGGGGGCAATCCACTATAAATATAAGGTACGTAGTCTGGCTGTGCCTTTCCTTGATTTTCAATTAGATATATACTACGAAAGATTCTGCTTAATAATCGACTATGCCCGAGCCCACTAAATCCTCGCCTGGCGAATACGTGCTTATTCGCAGCAATGTCGAGAGCGAGAGGTAAACTACCCCCCTGAAGACTAAATGAAATCTAACAGACCTAGACTAGAAAGACAATTCAAGGCCTGGCAAGCCAACATCGGCTATCTCATGCACCCCGCCATTGCACAGCACGACCACATGCGTATTGCAGACGTCGGGACTGGAACAGGGTATGTCCACTGCACCTCTTATCTTGTCTTACCCAACATTCAGATCATATAACTGATACATCTAAAGCATCTGGCTACGCGAAGTCGCAAAAGCCCTCCCTAGCAGCCACCTCGACGGCTTCGACCTGTCAGACTCAATGTTCAGTAGAGACCATCTACCAGGAAACATCCACTTCCACCACCAGAACTTCCTAGAGCCCTTCCCTGAAGAGTTCCTTGGGAAATACGACGTTGTCAATGTACGCGTTATGGTGCTCGCGCTGTCTTCGGATGAATGGGGCCCTGCTGTGCGGAATCTGATGACTCTGCTTCGTGAGTATAACGCATATCTCGAGATATACTGCCTTGTTGATAACGTTTAGGACCTGGTGGGTATCTCCAGTGGGTTGACTGCGCCGCCCATGACTGCGTAGTGAAGGCACCGGACGGGGTGAATCCTACGCATGCCCGGCGTTATATGGAGATATTCCGTACGGGCATGATCGCTGTTGGAAAGACGCCAAAGTAAGTACACGTACACACTTTTTACCCCGAAGCCCTTCTAATACTAGGTCTAGTGTAGGCGCGCTGAAGGGGATCTTCCAGAAAAGCGGACTCGCAGACTGCGAAGAACAGGTCTATCCTCTGGTTAATACAGAAGTGCGTGGGGATGTCAATGCCACGGTGGTTAACGGGATTACGCACTTTTTGCTTGCGGCGTTGAAACTTGGTAAGGGACTGGTGAGTTTGGAGGAGGTCATGGCTTTGCGACAGGCTGCGCTGGCTGATTGTGATCTTGGTTGTTATTATTGTTATGATGTCCATGTGGTTGTTGGGAGGAGATAGATATCTGGCTGCCTAGAACATAATGGTTTATTCTTTACAGGTAGACACGCTAGCCGGATTGAGCAACCACATCGTAGCTGAACAATTGAGGCCCACCTGATTGTGACGGTGGTCCAATCACACAATTCCCTCAGTCTAGTTGGTTTCCCCATTGAGCTTAATTCTTTTAGGGCAGGCTTAGCATTCACAGCCCCATCCTGCACTTTGTGGTATAAGAGGCTGCACCCCCAGACTTAAGGTTGCTTAATGCTGCATTCTCGTTCTATTACTTTCTAAAATGACCCGTTCACAAGGCCCAATCGGCAAACTCGCCCAAGGCGTCGTCACCGGGATTGGCTTTGCTTCCGAAGTGCGAGGCTATAAAAAAGCAAAGAAGGCAGCTAAGCTGGAGAATGAGCTGCACGAAGAGCAACCAGAAAGTGCATCCTCTACTCGGTCTCTGTCATCATCCTCGAAATCTCACGAAGCAGAAAGGGACACCGACATCGATACAGAGGACCCGCCTGCCTATGAAGAAATCGAGCGCTCATGGGAGCTAGACGAGGCACAGGACATCGTGATAGAGGCGAAAAAGCCTCGGAAAAGCAAAGACGGAGTCGCCAACCCAGATAAAGTCATTGCTGCATTCCTGCAACGACACCCTTCCTGCAGCCCATCATCGTCAATGACAGGTCCTGGGTCCAGCCTTGAATACCCCGTTGCAGTCCCACAGCGCCGGCCAAAGGATAAGAAGCGTGGGTTCATCCGCGCCTATGCACCGGACCTGCAAAACGTCGGCATCGACCAGGAGACCTGGTTTGATTTTATCGAAACACTCAATGAGGCGAGTCTTGCCAATCCGTGGATCAATGCTCTCAATCTGGCGTCGCTGGCGGCTTCACCGTTACCCTCTGCGATTTCCATGGCTGTTTCAACGGCCATCATGGTTGCCACTACTATTACTATTGAAACGCAGGGTCGATATCGGTGAGACTACCCTTCTAAATCTAATACGGATAATGAAGTATGCTGAGATAATTACAGACAAAATAAAGCTCTTGATAAACTCAACGACGAATTCTTTCGTCCCCGTGGGCTGTTCTGCCTTGTCATGACATGGGACAGCACATCGTTCGACTCTCGAACAAACGCCAATGTCAACACTACCATTCAAAACACAATTGATAGCCAAGGCAGGATATCGCACAAGTTCCAATCTTCCAACGGGGTTACAAATGGAATGGAGTCTATACAAACAGCCCAGCTCATCTTTCCAGGCCTAGACCTTCTCGCCACAGTCTCAAATGACGAAGAAAAAGGTCTCAAGAAAAAAATACAGCGCGGCAAACTTTTCGTCGACGATTATATGGATCGAAGAGCACAGGCGAAATTCGTACGTATCTCCAGACTCCAGCTCGTCAAGAATCACGTAGTTAACGCGCTAGCAGTTCGCCGAGAATCCAACCAGCCACCTCAACCAAGCCGGAAAACCGACGTTCCAATCCAAATACGCTGATCCAACGTACCAACTCGGAGGTGGTTTGCAGAATCGAGCCCAATCCCGTGGCTATGGCTATGGCTACGGCTCGAGGCGCGATATGCGAAGAGAGAGAGGACTTGGTGGTGGACCTCTCGGACTCATCGGCCTGGCTGTACAGACAATTGCAGACCGAGGCCAACAATCTACAAGCACCGCTCACGCTCCTTATGGTTCCAGCTCTGATTACGAGAGTGACAGGTACAGACGATACCAGGAATCGCCGTACCCTCAGCAAAGCGGGGTTAGAACTGAGAGGGGACTCAAGAACAAGCTTTTTAAATCGGTATGTTACTTAACTATACTATAGACAGCAACGATTGGTGCTGACATTGTATGCAGAAGGTTCTCTATTTGATGGTTGTCAATATGCCTACGGCGGAGGAGATGGCTGAGGCACGGCATTTGACTGCTGGTTGGGATGTTCAAACGGAGCAGCACCGGTTTTAGAAGTAATAAGTACTATATTGCGTTGTAATGTTTCTTGTTAATTCAGACGTTATCTGAGACGCTGCCTTTATATTAAGGTATAGACATCTACTGGGATGACCTTTTCCGATTGTGTATTTAAAAGACGCCACAGCTCTCAGAGCAATGAATTGTAACGTAAGCTATGCTAGATTCATAGCGAAGGTACATGGAAATTACAGCTCCACAACCAATTTCGTAGCACTAACCCCAGCCTTGCACTTCTTCAGCGCCTCATCAACACTCTCAAGCCCCTTCCCCACAACGGTCGGGCGCGGAAGACACTGGATCCTACCACTCTCCAGCGCAGGCGTCACAAAGTCCTCCCAAACCGGAGTCGCAATATCATTGACCGCAAAGATCATACCGGCCTTGACGTTCTCCGGCACATCCGCAGGAGGAGGGTGCACAGCCGCCAGGTGTCCACCACCCAGCTTGTCCAGGATAATCAGGTCGTTGGCATACGTCTCGGGTGTAGCGACTGCGTCGAAGATTCCAACGAACTCGGCACCGATCTTTTGTACAGCGGCGATGACTTTCTCCGCAACGGCTGGGTCCTTGTGGTCAAAGACTTCAGTTGCACCGCAGCGCTTGCTAAAGTCGAAATTGTGTGCGCCGGCGACGGTAATCACGTTTATGCCTGCGGCTGTGGCGATCTGCGTTGTCATGGACCCGACGGAGGAAGAGCCACCGTAGATGACGATGGTCTTGCCGAGGGGTTTGATAGGGGTGTCGAGGGTGGGATACGGCAAGGCGAGGGCCGGGGTTGAGACGCCTGGCATGGCGACGCCGGGTTCCTTGAGGGAGAGCGCACAGACGGCTGTTTCAACGGCGAAGGGGACGACAACGCCATCAGTGAAAGAGATGGAGTCGGGAAGGATGGCGGCTTTGGTGGCGGGGATGACGGTGTAGTGGGCATAAGCACCATCCTGGGGGCGGCCGGTGACGAGGTTGATTGCGTGGCTGCAATAGCATCAGCTCAGGTTCAGTAAGTACAAGGTGAGGGCTTACCCAATTACACGATCGCCTTTCTTGAAGCGCTGGACATCAGGGCCAGTCTCGTGCACGATACCGGCGACGTCGCAGCCGAAGACGGAGGGCCACTGCTGGACGAAGACACCGACATCCTGCATGTGGGTGTCGAGCGGGTTGATGGCGACTGCGGCGTTCTTGACAACGATTTCGCCGGGGCCAGCGGTGGGCAGAGGAGCCTCACCGACTTCGAGAGGAGCTCCGGCCTTGGTGAGCCAGGCAGCTTGGTTGGTGATGGTCATTTTGGCTAGATTGAGTTGATGGAGTGGAAGATGATGAGTTGAGATTGAAGACGGAGATGAGTGTTAAATACATGAGGCAGTAGTTTATGTCAATAATCAAGAGTAGTAATAATAATCAGCTCAATAATCACTCAGTAATAATAATAATTAGATCAGAATAATAATGAATGGCAGGTGCAGTATACAGAACGGCATGTGCGATTCCAGAACAGCACAGCAGAATCACACATGCGGTTCCAGAGAACAGTACAAGCCATTTTGGAACGGCATATGCGGTTCTGAGTCAGCGGAAGTCTTGGCACCCCGCCGTGTCTTCATCAACAATCCATCTCCTCTCACTATCGAACATAAGCATACAGAAACATGCCCCCTGTGAGGTTCGGTCCCGGGCAGATCCTCGAATACAATGAGCGATACGGGGTGCTCATCTGCCACGAGTGCCAGTACGCCATCCAGAAGAGCGCCCTGCAGAGCCACCTGCTGCGACACAAGATCTATCGCGCCGATAGACAACAGCTGCTGTCGTTCATCTCAGAACTGAATATTCTGGAACCGGATCATGTTGTTCTCCCATCGCCGGAGTCACAGCCTATTGATGGCCTCCCTGTCATGTCGGGCTATCGCTGTACGGCGGCCGGCTGTGCCAACCTTTGTGCGAGTATAAAGCGCATGAAAGGGCATTGGAGAGAAAGTCATGGAATTATCGATACCTCGCTAGCTCGGCCGGCAAAATTGCAGACTTTCTTTCGCGGCACGAAGATTTCGTATTTCGAGGTTACTCCTGTTGATGCAGAATACGATGGGAGTGACAATGACGACGACAATGACAATGACGCTGATATGGAAGACATTGGTCATGTCGAACCATCACCAGTGCTCTCTCCAACACGTCTGGACTTGGAAACTTTGTCCTACTTTCATCATTTCACGTCCACGACAAACCTCACACTACCTAGCCGTCAAAGCACGCTCTCTGCAAACAAATACTGGCAACGAGTTGTTTCCGAGGCACTCTCCCGACAATATTTAATGTACGGGCTACTGGCGCTATCTGCCTGCCACCTGGCTGCATTTCCGGACAATCGAAAAGATGAACAACGTCATCGCACGCGAGCATCCGAGTTCTCGTCGGAATTCCGCACTGGCAGGGAAGAGACCACAGCCGACGTCAAAGAGATCGTCACACATATCGAATGTCTACTACGCTGTGCACACTGGGCTTTGGCAGAATCACCTTCCGACCAGCGCATCATGCCAGAGTCAGGCGTCCCCGATCAGCTACAGAGCATCATGACAACCATCCAAGCCTCCGTCACAGCCTCACAAGATCTCCCAGAAGAAACACCCGCATATTCCCTTCGACTCTTATCCTGGAACCCTTCCGATCCAGGTGGCCTTTCCCCAGGAAACAACATACCCGCTGAAATATGTGACCGTCTCCGCGCGCTCCCCTCTCACATGGCCGACACATTCGGCAGACCCGAGAACCCGCAGGACGTGTTATGCCTTCTATCAGCCGTGGCATCGCTAGTAGAATGCTGCGATATGAGCTTTTCATCCGACCAGCCGGGATCAGCGTGGTGGGGGATGGCGACATGGGTCAACAGACTGCCGGCCCGGTTTACCGATTTAGTTGCCAATCACGACCCGGCGGTCTTGGTGGTTGTTGCGCATTGGGCAGCCTTGCTGGTGAATCGGGCTGAGAATTGTGGCTGTTGGTGTGTTAGGGGGTTGGCGATGACGACGCTGCTTCGTATTGCTGAGAGGCTTCCTGCTGATGACGGGGGGGTGCAGCGGCTTATTGCGCTTACTGTTGCGAGATAGCCTTTCTACATTAATATCTAGATTATAAACAATTATAAACAATGATTCTCCCATTTATTTAATAAGTACAATCGGCAAACTGCATCGCCCCTGACTGATATATCACACGAGTAAGCATGTATACTCCGGTCCTTCAGTACACCATCACAATAAACAATTATAACATATACAAACCTCAGTCATAAATATAGCAATACCCATTCTTCGTCGGACTCATGGCATGTCCGATGGTGATATCCGGACTGAAATCAAACACCATCGTATCATTCAGCGTGGCATTCCGACTCGGTGGCACTATTCAGTCAGCTTCTAATGTAATAATGGAATAAGATAGAAACGTACAATCCAACAAAGTCATCGTCCCATCCAGCGCCTCTTCCCTGGTATCCAAATCCAACCCCTGCCACACCGTCCAAATACGATCTACCTGCGCATGATGAAACCAAAACAGCGGGTCCCCAGGCGACGTGAAGATATCATTATCCACGCCAGAAATAAAACTATGGCCGGCCAGATGCGGGCCCTGGAAGAACTTGGGATGGAACTCGTGGATATCTGTCACATTCACCAGCATATCCAGTATCACGTCCCAGGATGCAGACTCCTGCAGGAGGGAATTGTTGAAGTCCCGAATTAAAGGACGAGGGTTATATCCCAGGCCATCACTCTGTGGGTTCGGAGGGACGTGTACTCCCTTGTCGTAGGAATACGCAACAGGTCCGAGATGCAGTGACCAGTTCGCAAAGGGTCCGTCGTGGATATATCCACCTCCTGTGCCTGGGGGTGTAAAGATCGCCTTTTCAGGCGTGGGGTCTGGGATGGGGAATAACTGGATTGTCCCATTCCTACCAGGGATATACCGTCCGTTCCCAGACATCGAGGTATGCGAGCCATCGTAGAGTGGGTTGGACTTGACAGGTTTATTCGCCCAGTGTGACCATTCCCAGTATGGCTGGTGCCCCGTGTAGCCGCATTCTTCGCGGAGGGCTTTCTCGTAGAGGTGGACGAAGTGCCGGTGCCAGGCGAAGAAGAGGCCTGTGGCGTGGATGGTGCGGGTGTGTAGGATGTGCGTTGCCTGGAAGTCGTCGAACCGGGTGCGCGCGCCGGGGGCAAGCTTGGGATCTATTATTGAAGGGCGTTTAGCCAGGCATTTCACTGCGTTGATGTATGATTGTCTTGTTTTGGTGTCGAGGGTGCTCCTAATGCATAATTAGCAACATGATTAGCAGGTGATATGCATGGATAGGGGGATACGTACCACTCTTTGCGCACGACAAGCTTGTCCGGTGTACAGGGGCCTTGGCTGGGGAGATGAGACTTGGTATTCTTCTGATAGTCATGCACAAGCTTTTTCATCAGCGCTTGGTTTGCATGTGCCTGCGCGAATAGCAGGAGCAGAGTGACTATTGTCGCGATGAGGTTTGAACGGAGCATGGTGAACGATTGTATTGATATCTATCTAACCACTTGAGAGATATAAGTCAATTTATACATACAATCTCGCCCCCAATGCCTCAAATCGGCATCACAACGCCATATCAACTACACGAAGGCTGAACATGTCTCAGCCATGCTACATCGTATCTTCCTGTTTGGGACAGTGGATCGTTCGCCCTGATGCCCGGAGTACGAAGGAGTATACAAATCTGTCTATTTTTATCGATTCGCCTAGCTTTCCCCATGAGAAACTGCTGGTCAGAGTATATAAATGGAGCATCGTCGGCTCGTATGTCTGAGATATTCAGCCAAACCAAAGCCACCAAAATAGCCAGCAAGATGACTCCGCCACTCCTCGCCCTCGAAGAGCACTTCTACTCAAACGCCATCTTCAACTCCATTGGCGAAACCTTCCGGCAAACCCTGCAAGGCGTGCCCGGGCTCGCCCACCAGCTCAGAGACTTCGGAGACGCCCGAATCGACGCCATGGATCAGGGCAACATCTCATTCCAAATCGTTTCGCACGCATTTACTCCGGGTTCGTATCCACTAATTCCTTCATACCAATCATACCTCCCTAACCACACGTGGATCTGCACCTACACGAGCTGGGCTGACAACGTGGCCATCGGCCGATAACCCGCAGGAGGCCCCAGCGTTGCAGCCTGTCAGACAGGCAACGACGAACTGGCGAGCAAAATCGCGCAAAGCAGCTCCCCGAACCGATTCGCAGCCTTTGCAGTGCTTCCTGTTTCCGATCCTGCGGCCTCGGCGGCCGAGCTGGAGCGCAGCGTCTCGGCTCTCGGATTCGTCGGTGCCCTAATCGACAACCACGCTGACGGGAAATACTTTGACGGGCCCGATTATGACGTCTTATGGGCACAGGCCTGTGCTCTTGACGTGCCTATCTATTTACATCCGACTTGGCCCTCGGCGCGCATGGCCGAGAATTTCATGGGCTCGTATCCTGTCCCTGTGGGTATTAGTCTGGGGGGCCCGGGCTGGGGCTGGCACGGCGATGTCGGGCTGCATGTGCTGAAGCTATTCGCGGCGGGCGTGTTCGATCGGTTCCCGAGGTTAAAGATTATTATTGGGCATATGGGTGAGACACTGCCGTTTATGCTGGAGCGGGTGAGTGATATGAGTACGCGCTGGGGTGGATGGGGAGCCAGAGAGAGGCCGCTGCGCCAGGTCTGGGATGAGAACATCTGGATTACCACTTCTGGAAGCTGGAGCCTGGCTCCACTCAAGTGCGTATTGCATAATACGAAAGTGGAGCGCATTATGTATAGCGTGGACTATCCGTTTGAGTCTAATGAGAGAGGGCTGCAGTGGTTTAGGGAGCTGGAGGACAGTGGGCTGTTGACGGAGGAGCAGCTGGAGATGGTGGCATATCGCAATGCTGAGAAGCTGCTGCAAGTTAAGGTGTAGAGCTCATGTATCTATTGTCTATCTATTCTATTTTCAAGAATGCAGCATTCCCATCTAGCACTCTTCGCACACTCTCCTGGTCGTCCTCATTCGGTAGATCAACTCTAGGCTTCAGTCCCCGATTCAACATAACAAAAGCCATGCATCGATACGGTCTTGGATATTTCTGTATCTCCTCCGGCATATGCAACGAAGCATCTAGACCCGGAAAGGCGCAAACGAGCCGGTCTCGGACATAGATGGCCTCCAGTCGGACGATGCGCCAGTCAAGATCGGACAGTTTCTGCAGCCGGTGCAGGAGCCGCATGTACGACGCCAGCTCATATTCTACGCCGTCTAGCGTAATCGAGCTGGTAATCAGACAGAACGCCGAGCTGGTGGCGCGGTACTCGCTGACTTTGATATCCACCGGGTCGAAGGAGGAATGGATTACGTTGACTTTGCCTGGATGGACTGTGGATGAACGGGCTAGGAAGGCGTCGATATTCCCTTGGAACCTGTTCAATTAGCCTCTGACTAGGGTATGATTAGAGACATACCAGGAGACGTCAATGTAGGTTTGTTCAGCATCTGGATGGAAGGCTGCCCGGCATAGATCCCACTGGGCTGTGTCACGGTGGTAGCGTTCACGCTTGAGCAGAGCGATAATATCGGAAGCATCCGTATCAGCCATTTGAAGTGGATTAATGGAGTATCAGAGGATTACTGCGGCTGAAGGGGCGCAGGCCAGACGGTTCTTATCAGTCTGACTCTCACATAATTCCATCTCATCATATTGTGTGACCCGGTAAGAGGCCGAGCATCTGGACCCAGAGTATACATCGGGCACCGCTGATTTCTAAACGTCTCACCTTCAGAACATAAGGTTATGTTCTCTGAAGATTGGTAATACGCTTATTCTCACCTTTCCAAGGCCGAGACTTGCCAGGGTGGCCCTGGTCTTGACGCCAGTAAGCACCAAGGATGAGGCTCTATCTTGCATACTCGACCTCACCGTAGCTTCTCGGCCCTAGATTCAAAGTTTCGTCAGAGTTTGCATACTCTGACTCTGTCTGCGATGGCGGAATATGCTTCGAAAATGGCTATGCCAGTGCCTGGCCGGTGACGATGAGCTGAAGGATTGCCCAGAGTTTATCTGATATAAACGAATACGATATAGAGAGTATATAGCATCGACGAGCCCAGTCTTCAAAAGCCATCTCGTAGAGGAAGCAGCCTTGTCTATAGAATTTCCAAACCTCTTCTTTAAAATGTCTCCTACGCACGTCCTCCTCTTCCCCCACGAGCGAGCCACCCTCGCAGCCGTGCACGACCTGAACGTGCGCTCCAAGTCGCGTCGCAGACTGCAGGCCCTCCTTACTGACACGTCAACGGTGGTACAACGCCATACGGCTTCGCTGGATGGACTTGAGCGGGCTAGAATTGGCCCGTTCGAGGACCTCGTGGAGCTCGCTGAGCGACATGCCACTCACAAGGGTAGTATAGTCGCTGACTTGGTGCTCTTGACCACGGTGCAAATAGGTCAGCTACTTGTGTATGTATCTTTGTCTGGATTGTCCCGTTCCATACTAACTATCACAGTCTGGCGGAAGACCAACCGGCCATCTTGTCAGATAATAGGGTACCGCTGGCATTTGGCGCTGGATTGCTGGCAGCAGGGGTTGCCGTTGCTGCTTCAACGGTAGATGAGATCGTCACCTTGGGTCTGGAGGCTGTATCGACTGCCTTTCGTCTAGGGCTTGCTCTCCAGCGCAGGGGGAAAAACATTGAAGACTCGAACGAACCATGGGCGCGAGTGGTGTCCAGCACCATCAGCGTTGCTGACTTGGAGCAAACACTTGAGCGGTTCAATTCTTCAATAAGTCCAATGAACCGAGCCTATATCGGTCAGGTATTGACAGAGAGTACTGTGGTCTTTGGGCCTCCATCTACATTGGATGCCTTTGCAGAAACACTGGAGATTGCTGCTGCAATTACTTCAACGCCAGTACTGGATACGGTCCCTATGCATGGGTCTCATTTGCCTACTGTCGATGCTGCAGGCATTCTGGCAGATTCAGTGAACGGCAGAGCGAGGGAGCTCTGGAAGCTTGCCGTGGACCAGGTTGCCCACCAGCGCATCCATATCGAAGAGACAGTTGCAGGGCTCGTCAATCACCTGCAACCTAATGCAGCCATAATCCTTACCTCTATTGGCCCCGAGACATCCAACATCACAAGTCTCCTTGAAAGAAACTCGTTTATCGTCCAAACCAGCCAGCTCAGTCCAACCCCCAAACCCTACGGCGACAACCTCAACACCATCCCAGCAGACGCCATCGCAGTCGTCGGTATGTCCGGCCGCTTCCCAGACAGTGATACGCTCGACGAGTTCTGGAAACTGCTCGAGAGCGCCCAGACAACACACCAAGTCATACCTGAAAGCCGCTTCAGCGTGGACGACTTCTACGACCCAACCCGCGCAAAACACAACGCCCTCCTCGCCCGGTATGGCTGCTTCCTTAAGAACCCTGGTGACTTCGATCACAGGCTCTTCAACATCTCCCCGCGCGAGGCAATGCAGATGGACCCCGTACAACGCATGCTCCTTATGACTACCTACGAAGCACTCGAGATGGCCGGTTACTCCAGCCTTGACGGCGATCAGGCACCCCCCCGCATAGCCACATACTTTGGCCAGACAGTCGACGACTGGAAGAGCATCAACGAGCAGCAAGGCATCGACACGCACTTCCTGCCCGGTGTGAACCGCGGCTTTGCACCCGGCCGGCTATCGCATTTCTTTCAGTGGGCGGGTGGCTTTTATAGTATCGACACGGGCTGCTCGTCTAGTGCTACGGCACTTTGTCTTGCGCGGGATGCTTTGGCTGCTGGGAAGTATGATGCTGCCGTTGTTGGCGGTGGGACGTTGTTGACTGCGCCGGAGTGGTTTGCTGGGTTGAGTCAGGGCGGCTTTTTATCGCCGACTGGGGCCTGCAAGACATTCTCGGATAGTGCTGATGGGTATTGTCGGGGTGAGGGTGTTGGTGTTGTTGTTTTGAAGAGACTGTCTGATGCTATTCGCGCAAAGGATAATGTCGTTGCTGTTATTGCTGGCGCTTCTCGGAACTGCAATGCCGGTGCGGGCTCGATCACGTACCCAGGAGAACAGGCTCAAGGGACATTATACCGACGAGTGATGCGTCAGGCGGCGGTGCGCCCTGAGCAAGTTGACGTCGTGGAGATGCATGGCACTGGCACGCAGGCTGGGGATCGCGTTGAGATGCACGCTGTCCAGAGCGTCTTTGCGCCATCCAACGGGCCTAATCGCGAGAAACCGCTGGTTGTGGGCGCCTTGAAGGCAAATATCGGTCATAGCGAGGCAGCAGCTGGTATTATTTCTATGATGAAGGCCATTCTCGTGCTTCAGCATGACAAGATCCCAGCGCAGCCTAACCAGCCCATCAAGTTGAATCCGCACCTGGCACCACTGATCGGGAGCCAGATTCAACTTGCGAATGGACAGTCTTGGACGAGAAATGGGTCTGAGCCACGGTATATCTTCGTCAACAACTTTGATGCTGCTGGCGGGAATGTCAGTATGTTGTTGCAGGATCCTCCGGTGTTTGCCCTACCTGCGCCTTCGCAGTCTGATGCACGAACGCATCATGTCATTGTCACGTCTGGACGCACGGCCACGGCCCATGAAGCTAATAGAAAGCGTCTCGTTGAATACTTGAACGAGCACCCAGATATAAACCTATCTGACCTTGCCTACACGACTACCGCGCGCCGCATACACAATGTTCACCGCGACGCGTACGTGGTGTCGTCTACAGCCGAGCTGCTGCGCCAGCTACAAAAACCATTGACTGAGAAACAGGATTCTGCTCCACTTGCCGTTGTCTTTGCATTCACCGGCCAAGGTGCACAGAGTCTAGGCATGGGTGGTGTTCTATACAGCACCTCACCCACGTTCCGGCGCCTCCTAGACTCCCTACAGGACCTCTGCGATGCACAAGGCCTACCAACCAAATTCATAAATGCCATCCGCAGCACCTCAGATCAAACCCCCGTAACCGAAGTTGACATGCAGGTCGCCACCGTCGCCCTCGAAATCGCCCTGGCGCGATACTGGCAGTCCCTAGGAATACAACCGACAGTCCTAATCGGCCACAGTCTAGGCGAGTACGCCGCGCTCTGCATTGCAGGGGTCCTCTCAGCCAGCGATACGCTAGCACTAGCCTTCAAACGCGCCTCGCTCATTTTCACCCGCTGTCCTCCCTCCGAGGCTGGAATGCTAGCTGTCGCTCTACCCATGCGCACGGTGCAGTACAGAATCCGCGACTCCGCCGCGACAGCAGGGTGCGAGGTGTGTTGTGTCAATGGGCCCTCGAGTACTGTTGTCGGTGGACCTGTTGCTGCTATCGAAGCTCTGGATGAGTATCTCAAGTCAGAGGATGGGGGGAAGGTCTCGACGACTCGTTTGCGCGTGCAGCATGCATTCCATACCCGCCAGATGGACGTCCTGCTTGACGAGCTTGAGGGTGCTGCTGCTCAAGTGTCTTTCCGTGCGCCAACTTTTCCGGTTGCTAGTACAGTGCTAGGTCGGATTGTGAAGCCCGGTGAGAGGGGTGTTTTCAACGCTGAGTACCTGCGCCGACATACCCGGGAGCCTGTGGCTTTCCTAGACGCTGTGCATGCTTGCGAGGCAGAGGGCCTTATTCCAGAGAAAGCATTTGCTGTTGAGATCGGGCCTCATCCGATTTGTATTGGTCTTATTGCTGCCTGTCTTGAGTCGACGCGTGTCAATGCCTGGCCGAGTCTGCGTCGTGGTGGTGATGACTGCCAGACTGTTTCTGGGGTCATGGCTGCTGCGTATAGGGCTCAGCTGCCGGTTTCTTGGACAGAGTTTCATAAGGATCATCTTGACTCTGTTAGTCTGATCAGTGACTTGCCGAGCTATGCGTTTGATTTGAAGACGTTCTGGCATTCGTATAAGTCTCCTGCTGCAGCCAGCACTGTTGCATCGTCCACTGTCGGACAGTCAAGGCTCGCATCTACCACACTGCATGCCGTGGAGGAGATGAGCAAGAAAGATGGAACCCTGTTTGGAAAGTTCACAGTCGACTTGTCAGATCCCAAGCTGGCCAGAGCCATCGGCGGCCATGTTGTCGACGAGTCGGCCATCTGCCCAGCGAGCATCTTCATTGATATGGCATACACTGCAGCAGCATATCTCGAGCAGGAGCAGCAAGGCAAGACTGCTTTGACAACGTACGAGCTGACAGGTCTCGAGATGCACAGTCCCCTCGTCCTACGAGATGACATGGATGTCCTCCCCCAGGTCTGGGTAGAAGCCGCGCTCGACACGAAGACGAATGTGGTTTCGATCCATTTCAAAGGACTAAAATCACCTAAGACAACGGCAGTTGAGTACGGATCAGCCGTGGTGCACCTCGCGCAGAATGATTCCTCAACTCGCCGCGAATGGTCTCGTATCCAGCCCCTGGTCAAGGCGCGCGTGCAGACGCTCAACAGCGCCATCCGCCCGCGCGAAGTCCACGCTTTAGACACATCGCTCTTCTATAAAGTCTTCTCGGAGATCGTGGACTATTCAACACCTTATCATGCTGTCCAGGAGGCTGTTATTGCTGCTGACTTCCGCGACGCTGCTGTTACTCTGCAACTCACACCCACTGCTGAGCATGGCAGCTTCATCAGCAGTCCCTTTGCGGTGGATGCGCTGGTCCATGTGGCTGGATTCCTGCTGAATGCCGACGTGCGCCGAGCAAAGAATGAAGTCCACATTGCGAATCATATTGGCTCGTTGCGTATCGTGGGTGATATCTCCTCGCCCGGGCCGTACCATGTCTACGCCACTGTCCGCGAGCAGGATTCCAAGACGGGCACCAGTTTGTGTGATGTGTATGCCACTGATAGCAGCAATAGCCTTGTTGCCATCTGCACAGATATCTGCTTCAAGAAGCTTGATCGGGACTTTTTTGCTTTGCTTACTGGTGCTACTCGGGGTCGCTCACCACGGCCAGCAGCCCCAGTTAGGGCTGTCCCTGCACCACGAGCAAAGCAGGCAATCCCTTCACCGAGCCCCAGTCCCAGCAGTAGCAGCGGTTCTTCTGGGGCAAATACCCCAGTCTCGAGACCAGACACTCCTGGGAGCGTATCAGACACAGTCGATCTCAGCGACGAGCTGCTGGAAGCCGTGGCGGAGCGAACGGGCGTCAGCGTGGACGAGATGAAAGGCGCCCCAGGAACAACCTTCACAGAGTTCGGCGTCGATTCGCAGATGGCCATTGCTATCCTGGCTAACTTCCAGCGCACGACCGCTGTGGAGCTGCCGGCGGCTTTCTTTACTAACTTCCCGACCCCGGCCGATGTACAGCAGGAACTAGGGTCACTCGCGGACTTTGAGGATGAGAGCCCTAAACCCAAGCCGTCAGACAGTGTCACTGTCAGTAAAAGCCAAAGTCCTGCATTAAGCAAGCATCTGCTGTCACTTGTTGCGGATGCACTGGGGCTCGAGGATAGCGACCTCACGCCGTCGACGACCTTTGACTCGGTGGGTATGGACTCGATGCTCAGTATCAAGATCACCGCGGCTTTCCAGAACGAGACCGGTGTCGAGCTTCCTGCTGCCTTTTTTACCCAGAATCCCACGGTAGGCAGTGCACAGGAAGCCTTGGATGAAGATGACACAGACACTCCCGCTCCCGCTCCTGCTGCTGCTGCTGCTGCTGCTCCTGCGCCAGCAAAACCAACAAAAATCGACTCTCGCCAGCAAAAACTCTCCTCCGCTGTCTCTCGTGCAGTCCTCATCCAAGGAAAGTCGCGGTCCCAATCCGCCCCCCTATTCCTCACCACCGACGGCTCCGGCACCGTCGAGTCCTACATCCACCTGAAAGCCCTCCCAGCCGGCCGACGCATTTACGCCCTAGAATCCCCCTTCCTCGAACACCCGGAAGCATTTGACCTCTCCATCGAAGAAATGGCAAGCATATTCCTGCGCACCATCCGCCGCATCCAGCCCACAGGGCCCTACCTCATCGGCGGCTGGTCCGCGGGGTCCATGTACGCATACGAAGTCGCCCACCGACTCACCAGGGAAGGAGAGTCCATCGACGCCCTGATTATCCTGGATATGCGCGCGCCCTCGCTCATCCCCACCTCCATCGTGACGACGGACTTTGTGAATAAACTCGGCACCTTCGAGGGGATTAACCGCGCGCGAGACCTGCCGGAGGATCTATCGGTGAAGGAACGGGAGCATCTAATGGCAACATGTCGGGCGTTGTCTGCGTATGATGCGCCTGCGTTTGCGGCAGGTCGTGAGCCGAAACATGTTGCCGTGGTGTGGGCGCGCGAGGGCCTGGATAATAGGCCTGATGCGCCTGTTGCGGCGATGGAGCGGCCCGGGGTGGATATTGGGAAGACGCTGTATGAGATGAACCTGGATGAGTTTGAGCGGTACTTTAACTCGTGGTTCTATGGGCGGCGGGAGACGTTTGGGATGAATGGGTGGGAAACGCTTGTTGGCGAGGGGATTTCGGTTCATACGGTGAATGGAGGTGAGTTCTTTCCTGCTGTTCTGCTGTTCTGTGCTGACTGTTTAGACCACTTCTCGATGATGTGCCCGCCGTTTGCGGATGAGGTTGGGGCTGTTGTTGTTGAGACTGTCAGGCGGGCTGTGGAATAGATTGTTATAGATATATAGACTGTTATAATGAATAACTGCCACTGATGTTAATCGGATTCCCGCCTGATCTTCCCGAGACCCGTAGATTGATCTGTAGTACGTACTAAATGACGAGGGTATTAATATAAGCTCTGACAGTACCAGTACAAAATTAATTAGAATTAATAACAGTTGCAGTTGTTTATCCAGTAACCATGGCTCGACTTGTCATGCCACTGATTTTAACGTTTGTGGAAACAAGGTAGATGAACCGGTGGCATCAGGGGGAAGAAAGCTTGATATGACTCAGATATCCAGGAACGAGCATAAATACGCTGTCATACTTTAATTCTTTCTTTCCCCTTCACATCTCACAACTATTCTCCAAGATGCTGGGAACACACATCGAAAAAGTACTCCGATATTTCGGAAGCACTGACAGCCAAATCTATCGTTTAAGACAACGATGGGGCTATTTCCTCATCCGCACCCTCCCAAATGCAGTATATGCACGCACCTGGGAGTTTATCAACTGGCATGATAACCAAAGCCGAACAGCACATGCGATTTTACAGCGCATGCGCCAGCTTAGCCAAGAAGGTGGTGAAGAGGTCTACATGTATAACCTGCACCCGGATATTCCCTCAAAACCAATATCTACGGACGAGAACAGAACAAGGCAAGCCCTTCGCAGGCTTCGTATTATGCTGCTCAATATCCGGGTACAGCTACGGGAAAGCGTGAACAGGGAACCTGATAGTGCTGCGATGTGGATACGTAACAACGTCTGGAGAGCCTATCATTACAAGGACGGTCGGACTAATCTTTGGAAGCATCAACGTCAGGGCTGTGCTGAGAGAGGTGGATGTTGTGGAAGGACATGTGGTTGCTGTGAGAAAGTCCTTGATGAGTATTGGATCCGGAACTACGGCAGAGGGACAGGGCCGAAGGAGACAATGGTCCTGCACAAGGTGTATGCTCACTGCACATCCGAGTGTGCCTGCTGTGTGATCACTCGTGGCGTCTATGTGCCTGATCCACGCCTTCCTAGTCCTGACTTTGTTGCTGGAGGAAGGAGCTCCTCATAGTAGTGTTTGTTTATCTTAAAACCAGAGTTTGTCCACGGTCCGTTGGAAGTTTTTCTTTCTCTCTCCTTAGCTAGTACTATTGTTACCACTATAGTTCAGATATGGCACCTATTGATATCTCAACCCTCCACATCGACGGCTCCTCGGAGCTCTCCTTCTCATTCTCCCTCTCCACCGGCACGGTGACTCTCGGGTTCGGCGCCCTCTTCCTCTGCGCGCCGCTGACGGTAGTGCCTATCCTGTGGGCAGTAAACTATTACTGCGCCACAGGACGGTAAATGAAGATCCTGGCTCTTTTATATTCGGATACTGCTGACACGCCCCATAGCTACCGTCGCGCCCAGGCAGAGGGGGCGCCGCCCGCACCGCCTGGTGATCCTCACCAGGTGGTGGCAAACGACCCGGAAGCCACTGTGGCCGGAGAGGGAGAGTGAGAAGGAGAGTCTCCGGGGGGTCGTCGGTGTGGAGTACGTTCTCTATTATTACCCTTGTCAACCACATTTGGGTGCTAATGCCCTGGGAAAGGGAGAAAAAAAAAAAAAAAAAAAAAAGCCGTCTGCTCCATTCCGGTCTCCTGACCGGTCGACTATATCTATATGCTCGGAACGAACGCATGGATACAGCTTAGCATATCACCAAGATGCCACTTCCTACCGTACCAGCCGCCAAGTACAACGGTTAAACCTGCTATAGGCATACAACAAACGTTCCTGAGCTCGATACTCTTTTCATCAACTAGGGCTATGACCGCAAAACCTCCTCCACCAGGCTATCACTCCAAGACCACAAGTCTACAATTCTACAAGTCTATAAGACCACCACTCTAAGGCTATCACTCCACGGTCACTCCAAGACCGCCACAAAACTACAAACTCTCCGCCACCAGGCCATCACTACAAACCCACCATAGGAGCCATCGCCACCCTCAACCTGGCAATGTCACAGCCCGGGATCTCCCACTCAGGGCAAGCCTTTCCCAAACACGGGTCCCGCTGGGCAAAGAAATAACCCCAAAAAGCCCGTCTGCTCCATCCTGGGGCCTTGCCAAGGCTCCCATTTTGTGTCGAGGTTCTACACCGCTGCACCAAAGTCATGCATGTCTGGGGCCTTTTCAGCTGTTTCTCCCATTTTCTGTTCCCCACGTACAAGCCTGGGATCGGGTACTCTTTTTATCACGGACTGTGATGTCTAATGTAGGTGAGCAGAGCACCGTGTGGAAACAGCATTATACTAACTGTTAATAGCTACTTCCGTCCTACAACTTCGAACCATCCGATCGTCAGCGACTTCTTTTAATGAAATCTTGAGCCTGTGTTATATTTGGAAGGTGAATATACGGGATAATAAATAATAACGTCTCATTGAAAGGATCATGTCCCAAAGGCAGTAATGGATTTGATTTTTCTTGTTGCAACTGTGCAATCCTGTATATAATACTAAGAAGTCTGTCTCACTCACATATATTGCTCCGTAGAGTACCCATCTGGGGATATCGTAGCGGCCATGGCCAAGAGCAAAGGGGAAGATCTGTCTATATTGATGATCCCGGTGAAGGGGCAGCTCCTCACCTCCTCCGTCAATGTCAAAGTGGCAAGGTCAACATTCAACGTTTGCACAGTAAACGAAGTATTCACTATAGAGTCACACAAGGAAAGCTCGCTTGTTGCTAGCGTAGCAAATGGAAAGGTATAAATATGTCTTACGTTGCCGTGTTTAATGCGGAACCATGCACTCTTTTCTATATTGACCTTGTAGAGACCCTCCCACAAGATCTGAGAATGACACTTTACCCCAGCATTATGTTGCTGCCTTGAAGAAATCTTTTCCTTGGTCAGTTTGTGTCTTCCCACCACAGCTTCAACGCCACTGACTCAACTCAACACAATCAGGCACTTCACGTCCGAACCTCGACACCGCGGGCACCAGAAGCAACCAGAAAGATGATGATTCGTTCAAAGGTTCCTTCTGTAAATAATGTAAAAATAACTAAAATAAATAAATTATTATACTGTCTGAAGCAAAGCGGCAGAATTGTTGGAGATAGTTGGCTGACCACCAGCTGCGCATGGATTTTGATTAAGCCGTTAGACATCCTGGACTTATCGCACTAATTCAGGAACCATTTAGCCATTATCTCAACTGCCTGGATATCAGCGACCCCGTGGCAGGTTTCCCGCGGTGAGCTAATTCCTGGATGCCCACTGTGAGGGGGATAAATCTTATGTTGATCCTATCGGTATGACCCCACCAGCCATTGAACCAAACGATAATATCTTCTTAACGTATGACCGTGGACTAAAAAAGCCGAAGATACAAACAAAATCTGGCCAATCGCCGATGAAGTGACAGTCAATGTCACTTTGGTCTTGCTACTGGACGAACTGCAAACCTCATACAGGGCCCGTGGCAGCGATCTTCAATGGGAAGTGAGTTTATATCCTCGGCTATTTCTCTATACTTCATGGTCTGACAGTATTGGGAATCAGGCGCCTCCTTATCGCCCAGGATGGAGCAAGGCTTTACCTTATCTTTGCGGAAGCCGACGTCGGGTACTATGACTGCCTAGAGGTGGAACCGATTCGTACCTTGCCATGCATACCTACGGCCCCTGGCGCCTAGGTAATGGGCCTGATATGGCATCCCTCTGCGAGACCACCATGGCGACAATGCTAGTTTCGAGGAATGCGGCATATACGCTAGACCGCTAAGAACCGTGGCGGGCGTGACGTTGGGCCAATCCCGTCTTCGTGGTTGTGAGAGATTTGAGGCAGTCAGGTTGAAGTCTCTGATGAGATACTATTGTCTATCTATAGCCAAATGCTTATGGAAAACCGTAGCAATCAGTGTTCCCAACAAGATTGCTGAAACTGGGGGATAATTAGTGAGCGGTGGTTGTCGAAGCTTTCTAATGGTTTGCCTCAGGCCGCTTAGCGGTGTTACTATCACTCTGTCAAGGTTTGAGCTCTCTCCTCCTTTCCACTCCCCTCTATCAACATCCTTCAAGTACGAACCCTGCTCATCTCTGTAGGATGTCTCACGCTCTCGATAACCTTGTCAACTCACTACCAGTCCCTTTTGCGAAGTTCAGGATGACTAAAACAGCCAGCAAGGAGCATTGCTTAAACATGCTCGAGACTCAATATAATATTCTGCAAGAATGGCCGACACCTTCCATAAAAAAAGCAGATTTGAGAATAATCAGGTCAGAGGTGTTCGAAGACTCTGATTCAAGAGTGCCAACGCTCTTCCAACCATGGTCTCTGAAACAACTGTTGTCTTTCAAGTTTGATAGCTCAGACCCTAAAGTTGTTAACGATGTTGCGATATCTTATGAGAGTATTGATCACGGCTCTTACACATTGCAGAAAAACAGGTTTCCTCTCTATGCCCGCTTGAAGGTAATTCTTGAATGTTTCATCAGTGAGGTGCAGGCCTGGCCGCGAGAATCGCTCGATGAGACTCATACGCTTTCATTCTATACAGGATGGAAATTTCTCGAGTAAGAAATAGATCCAGGAGGCAATTAGCTTATTCACTGCTAATACCTCCTCTTGGCTTAGACTTTACACTCCAAAAATTAAGCTCGATATGCGTTGCGGTATTGACTGGGAGTGTCATGGCGGCTGGGTCAAACACGGTGGCGAACACCCGCATATCAAAGCAGCTATGCACACTGCCATCGATATACATGACGCGGACGAACTTCTAATAAGTGAGCTTCTTGTTATTCTTGGTATCATGATAGAGCGCATGAAAGATGAATCGCTGAAAAACCATATCGTTATTCCGGTAACATGAGTCTCTCCGCCCCGCTCCCTTCCCTTCCTTCCTTCATCCCTTTTTCTGTCGGAAATTGATAATAACCTTGGCTTTTATCTATAGGTAATGCTCTTTTCGCTTGTTGGTCCGCGGCATGGGAGGATCCTTACAGCATACTTTGACGAGCAGAATCTAGTAGTGAAAAAAACGCCGCTCCAATACTTCCCTGCTTCTCCTGACAGCGTTGCTATGCGTGAGTTTTTGCGTTACCAAGCTGGTGGGATCAATCTGTCTCTGGATACTACTCGGCTTCCGAAGCCAGTTAAAGGTGTCTCAGTGTCTATTTAGAATGGATTATGCCTGCGGATACTAGTTGGGCAGTATTAGTAGTCACTGTTGGCGAAATTCGGCCATGGTCGTGTGTCAAGTTTCTTCCAAAGTAGCCTGTAAATTCCATTACGTAGCCAGGTCCAGCCCAGTGTGCCAAACCATATATGTTAGATACTATGGCCCCTCCTACACCCCGCGGCATGGATCAGGCCATGGCATGGAGCTCACATACAAGTACATAATCGTTGCTGCCGAAATTAACCCAAGCACATTCTAGTAATACCCCGAAGAGAATATGATATCCGTGATTCAGACTACGTATTCAATAGTAGGTGACGCCATACCGAAAAAACTTTGATAGGGCCAAGTCCCAGCAGATTGGTGCCAGAGCGGATATGCGGGTAGATTACGTAGGTACCGTAGTGGGCCCATGTCAAGGTAAACAACCTTGAGGAAACTATCACCTCTGCATATCCTTGCACTCGTCAAAATGGCACCTTTCAGCCCAGTATTGTTCTGCGACCTTGAGCAAAACGCCCGTGAGGTCTTTGTCAGTCCGTTTTTATGGACCTCCCATCACTTCGATATTCTAGGGTGCCGATTTGAAGATGTCGGGATTCCCACTTCCAGCATAGAGCTCACACAAAGCAAATGCAACACAGAAGAAAACATCAAAATCCGCAAAGAACGAGAACTGGACACACAAAAGCTAGCAGAGAAAAGCCAGTGGCGCAGTAAGCCACGACTGTCTTCGCTCTATCCTTTTGGGTGAGGGGAGTGCATTTGCTACAAAACAGTAAGAGATGCTATTCAACATAATAGCTCGTCGCGGCTGACTGACTGACATTTTTCCCTGAATAGCATAGGATCCGGGTTCTTCTTCGCTGGTATTCGAGCCCATAGGCCATATTCCACAGTGTTTTATCGCCATGGCGACCCCAAAAACATATCTGTGAAGGCTCACCTCTTTTGGTGACGCATTTGTTCGAACGGGTATATTTATCTATACGACACCGAAATTACTGCCGAACTTCTCGGCGCTCTCGCCAAGCCAAAGTCTGCTATAAAACCTGTTATTAGGTGAATAAAGATCCCATACAAGCCTTACGATACCGTTTCTGATCGACTCAGCGCGGAGCTCGTGGCTCCTGGTCGTGGACACTCCGATCCAACACCCGTTCTGCCGGATAAACCAGCCCCAAACGACAACTTGAGCAGGAAAGCACTAGTCCACACAAGCTAAATCGAGTATTATAGGGAACCCGGAAACTACCGATCTCAGTCCCAGAAGATTTTGGCCTACACTTTGGTGATTCCACATGGAGATGCTATCCCACAACATACGCTTATACTTGGAGTTAATTTGGAAGCCTGGGCTTTTGGTCATGTCCAAGACAACAACATACTAACTCATGATTTTATGTTTATTCAACAGATTGCCCAGTCATATTTTCCACAAAGGCTGAAGATGGCTATTAACAGTCGTTAGCAAACCTTGCCCGCGCCTCTGCCATATTCCAAATGATTCTACAGTAGATAAACAACGCTCAAGATAACTCTCCACAGTGGTAGATCTCCGGCCTTCCAGTGGTTAGGTTTGTACACGCTGGTTTGACGCTTACAATGTGGCAGAATGCCTGACAACCTGGTAGACAGTAGGTAGTACAGCACGACGATGGCAGAAAAAGAGCTGAAAGAATGCGAAGCTAGCTCTTTATCAGAAATAATCACTGTTTCCCGTCGTGTGCAATTATCGAGAACTTATCTTGAATATCTACATCTATGCTATTCTCTTTACCTCCCACGTTATTTGCATACATGAGAACAAATTCGAATAATTAAACGTTCTCCAACTTCCCTAGGGTGATTTTTCTCTTGCAGGCGTCAAGACATTGTTAAGATCCCAAGCACAAAGCATAAATGTCCATGGCCTTCATGTCGAGTTAGAAAAGAACCTCCCAGTAAAGAAAACCCGATGTCTCTTACCCAGATTTAGCTGTGTTTCTATTTTTGGGTGATGTGCAGAAGCTCTCGTGTTCCCTGATCGGGCTAATCCCTGTCCTCGTTTACGAGCCTTGGTGTGTAGATCTCGTATTCCAACCCAAACAATGAGGTTGTTCATCCTTTCATGTCAACATGGTGTACAATACTGCAGGAGAGGATAACAAAGTTGGTGTAGATCTGGCCGTGCATTGCTGTTGATCTCACCGTTGGCGGACTAAAGCGATTGTCACGATCGGGGGTATTTAATATAGATCCGGGATGTAAATAAAGAATTTGACCATGGTCCGCAAACTGGAAGACACTGCTACCTAGGCAGGATATTAAGACACGAAGAGGTAAATGCTAGATGGAGAGATGGTGTGTTTCCAGAGTCCAGCGTGTCCTGCAGGTGAGTGTTGTCTGGCCGTCAAGGAGAACATCCCTCCATTCCCCTCCATCCACGTTCCTCCTCGCTCATTCCAACTTCCACCTCGTGTCAAATCCTCGTTTTCCCTTTCCGATCAGCTCGTCTTCGTATAAAATCCCCATCTCCCTCTCCAATTCCCTCCGTGAGCTGGATCTTCGAGATCCCTTCCCGATTTGTGTGTGTGTCACCGTAAAACCAAGCCAAGCACCCACAACGGGCGCTCTCTCCAACCTCGCCACAATCGTCCGTCGAATCCTACCCATCAAAAGAACCCTCGGTTCAGACGCTTTATTCGAAAAGCGGATCAGATCGACGTTGAGCTCAAAGTATAATCGTGGTTATCCGTGAAGATTACGAGAAGTTGTGTTACTGTGCTCAACGCTATGGCGCTTCCTCCGATCGCAAAGGCCACTTTGCAGGCTGCTTTGATCAGTGCCGGGTCAAACGTGCTTGCGCAAGGAATTACTTCTTATCGGAATGAGGTGGGTTAGCTTCTGGTCTTTTTACTTTTTCTTTGTCAATTTTCTTTTTTGGCCCTGTCTCTACAAAGTACGCTGTCCTGCACGAGGCATATTTTGGAGGGCCAAAAGAATACCGCTGTATGGAGGCGCAGCATCCGGCGCTGGCTGACTGCACCAACAACGATCAACATGCTGACGCCCCTCGGCTTCCCTTCTATGGACGGAGTGCCAACAGTCCAAACTGGTGCTCCAACATAGTAGAGAAGCCGAGATATACGTCTAGACGCCCTTTGAGCTTGACTCCCAAGCGCTGTTCCAATTCACGACTAGCGCGCTCATCTTGTCGCCATTGACTTTTCTCTGGCTTGAGACTCTCGAGTCTCGATTCCCCGGGTTTGAGCAGAACGAACCTAAACCGGGAACAGAGAAAGGCAAGGCGAATGTGAATGTGAATGAAAAAGAGGAGCAGACGCCAAAGCTCAATGTTAAGAACACTGTGGCAAAAATCGTGGTCGATCAGGTTGTCGGCGGCGCATGGAACACTGTCGCATTCATCGCGACAATAGGCCTCTTACGGGGCTACGACTATGAAGTCATCAAGGATGAAATAACAAATGTAGGCAATCCACTTTCCCAAGTTATCCGTCTCGACGTCTCCTGACGTCTCCTTACTCCTCCACTATTGATTATTGAGCCCATGCTTCCCGCTTGGCCCATCGGCCCTTTCCTTAGCTCGCTGATCGGATGAGTCCAATAACGCTATACGCGGGTTCCCGGCCCCAATGCAATGCACCCATGATATCAGGGCTGACTGTGCTTATCACTCAGAATTTCTGGCCATTTATGCTTGCCGGTCTCAAGCTCTGGCCGTTTGTTTCGGTCCTGAACTTCACCGTGGTCCCCGCTAGCCAACGTCTCCTTGTTGGGAATCTATTCGGTGTCGTCTGGGGTGTCTATCTCAGTCTTATGGCAGCATAAATGTGTTCTGCGAGCCAATGAGCGTCTAGAACGATTACAACACAATAGACAACTGATTTTGATACTCGGGAAATGACGCTTTCCTTCAGTAGTGGCCACGTGCAGTGAGTAGTGACCCGAGGAATGTCGAATAGAAGAATGGGGACTGTCCTCATGCTCGTGAATCGCGTGCACAGCGCTAGCAGATCTTCGGGCCAAGTTTTAAGAGTAGAGTTACGCTTCGCTTAAGGTTGACGTATGGGGGAGATTATATGTCCCGATGCTCGACGAAGAAAGTGCTGAGGGTCTCGAGAGTAAGTCCGAATGATATTCCGGAGGAAACTTTCCTCAGTCAGACCGCGCCGGCGGACCGGGTTCTTGCGCAAATGCGGACTGAGCGGCCCCAGCATGATCATGCAGGGGCCAAGTTTCCTTGCATAGTCTCATTCCTGAAGTGCGAGGAATAGCGCGGCCATACTCCATACTGTGTGTGGCAGTCCCGGTGGAACGCCCGATGGAATGAATCAAGAATCATGGAGCAAATCGCGCGGACGAAATTCGGGGGCCATTTAAACATTCGAGAACAGAGTCAATCCGACAACAATAACAACTTCAACGCTACCACAACATGATATTAAATAAACAAGTAACAAACAGAGGCAACAAGAGTCTGGCCAAACAAGACCAGAGCACTGGCATTGTGAATAACGATGAACCATGGGTGAGCTGACATTGACACAGCCCCAGGCGGGCAGGCCACGGGTTGATCCACCATACCAGAGCCACCGGCACTAACCCCAGTCAGTTATTTTGGGCGCCGATTCTCGCACTAAGGACCCTCAGCCTTAGTGGACTGGATCGAGTTTAGACTCCCTGTGGCCAGCCTACCAGGAGATACGAGCCGGCACTGCGAAGACTGCGCCGGAATGTCGATCTCAGCGAGGTGCCCGCCCTGATAGGAGGGAGCGTGTGCAGGGTTACGCTCTGCCGTATCCAAAAAAAGACTCGAGGTGAAGACCTTAGTAAGGAAGCTTTTCATGGTTCACTAAGTTATATGTGAAAAACGAAGGGTGCATTTTGAGGTAGTGAATGGTGTTGGTTATCTGTCCTCAGATTATATTAATATTACCATCGACCGTCGCCCGCGCTTGTGCCGCAACAAAAAACCGACCCCATTTTGACTGTTACTTTACGATTTTAAGTCCATATTACTCCGGCAGGGATCCGCAAACCGTTTAAGTGGCAGTGGTCGTGAACCTCGACTGATTGGATTGGCCCCAGCCCTGGCTGACTTGGGTGGTTCTAATTACGCTGGGTCCCGATAATCTTGTTCATCCTACTTAGAGTAGAGCAAGCCTGCCTCGGGCTTTCTTCTACTAATACTCCAGGAATCCTGCGAGAGTTGGCTACCCACTGTCAAACGCCCTCATACCCCAATCCCTCTACTCCGAATTTGAGGGTAGCTTGGTATACAACATACACCTTCGCAGCAAAACGCAACTCAGGATCTAGTTCGCTCTCGCGGTCTTTGTGTCACCTTTGTCCCTGTCTTGTTCGATTGATTCGACAAAGGAAACACCGGTTTGCTTTCACTTGCTAGCTACCCTATTATTGGCACCGGCAGCCCTTTGGGCGAAAGTCTCAGACCAATAGTCGGCATTGTCCACCACGAGGTTCACCACAAAGAAGATCACCCGGCACTCGACATTGGAAACCATGGTCCCGGTACCTAGGCACTAAGTAGGGTAAAATTGATGCTTTGAAACGACCCTATATTCAAGGGAAAAAATAACCTGAAAGCCTCGTTCAGCATGCGTGCTACCCCTTCATCCATCCGTGCGTCATCACACGGGTCCGGCCTAGGTGCGATGAAGCAGAAACCAAACACCCCAGACAATGCGGAATGGAATATATCTGTTTCGCCCGACGGCTATGGCGAATTTGATGGCCAAAGACCTCCCTCCCAGACAGGAACACGCTGGACTCGCTTTTTCCCCGAAATTTCATCCCATTTCTCACTTGTATCGCCTGTGAGCTCGCGCCATCAATCTACCAGCTCTTACGAGACAACCATCAGCCAATATAGTCACATTAGTCGTCATAGTCGCCAGGGTTCTCACGACTTGGGAGGTATCTCTGAGCTAAAGACAGGATCATCTTCGCAAAGCTCCACCGACCTGGTCGATGACGCATCTTCGTGTTACAGTCGCAGATCATCTGTTACCAGTCTCGGTTCCGAGTTCTCGCCGTCTGCATACAAGTCTGCAGACTCCTACTCCATAATTTCCCCCGCAATGGCCGGCGTGTTCGACGACTCAGCATCCCTGTATCGCTCCGGGTCGACCCGGTCCAGGGCGTCCAGAAGGTCTAGAAAATCCATAAAACGCACTCCATCCACAAGGAACAAGCCTCTCCCATGCCCGCCCCCGATCCAAATGAAGCCCTTATCGATCCGGCACAAGCAAAAAACCCCACGCCAACACCAACCAACAATCCGCGAGGATACCCTGCGCGAGGACTCCGAATCATCATTGACAGTAAGCCCGAGGCCGCAGTCGCAGTTACACAAACAGCGCCGTCATCACCCAACCCTCTCGCAGGCCGCAGAGGAACTCGAAAGCGCACTCGCCGGTCTTACGGAACCGAGCGACGAAGGTGAGGTCGGAATATATTCGCCATATTCTTCGCCGTTGTCGGCGACAGCGACAGCATCGATGCCTCGTCTCGATGCCCCGCTACAGGTAAGCAGAGGTAATATGGACATGATTGCCACCCGCCCAGCACCGTCTCCGCCGACGAACCACCGCAAGAGCGACAGCAGTAGCGGTAGTTGCAGCAGTTGCAGCAAGAAATCGCCAAAACAGGGTTTGGTCTCAGCGCAGACAGACGAAACCATGAAACACGCTAAGAAGCCCCACAAGGACAAAGGCCGGGGTCCATTTTCTTTCACGGTGTCACTACCCAGCTTCGGCGCACTGAAGGCCAAGACCACAAAGAACCGAGGTGATGGTCACTTCCGGTCCCATCAGAGGTCAGTGAGCAGTTCCGAGCTTTTGCAGCGAGCGGGCCGACAGGAAGTACGCCCAACATCGGCAGGGCAAGCAGCAAAGGGAAATGAAGCGGTTGGGTCTGCCCAGCTGCTCAGTGTTCCCGTGCGTGCCCAGCGATCTGAGTCCGTCAGCAGCGAGCGAGAGCTGCGGTTGAAGTTGCCCCGCCTACAAACAAAGGAAATGCAGCCATCGGGCATGCTGTGCGCAGCACAGCCCTCAACCAAACCTGCCATTAATATCCCAGTTGCAGATGAAGCTCTCCAGGAAAAGGAAATAGTCCCACAGCCCCAACCGAGAAGGAGAAGCGAAACACTCTCGCTCAGCTCCGAAGGCACGATGCCCAACAACCAACCCACTGGGACGAGGACATCCGCGCCGATCGGACAGTACGAGATGCCTACTTTGACAACTACTCTTAATACGAACTCGGACCCGGTAGCCATATACGAGCTCGACGCCGGTCTTCCCGAACAACAAATCAAGTCGCCTGTTCCGCCTTCACCGTTCGTGCCCTCGGGCGAGATGCCCGGGACCTTGCCCGATGAGATCGTCGAGTTGATCCTGCGACGATGTAACGAGCTGCAGGACCTCTTCAACTTCGCCGTCATGAACCGGCAATTCTACCGCGTCTTCAAGAAGCGTGAGCTCGAGCTCATCCAGAATACTGTCTACGCAATGTCGCCGCCAGCCTGGGAGCTGCGCGAAATGAGCCCGCCCTGGGACTCCGAGTGGCAGGTCCTCTTCGATCTTGATGCCCCTGTTCCCGAGTACACACCGTCACTATACCTCGACCGCTACACCCGTGACCTGTACACACTTGTCAAGCTCAAGTCGCTCATCCTTGCGCGCTGCAGCACATTCCTCCGTCCAGAGACGATCAGCGGTCTAGCGGGCCAGGACGATACCCGGGCAGATGAGATTGACGATGCATTCTGGCGGGTCTGGACATTTTGCCGGATATTTGGGTGTGGTAAGGGCCGCGAGGGCGATATTGTCGGACAGCTGGATTGGTTGAGCGGCGGTATTACGGCGAAGAACAAACAATGCTCTATGGCGACGTCGATCAGCGAGCCGTTTGGTATTAACGATGTGCTGTTTGAGCCGCCTGAGGGATTTGGATTGGGTAACAAGGGTGGACTGTCGCAGGGCCAGCTTTATGATATGACCGAGATCTGGACCTGTCTGGGAGTCCTGCTTCAGCCGATTCATAGCAAATGCGAAGAGGCAAGGAAGGCAGGTGTATTCGATGGACATGATGTGGCGAGCAAGGATTCCGTCAAGGAGGAGGCAACGCTAGGTTTGTTTTCTGTGCCCATTGCGATGGACTTGGTACTAACATTGTATACAGAGGAGTGGACATCGTACGTCCTCACCCTAGGCCCCTCCGCTGTCCTCGCCCTGGCCTCCATCGCAACTGTCGACAACGCCGATGAGATCTTCCAACGAGCTCAGTCTCTTGGGCTAACAAAATGGGAGGAAGCTGATGCAAGCCGTTCCAGCTTCTTCCGAGAAGCTGTCTCGAAAGCATACAGACCTCAGTCATCGGCCCGCAAGTTGCATCCTCTCCAACAAACCGGATCAAATTCGTCCAGGTCATCAGCTGGAAGCAACCGCTCCCCGTCAGAGAATCTCTTTACTGGTGACCCTCAGCGACGAAGGCAAGCCGCCTACGCTATCCAACTCCGCAACCGTCGTAACCAGAATGGGGACCGTCCCAACCCCAGCGCGGAAGAACGCCCGATCTCCAGCTATGTCGAGATCATGAACCGCCTCGCGGGTGCACCCCCACACCCTCTCTACCAACAAGTCCCACCACTTCCAACCTCCACTCAAACCCCAGAACACACCCCATCACCTCAGCCCCGAGCCGCATCACCATCTCAACCCCGAGTTCAAACATCAGGAACACCCAACACCCAAGTTCCCCAGGCTCGCCCACCACGTGCAGCCGTCTCGCTCCTCCAACCTCAAGTCCTCGACCCCACCGACCAAGCCATGGACATCATTGTCAACGAGCTAGGCTTTAGCGCAGAAGACACAAAATGGGCGCTCAAAATCACAGACACGGGCGAAGGCATCAACGTGAATGCCGCAGTCTCACTGCTTCTGCAAGAGTATAACCGGCAAAGTCTGCTAGCCAGTGCGGGTTCGTCCGCTAACTCCAGCTATGGGAATGCGTATTCGCCCCTTTCGTCTGTTTATCAGGGCCAGCACTGTAATAGTATCTTGTCTTCTGTTATGCAGAGGCCAGATGCGACTGCTTCGGGGTGGAGGTGGGCTTGATTCTTACCTGCTCCACTCACTTCACTATGTTTCTATTATCCAACTAGACTGGACTACTTAGGCGTCCAGGATCCTTTTTTATGTTTATGTCTGTTTCTGATGCAAAAGCAGCTACGAGATTATGTTTTTGAAGTTTCATCTCTTGTCTTGTCGTTTCTCTGCTCTTGCTGCCATTCAGCCAGCCAGTCTCGAACGATCCAGCGGTCATTTCATTGTACAATTCGATACCCTAGAGTACATACGTTATTAGCTAGCATTCTCTTTGTGAAATATACAGAGTATATACATACAAAATTCAGTTCATATAAATATTTTTCCTCCATCACTAGTAGCTCTATGTGGGGAACAATTATTCCCTTGCGAGGAGGGCAGGTAGAAAAGAGAGGTCGGTAAATCAGTCATGTCATCCCAATTCCGATTTTGCGCGAACATCTCCGAGACAAGATCGGGGATAGAAGGAAGATAAGAAATACTAGAATAATAATATATGTTTTCCTTACAGGTCTGACGGAATAAAATCATTCTGAATTCTCCGGTTCTGGCATCGATGGGCGATACGCATGACTCGGGTGATAGAGACACGAAGGGCTCATCCTCAACACCAACGTACCCTACCTTGCATGTGTGTCGTCAACGGCGGCGAGGGTGTTAAATACAGCGGGAAGAGAGTTGACGATGCGTTCCAATATTTAATGATTAGGTTTATCCCATTTTCTTCATCGTCATATCTCCAGCCGTTCGCATGGCAGTACATGGCTTGGCAGAGCCGGCATGCCTGACAGGGCAGAGCAGCCACATTGCCCCGAAACAAGCTAGAAGTCTGCAAGGATAATCAGCATAATTCAATTCATAGATGCAATAACGTCGTTAAGTAACTTCGCTACTGTAGGACAGTTGAGCTAAATCGCGTTCCAGAGCTTCCATTCCTGCCAGAAACGCGTGGAGATGAGGAATTCGGCCTGTGCTTGTGATCTGTCACATTCGCTCCCTGCACCATATTGGGTTTCAGAGAAACTTCCAATCTCAGTGTCTCTCGGGCTGGACGGGAATGCGTTGTGGATTGGTGCCGATTGCTGGTGTGGGCGCGTTTACAGGCGATTATTTCCACTGAAATGTGACGTGTGGGACTGGAGTTGCGAATTTCGCGATCATGTCTTTTGGTGTTTATGCAAGGGGGCCTTGAACTGGAACATAGTCGAGGTTGGAAAATTGATCGACTTGCAGGGTTGAATGCTGTCGGTAGTTGGGCTCGAGATGGAGGAGTTGATGCTGAAGTGAGAACTGACTGCGTGTCGAGGTGACAACAGCAGCAGCAGCAGCACTCATCCCTTCGATCATCCATCCCATTGTCCATCCCATGAGCACCTCATCCATCAATCATCTATCACCGACCAAAAATCAAACGCCCTTCTCTCTCCCCTTCGCAGGGATGCAGGGATAGCGAGGGCCCCAATTGGCTGCCCGCAAATCGTCTCCTTGAAACAACCAAGTATGCCCGTTTGATAGCAGAAACCTACCTAACATGGCCCGATCTCTGTCGCTCCCATCTCTCGCCCTTCGCCAGTCTAGGCTCAATCAGTCTGAGCCGATTGCCGACCCGCAACTGATGGGGAGACACACTACATATGCAAGCTGGAGCCACTTCACTGTCCGCCCGTTATTGAAAATGACGCCTCACCCGCGTTTGGACCGAGCCCTGTCTTATCTGTATGCCTGAATCGAGTTGGGATTGACTGTTTTTTGAGAGGCTTTCTTCTCTGTGGACATCTTATTTCCTTCTCGCCTTTAACACTTCACGCTCTGTGTGTTTATCCCGACCAACTGCGTTGGTCTGCTGCGTGATGGATACAGACACAGAGTATAGTCACTTCCCGACAGTGTCGGGGGATAAGTGAGTGTTTTGATTTTTTTGCTGCAGCTTCATGCACCTGGGATGGTTACACTGGAACCTCAGGCTAATATACTGCTCTAACTAGGGACAGCAAATACCTCCTTCAGAACGACACGAAACAAGAGCTCGAGAAGGAAATTATCCTCAACACACCGAGTCGCCTCGAGGGGAAGACGCGCATACTACGTGCTTCGGACGTTCTTTTATCATTAGCTGGCAGGCCCACCACGATTGGTATACACCCACTACCACATGGGGCGGACGAAGCATGAATGTGTTTTGCCGGATTGGAGGAATAAACAAGCTGACATTGCTTCCTTGTACTTGGATATAGATCCTCGAGAACCATCGCCGGCAGTTGAGAACTTTGCTGAGGCTCTACGGCTGTTCCCTCCCTTTCGCGATGACGACGCGGCTACGCTAGGCGTACCGGAGGTGAAATGCCCTGATTGCGATGCCGTTTTTTCGTCTGCGTATGTGAACTGCCGTCGACCTTCATTTGGTCATTTGATATGCTCGGTGTAATTCTAACCAGGTATAGGACCGAGTTGAACCAGCACTACCTATCAAGATACTGCTCTGGCTCTGCTATCGCTGTATACGTGATGACGCGCGATCGGTATTTCGAACCCTCTATCCACGTCGGTCATTGTCAAAACTGACAGTGCAACGCAGTTTAATCACGAAGGGCTACCGCATGGAGAAACGACTTATACCGCTCGATTGTCGCCCGATCCGGTTCTTTTGCAATAGGTGCGAAAGGTCTTTTGCTGTGGATGATGAGCCGGCCGAGAGACAGCGAAGTACGGATTCTGTCTCTTCTGTTTTCTACTTTCATCATCCTAATCAAACTTTAGACACGGAATGTCTCGTGGACTGTACCCGTTGCGGATCAAAGTGTAACGTTCTGTCCGTTTATCTGAGTTGTGACCCACGTCAGTTTCCAAAATAGCCCTAACACTGCGTATGCAGATACGAGCCCGTCCTCAACGACCCGCGCGACGACACAAGCTACCGAGATCTTCAGAAAGAAATCGGAAATTCAACTCACAGCAGAAGCCCCAGCCTCGCTCAGAAGGGTTCCCTGCCGTCAAAGTATTCGATGACGGACTTTAATGGGGAACAGACTCTAGCGAAAAAGGCTAGGAGGTTACGTGATTCTTGGTCTTTTAGAAGTATATCCCCTGGCTCTAAACCCTACCCACGGGTTTTGACTTGCTGAAATAAATGGACCTTGCAACTGACAATATCCAGAGCTATCGCAGAGTGATGAGGAAGAGGTACTCGCCATTAGTTTTGCTGGACTATATGATCTGGAGAGGGGTGAGTCGGCCGACTTGGTCACTCAAAGTTTGCAAATCATAGCTAATATGCGCAGTGCATGCACCAAATGGCATATACCAGCCGGTCCCTGCAGGGACAGGGACAGACTCCGGACCAGGGACGATGCCATCGGACGCGAGCTTCTGCTCGACTGGTATGTCCACCTTTACCTGGCCTACCGATTTCGTGTATTCTTGTTCTGATTAAAAAACTTCAGGCCTCGGAGACAGCACCGTAATAGAACCCGGCAATACGGGCCTCTGTCAGGACGAAGAGAAACACCAAGCCAGCGACTTGGACAGCCCCGGTGGCGCACTCAGCGACAGCAGGAATGTCGTTCATGAGACTCCCAGGACCTCCAAGAGACAGTCCTTTTTCCAAAAGATATTTGGTCGCAAGATTCCGATGGGTACGTTACATTCGAGGTTTTTGCCTAGGCCAGTTGCAAATATACTGACCATGTATCCGGGTGTAGGCGGCATCTCCCGCTCGCGGTCCATAAACAAGGGCAAAAAACTCATGAAGCGAGCAAACACTATCCGCTTCTCTTTCGTCACCAAGAACCCCGGACGCGACAGCCGAACAGCGGCCAGAGACAGTGAGGGTACATCTGAGGAAGTCCTCGCGCAGGCGCCTGACGACAGCCATGACAACAGCAGCACGACGGTGCAAGACGCCGAGTACGTTGGGCTGCTGCGCGGGGCGCAGAACGTGTTCGTGCATATGCAGTACATCTCTGGCGGGGCGATTGTGCACGATGTGTCTGGTCGCCAGCGCATACTCCAGGTTGACGAGGTGGCGCGGGTATTCGTGCAGATGAAGGACGAGCTTTCGTCGACGGCTGCGTGGTCGCGGGCCTTGACTACGCGGTTGAGAGGGGAAGCGTTGATGAAGCAGGGGAATGCGCAGCAGGCAGTCGTGGAGTTACATGACGCGATGAAGGTCCTTGACGATACGCCCGGTCTTGATATTGAGAAGCAGACGCGCGCAGCGATACTGCATTCTATGGGCCTGGCATACCGGTGTTTGGACATCCCTGCCGAGGCGGAGGCTTGCTATCTTGAGGCTTTGGGTCTGTATAAACGGGTTCTGGGGCGTGACCATCCGAAGAACTTTGCTATTCTTCATGACCTAGGAGGCCTCTGTGAAAAGGATGGATATGCCACTGAGGCAGCAGCGCTGTATGAGCGATCATTCGCCGGTCGACTAAAAACTCTCGGGAACAACGCGCCAGAAACACTGAGCAGTATGCAGGATCTTGCATCCCTTAAGGTTCTCCTCGGTGATCTCGAATCCGCGCTCTTGCTTCTCGAAAAGGCCGTTCCGGCGCTGGACACCGTGTTCGGGATCCAGCACGCAACGACGCTGAACGCAATGAACAAACTTTCGCTGCTCTACACGAAGCTCGGACTCGAAAAAGAGGCCCGCACGATATGCGGCCGTACTATCCCACACTGCAGGACAGTCTTCGGTCTCAGCAACCCTGTCACCAGGGATACGGTCGTGCGCTATCTCCAAAGTACCGAGAACTTCGACTTCTCACCCGACATCAACGATATTCTCCACAGCTACAAGCTCTCCCGTGATGGAGACTGCCTGCGCGTAATCCACCGCTTGGGTCGGTCATACATGGATGCAGGCCTCAACCGGGACGCCGCGGCACTGTTCGAATCCCTAGTTGAGGACTTCCTTGCTGTTAAGGGTCCCGAGGCGCCCGAAACATTCGATGCGCTTAGCGCACTCTGTGTTTCCAGAGAGCATCTCGACGCAGTTGATAAGGCTATGCTTGCATACAGACAGCTTGTGCATATGGCCAAACGAACTCCAGAGCACCACCATTCGAGGAAACGCATCGGGTACGCGGAGAAGAGGATCTCCGAGCTTAGTCGCCGGAGGGAGTCCCTGGAATCAGAGAAGAAAGATTGGGGTCTTAGCGAGCCGAAGCCGTGTGAAAACTGTGGGAGTCTTACTATCGTTCTGTGCAAGAGTATGTCTTCGTCTCATCTTTTTGCCCTACGTACATTAATACTAACCTCTAATAGTATGCAAAATCGCCCGCCTCTGCAGTGACACCTGCCGCAAGCAAAGCAATGCCTGGCACGACGCACAGTGCATCCCATCCGTCTCCCTACGCGAATCCAAATCTCTCGCCGTGAAGCCCAAATGTCCCATATCAGCGCGCGACCAAGCGCTCTCCAAAATCGGCCACGCAGATATCAACATCAAAAACGTCAACGTCATTGCAAGTTACACGTTCTATCTAGATCCGCGCAACTTCACGACCTTCCGGATGAAGCTTAACCCCAAAGTCAACACGGTCGTCTTGTTCTCGCTTGATTCGGATATCCAGTACGCGGTTCTTAATAACAATCCTCCGCAATCACAGTCGTCTTCGCCTGTGACGGAACAGGCTAAGGGGAGTCGACTGTCCCTCACATCCTCCAAAAAGAATAACACACAAGCAGCAACAGCCCCTCCTCCAGTCCCGCCATCACAAAGGGACTCAGAGAGCGCAGAAGCTCAAGAACTCACCTGGCTAACCCCGCAATCGCAAGACTCAATCTCCTACACTCCTATCACAGGCACAACCCCTACACCAGCCTCGCCGCTCAATCCAAACCTACCCCCATCCATCAAAACCAACCAAAATCAAAGCAAATACGTCCTTGTCCGCCCTGGGAAAGAGATGCACAACAGTCTAGTTGATAAACGGATCAGTGTTCGAGCTGGCAGTGAGGGTGCGGAGCGCGATCTGTTTGCCGCGACCACTCAGCCGAATAAGGAGCTTATTGAGTATGCGCAGGGTCTGCTGCTAACGGGGTATCTCGGGGAAGGGTTTATGTATGTTGTTGAGTGGGTTTGGAGGTAAAACAGGGTTGAATAGTCCTGGGACTGGGTAAGGTGGCCTGTTGATATGGTTGATTGATGATTGATTTAGGCAAAATTGTGTTTACGTTCGGGAGGCATGTAACTCGTTAGATACTAGTAGTTGGCTGATTCAAGTATATAGGATGATTTTGTGATAAATAGATTGGCTCACACCTCAAGTCTTGTTATCTTGCGACTGCTCTCCACCAGGCTGTTCATGTGTGCAACTCCGGTTCTAAATTGGAGGAGTAGTTGCCCGTAACTTGTTATAAACAAAGCAGAAATTGGGTATACAGATCTGGCACTTTATTGTCTGCCTGCAGTAATGATCTTATCTATCTATGCTATATACGCTGCGCTCGCTCTTCGGCTTATGTATATAGTCAACGCGCGAGCAAATGCATTTACAAGAGATAAAAAAAGGGGAAAAGGAAAAACTGAGTGAATCAATGAAAGAATGAAAGAATGAAAAAAGCCAAACCCTTTATGATCCCGCTCTATGCTCCAATAGAATACAATAATAACAGTCCTTGGCATAACTTCGTAAGGTGTTTTTTTTTTTTTTTGGAAGGAAAAAAGGATGTAAAAAATATGATGTTTACTCGTCCTCATCAGACTTAGTACTCTCGTTGTCATGGCTATCCCAACCATCGGCTTCGAGGGAACGGCCCTGGATTCCAAAGCTGAGGAAAAACCCGACGAGCGAGACCACCGCGAACACGATAAATGGGATTGCTTCGCCTTTTGGCTGAACGCGCATTGCGAGGGAGAATAGGCTGCCTGATAGGAATGGGCCTACGGCTCGACCGGCTGCAGAAAGGGTTTGAGCGAGGCCGTTGAGGGCGCCTAGGACAGCGTGATCCGGGGCGGAGTTTGTGATCTGTGGGTAAAAATTAGTATTTATACTTGTTTGCAAAGGTTGGGAGATGTGCTTACCAGGAGGAGCGCGCTGGTCAACCCGCCAACAGAGGCAACCGTCTTGACCAGCAGGACAAAACAGAGCTCGAGAGCCATCAAGGTTGTTTTGCCTGTTAATCCATGTTTTGCACCATCGTCACCCTTGTACCCAATAAATGGCATGAGGATAAAGGAGACGACGAAGCCAAACAGACCAACTCGGTATGACCACCGGTTACCCATCTTATCCCGCAGCTGGCCAAAGATGCAAATCTGGAAAATTATAGTTACGGCACCAGAGAAGCCCTGTGCAAGACCAATTTCAGACGGGGTAAGACCACGTCCAATTGGGGGTGCAGCTTGTGAGAATATCGGAAACAGCGCATTGAAGGCGATGTTGCAAAGGGCGAAGATGAGGTACGTCAGGAGCAGGAGGACCGTATCACGGTTGAGCAGTTCGCTTCGTGTCAGGGATTCGTGCCCATGGTGCTCAGAGGATACTTCTGAAGCCGAATCTAAATCACTGTCATGCTCTTCCGCCGATTGCTCGCGAAGTAAACGATATGGAAGATGGGGCCCCGGTCGAACGCTGCGAGGTCGCTGCCCAAAACTGGTAATCTGCCAAAGCCATGAAAACATCTCACGGATTTTCTTGCCAAACTTAGGCAAGCTATCTGCATCATCCAGACTTTCTTCGAGAAATATCAGGCAGACAACAAAGTCTATCACTAGAATTGCGGCGGATAGCAGATTTGGCGCAAGATACGGGAATGGGTTTGGCTCCCCTTTCTTGAACGGGTTCTCTCGAATGACAAGGAGTCCGCCAAGAAGAGGGCCAGTAATTCCGCCGAGGCCGTACAGAACCGGTAGGTAGGTAAAAGCTTTGGACTGGTTGCTCTTGTCCGTTATTTCACCAAGGCAAGTGGATACCAGGCCCTGGTTTCCATTGACCACGCCCATCAACGCCTGCACTGCAACAGCCTGGTATAATGTACTGCAGAACCCGAATGCGACGAAGCACACTGCGGTAAGGATTGTACCCAGCAGTATGACCGGCTTCCGTCCAACCCTATCCGATATCCAACCCCAGAAATAGTTGGTAACAAGCTGCGCCACCGCAAAGGCCGTTCCAATCATTCCAACATATACACCAACCATGCCCGGCTTCACCTCGGGAAACGACGACGCCATATCGGGAAGATAGGGACTGATTGAATTGAAGGCCGTCTGTTCGCACAATGCGATAAGCGCTAGCACCATCATCTGCTTTTTGGGAAGAGGAGACTGTGTTGTAGTGTCATCTGAAGTATCATGGTGAGGATGGCGTGAATCCTCGCCTGACGAAGCGGACTGGCCAGAATTGGGTCTGCCGCGAGACTTTGGCGGTGGTGTATCAAAGGTGTGGTAGTGGAGGGTTGAGGAGCGGCGCCTCGGGATTATTGGCGCCCGATCTGGCGCCTTCATTTTGAATTTTTTAGTTAATATATCGGAACTGGTATGGACTGCGAACTGTCGATGGCATTCGCCGGCGCTGGCTGTGGCTAGAATGATAGATTGAAGTGTAAGAGCTCCGTGAGTCAAATCGCGGGGACTGGCCGATACCAAGTCGCACGAGAGCCCTTGGTAATCAATGAATAATAGTGATGTGGCCAGCAGACCTCATTGTCGATTGCGATCCAAAAAGAGTGACACAAGCTGCGCAGGGTAGACTGATCGGTAGGAGAGAGCAATGGGAAGAAGATGAAGGCACGCGAGCTGGAATCCGATCCGCCAAAAATTGAGGCTGGCTGGCAGTTGCGATGATGTAAGCGGTCTGGACGCCATCACGTGCGCCGCGATACCAGGTATTTGGGCAGAGAGAAGAGGTAGACGCGAAGTAAAATGATACATGGACGAGCCAGCGATTTGCAGGGACTGTTATTGCTGCATTGTGGTGTTCCTGGCGAGTCGAGTCTCAGTTTGCGATTCAAGCATCAACACAACCCCGGATGATGTCATTGTTTCAAAATCCCCGGATCTCAGAATTAACTGCAGGCGAAAGCATGCAGCTTTAAGCCCCATCAAATCAATAGTCCATGTCCCTTGAGTACGGAGTTGCCTGCAGCTTGGATCAGCTGGCGGCCGAGTATCTGTTTAGTGGCTGACTATCTCAAGCCTGCATATTGCCCTGGCTAATCACAATTGCGTTGTTTTACATTTCTAAGATAGGGAAACCTGATCACAAATACACTAATTAGATTCTTCTGGGTAGGGCGGAAGTAGGACAAAAAATAGATGGCTGCTAAATCATTTCATCAGCAGATTAACGGCCCAAGGGACACTGAGGCCTCTCAAGTCACCGTAATGCTGGCCAACACCAAGGAAGACAATCGGAATTCCTGTTGCATGCACCATGCTGACAAGCGTCCCAACCATGTCACCGACTGTATCGCACTTGCTGATGATAAAGCCGTCGAGGTTTCTTCCCGTGCCAAAGGCTTGGTTGAAGTTACGTGCCTGCATCACACTGTCCGTACCAACAAGGGCTTCTCCAACCATGAAGATCTTGTTCGGTTGGGCAAACTTGGCGAACTTTTCCAACGAAGACATGAGACGCTGGTCATTGTGGCGACGGCCAGCAGTATCGATCAAAACAACGTCGAACTGGTTAGCTCCACCGTATTCGACTGCATCTTTAGCGACATTTGCGGCGTCTTTGCCGTAGCCTTTCTCGTACAGCTCGACCTCGCCGACATTTTCACGAGCGCTGAGCTCCTTCAGGTTTCGAGCATGAACACGAAGCTGCTCAACGGCTCCAGATCTGAAAGTGTCGCACGCAGCAATCAGAACGCGGTAGTTGTTCTGTAACAAGAAGTAACAGATCTTGCCAAGGTTTGTTGATTTGCCGACGCCGTTAACACCCACAATAGAAATCACGTACGGTCGCGCCGTAGCTTGCTTGTTCTTCTGGTTTGTAACGGTGTTGATCTCGTGGAGCAGATCAAGTGATGAAGTTGGAGTAAGTATCTTGCGAAGGGAAGACTCCATCGCCGACTTCAACGCTGCATCCACGCTCTGGAAATTACCTGTCTTTTTCCCAACAAGCTCCTGCTTGACACCATCACACAAGCGGACAGCCGCCTCACGCGCGACGTTCTTCTTTAGCAGATGGTCTTCCATTGTCTTCAATGGCTTCTCCAAATCAGCGTCTGTTAAAACTTTGCCGCCGACAATATTTCGCAGCAAACCACCGATGGCGCTGAACCCGGATCCGACAAGGCCAGATGGTGCAGAGGACTTCGTCTTCTCGTTGTCTGCATTCTCAAGAATCGAGTGGACTTCGTCTCCCAGATCCTTCAAAACGAATTGACCTTTGCCAGTTCGGCGACCCCAAGAGTCCTGCGACACGGCTTCCACTGCTGGTGCGGATGCGTCCTCGGCCTCAGCAGGCGCAGAGTAGTCGAGGACAGTTCCATCATCCTCATCTGCAAGCCCATCGGCGTCCCATACACGTAGCTTCTTCCCACTTTTAGGTGTCTTTGCTTTGCGTCCCTTCTCATCACCAGAAGAGGCAGTAGCGCTCGCATTCGCAGCTTTCCTTGCGCGGCGAGAAACACGACCACCCGGACCGGCTTTGGCGGTGAGTATATGGTTCGAGGAGGGAGAGGGTATTCTGGATATATCTGGGGTTTGTGGCGGCGAACCTTCATCAGAGGTTGCCGCACTGTGCGCAGCTCGAGGCTGCGCTTGAGGAGAGTCAGTACATTATGACAACCAGTGAACCAGATTTCAGCCATACCTTTCAAGAGCCCAGGTACGGGTGGCGGTGGAGGGCCTCCATTATCAGCAGAGACGAGGGGGTCTTTTCTTGCTTCCGCATCAGCCCCGGGTGCCTCAGCGGTGAAGCCAGCAGTGGCGTTATCCTCAAGCTCGCGCACTTGCTGGTCGAAATACTTGTCGAACGGATATTCGACTATCCTAACCCGTTCGCTCTTGAGTTGGTCCTTGTAGATATCGATAAAAATAGTCGAGATGTTGTCCAAAAGCTTGTCAATCCAACCAAGATGGAGAAGTGACTGGTAAACGGCCTATATGAATTGCGGTGTTAGCAAAAGTTCTTGGTCATTATCGCGTGCTTGGAAATACGGCATACCACAAATATCAGGTTAAAATCCTTTGATCTCCTCCATTTCAAAGTGTACTTCTCCTTCTTGAAAATCGGGGATGCGCTGTTCACGGTGTTTTGGAGCTGGGCTTTTTCCTCGATGAAGACGTCGTTGATCAGGCTGTTGATGACATGGGAACCAACTGGCGCGTAGGACTTAGACCATAAAACCACCCCCGACGTAGTCAAAATCTCAAAGGCTTCCAACATTTTGAGACAAATGCCACTGGATCAAGGTGTGATGTGGTGAGCTTGCGTGCGGAGTGGGGAATTATGTGCGGGCGGCGAAGATCAAGACCAGCCGCAAGAACCATGTCCCAGGGAACACTTCTCCATACAGCCTTCAGCCACGTACTTGGAAATATCTTCCCACCTCCCATCACCTCGGCCTCCCCATCCACCTTGGATCTCATACTTGGTCTTTCTTTTACAAGTAGAGCTTCAGCTTTTCTGCTTCGTTTATTACGTTCTCCATTATGTATCGCCAGTCTTTCGCTCCTCCCCCGGCTCACTCACCTCCACTTCACCACCCTGTGCCTCAGCATGTCTCTACAGTACCCATGATGCGCTCGCCACCTCCTCCAACATCCCAGCAGCCGCAAACGTCTGCCTATGGCAATCCTTATCAGCCGGCTCCCGCACAGGGTGGCAGTGGAACGTACGCCCCTGGGTTCGGCGGCTTTATCAACGACCCCACGGCGCAGATGGGATTCCACATGGGCAAGACTGCGGTGGCAGCTGGACAAGAATATATGGAACAGAACGTATGTTGACCTCAGAACTGTATTCTATATGTACCTTTTTGCTAATTGGCCTTTTTGGAATCAGTTCAACCGCTACGTATCCATACCGGCTCTAAAGCACTACTTCAATGTCTCGAACTCCTACGTGATCAATAAGCTGGGCCTTGTGCTCTTCCCATGGAGACACAAGCCGTGGTCGCGCCAGCAAGCACGCCTTACTACCGCTTCAGCTGGACCGGATGGCCAGATATCGCAGCAGCAGTATTCGTCCATGTTTCTTCCTCCGCGAGATGATCTCAACTCCCCCGACATGTACATCCCTGTGATGGCGCTTGTCACATACATCCTTTTGTCGGCGATGCTAGCAGGCTTTCGCGGGAACTTCCATCCAGAACTCCTTGGAGCGACAACTACTACGGCAATTGCAGTCATGGTCTTCGAGATAATTTGCCTGAAACTAGCCATGTACATTCTCAGCATCAACAATGACTCCCAGTTGGTGGACCTGGTGGCATACTCTGGCTATAAATTCGTGGGAATCATCATCACCCTGCTCGCCTCTGAAATCTTCACTCCCGGGAAAGGAACAGGTAGTTGGGTCGGATGGGTTGCCTTTATCTACACATTCCTGGCCAACGCATTCTTCCTGGTAAGATCCTGTCTAACCCAGCACCGAAATCCAAATATTAACCAACGTCACAGCTCCGTTCTCTAAAATACGTCCTCCTTCCCGACTCAACAAGCGACACATCCATGCGCACCGGTTCAATGCACACGGTAGCACGCTCCCAGCGCAACCGCCGCACCCAGTTCCTATTCGTCTACTCCTACGTTATCCAGTTCATCTTCATGTGGGTTCTGAGCCGTGAGGGTCCATCAAGCACTGCTTCTGCCGTGACTGGAGCTTCGTCATAGAAATCCCCAACTGCTCGAACATAATGATACACACGGACTTGATGAAAAGCGAATCAAACCATAATGTAGACTTTCTCCAGGCTGTTGGCGGTTGGTTTCGTTCGCTATGTACACGTTAGATAAATAAATATACTTGATATTCCTAACAATGTTTTCCCTAACTTTCGTCTGACAAAGACCGATGCAGTATTCGCGTGAACAAACAAAGAAGCCGTGAGGTACATGATAATGGTATACATATATAAACAATTTGGTTGTGTCGAAAATACGCATTCGGTGCCCGCAGAGGTGGGTAGAGGTTATATATATATATATTCGGCTATCAACTTAGACCTTAGACTCTACACCGGTGAAATTCCCAATTACAAGGTTGCTACATCAATATCTAACATGGGTGCCAGATCTATGGAGCATACTACAAGAAACGATAGGAGCAAAGTACGAAAGATGATCAATAATTGTATTAAAATAGGCTATTAGGGTATATTACACGGAATGCGTGAAAATCCTATCGATATTAAAGTCAGCCGACATGTCAAAAACAGAAATGAGTGACTGAAATCGATTGTAGAGGGTTCCTCAGAGATCTTGGTGATAAGGTAAATTTCATCGCCGAAGCATCAATTACTATCTAGGCGTGATAGGTTGTAATCATCGGAACGGGGAAGGTTGAAGAGACGACATGAACGTACCATAAAAGGGAGCGAAAGCGTATTGGGTGCACTTGTTTTATAATCTGCTTCAGGTCTTTTGCAAGTTAGCAAAATTCAACTACTGGTGGTCGAGAAATATAGAGCAAATTGGGTGATATATCAGAATATGTAAGAAATGAATATCATGCGCTAATGCTGTATAGAAACCCCGGCGAGGGTTTCACAGACATTAGGTCAATCGCAAATTACCGCATCATTTAGAGGGCAGAGACAAGAGATTCGGTGTTGACATACCAGTAGAGAATTAGTTGAAGCGATGCTGGAATTAGTGTTCTGGTTGACGGCCGCAGTGAGAGGGGTGATAATAAGAGCTACGTCATGCTCATTGAAGCTCTGGAAGAAGAGCTCTGTCGAAAAGTTGCTGCAGAAACTGCCGCGACAAATGTTTTGTAGTTGAAGAGGAAGAAAAAAAACAAGCGATGATCGTTGCTGAAAGTTAAAGCGACAGCGCGGATAAACTGGTTGTTCCGATGTTCAACACTAAGCCTCTCTGGGCGGCAGCCCTAGGCCGCACGCACCGAAGACTCTGTGGGCTGCGAGTGGCTGGTAAGCGAGTCTGTGGGCAACACCGAAATTCGCGATCCAGGTGGTCCAGTGTGAACTTGTGCGTTTCGGACGACTTCGACAACCCCGACATTCGACAACAAATTTCACCACCGTCTCCCCGGAACTGTCGACCGTGAGTCTCTACGCGATCTGTTGCTGCCGTGAGAACTGCCAACTGAGAAGTCATTTTTTTCACCTTATAGGAAGCCTTCGCCATGGCCGATATCGATGTCAAGCTCGCTCAATGGAAGCTCGTTGAAGTTGGACGTGTGGTCCTGATCCGCCGCGGTCCCTTCACCGGAAAGCTGGCCACCATTGTCGAAATTGTCGACCACAAGCGTGTACGTTTTTGCGATCTGGAATCATGCGTCGAAGACACTTGAAGGAAGGATTTTGAAGGATGTGATATTGACTTGAGTCGCGACAAAATAGGTCCTGGTCGACGGTCCTTCCACCGAGGAGGCCAAGATTGTCCCTCGCCACGTCCTCCCTCTCTCCCACGCTACTCTCACCCACTTCGTTATCCCCAAGCTCCCCCGTGCCGCCGGAACCGGCCCCGTGAAGAAGCTCTGGGCTCAGAACGAGATCGATGGCAAGTGGGCTAAGAGCACCATCTCCCAGAAGACCGACAACAACAACCGACGGAAGAACCTGACCGACTTCGAGCGCTTCAAGGTTCTGAGACTCAGGAAGCAGGTATGTTACGATATCGCATCTGGAGGGATGAACGAGTGACATGGGAAAAAAAAAATGGGGGAAAGCCCGGGCATGTCAGGACGATATGCGATGTCATTTGCTAACTTGCGGTATCTACAGGCTCGCTTTGAGGTCCAGAAGGCTCACGCTAAGATCCGCGCGGCTGCTCCTAAGGCATAGATGGTTAATGGGGCTCGGTGCATAGAGTGAAGGGGTATCTGGGACGGTTTCACATTGCTGAGGGTTTAATATCAGCAAATTCGCTGTATGCATTATCATTGACAGCACAAAAATGACTTAAGAACACTTGATATCCTGACAAGTTGGTCCTCGTAATGTTATGTCGTGAGCGTACTGGCATCTGCTGGATTGTATCTACCACTATGCGGGCAGGAACCAATCCCCCATAATTCTATGATCGTGGTGAAATGAAATCATTTAAAATTAATTTAATTCTTGAATCCCTTAATTGTGACTATTTTGCGACCGCTGTGTAGTTTGTATGTTGCAATGGTTTTATGGGAGTTGCGTCGCTTCTCCATGATTCCAGGGCGAGGGTCCCGAGTCCAATCAGCTCGCTAACGATTTTCGGCATCACACAGCTCTGCGTCTTTCCATCCGCAACAAGGCCCAAAACTCACCATCATCTACAACAAACCCCTTTCCTACTCGCAGGTATGTTCAAATAAATTGTGCGGCCGCGAATATGGATTTTTCAATTGGACATGGCGAAATTCCCCGCGGTTGTGGGATTTGGCGACCCAGACCGAGCGATTCAAGACCCAAAATCGAACATCCAGGCGGCCAGACGTCACAACTCACTCGCTAACCTTTTACTTTACAGCCCATCTAGGCTTACCTATATCACAAAATGGCTGACCCCCGTATCGAAGAGCTCCCTGACGAGGAGGTTCCCAAGACCCAGGTTGAGGATGCCGGCGACTCTTCTGAGTCTGAGGCCGGTGAGGAGGCCACCATCCCCGGCGGTGCTGCCGTCACCATCCACTCTCGCAACGAGAAGAAGGCCCGTAAGGCCATTGGCAAGCTCGGCCTGAAGCACGTCCCCGGCATCACTCGTGTCACTCTCCGCAGACCTAAGAACGTACGGCTCGCCTTCCCCGCATTCCTGCTCGTGACGACACTGCGACGGTCGACGAGAAGAAATGATGAAATCCCAAGTCAGGAGCCATATGCTAACTATAAGCTCAGATCCTCTTCGTTGTCAACCAACCCGACGTCTACCGCTCTCCCTCCAGCAACACCTGGATGTACGTGCCAATGTGCCCCGCGAACTATTGAGGCTGAGATGTCAGCGGCTGACCCATTGGAACAGTATCTTCGGTGAGGCTAAGATCGAGGACCTGAACTCCCAAGCCCAGGCTTCCGCTGCTCAGCAACTTGCTGCCGCTGAGGCTGCTGGTGGTGACCACGCCGGCCACGACCACGAGCACGACCACGACAAGGGCAAGGGCAAGGCCCCCGAGACGGAAGCTAAGAAGGAGGAGGAAGAGGATGATGGCGAGGAGGTTGACGAGACCGGTCTCGAGCCTAAGGACATTGACCTCGTCGTCGCACAGGCCAACGTCTCCCGCAAGAAGGCCGTCAAGGCTCTACGGGAGAACGACAACGATATTGTCAACTCAATCATGGCGCTCAGCATATAAGCTGGGACCGAATAATGTACGCTGTTAATGGCTGAGTGTTTTAGCCAGTGTGGTCGAATGTATTTCGGGTTTGGATTCAGGTTGATATTCCCTCGGATGTCCGTCCGGCTTCATAGTGTAAATCATTTAGTCCAAAAGCAAAATGAATGAACCGCCACCTTTTTTACAGCGCTGAATATGACCAATATATTTTCCAAATAATAATATTCCAGGCCGAATCAAGTCCTATTGAAATTCTATCACTAATGTCACTTTCGCGACTTTCATGATGAAGTATTCGCCTCAATTCGGAACACGGGAACATTATGGTCACGTGACGATTACCCCCATCCCAAACCTTGCCGAATCAACCCTCATCCCGGAACGTCCAGCTTTGCACGTCAAACGTCTCCTTTAACCAACCCCCCTCTACCCCACCACTCAAAATGGCTGCCGTATGTTGCTTTGATACTCCCACCTTCATTCTCTACTTATATCGCGTTGGATTGGGCTCGCTAACCACCCGGCTTACAGCGTAGCGCCGCTCTTAAGATCGACTGGGTCAAGACGACCAGCTCTCTCGGCCTCCGCGGCCAGACCGCTGCTTCTCTCCAGGCTTTCAAGAAGCGTAACGACGATGCGCGCCGCAAGGTCCAGCTCCTTTCCGAGCAGCCCCAGACCGTCGACTTCTCCCGTTACCGCAGCGTCCTGAAGAACCAGGCTGTTGTCGATGAGCTCGAGAACCAGTTCAAGAACTTCAAGCCCGCCACCTACGATGTTGCCCGCCAGCTGAAGGCCATTGATGCTTTCGAGTCCCAGGCTGTCCAGAGCGCTGAACAGACCAAGGGCAAGGTTGAGGCTGAACTCCGCAACCTCGAGAAGACCCTTGAGAATATCGAGACCGCCCGTCCCTTCGATGAACTCACTGTTGTATGTTTTCCTTATATATGTCACATTACTGTTGGAACTGCTGGGCGTGATTTATTAACTTGGTCACTTTAGGACGAGGTTGCTGCCGCTCAGCCCGAGATTGACGAGAAGACCGCCTCCCTTGTCTCCAAGGGCCGATGGATGCCCGCCGGATACAAGGTTAGTTTCCACTATTTACATACCCATATTATTGCCACTTTTCGCAATTTACTGACTGTTTCACTTAGGAACGCTTCGGCGACATGTCTGTCGTTTAAATTAGCGCATCCCTTTGTATCACTTTTTGTTACCCTTATCCCTCGACCAATTTCATCACACGACAACTATTTCCTTCCCAGTCAAGCGTATTTAGCTCTATACCTGGCAGTGTGATTCGGTTGTCGGGTTGTGTATAGAACCTGTTCAATTTAGAAGTTATATGAAGTCTATCAAATCGTAGTCATGAGAAGGTCTTAGTCGGGCTGACGTTTGATGCTTTGGATTTTACCAGTTAATAGGGTATTGACTTGTAATCTACAAATCGGCCACTGAGCCGTAAATTTAATTGGTCATGATATTGTTATACTTGCATGAACATGTTTACATTATTTGTTCATCAACAAGTACGGATACAAGTATATCAAGGTATCAAACAACACATCGTCTCTTCGAGGTCTTGTTTAGCAATCCCGCGATGGGAGGGCAACTCAGTACAGTAGCATAACTGGCTGTGAATGTAGTCCATAATTCCCCCAAATTCATAATAAAGTCAGAAATAACATCGACAAGCCTCGAGTCGGTAGCTGCCCATGTACTTCGAGGTCGCAAGGACGGGCGAAGGGCGCGGCGGGGGCCTTTCGCGTTGTATCTATTCTTTTCAATAAGTATGTACGGATGTTCTAAATGAGCGCCACAGAAAATAAGACGGCGCCGACCGGTCAATATCTTCGAATCCAGACGCGATATACTGAAGTCGAGTCGAGGTTGTCTTTAGACCGAGATGGGAAGGTTGGTCGGCCGGACCAAATCCTCGGCGCTGATAGGCCAGCCCTTTCCCGAGGGTTCCGCCCCCCAAACCCTGCCCCGACGCACTAAAAATCAATTTTGCACATTTTCTACCTATACCGACCAAAGCGGGAATCCGACAACGACATCGCATCCTCAACTCGTCCACCCTCCCTCGTTCAATTTCAGCAAATCCAGCTTTCCCGGATTTCCTACCTGTCAAAATGGATGCTTCCAAGACTCCCACTAAGCTGGTGAAGGTGACCCGTGTCCTTGGCCGTACCGGTATGCAACCTCGATCAATACAATGAAGAGCCTCTGGCTGGCTGGCGGCGACGACTACGGCTGCGACATGTCGATGCTCGTGGGAGCGCTGCTGGTCAGGGAGGGAATTACAATGATATGGAGGCTAATGGGCTTGATTTATAGGTTCTCGCGGTGGTGTCACCCAGGTGCGCGTCGAGTTCATGGATGACCAGACCCGTTCTATCATCCGTAACGTCAAGGGACCCGGTACGTCTACAATATTTTATTTGCGACCTGCAGAACAAACCAATCCGATGGTCGAAGGAAATACATGAATTGTGTGAAGGGACATGCTAATTGGGAATTTTTCTTCAGTCCGTGTTGATGACATCCTCTGCCTGCTCGAATCCGAACGTGAGGCTCGCCGTCTCCGGTAAACGCGATGAACGTGGAAACGACGTGGGAGGCAATAAAAATGGAAGAATGAAGGACGAGTTCGGGTTCTGGTTCGGTTTCAATTGCGCATGGTTATGGGGGAAATATTCGATTGTACGGATACCTACCGATGGGAATTGCGGCGCCATGAATAATGAATTCATGATGGCGGAAACGGAGCCATTCGGACCTTTAATTTCTGTTTGCTAGAGATCCAGGAATATTATGAGAATCACATCCTGATTTTCTTCCTTCATCTTTCTTTTTGCCCCTCGCGAATGGTTGTGCTTGGGATGCACTGTTTGGTGGCTGAAGTGGAGGATATTATACCGCTTGCTCGATCGACCACACTGGCTATGGATTGGGTTTATACCTTGTCTCGTTCTGAACCGACAATGCTCAAATTAGGGGGACCTTTAATCCATTGTCCTTGGACTGGCCCTTCGACACCCAAACCCACGTTCTCGCCTAGCCAGCGTCAATCACCGCCATCCACCTGTTTTATCGCCCTCTCAACCACAGCGGTTTTGCCCCTCGCCCAACTGTGTGAGACGGTCGCTTTCCCACCTCGATAAGCGCCCATGTCAAGTACCACAGCTATATCGCTTGTGGCATCGTAAGCCTGTAGTCATCACGGTACCAGATCTTGGACCGATGCTGTAAACCCCGAGTGGCCGTATATGAGCATGGCTTTCCCGCAGTTAATGTAAGCTGCCGTCAAATAGAGCCTGGTCTAGGCTTTCGTACATCTCTATGGATCCACTATCTAGATGCACATGTCGACAAATACGATATGCACATGATAAGAAATCTACTTGGTTGACTGGGCTATGGTGATGATCTTTGATAGGCTTAGAAAAAGGTTGGCTGAAGTAAATAATAACTACGAAAAAAAAAATTATCCGGGTGGGATGGCATAAGATGACGTTGAAATGTCTATTGACCTGAACAAAAGTGACTGAAAAGGATATTATATCGTACAACCATTATCCCCGCTTCCCATAAAGCAAAGCAAACCAGAACCATTGCGTTTCCAGCGCAAAACAAGGGTACTAATGTATACAAGACTTGAAACGATGAAAGGGAAGCTCAAAAGAAGAAAGAGCCAGAGAGGGCATCAAGTCATCACTCATATCATGCCGATCTATACGTAAGCCCGTCGCAGTTTTCTAACGACAGACTGGGCTAATAAACCGCCCGCGATCTATGATGCATCCCTCGTGTGCCCCGCCTTCTCCGTCCGCAGTATCCGCACGTAAGGCAAGAGACGAGGACGCCGAGGACTGAGACGATGCCGTTGATGACGACCTTAATACCGGTTGCAATCGCGTTCACGACGCCCATGATGCATGCACCAATGGAGCGGAAGAGGTCCGCTATCTGTAACGGATAAGTTAGAAAGGGAGTTCAGAGGAAACGTATAATAGAATGAATTGACATACACAAGAAAAGACTGCGCCCATTTTGAAAGTTGAGTTGGTGGTAGTTTATTTCTATTTCAGAGACTTGGAGCTCGGAGAGAGTGGCTGAGAGCTATTTGTAGAGGTGATATTATTGTTTGAGGAGCTTGAAGATGCAACAGAATGTGTTGATTGTTCGTAAGGAAGCATGGTGGTAGCTGTGAAAGTTCGAGCGTTTGAGGTATATATATACTATTTGAGGGGGATATATATAGAGCAATCCTATTAAATGAAGGATGACGTTGAATGTGATAGGCAAGGGCTAGTATAGACAATGAAGGAGAAATGACGATATGTCGTTGGTCACTACTGCAAAGGAAGTGATATGGAGAAACCTGTACCTCAACCCTGAACCTGAAATGTGTGGCTTGATTCCGTCATAGCGACGCCTTCAATCCGGTCCTGAGCGACCTTTGGCCGAATCATGCAGGGCATTGTGGGACCCATGCAACATGACATGGCTGTTAATTCCGGCGCGGGAGACGTTGAAAATGCCACTAAAACGCCTTTGAAATGCTGATCTGCGCCATCTACCAATTCACAATGGTCTTGGTGGTGTTTGCAATTTGATATGTGTGACGTCACGAAACGTCATCCAAAAAGGGCTAGTGCCTAGGGCTGCAGGATATCTCAATGGAGCTGTCACCTGACAAGCCCTAATTTCCTTTTCGGGACGCATCTGTTTTCTATCTCCCAGTGTTAGTTGGCGAGAGCTCTACCGTCCACACCAAGCACTCAAAGGGCGGGGATACTAGTCATGCTTTGTACTGATATTTGAAATGGCATGACGACTCTAGCAAGGCATGCTCACGCCGATTAGGACACGCGGGCGCAGGAAGAGACCTTGGGCCGCCAGTGATGGCGTCCCCAAGCCGATAGCATCTGGACCGAAGGGTGGAAGACCCATGCTATCGCTACAGGCAAAGCATATCAGATCTCAGTCTTCAGGGATTAAGCGGGCCCGGCTCCTCGTGGCTCGACCGCCGCCGCCGAAACCTCGAAACAAACTATCCAGGCTGGAGTCTCTTCCGGTGGAGCTGATCGAGAAGATTTTCCTGTACTCCCTGAATGTGAATCTGCCACGATGCTCACAGTCTATTTCTGCCGCTGTTTCTAGCGAGCGAGTTTACCGCGCGCTGACGCTGCTGGCACTCTGGGACGATTCATACGCGCAAAGATTGCTCACGCCAGCGACACCAGAAACAAGCCCAAGTACACCCGAACTTGCAGCTGCAGTTACCAGTGAAAAAGAGATACTGCGACTACTGAGACCGTTGGATTATGTGCCGTTGCTGCGGAATGAGCGCAAGCATCTTCAAACCAACGTCCTTCGTTGCCGATGGTGTACCATTGAGCGACTACTGTCCTATCTTCCAGACCTGATGCGCTTGACTGTTCAGCGACATTGGCTCAACGGAAGCTTTCAGATGAGCAGTGATACACTGGATAATCTTCGTCTTCTGTTGGCCCAGAAAAACGATACATGCAGCTTCAAGGGCACCGATAAGGGCGAAAACCACTACACGTTGTCGATTACGCCATTTGTGTCGATAACTATTACATGTTTTGAAACAGAGCAGCAAATAATCCATCCAATTATTGGTATCTTGGGAATTCCCGACAAACTTTTGAGCGGCACGTCGGCGGGTTTTAGCGACAACCACGTTCGTTTCCTCGAGATCGTTCGCATGGCCAGTGGATTTAACCGCTCGGATGTAGCGTCGACCGACATCTCTTTTTCTCGCGAAGCAATCCAGCAAGGTATCCACACGGCTTTGATAGAGCGTCACGCTGACGCGTTAACGATTCTCCTCAAAATCGATGAGTACACCTTCCGCAGTGAGAACACGTCAGCAACCCAAACTCTTCCATATACGATACCACCGGAACATTTTCGTACTGCTGTCCGCGTTGCGCGCGATGACCCGAACTTCTTTCAACTTCTACTCCGCACCAGTGCCGAGTCCCTTCCTGCAGATGACTCGGAGATCACGCAGTGGGCAATGGAATTGGATGGCTCATTTGGGTCGTGGCTACTGGATTTCATGCTTCAGCTACCGGAGCGGATCAAGGCGGCAAATAATGACCCTGTTAATGGGCCAATATTTTACCTCGGTGGCATGGCTGCACAGCTTCCGATAGCACTTCGATATCTTCGCGATGTTCTGGGGCTGGAGGAACTGGATAGGTGGATGGGTGAGTCGCCCTATGACTTTTCAAGTGAATGGGTCGTGAAAGGTTGAGTTCGACCGAATTTACCATGTTACTCCCAGCTTTGAAAGGGTCGACTTCAATGGAAGAAATATCCAACCTCGTGTGTCCAATGGCACCATGCCCAAGGAGGCATATTAGTTATTTGTTGGGGGGCCCAGCATTCCAAATATACGTATTAGATTTACGAAGAATGTACACCTGTGTCGATCTGCCAATAGTATATGACAGTCTTCAATAAGTTCAAAAAGCCAAATTATGCCCCCTTGGCTGAGAGCGTCTCTCGGCCATCGTCTTGCATTCTAACAACACATCCTGGGAATGCCAACAAAACCTGTATATTAAGACGCGCACCCACATAACAAATACGATGATCCACGACCCTAAACTCAATCGTATTTCTGTTCCTCGAAGGCTCCAGCCATGCGTCTCTCCACCATTACTTACCCGCTCCTGGCGCTGAATTTCGCCCTTTCGCACGCCAAACTCGTGCAAAAAACCCTTGAGTTGACATGGGCAAAAGGATCTCCAAATGGCGGCCAGGAACGCGACATGGTCTTCACCAATGGAGAATTCCCTGGACCCGATTTGGTCTTTGATGAGGACGACGTTGTCGAGGTACCAACACAGCCTAACCCTATCTACATAGAGATCTAAATGATAAGAAGAATGGGACTAATTGGCCTGATAGGTTCTTGTCACCAACAAACTCCCCTTCAATACAACAGTTCATTGGCATGGTATAGAGTACGTACTGCAGTCCCATATTATATCATTTTGCGCACAGGCATAAGTATACTAGACCCTTCTTACACGCTTCTGTTGTAGAATGCGAGAGACGCCGTGGTCAGATGGAGTTCCAGGTCTATCACAATCACCCATTGAACCCGGGGACACTTATGTGTATCGATTCAGAGCATACCCTGCTGGTACATATTGGTACCATTCCCATTACAAGGGAGTCATGCAGGATGGGCAGATAGGGGCGATGTATATCCGGTACGTCCAATTCTCCACAATCCTATTTCTAGGCAGAGCATTGCCACTAATCATGAGTCTGCAGCCGCAAACCGGATGCTCCACGACCTTACTCGGCAATCACGCAAGATCCAAATGAGCTGAAGCAAATGAAGGTGGCAGAGGACAATCCCAATCTGGTTCTTGTTACAGACTGGACGTATCTCACTTCGGAGGAGTATCGCCAAGTTGCGCTTGATTCTGGGTACAATGTCTTGTATGTGCATCTTCGTTGTTTGGGGACACGGATTAACCAAGATCGAAAAACTAGTTGTGTGGATGGCCTCATAGTTAACGGACATGGGTCAGTCTGGTGCCCTGGACACGAATACCTCGAATCAGTGAGCGATCCTGGGATCCAAGCTGTTCTTGAGGGTTCGAACCTTACCGAGAAGGGGTATGTATGCCTCTCCCATTCAAAAACACACAAGACACTTATATGTATGAGCATAGCTGCCTCCAACCAGACCTCTTCAACGTCCAAGGCGACTGGGGCAACTGGAACCTCTCCGCGGTCCCCGGCCCTGTTGTATGGAACTGTACCGAGTCCACCAGCGAAACACCAGTCATCACAGTCAACCCCGAGAAAAACGGCTGGGCAAGCCTGAACTTCGTCAACGCTTCACCGCAAAAAGGAATCACAGTCTCCGTGGACAATCATCCGATGTGGGTTTACGAAGTCGATGGCCAACTCGTTGAACCGCGCGAGGTCGAGATAATCGCTATTTACAGCGGAGCCCGCTATTCGGCCATGATCAAGCTCAACCAACAGCCAGGCGACTACGCCATCCGCATCTCAGTCGACGGTGGCGACCAAGTCATAAGCACATACGCCTACCTATCTTACGCGTGCCAGGACAAGTCGAACCTGAACAAGCCTCCCTTTAAGTCCTCCATTGGCCCACGCACTCAGGGATACATGAACTACGGGGGCCAGAATACCACCGCAGACGTCCGCAAGCTCCTCTTCACAGAGAATCTCCCGCCGTTCGGTGTTCCGCCGCCGCCTCCATCGTCGGAGGTCTCGACAACACTCCGCACGGCGATGAGTCGTGTTGGGCACTCCTGGGCCTGGTCACTCGCCAACCACGTCCTTTACGAGACTGAAATGACCGACTCAACACCCCTCCTCTTTGAATCTGACCCCCTCAAGGTTATAGCACCGAAATACGTCTTCAGCACCAAAAACAACACCTGGGTCGACATCATCCTCGAAATCGAAGCCAGCCAGCACGACCCCATCCACCCGCCTCACCCGATCCACAAGCACGGGAACCGAGCGTACATCATCGGTACCGGGACTGGGAAATTCAAATGGGATAATGTTACGCAGGCGGAGGCCGAGAAGCCCGAGTTCTTCTTTATAGACAAGAGAGCTGCGTTGAGAGATACCTTTGTCACGAACTTTTTTGACTCAAGAGTGTCGGAGGGTGCGTGGGTTGTCGTGAGGTATTTTGTTACGGGGAAGATGGCGTCGCTGTTGCATTGCCATATCACTTCGCATCAGCTTGCTGGCATGTCGTTGGCGTTGTTGGATGGGGTTGATATTTGGGATTCTAAGGATTCCTGGCACAGGGAAGACTAATATAGAGAGAGATCATGGGATTTGGCCCCGGCCTGTAATCGTAATAGCTAATAAAGAGAGTTGGTCTTGAGGGATTTTATTGCATGTGGCTTATCCATGTATTGGATTTATTAAATTAACTTATGTGGTCGTAAAGTACAGTGTCGAAGCCATGAATGTTTACATATTTCCCAACAACCTGAAGATTCCCTTCACTCGTCCGGCAAGCGTAAGCTGGTACCCTGTCTCAACAACCCCCTTGCACATCTCGAACGCGCCCTTCCCATTCTGTTTATCACTATCACCCTTCTGGATAGGGTAGTCAACTCTCGGGGGGATGCGAGTAGCCATGACCCTCGGAAACCGATCCACACAAACCGCCTTGATATTACTCACGCCGCGGAGACCCTCTTCACCAGCAAAACGACCGTATCCAGACCCCTTGATTCCACCAAACGGCAGTTGCACGGCGTAATAGCTTCCGAAGTCGTTGACGGAAACCATGCCGGCTTTGATGCCGCGTACACATGCATTGACGTCGCGGGTGTTATAGCCGAAGACGGATGCACCGAGACCGTAGTCTGTGGAATTGGCGATCTCAATGGCGTCTGACACAGAGGTAGCGCGCATCATGAGAAAGACGGGGGCGAAGAGCTCGGTTTGCGCGATCTGCATGGACGGGGTGACGTCTGCGATAAGGGTGGGTGCGAAGTAGTGGCCGAGAGTGTGGTGTGGGTGGGCGAAACGTCTGCCACCCGTGATTAGACGGGCGCCTTGTTTCACTGCGTCGTCAATCAAGGATTCGAGGCGAGCGAATGAGGCCGGGGAGATCATGGCACCCACGTCGGGGGCGCCGGGCTTCCCGTGGGGATTGTTGGGTTTGGTATCTAGGAGGATTGAGCCTAGGCGTAGAGTCTTGATGCGTGAAGATACAATCTCTAGGAGTTTACTGTAGACACCAGGGAGAGCAATAACCCGCTCCACGCCGATACAGTTTTGGCCAGCAGATTGGAAGACACCACGCATGAGAACTGAAGCAATAGAGGACACTTCCCCGACAGTCCTGCTATCATCCAAGATAACAGACGGGTCCTTTCCACCTAGTTCGACCGTTACAGGTGTCAATGCCTTTGCTGCAGACTCGCAGACCTTGTGCGCCACTGGCTTCGAGCCGATGAAAGTCATCTGGGAGATACCGGGGTGAGAAGTCAACACATCCGCAACCTTGGGCAAACAGACAACGCTTTGAACGAGATCACGAGAATGGCCACAGCTTTCCAAGGCGCTCCGGATAATTTCCAAATAATAGGCGGACGACCACGCAGTCTGCTCAGAAGGCTTCACCACAACTCCGTTACCAGCAAATATTGCACTGATCACCGGCGAAATGAAGTTATGGAAGGGGTAGTTCCACGAAACACATGCCGATACAACACCAAGAGGCTCATAGATGACCTGGTTCTTCTTATACATCATCAGGAAATTCGTAGGTCGCGAGTCCGGGATCAGTGCCTTTTCACCGTGATCAATTGTCCATTTCAGTTTCTCTGCAGTTACGAGCGTTTCACCGAATGTTGCGTCGACTTTAGTTTTTCCAGAGTCCAGACAGGCAGCGATCACGATTTCATCTTGGTGTTCCAGTACGTATCTGCGAAAGCGGATCGTCAATTCCAATCCCATGGACAAGGGTCGCCATAATACAAAACATACTTTAGCAAAGTCTTCAGCACCCTCCGTCTTTCCGCAAAGGTAGTGCTGGCCCATTGTTCCTGCGCTCTCTTCGCCGCATTTACGGCCCGATCAACATCGTCTGGCGTCGCAGGCTTGATCCCGGTACCAAGTACTCGTCCGTCTGCGGGGCAATAGCTCATAATCAGGTTCTCGTTCCATTGCTATACACATGTAACAGGTTAGCTCAATTCGAAGGGAGGAAAGCAGCTAGCGAATGGAATTCGGGACGTAATTTGGGCGAAACTCACCCCGCGAATCTGTCCCTCAATTACTCGCTTCTCTTCACTCCCCTCCGGAAGATCATCCCATTTTGTTCCGGTCCAGTCATCGCTAATCTCGGGTGGGTTGGACACAGTGAATGACGCGGGCGACTCCCTGCTACATGCAACTAAGAGGTAGCCTAGGAGCACGGCGCTGAGGGAAAGGGCAGCGATACCGAGCGCGTGGGTTTGGTTCTGGATTTGCTCTGCGAGTGGCAGGAGGGCCGGAGGAATGTACGGAGTTAAACACTCCATTTTGACGCGCACACAAGAGCGATTTGGCGGAAAGGCTTGTGTGAGGCCGGCGTTGGAGGAATTGCAAGGGAAAGGGGACTCGAGACCAAAAAGTGGTTCGATGTTTTTGATCTGCACCTCCGATGCGCCGGGCACGTGCCCGCGATTGGTCTATGTTTGACAGCTTCATTTAAAATTATTAGTATTTATTTCGTGGGGATAGCAAAGTTGCAATTAGAATTAATAAATTTAATCATTACTTGTATAGGTGGTCTAGTAATGTGTGACATGATCCTGTATACACCTTGGACGTGCGCTTCTGGCCTAGATATATATCTGAAGAGGTACTTGATCATTTCGACTTACGACTGCTTTTAGACTTCTTACTCGCTTTCTCTACCTTAACAGGCGCGCCTTTTCTTTTCCCCGTCCTTGTCACAAGATGATCTATCACACATCCTTCGTCCCAACCAGCGGAGGATTGCCCCGTGATTGCTCGACACCGGGGACATGACTTCCCATGGCGGATAAAAAGCTGATGAAGCGAATACTTGAGATGATTTGGGATCCGTACCTCCAGATGACTGAAAGCCGTGATTTCTGTCGCCTTGTCCGGGGGCACCCAGTTGAGCCACTTGGATAGGCGAAAGATATGGGTGTCAACAGCAAAACATGGTCTCTTTAGGCAAAACAGCGAGACGCAAGCTGCAGTCTTGGGTCCGATTCCCGGATACTTCACCAGTTCTTCCATGACGTCTTGAGTTTTGAAACTGTGTAGATGGTTGAGAGAGAGGATGTTCTGATCCGCACATGCAATCTCGTACTTCTTTTCACCCTCGGGCTTTTCAATGAGTGGCTTGAACGACTCGTCGCCGTTTTCGCCTCTGATAAAAATATCCCGTCGTTCTTGATTCTCCTTGTAGACCATATCCAGTATCGCCTTTAGATTCTTGCTCTTGATATCAGCCAACCCACCCGCCTTAATCGCCTCATACACATCTTTCACCGATGCGCGGCGAACGGCATCCCAGTCCACGCTCCCCTTCCCAATTCCATCTTTAAGAACACCGAATTTCTGAACGAGGCCGTTAAACGCCATAGCAGAGTTTTTTCCAGTTGTGGCCCCGCTAAGTAGAGTGCGGATAAGGGCATCAAGCACAGATGGCACCTCGCCACAACCAGTAACGGTCAGCGACGGTTCAGGGATAGTTTCAGGCGGAGTAATTTCCCCATGGATGCTGGATAAAAGCCTGTTGACCTCTTCACATTCCTCTGGGGTTGGACGGCTCCAGTCGGGGAAGGGAGTAATGCCAGGCGTCAGTCCATAGGTGGCCTTTTTTGCTCGCTTCTTCTTTTCTGTTGGAGGTTCTGCAAGGGCCTCTGCGGTTTTGTCGACTGTTTCCAGCAGGCCATCTGCAAGAGGATCTACAGCCTCTCTTTTGATTTCCGTCTTGGGCTTGGTGTTGATTTGGCCATCGTCCTCGCGAAGTGTAGGCACTGAACCGAGATTGTGAGGGAGTTCGTTGACATCACTGGGTATTGGAGCAGCTCGCCTCTTCCTGGAATGTTTCGGTTTCTTTTGTGGTTCGCTTGTAGAGTCCGTCTGGGATGTTGCAGCAGACTGTTGCCGTGGTGTGGTTCTTGATCGCGTGACCCTTCTGGAGGGCTGAGATGACGGGCCATCAACAGCTGTATCTTGCATTTGAGATGCAATTTGCCCCAAATCAGCTGCGGGTAATACAGTCTCTCGAACCACTCTAGAACGGGTAGTACGGGCCATTTGAACTGATGATAGTCGCAGGAGGACGAGATGCTGAAATGAAGAAAAAGAAAAGGCAATGACGCAAGCGAGAATCCCGCGATTCCTGAACGGTAAATTAAGTTCAATTTGGGTAGGTTGCAAACGAACGACAAAAATGATTAGAGATGATGGAAGTTGGTGCAGGGAAAATGGTTTGTAGAACCAATCCGATAATTAGTACTTCCATCCATATCATCGTCACATGATTCCAAGGCAAGCAGTGTAGGCATCAACCTCTCTATTTTTTATTTCTCTATGGGGTAGAAATGGAAATATTCGTAGGTACATCTCTAGTCATATCTTTCGTAGATTTGAAATATCGTTAAATGGCCTCCTCCGTAACCTTTTATCTAGCTCTCAAAACTCCAAGACTCCAGATTTCAAAGATACCCCGGACGGGGCGGGCGGCGATTAGAGATTTGACTAGTGGTGATCGCCAATGTTGTGGATGCTGATGTCCATTCGGTCTTTGACCTTGGGAGGCTCTTCCTCCTCGTGCTGACGCGGCCTGCTGGGGATGCTGACCTTGGGCACATCCGATTCACTGGGATCCCCAGCAGGTACAAGGTCACCGCTGTTGGACACCTTGACACCATTGGCAGCAATCTGGAAGTCTTTCTCGCTAGCGAAACCGTGCGTGACGGCCTCCTTGGCACGATCGACTGCTTTGATCTTCCGGCCCTCACCCCGAATTTTCTCCAGGTGTTCAAAGTAGCCTGCTGAAACTGGAGTAACGTAGCTGCCACAGAAAACGCCAACTTCGAAGTTGCGCGGTTCTTCTAACCCGTTCTCCTGAGCGATTTCAGCGCAAGCACCCTTCAGGTCATCTAGTGTTTGGAAGATAACACTGTCCGCACCCATGAGCTTAGCGATCGTCGCAGCGTCCCGGTTGTGTGCAACTAGTTCGTGAGGGGATGCAAGATCAATTCCATAGATATGTGCGTGACTGCCGGAAGTTAGCAACTGGAAAGATCAGGAGGAATGAAATAATAGGTTTGACATACGTAATTTCTGGAGCGCAGCTGGCAAAGTAGACTTTCTTCGCGCCGGCTTCACGAGCCATGGTGACAATTTCCCTACTCGTTGTTCCACGCACGATACTATCATCGACTAAAAGGACATTTCGGTCCTTGAACTCGGCTTGCATAGCATTCAGCTTACGGCGCACACCCTTCTGCCGAGTTTTTTGTTCCGGCATGATGAAGGTACGGAAGACGTAGCGGTTCTTAACAAAGCCCTGACAATAAGGCTTGTCGAGATACCGGGCAACAGCAGCAGCAGAAGTTGTCGACGTCTCAGGAATAGGGATGACGACGTCAATGTCCTTGACTACCTCCGGGCCGAGGGCCTGGAGGACCCTCGCGGCAAGGTGATCACCCATCCGTTGACGACTGCGGTAGACGCTGATACCATCGATGACGGAATCAGGCCGGGCAAAGTATACGTACTCAAAGATGTCTGGAGCGTACGCTTTGCGGGGAGCTACTTGACGGAAGACAGGTTTGCCACCCTTCTCAATCAAAACAGCCTCACCGGGCTGAATATCACGGATATCAGTGAATCCAAGCTGGTGTAGAGCAACAGACTCAGATGCCATCATGAAATCCGTGCCCGGACCATCAAGCGAGGGTCTGGAGCCAAGGACCAGAGGACGAATACCATATGAGTCGCGGAAACCCAAGATACCAAAACCTAACGGAGTAAGCAACTTGATCGCATAACACGAGCGTTGGAAAGATTTACCTGCTAGCATTGCGGTGCAAGCCCAGCCGCCTTCACACCGTTGATACATTCTGCTCAACGCGGCGAAGACATCTTCCTGGTTGACACGCGCCTTCTTGGTCTCACTCAGCTCATCAGCAAAGATGTTCAGCATCAACTCGCTGTCACTTTCAGTGTTGATGTGACGGTGAGCCTCGAAATCCAAGTGTCTCTTTAGTTCGGGGGCGTTGATGAGGTTTCCATTATGGGCGAGGCAAATGCCGTACGGGCTGTTCACGTAGAAGGGCTGAGCCTCAGCATTTGCACTGCTACCGGCAGTAGGATACCTCAGGTGACCGATTCCCATGTAACCTGGGAGGTCTGCCACCCTTGCGCCGTCATTGAAAACCTTGGCGGCCATTCCGTTGGCTTTGAGTTGGAAGATACGACCACCTGCGGCGCATGTTGCGATCCCAGCAGCATCTTGACCTCGATCTAACCACGAATGCAAATCAGTTATACCATTCACTCCAAGCGTCGTAGAACTATATCAGAAACTCACGTTGTAAAAGGTACAGGGCCTCATGGAGGTCAATGGCGGCGGAGGAGCTGGGGTTCGCCTGTATCAAGGCAATAATACCACACATCTTGCCTAACTGATAGTATTACTGCGAGCCGGTACAATTGTCAGCAAAATGAACACAGCTCAAGCCACTGAAGAGAAGAGCAAAATAATATAGCTATGGTCAGACCGGAAAGTGTCCGCAAGAATGCTTAGGAAGTCTAACATCTATAAAAAAAACGGAAAGATCATCATAAAGGAGGAGAGCGAAGAATAAAATGCCCGAAACCAGGCCCAAATACACTTACAGGAGGAGGCAGAGGGGCAGATCCTGAGCACAACGTGTGGTGGGGTATGGTGGGAAAAAAACCAAAGTTGGTTGAGGGAGCGACGTCGGAGTTGGAACTCTGCTATGAAGACATAACAGGGGAGACGGAATGCTCTGGAAAAAGGGACCTGGGACAGGAAAGAAGCCCAGGGTCAGGACTCAGGACCACGGAGGGATAGGAGGGATAGGAGGGGCAAGAGAGCACATGGCTAAGAAGAGTCTTAGGAGGAGAGGAAGAGGAGAATTTGATCTCGTCGTTTTTTAATCCATCTTCTCCAAAGAAATTTTCCCCGCTAAACCACAACAAGACGCGTGACCCAGAAGTTCGGCAGAAGACCGGATGCTTAGTCATTTGTCTCTAGTCCTGTGCATAACTCGAGAGAGTTATGCTGTGAAGATAAAAAACAGAGTCAAATTATTGAGGGGCAAAGGTGAGGGTAAACGAAGGAATGGATCTTATTAGGAGATGGGCCATGTTGGCGCGGGGCAAGTTTGTTGATACTCAATACTCTTAATGCCCTCCAGACTTTGTATAGCTTCACTTTTACTTTGTTGTTTCCTGAATCATTCACTTAGCTTCAGACGGGAATGATGTCTGGCTACTAATAGGCCATGCTTCCTGTAACTATTTTATGTGTCCTGAAGGGGCCATTCTCCTTCAGAGATGCAATGCATGTACTCTGTTTGAATGCAAGAATTGGTTGCAAACAGACTATCTTACCAACGAAGGCCATCTATCCACTACCTTCAACGCTTCTACCCATTACTTACTTCCTTACTCTCCCTACCATATTTCACTCTCATCTTTTCACCTATCCTCTTCTCACCTATCCTCTTCTCGTCTCTTTTCATCTCTCTTCTCGTCTCTCTTCTTCTAGTCTCTCTTTTTTTCATCTCTCACATTCTCTTCTTTCCTCTCCTTCCCTATTCTCTTTTGTTCCCTCCTCTAAACATGGACGACCCAGACAATATTATACTGGTTGACGATAATGTCAGCAGTGCGAGTAGCGATACACTCGACCATGAAGCAAGAAGTGTTACAATAGAGAACGATTCTAGCTCTAGCAGCTCCTACTTTTTGCGCCAATACACTCGTACAGCAACTCCTTTCACCTCGTTACCTCAGGAAGTTGTCGACCTTACAGAATCAGACATATTTAATGGCGATTACATTACAGATGAGTGCCTTGAAGTGTTGCTTGAAAACGGGCTTCACTTACAACATGCCCCTGGCTCTCCTGCTCGGTCAGAACCCTCTAACAGAAAGTATCTGGAAGAGGCAATTTCAGACGGGATTGTTTATAAGCCGGGCCAATCAGTCGAACTTCATGATGATACATTTCTTCGCATATATTCTATATGGGAGAATGAGAAGGGTGAAATCTATTTCCAAGGTCGCCGACTACTTAAAGTCAAGGATCATATTGGCACTTATCTTCCCCAGTGGAATAATGAATTGGTTTGGATTGCGAATGAATCTGCTGATATCCCCTTGGAGCTTGTTCGACGCTTTATTTCAATTTGCTTTACAAACCACGGTCCAGATCAGCAGAGGATAGGTTCAAAATACTTAGTCTGCCGCCTGAAAGAAATTCTCCGCAAAGAAACTACATCAGTCGAATATTTAACATACGAGGAAGCAGACACCGGATCCCGCACCCTTCCAGCAGATTTGCGGCGCTCGTGGCGAGGAGGGACTCCTTTATTTGGCAGTAAAGAATATCAATCACCAGTTGTTATACTGGATGATATCGAAAATCCCGAGCAGCAAGATCTAATATGTCGAAAATATACCTTTGGTGACGGGTTTTGTGGTGCCGGAGGCGTTTCTTGTGGCGCTCAAACTGCCGGTTTACATATAAAATGGGCATTTGATAAGTCACAGAATGCTGCAGCAACATACCGACTCAACTTCCCTACTGTTGAATGCGAAAACAGTGATATATTTAGCTTCCTGACTAACAACGAAGATTATCTTCGGGTAGATATTACCCATGGCTCACCACCATGCCAAACATGGTCTCCAGCACATACAATAGCCGGGCCTAATGATGATGCTAACTCAGCATGCATTTTTTCTTGTGGAGACCTTATTCGCAAAGCAAAACCTAGAGTCCATACGATGGAGGAGACAAGCGGCCTCTGCGAGCGACACAAGGAAACCTTCTTTGGAGTGATCCGTGACTTTATTGATATTGGATATTCCGTTCGCTGGGCGGTTTTGAAATGCATGGACTATGGTGTCCCCCAGATACGAAAGAGGCTGGTTGTCATTGCTTCTGGGTATGTCTGCTTTACTTGCTTGGCATCATCTATAACAGAGCATTTGCTGATAATCATGATACTAATTAGGCCGGGTGAAACCCTTCCATTGCTACCACGAGCGACACACGGCCTGCCAGATACTGGCTTGCGCGAGATGGCAACGATCAACCGGGTTATTTCCAACATTCCCGCTGGTGCTCCGGATCACGATGTGGAAAACGCAAGAGCCCTAAACAAAGTGCCTTACGATGGAGACCGGCCCGCTAAGACCATAACCTGCGGAGGCGGTGATAACTATCACCCATCTGGAGAGCGTGGCTTCACAACTCGAGAGTATGCGTGTTTACAGACGTTTCCGATAAGCTTCCGCTTTCAACAGGATGCACGACAGCATATTGGAAATGCCGTTCCTCCTCTGTTCGCCAAGGCGGTTTATGGCGAGATTATCAGATCATTGCAAGAGACAGACAAGCGAGAATCTAGTCCGTGAAGGCACATGCTTTCGAGTTACTTAGCCGCGGGACCCATCCTTCCCGGCCGACCGTGGAACTTTCGGCGAGGAGGAATTCGGTATTCCGTGAACCGTGGCAAAGAGTTAGTTGTATTTATTTTCGCTCCGGTTGAAATAGTGAACAGACGGCGGTTTTGAGAGCTGCTTGGAACCAATTGGGTCAATGGCAGGGGTTTTGGCTGAGATGGGCCGAGAGAGCTGGAGCCGTGGTGCGGGGAAAGGAGGCATTCCGGGGAGGCTGGAAACCGCAGGGCAGTGTGTTAGCAATGGCCGAAAAGCGCCAGTATCATGCAAGAATAGCACATAGAATGAACCCCGTCACCAGCAGCGAAGAACCAAGTTATATTCCGAGATCGGATGGGAAAAGCACCGAGTGTAACCGTAACGGACGGCGGCCGGTTAAAAGTGCCCGGCCCAGAGGCACAACAAAAGCGAGCGGCCTCGGCTCACCCTCCTCAGACGTTCAGCCGACGTCAATCCCTCCTCTCCTTGGTGGCTCCTCACCTGTGCTTCACGTCAACCTTCTTCCTTTTCTCCTCTCCCTCCCTCCGACCAGGCAACCTTCCTCTCCTCTTCTGCTTCCCATTGAGTATAGCATTCTTGTTCCTATCTCTTACTCTTCACCATGTCTGCCTCTTCAGCGCTGAGACGGCTGACCCACAGGGCTCCCCGCAATCTCCAGTCCCGCATCGCTTCTCTCTCCCGCACTTCGTCTTCCCCGTCCTCCGTCCTCAACTCCTGCAGAGCTTCTTCATCTCCTGCTCTTCCTCGCGTCTCCAGATTCTCAACCATGGCGTCCCTGCAATCGGCGGCTCCAATCCCTCCTGCGGCCGAGAAGGCCTATGACCCCGAAATTAAGGACATGGCCGACTACATCCACAACTACAAGGTCGACTCTGATCTCGCGGTATGAGCCCCTCAATCGCTTAGCTGAAAGCTTAGATATTTTTCTTGCGTTGCATAAATGGTCCTAATGGTTTGTGTTTAGTTCGACACTGCCCGTCTGGTTTTCCTTGACACCCTCGGCTGTGGTTTGGAGGCCCTGAAGTTCAAGGAGTGCACTAAGCTCCTTGGTCCCATTGTCGATGGCACTGTTGTTCCCAACGGCACTCGCGTGCCTGGTACCCCCTACCAGCTGGACCCCGTGAACGGTGCTTTCAACATTGGTGCCATGATCCGCTGGCTCGACTACAATGACTGCTGGCTTGCTGCCGAGTGGGGTCATCCCTCCGACAACTTGGGTGGTATCCTTGCTGTCGCTGACTGGATTGCCCGCACCAACCGCGCTGGTGGTAACATTGCTGGAGGCAAGATCCCTACAGTCAAGGATGTTTTGGAAGCAATGATCAAGGCCCACGAGATCCAGGGTGTTCTGGCCTTGGAGAACTCCTACAACAAGGTCGGTCTGGATCACGTCGTTTTGGTCAAGGTCGCCACCACCGCCGTCGTGTCTAAGCTTCTCAACCTCAGCGAGAAGCAGACCGCGGATGCCATCACACAGGCGTGGGTTGACGGTCAGAGTCTCCGTACCTACCGACACTCCCCCAACACTATGTCAAGAAAGTCCTGGGCTGCTGGTGACGCCTGCCAGCGCGCTGTCAACCTGGTTCTGAAGGTCCAGAAGGGTGAGGGTGGCCTGCACACCGTTCTCTCCGCCCCTGGTTGGGGTTTCTATGACGTCCTGTTCAAGGGCAACAAGTTCAAGTTCCAGCGCCCCTACGGCAGCTACGTCATGGAGAGCGTTCTCTTCAAGGTTTCTTACCCTGGTAAGTATCGCAGACTTACATGTTAACTCCCTGGATGCTAATAATTGAATAGCCGAATTCCACTCTCAGACCGCCATTGAAGCTGCCGAGATTGTCAACGAGAAGCTCAAGGCCCTGGGCAAGAGCGCCAAGGATATCAAGGAGATCACCAACCGCACCCACGAGGCGTGCATTCGCATTATCGACAAGCAATTCAAGGCTATGGACAACTTTGCGGACCGTGACCACTGTGTTCAGGTACGATCTCTCAAACTATGGAACCGTTGACGTATAGTATAACTAACTCATTCCAGTACATGGTTGCTACCATGCTTACTTTCGGCCGCCTGACCGCCAACGACTACGCTGACGGCTCCGAGGCCGCTACCTCTCCTCTTCTCGAGGACCTCCGCAAGCGCATCCGCTGCGTCGAAGACCCTAAGTTCACCGAGGACTACCACGACCCCAGCAAGCGTACCATCCCCAACGCTCTCACCGTCACCCTAAACGACGGCACCGTACTCGACGAGGTTGTCATCGAGGCACCCCTCGGCCACCGTCTGCGCCGCGAGGAGGCTAAGCCCGAGATCCTCGACAAGTACCAGCGTCACCTGCAGGCCCACTTCGACCAGTCCCGCCTCAAGGAGCTCGTCGATCTCGGCAACAACAGGGCTGCCCTCGAGGCCTACGAGGTCGACAAGTACGTTGACCTCTATGTCACCGACAAGGTCGTTGCTCCCTCTGCTTAGGGGATTGATACCTTTGTTTTAAAAATTAGATTTATAAGCGTGTATAATGGTTCCGAATATAAAGATTGGTACAACCACTGTTATAAAACTTCTCTTCTACGTAGTGTGTTATATATAACTCCTAGAATGCATACTCATATATTGTAGTATAATTAGTAACCTGGGGACATTGAAGTTAAGGGGCCAGTACGAAAGTCCTCTTCTACTTCTTTGGCGAATCCATCATCCTCAAAAAAGTGACAGGCGACAACAGCCATACCGGCCGCGCAATTCATCGCCCGCTTGTGCGCCTCTAAGGTCCCTGCTCCATCGGCGAACTCCGGGGTATGGTTGCCACCCTTTGCGGGAATCATGAACATACCATGGAATCCAGGAACAGCGTATGATACATTACCTGTGACTTTTATTAGAAAAAGGGTATATCTAAGCGGTAGTATGCAAGGTGGAAGATGTACCCATGTCTGTTGACGCTGAACCACTCTCTCCAGGGGGGATGGTGAGTAGGACATGATGGTCCATGGCTCGCATTACAGAGACATAACTTTCGCAGATTGGCGAGTTTGATTTAACGTCGTCGTACGAGGTGCCCCTGTATTTAGTGGTGAGACAACGCAGCAAAAGAACAAGGTCATCTTTAACCAGGCTTACCATTCAAATTCGACTTGACAGTCCGTAGCCACCGCGGCGGCTTCAAAGCACTTAATAACCTTCTCAGTTAGTGGCCCCAGTGTTTCCCGAGTTGGAGAGCGAATTGTGTAGTTTAAAGTTGCGCTCGCGGGGATAATATTCGATCTTTCACCTCCGTTGACGATAATCCCATGCACACGCTGAGTGGGCAAGATCTGTTGTCTTAGAAGCGAGACATTGACATAAGCCGCAACAACCGCGTCAAGGGCATTGATGCCTTCCCAAGGTGCCGCAGCGGCGTGGGCCGGTTTTCCGATAAACGTTACGTGAACACTATTCTTCGCAAGGAACCCGCCGGCAGGCGGCCTTGCGAGGCTCAGGAGCTCAGGCCGGCCCGGCACGATGGGCGCCGGGTGGATCATCAGGCAAGCATTGACATCTTTGTATGCCCCAGCATCCAGAAGGCGGAGCTTTCCGCCGCCTGATTCCTCTGCCGGAGTTCCCAATAGACGAACGGTGTAGCTCACTTCTTTGGGTGCAGCGGCTTTCATGGCTTCGCAGGTAGCAATGAACGCAGCGATAGAGCTAGTTGCGATTAGGTTATGGCCACAAGCATGGCCAATATTTGGGAGTGAGTCCATCTCCGCGTTGAAGACGAGGACTCGGCCATTGTTAGCGTTGCCGTGTCGATATTCAATCTCGAATGCAGTGTCTATCCCGTAAGCATGGCGCCGGACGGAATAGCCTCCCGAGCTGAGTGTATCGAACAGGTCGCAGATAGCATCGTGGGTTTTGTATTCCTTAAACGCAAGTTCCGGGTTGGACCATATCTTTGGCTGTTAGATAGGTGTTCCCCCAAGAACCTGAACAAGGCGCTTACTTTGCGGTTTATGCTCTGCAGCTTGTCACCATATTTCCGGATAGCATCCTGTACCTTGCTGATGTAGCGTAATTGAGAAGCTTGAATTCGCATTGTTGTCCACTGGTGTTCGATACTGGTTTACCAAGGTTCGGAAGGGCGGCGGTCTCGGCGCGCCTAATCGGGTAGGAGGGGCAGCCCTCAAGAGAAACCCGTGACCACCGCTGCTTATATAATCCCGATGGGTCTTGGCACGCTCCTCCCTCGTTTCGGCTGCCCAGATTTGACCGGAATCAGCATTATCTTCTTTTCAACGCCAAGATGCTTCAAATGATTGCATGCAGATACCAGGCCCAATTACTCGTGCTAAGAAATACCCAGACAACTACAAACCTAAAGAGGATATTCGCTCTAAAACAGGCAATGCGAAGAGACGCCCAGCAAGCAACGCGTCGTTCGATAGAGGGGAAAGGGAAACGTTAATCGGCCCCGCTTTACGATAACACCAAAAGTTACACGTGTTGCATTGGCGGGATACGATATGTTCGAGATAACCCCTGCTAGCGAGGGGCGAAGCGGAAATGCAAGAAATGGAGAGGCCTGGGGCGTGCTCGGCAGCTCCGGTTTTGCGAGAGGCAAGAAAGGTGGATCCATTTCCGACCACCTGCCACCACCATGATTGATCCCGGGCCCGTCCCCATTCTCCGTTTTCGTTGAAGCGATGCTACCTTTCTTCCCGCTTCTTGTCCGTCGGACGGCCTGGGACGGCTTCTGTGAGCCCGTACCTCTGTTGGTTATGGTCAATTTAACGAGGTTCCGCTCTTGGAAATTCTTGGCTGAGCATGCCGTCCATCATTGCGTACCTTTTCTAGAATATTCCGTCCACAATGCTCACCGGTGCGGTTCCGGCGGCATTGTGGCAGAGCCCCTAGGCGTGATTACATTGGTGCGCAAGCTATCGGGATTCTGCTTCGGTGTCAGTGCCTGCATCGGTAGCGGGGTCTTCGGGGAGGGTATCCATTCTCCGCGAAACCCAACGTGGTATGTGTCGTGGGGTAAGGCAAGTCAATGCTCACGTTTTCTGCTAGCTGGCTGCCCAGGGGTGTTACTCTGATGGCAACTCCCTACTATCCACAATTCACGATTCGTAATACTAGTGGTATATTTCGAAAGAGATTAAATTGGCCCAGTTAAATAGTATCTGAGAAATCTGGGACACGATGAAGAGGACTTAGGGGCCTTTCGATTGCCCGAACCATGATTGCTGAATATCAAGGCGACTGATCTGACCGTCTGCTCTGTATTCCGCATTTAAGAGCAAATGAGCATTGCTTCTTTACTCCGCGTATGCAGCAAGTTCCGCAGCGGCTGCAGGCGCTGAGCTGGTGCCATCCGTCGGGCGTCAAATGCCTTGCACAAAGCCCTCATGTTCTCCTCCGTGTATCTATCCTGCACGTTGCTGACGCCCAGTCGCTCGGTACTGACAAACCAGCCTATCCTGCACCAGCGCCTGGCGCGGCTGTTCCTCATCTTTGATCCTCGACCTCACCCTGAAATTGTTGGCAAACTGCTCGCACCTGATACTCCGCATAGCTTGGCGGCTCATGCGGCGAGAACTGCAAGCTCGGACGCACCCAAAGATTGGCTGTCAATACGCAGGCGGCTGCAAGCGCTCAGACGCAATCACTTTCAACCTCCCCAGTCTACTGGTTGGGTATAGTCCTCCAAGTGACACCCGTTGTCGTTTCTTTTTCCATCGGACGTCTGTGCGTATTTGTCCACGGAAAAGCAACCCTAGTTTAAGAAACCCCTCATGTAAGATCTACATCTAATGTTCGATCCCAAGGACCATTTGTAAATGCGGTCAGGAACTGAACGTGGGACTTGAGTATTGGCGCAGACGACAGAGGAAGAAACAGAACCTGCATATGCCGAACCTGCCGCCTTGTCGCTATGTGCGCGAAACCTTCCATATTTGCATTGCCATACCCTGCTAGACCCAGTCTAGTCTTTCTTCCCTCACCAAGGATGCAAAGGAATGCCAACCTAGCAAGTGTAAACACCTTGGGAAAGTCATCACATGGTCTTTCGGCGGCACGGCATCCCCATGGTACATATCTCACTGCAGCCGCAAGCACAAACCAGGCAAACAAACCAACCCCAGACATGCACGTCTTGAAGAATGAAGCAAACATTCATGGTCATCAGTCCCCTGCAGATGGCCCAGATCAATCCATCTGAATCAAACCCCCACGAAAGCCACGGCAGCTTCCCAGGGCCCGACAACCTGGGGAAAATATGACCGTCAACGAACCGGGTGATTGTGTTCTCGGCAGTTTTGAGCTCAGATTCCAACGATTTAATTGAGTTTCCCAACGAATCCGCACGAAGTAAGTACTTTGGAACATCCTTGTACCACCGCCCGTCTCGCTTTCTTAATCTCGTAGTCTAAGAATAGTCTATCTCCTCGGAGCACGGAAACCGGAAGCTCAAAATAAAAAAAATACCTTCCGGAAATAAAATCATGAATTTTTTAAAAAAAAAAAAGGGAATAACCGACAATGTGAGAGGCCAGCGTAGCTGTGGAGTTCTTGACTGGGCTGACCCAGGCTGATGTCGTCATCCCTGGCTCATCACTTCTTGGCCAAGGGAGAGTTGGATTCCTCCACTGCAGTTTTCTCAGGTTTCCACGTTGATGGTCTATATTGACAGTATTAAGGCTGAATTTGATACCCCAACATTCCCGCTAAACCTACTTTAAGAATGCTACAACTTTAAATATCTAGCAGGGGTAGTTCCCTTATTTACTGATTCCGGCCACAAAACGGAAAACGGAAACGTAATATAGACAAAATGCCAAGTCTGGGACCAGCCCAGCCCGGTCCATTTCATGCTCACAAAGTTCTCTAACTCGACTAGGCTGCGTCGAAAAGCGGAGTCGGGGTTGGAGTATCAGGATTCAGGACAGCTGCGCAGGGTCATTGTGTGGGGAGGGCAATCCGATAATAATAATAAAAAAAAAAATAGACTAATTTTCACCCGGGAAAGAGCACGTCCGCGCATATTGGGCATCTGTACTGGCGGTACTGGAACCATGAAGCAAGACAGGCCGTGTGGAAGGCGTGGTTGCATCGGTTGAGGATCAGCACGCCGGTGAACGAACACCGAGTGTTTGATCCTACACCCTGGTAGTCATGAGACATAGGAGCTTGAAGGGGTCGAGAACAGTCGTTGTAGTCGTCATTGTTTGTTTGAGGCCTGCATAATAGATCGGAGTGGCGATGTGAGATGTGTGCTGCCTCAGGTGGTGATAGCGGCTGGTTCTGATTTTGATTCAGAGTGTGGACTGTGGAATCGGGGAGCGATAAGGCCGACGGCACGAGAAGGGACGCGAGACAGATGGGGCTGGCAAGTCGGAACATTCATTAACTCAAAATTGCTCGTCCAGGTTGGATCAGCGCTGGAAGGGGGGCGATCAATGAGACGGAGGACCGCCAAGCCGCACTAAATCCAGCCCTGTCCCCGCATCCTGTCGCGGAGGATGCCAAGGCTGACCCAAAGAGTGGAAGGAAATAGAGCGCGAGGGCAACGAGCTTACCATGATTCGCCTGCGAATCGCTCCAGGTTCTCGGACGTTGATTGCTGATCTAGCCATCTTTGCACGGTGACCTGTCTCATGCTACCGTTGGTTTCGAGATGACGGAGCTCATTTGCATGTCTCTGTGCTGCTCTCCGACGGTGCCGTCGCATAATAATGCTGCATGTTTGATCTGATTAATAGGATTTTCCTGTGTCGCGTGCTTCTGGGGCAGGGGTATGGGGAAGCAGGATTGATGTGATCTGTCTCGAACGCCTCGCGCAGGAATCGAATTCCGTGGAATATTCTGAAGTGCGGCAGGGGTGCGTGCATGGGTGGGCATCAGGAGGGGTGTGCGGGCGAGAGGAGGGGGAGAAACAGACGGAGTTGGCTCGGCCGAAGATAGGGGGAAATCAAAAACAAACGTACATCGGAAGTATGCTAATGGCGCCGAAGAGAAGCACAGCTCCAATAACGACGGCGATTAGATTTTTGCTGGTCGGGCTGCCCGCCATGCTGCCATAGCATAGGCCCAGCTGGCGACGGGCGTGCAAAATACGAAAACGACCGAACCTAGCAATCTAACATATCCAATGATATGGCTCGATGCAACGTGGGGGGTTTTATCGGATAAATCGGCTAGAACGCGACTGCATTCACATCTGACGGGTCGAGACTGGCGATGTGAGACGCCTGGGATTCACTCTAGTGGGGGGAAAGGTCCATTCACAAATGTTCCTTCGGGGATGCAGGGCCAATTTGAAGGGCCACCGGGCTGAATTTAGACCGGCTACCCACCCTCAGGCCCCTCAAGGCTGCAGCCTGCCAAGTTTGTGTCCAAGAGGCACCAATCCTAGGCGTGAATTGTTCCCAGCGTGCGCCAACCGCCAAGGCTCCCGCGCTCTCCGGATGCACTTGGCACTCCGCTGGGTCCACCACGGAACTTGACTAATCACAGGCCGTGTAGTGCCCGGCTTCGCCGCTGGTTCGCTTAGAGGCGAATTCGCCAAGCGTTGTAGGCCTTCACGTGGTTCGCCCGAGTCGTATGCGTCATTGCCGGTGCCCTTAACACAACGACGAGCATACTCCAATCCTTGGTTACAGCCAAGAACACCAATCCGTGGTGCTTATCATTGGCGCTTGGCGTTTTACCGATCCGGGTTTGATAGTGGAGGCCTATATCGCCCCCGGACCAGCCTCTGAGACTTTCGTCATGGTTGAGTTAGAGTTAAATAGAGTGCCATCGCCCACCTTTCCGGAGATCTCGTCGGAAGATAGAAACCTGGAATCTAGATCCTCAATCCTCAATCAATACCGATTCGGGCCCAGTCCTTCTCGTGTATGGACTCGCATTCTTTGGATGACACTATCTATATGGAGCCTCCCTAAAGCACACAACCATAGTAGAAACGTCAGAAAAAACAATAACCTCGAAAGAAAACACAACCTCAACACAACTCAAGAAACGATATGGGAGAGAAGACCGAGCAGGCGGGAGGACAGCACGTCCAGCCCCTGTCCAAGCCGGGTCACTCACTCACCTGCGATGATGTCCTCCGTGAACTTCAGGTAAATTCGGAGGAGGGTCTCTCCGCCGCTGAAGCAAAGAAGCGGCTGGAGTTGTATGGACCCAACGAACTGGAAGGCGGCGAAGGAGTTTCGCTCGCCAAAATTGTTATTAGACAAATTGCCAATGCGATGATGTTGGTAAGTTATCCTCCTTGTCCTAAAACACATACTCTCGCGAAATCGACATGGTTGGTTAACGTCTTGATTATAAAATATATAGGTCCTTATCATTGCGATGGCCGTCAGTTTCGGAATCCAATCGTGGATCGAAGGCGGCGTCATCGGCGCAGTCATTGGACTTAATATCGTGGTGGGCGTGTATCAGGATTATGCTGCAGAGAAAACCATGGATTCTCTTCGGAACTTGAGTTCGCCTACCGGTGTAGCCACTCGCGACGGCAAAACAAACACTATCCCTGCCACCGAAATTGTCCCCGGAGACATGATTGAACTCAAAGTCGGCGACACTGTCCCGGCGGATGTTAGGTATGTCTTCTCAATAATAAAGTGGAAAGAACAATGCTAACCTTTACTAGACTCGTCGATGCCATGAACTTTGAAACAGACGAGGCGCTGCTAACCGGCGAGTCGCTACCCGTACAAAAAGAGGTCGACGTGACCTTCGATGAAGACACCGGTCCCGGAGATCGTTTGAACATTGCGTACAGCTCCTCAACCGTTACCCGGGGCCGAGCTCGCGGAGTCGTGGTCGGCACTGGAATGAAAACCGAAATCGGAGCTATCGCTGCTGCTCTTCGTGCTAATGACTCGAAGAGGCGTCCTGTTAAGCGCGGTCCGGAGGGTGAAACCAAGAAGCGGTGGTATGTGCAGGCCTGGACATTAACAGCCACCGATGCTGTTGGTCGGTTTTTGGGTATCAACGTCGGAACACCGCTGCAGCGCAAGCTTTCCAAGTTGGCGCTGCTTCTTTTCGCCATCGCTGTTATATTCGCCATTGTCGTCATGGCTTCCAATTCGTTTAGTAGCCAGAAGGAAGTTATTATCTATGCTGTTGCCACTGGACTTGCGATGATTCCAGCTTGCTTGGTTGTGGTCTTGACCATCACAATGGCGGTGGGAACAAAGCAAATGGTTGAGAGACATGTCATTGTCCGGAGACTTGATTCTCTGGAAGCACTCGGTGCTGTGACTAACATCTGCTCAGACAAGACTGGAACTCTCACCCAAGGCAAGATGGTCGCCAAAAGAGCGTGGCTCCCATCGCTGGGAACATATTCAGTTGGAGCCTCCAGCAACCCATTAGACCCTACCGAGGGTGACGTTAGTCTCTTGACCGATGCTCCTGTCAAACTTGAGCGCGATGTGCAAGGCGAGGCCACAGACCCCCAAGAACTGATCAAAGAAAACCAGACCTTGGAGGACTACCTTAACGTTGCTGCCATGGCCAACCTGGCCTATGTGCACAAGTCCGAGAAAGAATGGCAGGCTCGTGGTGAACCAACCGATATTGCAATTCAGGTCTTCGCATCCCGCTTCAACTGGGGTCGTGAGCGCTGGACAAAAGGCGAGAAGCCGATCTGGAAGCAGAAGGCCGAGTATCCGTTCGACTCAAGCGTGAAGAAAATGTCCGTCATTTTTGCTCGTGATGGTACCTCTGAAAAGGACACTCGCCGCCAAATGGTTTTCACAAAGGGCGCTGTGGAGCGAGTCCTAGAGTCTTGCACCTCTGTCCTCTGGACCGCTGGCGAAGATCCCATCCCCATAACTGAAGATATCCAGAACCAGATTCTCCAAAATATGGAGGCCCTTGCAAAGGAGGGCCTTCGAGTCCTGTCCCTGGCCTGCCGCGAAGATGATAGCGTCATTGAGAACAGCGAAGAAGTGCCCCCTCGCGACCAGGTCGAGGCGGACCTCACGTTCTGTGGACTGATCGGTCTGTATGATCCTCCCCGGCCCGAGACAGCTGGTGCCATTGAAGAATGTTACCGCGCTGGAATCTCCGTCCACATGGTCACCGGTGACCACCCTGGTACGGCACGAGCTATCGCTGCGCAGGTCGGTATCATCCCCGCCAACATGAATGAAGTTGCCAAGGACGTCGCAGACGCAATGGTCATGACTGCTAGCCAATTCGATAAGCTCTCAGAAGATGAAATCGACAACTTGCCTACCCTTCCTCTGGTTATCGCCCGATGCGCGCCTAATACCAAGGTCCGTATGATTGATGCTTTGCATCGCCGTGGCCGCTACGCAGCCATGACAGGTGACGGTGTCAATGACTCTCCATCCTTGAAACGGGCTGATGTCGGTATTGCCATGGGAGAAGCGGGTTCTGATGTAGCAAAGGATGCATCAGAGCTGGTTCTTACTGACGATAACTTTGCTTCCATTATTAACGGTATTGAAGAAGGTCGCCGGATTTTTGATAACATCCAAAAATTCGTCCTGCATCTCCTCGCTGAAAACGTTGGTCTGGCGCTTACCCTCTTGATCGGTCTCGTGTTCAAAGATGTCAACGGACAGTCCGTCTTTCCTATTGCCCCCGTCGAGATTCTCTGGATTATCATGATTACCTCCGGTATGCCTGATATGGGATTGGGAATGGAGATTGCTGCTCCGGATATTATGGACCGACCCCCACAAAGCGTACGTACTTCCTCGCTATTCACAAGCTTGTTAACCAGTCCGTGCTAACAAACCACAGAAACAAGGTATCTTCACCTGGGAAATCATCGTCGACACCATCGTGTACGGCATATGGATGGCCGCTCTCTGCCTGACCTCCTTCTCCATGGTTCTTTACGTCTGGGGCGACGGAAACCTCGGCGAGGGCTGCAACTCCAGCTACACGCCCGATTGCGATACTGTTTTCCGCGCCCGTGCCACCACCTTCGTCTGCATGACCTGGTTCGCCCTCTTCCTCGCCTGGGAGATGATCAACATGCGCCGTAGCTTCTTCCGCATGCAGCCCGGCTCAAAGTTGTATTTCACGCAGTGGATGCACGATGTCTGGCGCAACAAGTTCCTATTCTGCGGTATCATGCTTGGTTTCGTCACAACTTTCCCTGTGCTCTATATCCCCGTCATCAATGACGTTGTTTTCAAGCACACCGGAATCTCGTGGGAATGGGGCGTCGTCGTTGTTGAAGCCATTCTCTTCTTCTGCGGCGTCGAGCTGTGGAAGTTTTGTAAGCGCATTTATTTCAGACGCCAGTCAAAGAAGAATAAGGACACGGGCCATGTGTATCGTGGCCCTCAGGATTTCAGCCGCTACACCACTATGAGCCGTTCGGATACCCAGGCGACTGGGGATATAAAGCCGGAAGCCGCCATGGTTTAAGTACTGAAGTTGACTTATCACCAAAGGTAGCTAGTCCAGCCACTTGACTTCGACTCTGGAATATCGATGTCAGTATAAGCAGGTAGACTGCAAAAGTTGGCCGTAATGGTTCAAATCAGCGCCAAAGCTCACCCCGCACCGGTAGTTCGTGTCCACCATATCTATATACCCGTGGACTCAGCTCTGGATGTCCTTGAACGAATGGCCTCACAGCCTCAAAGAACTTCCTTTCATCTTTGTCATTCGATTGAGATGTTGATGACCCTTGCAGATAGATTGATATGATTGATTCATTGTTGAACATAATAGTGATGTTGATAGATTAGCATTAGTAAATATCACACGCATTTGAGTATAAATATCCCCCTCTTTCTCTCTGATTTTGTGATGTTTGATCCTTTGGTGTCGTAGTTGTAGAATTTCCTAGAAGAGGAACCTCACAGGTGAGGAAATTTGTTTGACAACGCAATGGGGGACGAGGACTAAGAGACAGAAGCCTATATATCCCCGGGATGAGCTGTATGCGTGATTTCCTGGACCAATAGTATCACGATGACCAGATTGGAACAAGAGGGCGAGGGCGGTCAGCACCCCACGCCCAGTTCCACTGCTGGGCACTGCAGGTGATTGGAAAGGGAAGGACGATTGGAGATGAGACTCCTGGAAGTATGCAAGGTGCGGAAATTGGCATAGGGCTCGGTTGCCCGAAGGTTGGCCGTTGTAAACTACTTGAATGCAAGCTGAGGAACGCAGAGGTTTATATAGAATGGAAAGCCAGATGTAGAAGATGGGGGTCATCTAGGCAACAGTTTTACGGGAGGTTATCCTGCATTCACGCATTGTTGCCAAGGTGCCGGAGGATATAGCTACATGATGATGGAAAGGTCTGATTGATGCGGATGTAGTTGTATTGGGCCTAGCAATGCTCTAGCGCTCCTCCGTGAGTCACACGCGGAGAGGGGGTAACAGATGAACATGGATTTTGAGGGGGTGGGGTCATGGTCTGCAGCCCTATCATAGGGCTTCTGCGGCCGGCGCAGCGGGGGTCTTCCCTGACTCTTGGACAACAGAGTCAACCTGTTGCTGGGGGGAGACGGCATTGGTTTCCCTCTCGAAGCTGCGCATGGGGTAGTAGCCCCATCGGTCAAACATGGCTCGGTCCTCATCCCAGCCATTGCAGTCAGTCGTCAGCATCTTTTCTCCGGTAAAAACAGCGTTTGCACCAGCCTGGAAGCAGGCCACCTGCATCTCCTCTGAGAGGGAAATGCGGCCCGCAGCAAGGCGGACGATCGTTGCGGGAAGGATAATCCGGGCGGTTGCGACAGTGCGTAGAAGCTTATCAAAGGAGATCATCTTTCGGTCTCCCAATGGGGTACCGGGGATAGGGACCAAAGCATTCACCGGGAACGACTCAGGGTGCGATGGCAGCGAGGAAACAGTGTGGATAAGACCAATACGGTCAGAGTCAGCCTCACCGAGTCCCAAAATACCACCAGAGCAAACGTTGATGCCGGCATCTCGGACATGAGACAAGGTCTTCAGTCGCTCGTCGTACGATCGGGTTGTGATGATAGTCGGGTAGAATTCGCGGGAGGTGTCCAGGTTGTGGTTGTAGGCTGTTAGACCGGCGTCCTTCAGTTCTTTGGCCTGGTTATCATCGATCATTCCTAGCGTGACACAGACTTCCATTCCCATCTCCCGAACACCAGATACCATCTGCTTGACATTTTTCAAACTTGTCTTGCGACCTCTCATGTCACGCCAAGCAGCGCCCATACAGAAACGAGTACTCCCATTTGCTTTGGCGATCTTGGCGGCCTTGAGAACGTCGTCGACGGGGCTCATTTTCGTGGCCTTCAGGCCAGTGCTGTGCCGGGAAGACTGGGAGCAGTAGGAGCAATCTTCACTGCATCCACCAGTTTTGATATTCATCAAGGTACACATCTGGATCGCGGCGGGGTCATGGAAGCGGCGGTGGACAGCGGCCTATAGAGAATGTGTCAATTTATTTTCCTAAATATCTAGACAGGAGTCGAAGTAAAAATTATAGGACGTACGGCAGCATAGGTTAATTGGTTCAAGGGCGTCTCGTAAATCTGCTGAACTTCATCGCGAGTCCAATTGGTGCGCGGGGCAGTAGCCGCCGTAGCCTCTCTGAGAGCGGGGGGGATCCTGCTCGCAAAGGAAGCGGCAGTGGGCGATGACTGAACAGTGCCATAGGACCTTGCAAAGGCCCTGGGAAGGGACCGTGAAAATGAGACTGACATAGCGATGTTGGTTGTGTCAAAGAGAGTCGCTCACAGAGAAAGGTGAACAAACATCTGCAGCGGGAGGGGAAACTGAGAGGGGACTGGGGCTGGGACTGGGAAGCAGAACACGTCAATTCGTCATCGGAGATGGCTCGGGGAAGGAGATTGGCCGGGGATCATTGGACGACAAAGACTGCAAAAAGCCGCGGGCCAATTGAGGAGGTATTTCCGATTGCTTGAGAATAAGGTACCCCCATGCTCGAGGTCAGATGGGCGAGAGCGTTGACCCCAACGCTGGTTCAACACTGGCCAGGCTGACAGAGTCATCGACTCATCGGGAAGGGCGTGGATCAAGAATTCGAATATTTCCCTATGGGAAAGTGTCCCGGCCATTCAGATCGCTGCAGTGCCTGATCTTATCCTCTTGAGTCTGATTTGCTCATCATTTACGCGTTGTGAAGCGTAGATCTGCGGGCAAAAGCAGACCGGAACCATTCATCAGGAGCCCACGCTGTTCCTGGCAATTGGCAAATGGCGGGGGCCCGATTAACACGGATAACGACGGACCGTCAACACTTAACCTAGGTTAACTGACAAGCGTTCCGTTCTTGCGCCCCTCGTGTTGGTCTGGTTCGAGGCCAAGATTCGGTGAGCCAATTCTTCAACGGCCCAGGATGGGATATGGCTTCCAGTTCCACCCGATTTCCGCTTTGCTTTACCGGCGGTCGGTGAGACTCGCGATAGACGGTGAGTCGGTGACTCACTGTCACTTCAACATAACAATTTTATTTATTCATTCATTCATTCAATTACGTATGCTAACTATAGCAGTGCCTCGCGCAGCAGGCCCTCAATTGTTTTCAGTGTGTCTTCTTTGGCGGTCACGCTCGACATCAAGTAGAGCACATTACCGAGAACTCTGGAGTGGACGTTAAACTGCGGCCCGCCAGCAGCTAATCTGGTCTGAAGGCCTTTAGCCGCAGTGGATGTGTAGCCTATTCAGTGGAGTTGTCACATGTTAGCCGGCTGGAATCGGCGGGGGAGGGAGTCAGTGTAGAAAATATTTCGGGAAACTCACCTGCACCTTGTGCATCTTTAAGGGAGATGCTGAGTACTGTGCCAATGGCGAAGACGCTGTCAACGGTCGCTGCGTGGGATAGGTCATGGACGAGCCCATGGGACCAAACACTCCAGACTTGCTCCGGTCGGCCATCGCCGGCATGGGATTGGTTCCAGTCGGCCTTGAATCCATTCCAGGCCCCATTCTCGTCCATACTGTTCATTGTCCGTAGAGAATCCACGCCTACTTGGCAGCCAACAGCATGAGCGGTATAGCTGTGTCCGTGGAGGAGGGCATCTGTCTTGTCCGGGCTATCAAAGGCATTGAAGACCTCATTGCTTGCTAGAGTGGTGCAGAGCGGCACTAGACCTCCAGTAAGAAGCTTTGCGTTGACAGCGATATCGGGGTTGACGCCGAGGAAGGACGCGGAGGATTTTCGGCCTAGACGGTAGAGGCCAGTGAAAACCTCGTCGAAGACAATTGGAAGGCCGGACCACGAGACCTCAGACTGTGGGGGCAGCTCTATCGAGGCCGGGTTAGTTCGGTTAAACAGCTGTGGGTTTCCGCGGACAACATCTGCGAGGCATCGCTGAAACAATGGGTCACTGCAGTGGTTTTCCGTCAGTTGGTTCTCTGTACAGGGCGAGCAATGTCAATACTGACCAGAATAGCATGCCACCGGCTCCTAGGATGATGGGCTCCATGATAAGGCCTCCGAATTTCATCCCTTCCTGTTGAACTAGGCGCTCAATGGTGCTTAGGATGTACTTCCTGTAACGCTCCCCGACATCTGAATTGACTCTGCTTTCCAAGTCGAATACTGCATCCAACGAAGAGAATTCCTGCGTGCCTCCAAGAGACTCTTGCAGCTCCGCAGGAACGTCGACCTTCCAGACCCCCTGGGACATATTGACCAGAGGGAAGTCGAACCAGTAGCCACGTCCTCTGTACCATTCGACTCTCTTATTGAAGGTTGATGGCTCTGAGCAATCCATAACTCCAATTGTATCACCATGATAGCTGCCCTTAAGACCCAGGATGTTGACCTGCTCCTGGCTTGCATCCCAGCCATATCTGTCACACGTAGCACGAAGTGCCATCTTGAGAGCAACCTCCATTCCAGTACTGCCATTGTCCGTGTAGAAAACCTTCTGAAGACGAGGATTGCCAACTGTCTTCAAGAGTGTTTCTGCCAGTGACAGTGCAGGCTCATGAATATTTCCAGGGAACATTACATGCCCGTAGCGTCCAGCAGCATAAGCAGCTGATAGAGCAAGGCCCGGGTTCCCGTGGCCTAGGCCCTGTGTCCACCATGATGCAGAGCCATCATATGTCGCTTGGAGCTTACCTTGTTGTGCCGAGTTTTCTGGAGCCGTGTATGTCTGGAAGAAATCATCATATGCCGAGTCAATTGGAGTAATGTCCTTGGGCTGCATGCCGTGATGCTGCGTAAATGGGTACCAGATCGACTTTTGCGCTCGACCTGCCATGTCTTCGAGCGAATCGATCCGTTGTTCATTTTTGAGAGCCAGCTCATCGAGGAGGGACACGACATCCGTGCCCTCCGCAACACGAGTGTAGTATGTGTCTAACGCTTCAAGATCCCGAGCATGGGAGTCGGAATCCTGTTCCTGTGGGCGCGCAGGCGGCGGGGGCAATGGAACAAGCGGTATACTTTTGCCCCGAAAGTAATTGCCCAAATACTCGTGGTTCTGATAATATTCGTCTCTGAATAGAAGTACAGAGTGAATGTCGTAGCCCCGCATCAAGAGGGATTCATAGGCAGATATTGATGACGATATTCCACCGAGGCGAGAGTCAGCGACCAGAATAATCGGCAGCCGAAGAGGCCGGTAGAGGTCAGCCTGGGAATTCCCATTGGGGCCTGGTGACTGAACACCGCCGGCCGTTTCGACCAAAGCAAAATTGACTCCATCGTCAGCCCAGCCGGAAAGGGTCTTATGGACTGAGGAGAGGATTTCGTCATCCCGGGGAATCTGCTGGCCTCAGTATGCTGCTCAAAGATAAAACTCGGGATTGGGCTTCATACAGTGAAGTTCTTCTGTTGGGCTGCAATATGCGGGCTGACAGGCTCATCGAACTGGTAGAGGCATTTTGTCAACGTGCCGCGAGCATGGCGTTGCAGGTGCCTGAGGTCATGCGTTGAGCTGATAATATTCACCCACCAAAGTCAATTGATCTTACCTGTCATCCGCATCGTCCAGTGCGCCCGTCGAAACCGGTTTCAAAAATGCCGATTGTTTTTTGGTCTTGAGGCGATTGACAGCATTGCAGAGAATAGTCGACACAATGGTTTTGCCCACGTCGGTGTTCGCACCATACACCTGGTGGGCGCGGAGAGAGCGCCAGAGCGCGGCACCAACGGGCGCCATGATGGTAAGCTTGGACTTCCTCGATAGGAGAATTCGTATATGCTAAAAAGTTTAGGGCATTATAGAGCTCAGAGCAAGAAGATGTTCGTCGGTGAGAGCTCCGGCAGCGGTTGCGACCGAGAAGGTCTGATGTAATGACGGACCCTGGACGGTCCAGTCTACACCGGGAAACAAAGCAATCAATGGATGGGTGAATGGAGCTCCTGTTTAGGCATCCGTCAAGTTTGACAGGATTTACAGGACGACAGAGGACCGAGGCCCAGAATTAAGTGCTGCCGGGCTTGCCTGCTCTTCAGGGAGCCCTCCGGATCCATTCCCCCACCGGCAATCCCAACAGATCAAACTGAATCCCCGCCGAGTTGATTTCTTTTGGCGGACCGTCGAACCCAAAATTGACTCAATTCAGGAACCGGTTCACCATCCCGTCGCCGGTCTCGGGCTATTATAGTGAATACTTCTATAACTTACGAAATTTGGATCGTGTGATGGGTCAGAAAAGACGGACCTGAACGTTGTCACTTGTCAACAAGCCCACAAAGCTTCTTCCATCCTTTCGTTTCTTCTTTTCCAACATCCTTTTCCGTTCGGCCGTTTGCTTTCTGCTCGCTTGAATTGGCTTCAACAGTGGGATCCAAATGGGTGCTTCTTCTCCAAAATGCCTACGTGACACCATGCGTCAGGCACTGCGTCAACGGGAAAGCAGGTTGTGCCGTCGAAAGCTCACGGTTCTCCCTTCGTCCTCTGTGGACTTTTCCTCAAACGATTTCTTGTCATTGTCAACAGCACCAGCTTTCCGAACACGATTCCTAGACCTTGTCCAGCAGGCGCCACCATTGTACCCATTTGCTAGTGGAGGTTCGCGGCTTCTAGATGGAAACTCAGCTTACACCGAGGAACTAGAGGATTTCGTCGCCGCTTTCCATAATGCCCCAAGCGGGCTTCTATTTAATTCAGGCTATGATGCAAATGTCGGTGTTTTTTCAAGCATCCCTCAGCCGGGTGACCTGATTGTATACGATGAGCTTATCCATGCGAGTGCGCATGAAGGCATGCGACTCTCACGAGCAGGAAAGCGCCTCAAGTTTGGTCACAGTTCTCCTGATGACCTGGAGACAGTGCTTCAGGCAGAACTTGTGGCAGATCCTCGGCTTCGTGAGGGTCACCAAAATGTCTTCATTGCCATTGAGTCTGTCTACAGTATGGACGGCGATGTGGCGCCTATTGCTGAATTCGTGAAAGTCGTGGATCGGCTTCTTCCTCATAAAAATGGGTATTTCATTGTGGATGAAGCCCACGCAACCGGCGTCTTTGGTCCACGCGGGTCTGGCGTCGTCCAGGATTTGGGACTAGAAGACCGGATGTTCATTCGGACACATACGTTTGGCAAGGCTTTGGCTAGCCATGGAGGTAAGACTCCCGCCTAATCATTGGAGTGGTGATACTGACAACCACAGCAATTGTCCTTTGTTGCCGAGATACTAGAGATTACTTGATCAATTACGCTCGCAGCTTGATTTACACGACTGCCTTAGGGTTTCCCTTCCTTGCTTCCATCCGTGCCGCCTATGAATTACTTGCTGAAGGAGAAACTGAACAGGTATGATCTTTTCCTTCCTTCGTACAAGCAAAGCGCTTAGTACTCTTGTAAAGTATATGCTAACTAACTTTTAGCTCCAACGCAAACTGGGGCAACTAATTGCGTATTTCCGAACTCGACTTGATAATCTCGGCTCCTGGGGCTCGTCGGCAATCGAAGTCGACCATTTCTCTAGTTCACCAATATTTTCACTTCGCAGCCGCGTGCCTCGAGAGCTCGCCGGTGTTTGTCAGCGTGAGGGATATACCGTTCGTGCAATCATGTCGCCCACTGTTCCAGCAGGCAAAGAGCGTGTACGGGTATGTCTGCATGCAGGGAACACAGTGGAAGAAATCGATGGTCTTCTAGAGGTCATTGAAGCTTGGCTACATCAAACAGAAAAGAAAACAGCTCGGTTATGAGATTATCAAGCTGCTATTCCTAGATTATTTTACCTGTTTTTGATGAAGAACTGGGATACTTCATTTGACTTCATCAATAGAGGTGTGAAGCCATGATCCCGTCACGGAAGAACTTTCAGCTCAAAGGGATAGCCCGAGAGGAGCATTCATTCACTTTTCCCAGCTTCTCCGACATGAAGGACATGTAACTTGCTGGTGGCTCTTGAAATTCTTACTCCATTTGTTAAAGCAGTCGGCGTGGTAATTGACTCCACAACGTGCCCGACACCAAACCAATCTTTTTTTGCCGGAGTCACCAGTATAGTGAATACTATCTCCGATCGTGAAATGAGGCCACAGTGAATTTGTCGAATGCTTCAGTGGAGAGAGGCTGATTACACAGTCACCCTCTACCGGCTTTCTCGATGCTATTTCTCTGTACCCCAACCCCGCCGGTAACTCCCTCATCGGAATATTGTTTTCAGTATCGTATTCGGTGGCCGAAGTGATGGGTCTCAGCTCAACGAAGAATTGCTGTATCTCTCGCCGACACATCAATCCCATTAAACGACCTCTTTTGTGGACATCTTCACGCAGAGCAACAACTTGACTTTCAAATCTTGAAGATCTCCTCGGAAATGGTAGAGGGGCTACTAATTGCGCGAAGAGCACATATGTCTCTTCATAGGCTTCGTCCGGGATCGTCGTGGCCTGCGATGGGCCATCGTCTGCTGCCTCGGGGGTTGCTAGGAAGATTAGACGAAAGGGGAGGAGTGCATATTCTGGGGTCCAAAAGAAGGGACATTGACGGATCTCGGTTTCCATAATGGCTCTTGGCCGCATATATTCTCAGTGTAAACCCGCATGAATTGTCATTGTAGATTGATTGAGGTCAGGAAGAGACAGAAGAAGGCCATCATGTGTTCATTCATCTGCATTAACTTCTGCGGTCCATGGCCCACCTTCAGATAACCTTTCTTGGAGTCTTCTATTGTCAAAATGCCTATTGTTAAATGCCTATTGTCAAAACGTACAATTCCTGAATCAATTCTATTGTCACCTTCACTCGCTATGTAGCTATATCTACGACAGAGTGACTCCAACAGTAGTCTGCTAAGTATTAATAAGACAACCACCACCCACAACTCGCACTCTCCAACCTCCACCCATCTCAACTCCGTCAAACACGCATCAAGACTAAAGAACCATGGAACAAGACACAATACTCATCGTAGGCGCGGGGATTTTCGGCGTCAGCACAGCTTATCACCTCGCGCAACAAGCCACCGACCCCTCCCGCATCATCCTCTTGGATCGGGCTGCCCCTCCATCCAACAACACCCTCGCAGCATCATCCGACATCAACAAGATCATCCGCGCAGACTACTCCAGCCAGTTGTACATGGAACTAGGCTTCGAAGCCATCGAAGGCTGGAAATCGCTTCCATTCTTCCAGAATGCCGGAGTCTACCACCAGTCCGGGTGGATAGCTATGGATGAGAAGGGAAGCGACATCCCACAACGTATTAGGGAGAATTTCCGAAAAAGTAGCCATGGCCACGACGCTGCTCTCACTGATATGACCGAAGATGAAGTCCGTCAGGCGTGGGGCGGTGTTCTGAGCCGAACGGACTGTACGCCATTTGGGTCGTACTATTTTAACCAGTCGGCTGGTTGGGCTGACGCTGGGAAAGCGCTTCAGTTAATGCTTCAGGAGGCTATCAAGATAGGTATTAAGTATGAGAGTGGGGAGGCAAAGCAGGTTGTTTTGTCTTCGGATGGAGGTGCAGTGCAGGGTGTTGAAACTGAGGCCGGAAATGTACTGCGGGCGGACAAAGTCGTGCTCGCGACTGGGGCTTGGACGAGCAAGCTGCTGTTTTCACTGGAGGATTCTTTGGAATTTGAGCTCACAGACCGAATAGAGCGACAGGTTTCTGCCGCTGGGGTTTGTGTGGCTCATTTCCAGCTCTCGGATGAGGAGAGGGAGTTGTACTCGAAGCTGCCGGTGTTTGTATATGGGGGACAAGGTACGCTACATCATGAAGTATCCTATATGATGGGAGTGCGTATCGACTAACACTCTCAGGCGAGGTCATTCCCCCTACATCCACAGGCATATTGAAATTCACCAGCACAACCTCTTTCAAGAATACGGTTCGGACGGCAAGCGGTCATGGGATATCCATCCCAGTAGAGGACCAGTTTAACGCCCCACGAGGACTTCGAGAAGACTCCATTGCCGCTGTTAACGCCCGTATTCCTCAGCTCCTTGAACATGGGCGAAAGCCGGATTACTATCGCCTCTGCTGGGACTCAATTTCGGCAAGCCAGCACCCGCTCATCAGCCGACATCCTGACTCACGATTAGCAAACCTCTACTTTGCTGTAGGAGGATCGTTCCACTGTTACAAGTTTCTACCTTCGATCGGAAAGTATGTGGCCAACGTCCTTCAAGGGGTTAGTAACGGACCTGAAAAGGATAAGGCATGGTCCTGGAAATCGACTGGGACGAACGAACGTGGTGTCCATGAGAGCTTAGTTCCCCAGAGGGAATTCACGGATTTTATTTAAGGTACCGTTATTTGCATGTCGAAGCTTCGTTGGACCTATCACTGGACAGGGGGTATGGGAAAACCTTACGCTGCCGTGGCCTTGAAGCTGACATGCACCCATCAATGTAGACATCAGCGAATATACAGGACCCAGTGCTGGTCTTTAATTAGAGCATAACAAGGCTTATCAAGACTATTAGGTAGCGGGTTGTGCCTCCCTCCAATAGCAAGCTTATGCAGTCCACTTATGCCCGGCAGTGAAGACAAAGGGCTGTTCGGCACCAATCAGAGCAGATCTAGAAGCATCCGCACATGCTGCCTTTACAACCATCTTGAAACAACTGAGACCATGAACGCAACGCATCGTTTCCATGAAAATCGCATCGTCACCATTCACAATAACAGGCAGAGTTTTCTCCCCCGGGCCCCCTCACTTTGAAGATAAAATGCCTCCCTTGGTTCCCCCTCTCGCCTTCTTCCTTTCTTCCCCCATTCGCAGCTAGATCTCGGATGGCAGTTCTTCAGAGCTTCAGTAACTACGGTAAAATGCATTATTGCTGCATTTGCGGTGGCCCGGTTTCGTCTTTGGATCTGCGCAAAGCTTCTTTAGCGAACGATGGAGATGATCTCAACCGGTGCTACAAGGATGAGTGTGACTGTATTGGGGACGAGTGTGAGGAAGTCGATTGTCCCGGTCAGTTCGGGTACAATAGTCAGGTTCTCTTGGAGGAAGATGTCGCAGTAAGTTCATTGTGCACTTCAGATTCAGCCTCGTTGGTTCTAATCATAAGTTCAGTGGCTCGATAAAGTGGTGATGATCTGTCCCTCTATGAACAATAACGGAACCGGCTCTTCCACCGGCTCGCAATCTGGTGCCTACCTGACCGCAATCGTAAGAGCATATTTCCCCTGTCTAATACTACTTCATACAAATCACGATGCTAACCAGAGATTCAGGGCGACTACGACGAGTATGATAGCCTCGTCCACTTTCCAGACACCTCCACCAAGTGCCCTAACAGGGATGGCTTCGTGGCGCACGATTGTTGTCTCCGTACTCTCTTCCTTGCTGAGAGCAACTCCTCCAAAAAGCAGTCTCAATTGACCCTCGAGAGTCTTTTCTTCACTATGAAAAGATTTGCCGTCCCCAGCCCGGAAAAGGCCATTGATTGGAAGGACAGCAGGCTCTACGGCGGCGGTGTGCACGGGTTCCAGGGTTCTGATAAATGGGAAGCGCTATACGGATACGAGGTATGTTATCTGCTCCATTCCTATACCGTCCGTGGTCGGAGTTACCTATCTAACACCTCACTTCCCCCTCAGTGGCTCGTCTCAGATCCCGAGGGATACACCAACATAGCTCGCGTCCTTAACTACGCGGCCCACCCCAAGATAGTTGCACTACGAAGCCCAATCTGGGGACCCCTCAAATTGAAGGAGGTTAAAGAATCTACCACCGCCAAAGAGGACACCATCATCCAAGAGGAGGGCTTCAAAAAACTCCCCTTCGAAGTCCAACTCATGATAATAGAGCTCCTCTCCAGCAAGGACGTACACAATCTGAGCCTCGCAAGCCGTGCCATCTGCAACGCAACCAGATACCTGCCCAACTCGTTCTGGAAAACGCGTTTGGGACAAGGCCGCTTCGGCTATCTCGCCCCTTTTCGCGGTGATCTGACCTGGCCTAGTGTGCCGGTCAACTACTTCCGCCTCCTGTGCAGGCTCGAGAACGTGTCTCGTCCATGGCCACATGGAGATCAAGGCCCCCTTGGCGAAAACGAGCAGATCTGTCCCTACTGGAATAGCCTTAAGAACTGGCGCCGTATTTGGGGTTGTTGCGAGGCGATTCTCGATAAGGTCAATGCGTATGATAATGCCATCATGAAGGCGGCTGCGTAGGTTCGTTCGTTCTCCCGCTCGCCCTAGGTTTGCGTTTCGGATATGATTGTTTTGTTGAGTCGTCGATGTTTTTCCTTTGTTTTTTTTAGGTGAGTTTGCCTTGCTTCCCTCCCTTTAATGGATCCTTTGCTAACTGATGTGTTCGCAGCTTGTTAGAGTATATGAATATCGCAGGTTGGATCGTGGATCCGACCATGGCCACCAACATGTTTCAGTGTTTCTTTCGGGTTTTAACTATTGTTCTTCTATGTTTTTATCTGAATATGTCATGTCATACCTCTCCACTGTACAGACATGTGAGATGTAAAATAGCAAAAAGAATTGAAAAAAAAAACTATTCCCTGCTCAATTATGTCGGACCATGGCCCAACGTCCAAAATATAACCTGCAGCCTGCTAAGTACGTATGTACTAGCTTAATCACACTACCTCAAACTTAATAAAACAACTACGTGTTAATAAGCATAATACAAAACCGACTCATCACTCGTCTGGCGGATCTTGCGGTTCGCACGCATAAGCCAAAACCTCATGGCCCAAGCACCGGCGGCACAGGCGATAGAGAAAGCAGCGCTCGAAGACATAGCGATCGTATAGCGGGGCTCATCAGAGGAAGGCCATAGGTACTAGACAGTGTGTATTAGCAAGGAATTACTATGACTTGAGCCTAGCGCGGACAGTCACAACATACCGGAGTCCAAATGAATGAAACATTAGCACAGGTGTTGACGATGGCCAATGCCGATGCCTTCTTTTCTTTTGTCTGGCCACAGGTGCTGGAGACCCAGCCGAGGATAACTGAGTTGACTGTCAGATGATGGTTAGTTAAGGTCTCATTTGGATTATTTGCACTGTGTTCGGGTGTAGGGAGAGTACCTGCGTATGTTCCTATCGAAAAGACAACCATGGCGAAGTATCTTGCACCGGTATTGAGGGTTGCGCAGCCGAGCACGAAACCGATTATGGCAACGGTTTTGGCGATGGTGATGTGCCAGGTTCGCTCGTTGAAGTGGCCGGAACTCCATGACCAGAACACGGATATGAACCCTGCAATGAGATAGGGCGGGCATGTAAGAACTAGAGTGATGGTTGTGTTGAACCCTAGAGTCTCAACAGCCGTTGGGAAGAAGTTCTTGAACCCGTTGGCTGCTAGGTGCATGTGTTGCATAAAGGCGAAGAGCCAAACCCGGGGGTCGCGAGCGGCCTCCTTCACACCGCTGAAGGTGCTGGTTTGGTGTCGAGCTCCGACGGTATCGGCGAGGATGCGGTCATGGGCGAGTTGACGCTCCTCCTGGTTAAGCCATCTGGTATTGAGAGGGTCGTCTGGGAGTACAAAGACAGCACCAATGGCAACGACGAAGGTGACCGCACCCTGGAGAATGAAGAGCCACTGCCAGCCAGAGATGCCGCCCAGATTATCCATACCATGGAAGATACCGGCGGCAATAAGGCCAGCAAAGGCTGTGGCAAGAATGTTTCCTGTATAGAGAATGGAGATGCGGGTTGCAATTTCTTTGCGCGTGTAAAAGATAGAAAGCATGTACAAGGCCCCGGGGTAGTAAGGGGTTTCCGTAAGACCCAGGAAGAACCGAACTAGCAGAAGGCCTGTAAAGTCTTTGGCCAATGCAGTGAGTGCACTGACCACAGCCCATGCAGCCATGGCCCCGGACATGTACAATGATGGCCTCAGTCGTGTGATTAACATGTCTATGTTGGAGTCAGAGCTAGTGCGTTTTCCATATTCCCGAAACACTTACTACTAGGGACCTGCCCGAGGATATACCCAACAAAGAGGATGGAAACGCAAGTTTGGTATTGAGACGAGGAGAGATTCAGATCCTCTTCAAGGTCATTCAGCCTAGCCAGGGCGATGGCATTGCGGTCGAGGTAGTTTAGCCAGTACATCAACCAAAGAGTGGGCATAATCCATATATCGAGCTTGCGCACCAAGCGGATTTCAGCTGGATCAGTCTTCTTGCGTGCGCCAGAGTAATCGCCATCTTGCGGGCGCTGCTGCTGCTTGAGATGGTCTATGGTATCTTCTCGGTGCAAGGCCTCGGGCTTTTCGTCACCGATATCCTGGAGATCTTTCTTTTCAGACATGGCGTTGGCGCGAGGTATGCAGAAGGATCTAGGAATGGAATTTAAAGATTTCCTCAGGGTCCCCTCCTAATGAGCGCGGCAGATGAGCCGGCTTTATACCAACCATCTTTGTGGATTTAGTTTTCCATTTTTGCCCTAGGTATGCCCTCTTGCAAATTGTCACACCTCCTTTCTTTCCCCAGACATGTCACCCCGCACGAGAATAACGTTCCCCAGTTTTATCAGCTTGCTTGGCATATCAAGCCAGGATGAAACCCAAGCAAACGAGGCCCAATAGGACATGAGACCCCTACTATGTCCACGCGCGGCATCTCTTGAGCGCCTTGGGATACGGCTTCTAAGGGAAGCAGACTCTTGAGGAGGAGGGGAAGCATCAGATCCAAGGCTTGTCGAAAAGGGAATCCCGAGGAGAATCGACGCTTGTATGGACGCAAAGCGGTTGGTATCCGGCTTCCAAGACCACAGCCTCGTCATTCCCGTGCTTGGCTGACGGCCAGCCCGAAGCAAAAACCATGCGGACATAACATGTCCGATAATGGATAAGCAAAGTCCGCCAACAAGCTATATCTTCTCCTTGGTCCCCTCCAGAAATTAACTTTGTGTCGTTGTGTGGCTGATGCCAAATATGCCGGAGGTCTTGGATCCACGAAAACACGACGCCGCCAAGTCGAAATTCCATCATGAGAGATTTTCTAGCTGAGTTTTTTTACCGGGAAATTCTCGGGTCATCTCTATGAATGGATTTTGAGCTGTTTATGTGACGTCCTTGGCATGTAGCGATGAGGTTCAAGAAGAGAGTCTGTACCCCGCGGAGCCAAGGATCCCAGCCGAGACGAGGAAGTCGGCGAAATATCCACATCTGTACTTTGGGCTTTTAGTTATGCAACCGTCAGCAATCAGTGCCATAAACTTACCAACCCCACGAGCGTGCCATACTTTATGCGGTGGGCAATGCACGGTTCCAAGCCAAGAGGCCTTGGCCAGTCTTCAGTAACTGCGAAGGAGAAGGATGCATTTCGTTTCCTTCGATTGGCCATCGTTGCGGTCCGTCGAGATTGGGGGTCTGTCCCACTGGCCAAGCCTGTCGTCTGATCCATTTGAGGCCAGCGCGCGTGGACCAAGGCCGGATTTCCCTTGATGGCGAAACCTTTCTGGGCTATTTGCAATGATTTGGATCAGAGGCCAAAGCCAGACGAGAGGGAATGGGTATGGACGGTCTGGCAGATAACATATTCCGGACTGAGGGAATATCAGTTGCCGCGCTGGATGTGTCTTTTGGAGTGTGCCCAGGCGAGGGTGTTATGAATTAGGCCTCCGAAGCGGTTCCATCGGGTGGACAACCAGACATAATGGAGAGACGGGGACAAAGAAATGCCGGCTGAGAGCTGACTGGAGGTCATCAGGTGACACAGGCTCCGTCTCTTCCCTCCGCGTTTCCCTCATGATTCTCTTCTGTCTTTCTCTCAATATTCGTCACGGTCAATCGCAGATTAGGCAATCGGCGACATTGCGGACTCAGGATATATACCGTCTTTGGGGTGTTGGGTTGTTTCAGACAGCCCCATGGACGGCGGGCAGCGTGGTTCAGAGTCCAAAATGATGGCAGTCGTTGGATTCATCGCTCTTCCAATCCGAAATCGTGAGTTTTCGAGGCCTGGACGAGGTTGTTGAATCGGCTTAGGAGACTGGGTTAATGGCGGGGACAGAGTATTATATCCCCCCTCGGTGCTGGATAGGATATTCGTTCACCCTATCCATTCAGTCGGCTATTCGGAAGATGCGGCTAGAGTCTCCGTCTTATCCGACTCTGTCTGATTTGTAGGTAGGTAGTCTGCATCGACCTCACCTGCAGTGAGTCACTAGATCCACTCGATTTATCGATCTCCCCCACTTAACTGACAGAAAGAAGTCACCAACACCATCACGTCCGTCAGCTACAATCGACGCGATCAACTTCGCCTTTTTTGAACCCCGATAAACATGTCCTCCCCATCCCCAGTAGATGCTCCAGAGCACATCCTCCAGCTTCTCTCCAAGCTCCACCGCATCTCGCTCGAGCAAGAAGCCGCAATCTCCAAGAAGAATGGCAAGGTAATATCCACAGACGTCCAAGACGAACTCAACAACAAGAATGATGGCTCCGAACCCCGAAGCGCGTTTGACCAGCTCATGCTTGATAAATTCATCGCACTAGATGAAGATAAGTGCCAATTCATGTACCAGCTCATCACGGCGATGGGCGCAACCAATGTCATCGAAGCAGGCACCAGTTTCGGTGTCAGCACCATCTATCTCGCGCTTGCAGTTTCCAAGACCAAGGCCGCAACCGGCAAGTCAGGCATCGTGATCGCGACAGAGAAGGAAGCCCAAAAGGCCGAGGTTGCGCGCAAGTACTGGGCTGAGTGTGGGGATGTAGTGAGTCGCGAGATTGATCTGCGCGAAGGTGATTTACTTGAGACTCTAAAGACGGAACTACCGCAGCAGGTTGATTTTCTTCTACTTGATAGTAAGTTGAAAGATCATATACTCCTAGGTGGGTAGGGGTTGCCCCGTGCTAAGGATCCGATCTAGTCTGGTGCCCACTTGCTCTGCCGACGGTAAAGATCGTCCAGCCTCACCTTCGACCTGGTGCAGTTATACTCGCCGATAACACCATCTCTGCTGCAGAGGGGTATGCAGATCTGCTGGCTTATTTGAGGAATCCTAAGAATGGCTTCCGGAATACAACCCTTCCTTTTACTAATGGGTTTGAAATGAGTGTATACCAGCCGGCCAAGTAGGTCGAATCTCTGGGAAAGCTAACTGCGCTCTAACTGCATCTATGCTGATATTCTGAAAATAAATCACATATACCAGTTGAAGATATGATCCAATTTCAAGCGAATTTAGATATGGTCTAAATGAGAACGTGCCTGTATATCGGTCTATTTAAAGATTCTCCAACTACTCGACAATAACACACCAAGGATAAGAAGACCAGATAGCTGTAGAATTAGTAGCTCTGTTCAGCCGCAGGAGCTAGTGTTGGGTATTTTTAGAACTGTCACCATTTTGAGCATTCAGTCTCGCTGTCTCCGCCGGTCCCACTTTGTCTTCCCATTGACGATACGAAACTGGTGACTCAGGCGCAACGAGTTTCTTCTGCCATCAACTCAGTGGTATAAATCCACCATCACCACCATCATTAATCCCACCCCTAATCCAACACTACCTCTCAAAGCAAACCACTCAAAAACAACAAAATGTCTCTCCCTCCACCCCCACCATCAACTACCTCCCTCGCCACAATCGGCAACACCCCAGTCCTCCACCTCACAAACATAAACCCAGACCCCTCCACCCACGCCTCCATATACCTCAAGCTCGAATCCACCAACCCCACAGGCTCCTACAAGGACCGCATGGCGCAATCCATGCTCGACGCTGCCGAGCGCCGCGGCGACCTAAAGCCCGGCATGACAGTCGTCGAAGCAACAGGCGGGAGCACAGGGTCTTCACTAGCCTTCATCTGCGCGATGAAGGGGTACAGATTCCACGTTGTGTGCTCGGATGTCTTTGCGCAGGAGAAGATCCGGACCATGCGCGCTTTCGGCGCCGATGTGGATCTTGTCCCCTGTCCTGGGGGGAAGATTACGAAGGAGCTTTTCCCTGAGATGATGAGGCGCGCGAAGGCGGTGGTTGACTCTGATGAGAAGGGGCATTACTATACGAATCAGTTTCGGAATGCGGATGCGTTGCAGGGGTATGAGGTGCTGGGGAGGGAGTTGGTGCAGCAGTTTCCCCGTGGGATTGATGCGTTTTGTGGCGCGGCGGGGAGTGCAGGGATGGTGATGGGGGTGTCGAGGGTTTTGAAGAAGGAGGAGGGATTCCAGACTAAGGTTGTGGTGCTTGAGCCTGCATCGTCGCCGGTGATGACTGAGGGGAGGGCTGGTGTGCATGGCGTTGAAGGGATTGCGCCAGGGTTTGTGCCGCCGCATTTGGATGAAGCTCTGTATGATGAGGCGAGGGCGATCTCGGAGGAAGAGGGGCGGGCAATGTGTCGTCGGCTTGCGAGGGAGGAGGGCATTCTGGCTGGGACGTCGACGGGGCTGAATGTTGTCGCTGCGGTTGCGTTGGCGAAGGAGTTGGGGCCTGGGAAGACGGTGGTGACTGTTGCTTGTGATACGGGGTTGAAGTATATGAACAGCGATCTATTTGCTGAGAGCTGAGTAGGTCTTTGTATAGACGTGTATAGATTTCCTATCTCGCCGTTTTCACATTGCGCCGAATACTATATAGGTATGTAAAGGTATCAAACCATCCAGAATTAATAATGAGATTCGTATACTTCCTTTCAGGATAGTTCAACTGGGAAGACTGTTTATTTTGCACATTGGGACGAACCAACCAACAATTAACGACCAGAATTCCTCCACATCTCAGTTCCATTTTATTGGGACAAACAAGCAACAAAGCCCACATCCCAGCCCAATCAGAGTCCCATCACAAGAGCGCCGACTCTCCACGCAGAGAAAATGCGGAGACAAGCCGAGGATCAAGGACGGTTCACGGCTATTTCTGTGATCTCCCCGCATTTCTTCCAGCTCGCTTTATACCCTGACGCTTCGACTTCTCTCGCTTTGTATCTTGTCATTGTCGAGCTCGGCAGCAGAGAATTAATCACTTAATTGTCAAGATGGCTCTCGGTACTTCTGCCCCTACACGTACTCCCCAGAGCAAGAAAATTGCATACTAATCAATTCTATAGCGACCGCCGCCTCCGCAACACTAGCCGCGTACCTTAACGCCAAATTCCACATAGCAAAGGACGTCAAGGGTCTCTTGGTTGCGTCGCGCTCCTTTCGACGCCATGACCAGGAAGCCGCCAAGGGCAAGCTGAACGCCTGGTTCGTCTTCGAGGCTTCAGTATCCAAGTACCCAGACATGCTGGCAATCTGGTCGCGCGAAGGCACGTATACATACCGCGAAACCTACGAGCGAGCATGCCAGTACGCGCACTTCTTCCTCTCCAAAGGCGTGAAGCGCGGCGAGCTCGTCGCGCTGTATTTGCAGAACAGGCCGGAATTTGTGTTTGCGTGGCTGGGGCTGTGGAGTTTGGGGTGTGCACCGGCGGCGATTAATTATAATCTCACGGGTGATGCGCTGGTGCATTGCTTGCGGATTAGTGGTGCAAGGCTGGTACTTGTTGATGACGATTCAGGGTGTCTCGAGCGGATCGAGGGTATCCAGGGGGTGCTTGGTGGGGAGCTGAGGATGGAGACTGTTGTTGTGGATGAGAAGTTCAATGTCGATGTGATTCCCAGCTTCCCTGGTACTGTTCCTGAAGGGGGGAAGTTGGCGATGGATACTTCCGGGGAGTACCCGTCCATCCTGCTGTATACGTCTGGAACGACGGGTAACCCGAAAGGATGTGCGTACACCATGTCGAGGCTGTACCAGTCGTTTATCCTACGGCGGGATGGGATGGGTGATATAGACGGGCCTGATGGTGATAGATGGTACTCATGCATGCCGTTGTACCACGGAACCTCTGCGATGTCGCTTATCATCTGCCTGAGTACGGGGATGTCGATAGCGATTGGGCGCAAGTTCAGCGTGCGACAGTTCTGGACAGACATCCGCGACTCGGACGCCACGGCGTTCGTGTATGTGGGCGAGGCAGCGCGGTATCTACTTGCGGCACCACCATCGACGCTGGACAAGGACCACCGTGTGCGAATGATGTACGGGAATGGACTGAGACCTGATATCTGGGAACGCTTCAGGGAACGATTTAATGTGCCCGAGATCGGAGAGTTCTTCAACAGTACAGAGGGCATATTCGCGCTGTTTAACCATAACAAGGGACCCTTTACGGCTGGCAGCGTGGGCCATCACGGTCTGATTGCCCGGCTGCTGATGAACAACACTTTTGTGCCTGTCGCGATTGACCCGAATACGGGAGATGTACTTCGAGACCCAGAGACAGGGTTCGTGGTTCGTGCTCCGTATGAAGTTGGTGGTGAAATCCTCGTCAATGTCCCAGGGAAAGAAGCGTTCCAGGGCTACTGGGCCAACGAAGAGGCCACGAACAAGAAATTCCTCCAGAACGTTTTCAAGAAGGGGGATCTCTATTACCGGTCTGGCGATGCACTCAGACGACAATCAGACGGGCGTTGGTACTTCCTAGATCGCCTAGGCGACACCTTCCGGTGGAAGAGTGAGAACGTGTACGTCCCTCAATTATTCACCAATCCCCTTCACTTATAGAAGCCAAATGCTAACAAATACCACGAACAGCGCAACAGCCGAAGTCTCTGAAGTTCTCGGCGCATTCCCAGCCATCCTCGAGGCAAACGTCTACGGCGTCACGGTCCCCAACCATGAAGGTCGTGCAGGCTGTGCCGCACTCCAACTCAGACAGGGAAGCACAGACGCCGACCTTAAAGACCTAGCTCGGTTCTTGCGTGCCCGACTCCCCAAATACGCCGTGCCAGTGTTCCTGCGCGTTGTGGAGAACTCGACGCACACGGACAACCATAAGCAGGGGAAGGTAGCACTACGTGAGGAAGGGGTTGATCCAGAGAAGATCGGAAGTAAGGTGAGTGAGGGTAAGGATGATCGGTTTTTCTGGCTGCAGCCAGGGGACGAAGGGTATAAGCCGTTTGGGGGCGCTGAGTGGGGGTCGATCGTTGGTAGGAAGGTTAGGTTGTAGATTTATGCAGGATTCAAACAGAGGTGCGCTAGGCCAGGCCTTGGCCTTCGCATGCCTACCATCTTGTTGTTATGTAAATACGATTCCAAATATATATACGCATGAGTAGACTCTATGATCTAGTCTATTGAACTAACTAATTGATTGCAAGCTACGGGGTACATAACGGAATATCATTAAACACAAAAAGACGCGGCGTTTACTTTTTCAGTCCAAGCAGGTTGATGCTCTTGGGTCGCTCGATGGGGAGACCCAGGGCGCGATCCCAGACCAGCTGCACAAGGGGTCCCAGGGCACGGCTGACTCCGAAAGTCACGGTGTAGTACAGGGGCTGCTGGAAGCCGTAGTGGTAGAAGAGCACACCGGAGGCGGCATCCACGTTGGGGTGGGGGTTCTTGGTCTAAATTCCGATATTAGCATGGTCACAGGTATAGAATTCTGGCTAAGGGGAAGTACCTTTCCGTGTTCAGTGAGAACGCCAGGGGCGATCTCGGAGTTCTTCTTGACGAGCTGGAAGACTGGGTTGGCGAGAACATCCTTGCGGGTGTCCGCAAAGTCCATCAGCGCCTGGAAGCGAGGGTCAGGCTTGCGGAGCACGCCGTGGCCGTAACCAGGGACAACACGTCCAGACTTGAGGGTGTCCCAGAGGTAAGTGCGGACGTCCTCGTCGGTGAACTTGGTTCCGATCTTGTCCTGCATGGAGAGGATCCAGCGAAGAACTTCCTGTGCGGCGAGACCGTGGAGCGGGCCAGCAAGACCAAGGAGACCAGCAGAGTAACTGAGGAAGGGGTCGCTGAGGGCGCTGCCGACGAGGTGGGTAGCGTGGGCGGAAACGTTGCCGCCCTCGTGGTCTCCGTGAAGAGCGAGGTAGAGACGGAGGAGGTCATGGAAGTCACCGTTCTGGGTGCCACCCTTGCCGAGGAGCTCGGCGAAGTTGTAAGACCAATCCTGGGCCGGGTCGAGCTTCTGTCTGCCGACGACATCGACTTCGTCCGGGCGGAAAACGAGGGCCGCGACACGGGGGATCTTTGCGAGAAGGGAGATGGCATCGTCGAATGTGGGCTCCCAGTAGTCAGCCTTGTTGATGCCCTTTTCGTAGAGCTTGGCAAATTTAGACTCGGTGTTGAGAGCGGCGGTAATGATCGAGATTTGGGTCATAGGGTGCATGTGGCGGGGGAACGACTTGACCAGGTCGAGGATGTGGTCAGGGAGGTGTGATTCCTCAGCCAACTGGCGAGAAAAGGCGCGGATCTGGCTGGTGGACGGCACCTGGCCGGTCAAGAGCAGCCAGAACATGGCCTCCGGGAGCATCTCAGTGCCAGTGGGGCCCTTGGGCAGCTCCTTCTGGCAGTCCTTGATGGTCTTGCCGTGGAAGCGAATGCCCTCATCGGCGTCGAGAACAGAGCCCTCCCAGAGCATGCTCTTGAGGCCACGCATGCCACCAATGACGCTGGAAACCTTGACATCGCCGATAACCTCATCGCCCTGCTTCTTCACCTCAGCCAGCAGCTCGCGCTTGGCAGGGATGACGGCCTTGAGGGCGGATTTAAGGTCGGGCTCGGCCGTAGCATAACCGCGGCGGGAGATTGTCTACAGAAACATTGTTAACTCAATTCAATGGATTGGTTCTCCTTGCGGTCGGTCGGTGGGATGGAGCAAAACTACCTGGGCTAGCCGAGAGGCATGGCGGGCGGTGCGGAGGGGGAGAGCCATCTTCAAAGTAAGGCTGACTTGCTTGGAAGTAAAGTTTGTACAGAGATGAGTGGAGAGTGGAATTGAAGCTCTGGGGAGGGGAGGAGAGGAAAGAAAAGCGCTGCAGGGAGGGACGTGACGTTAAACGAAATGCAGCTCGGCGATGGTGAGGCGGATCGGTTGGCCGCGGTGTCGGGGAGGGATGCAACAGACCGAGGCTATCTCCGGCACATGAGCAGCCTCCATGCGTCCGATTTACGGAAGGATTCAATTCGGACTTACAGCGGGCGAGGTCGGCTTAATCTTTCTATAATTTACAGGCTCTATACGTTTTTTTCTTTCTTCCTGTGGAAGAACAGGAATTGATGGTGTTGCATGGGGTTCTTATCGCTCGGCTATCACATGAGGGGTTCGGCAAGCCTATTACGGGGTAACCAGTATGGGGTACAGCTGGCGAGGGAAATAATGAGGCTTATATAGGTCGATATACAACACTGACAAGTCAAATCAGCTTGGGGACCTAGGAATAACCATTCAATTAAAGCAGAAGACTTAACTCTATCATGCTGAGCGCAGAAGAGGCCATGGCCCCATGTGAGGTGCGGGGTAGACCGAAAGCGGAAAGGACTAACACGGGGTATGGTGCCTCAGGAATCAGGCTCAAAGTGGCACAGCCACAGAGCAGTCCAGGTCCGCCACATTCCACCGTCCGAGCGTCTGATTGGGCACTCAGAGTTTTCTTCATTTTGTTCCTGATTGGTCGATAATTGAAGGCGCGGCTGCCTCAGGCGTAAATTTCTTTATCGCCAGGAAATTTTCCCAGTGCCCCTCGATCAGATCTCACTCACTCAATCTTCTCCTCCCAGTCGTTCGGGAGCTTCTCGTTTTCTTTCTCTTGTCTTTATTGAGTTTATTTACTGTTTTCTCTGTCATATTGTCTGCTTGTTTTTTGTTTTATACCCACAAAAGTTTGAACGACTGCATTTGCATCTCCGTGAGTCTGCTCCTCAGCCTGAGTCTCCTAGCTGGGACTAACAGAGGAAATATTATAGATAGAACGTGCAAGAGAATGCCGCATCTCGAAACCACGCCAGCCATGCCTACTATAGTCCCCAAATCATCCTCGGGAGTTCCCCCTACCGCCGAGGAAGTGTCTTCCCTCCTACACACTATATTCAATGCCGATACGTCGCAACAGTCGCTTGACGCCTCATATGCCCTAGCCAACCTCCTGATCCAGAGTGTTGGCCCCTTCTCCTTCTATACATACAATTTCATCCTCCCAGAGATCAAAAAGGCTGCTCTCGACAAGAAAAATGGCGCCAAACGTGAAAGTGCGATGCTGATCCTCGGTGCTCTGCTCGAACGTTTCCCTCCAGCCCACCCTCTCAGTGAGGTTATTTTCCTGCTTCAAGACGGTGGTGTTCTCGGCTTGGCCCTTGATTCGCTAGCAGATAAGGGCGCCGTTGTGCGTGACTCTGCCCAATATGCCATCGATGCCTTGTACATCGCCCTCAAGCCGGAAGCAAAAGTCAATGCTCTACTTCCCGCCCTTTCCAGCTATTTGAGCCGTGGAACCGGCAAATGGCAGGGTTTTGTCGGCGCTTACTCTCTCATTGAAAAGATGGCCCTTGAGGCGCAGATGGGTTCGGGTACCCAAGAACAGGAGCGGGAGAAGGATATCCTCCGCGAGGCCATGGGCAAAACCTTGAAGGATCTCATCCCACTGGTTGAGTCTGGTATGCACGATCTGAAAAACGAAGTTGTGAAGCGTGCCTGCAAGGCCATGAACGCCCTCACTACTCTCCTGTCCAACGACGACGTGGAACCCCGCATTCCCCTCCTCATCAAGACCATGGAGCAGCCCTCGGAGCAGACTCTGCAGAAGGCTATTCATGCCTTGTCGCAGACTACATTTGTTGCCATCGTTACTTCTCCCGTCCTGGCCCTGCTCACCCCTCTACTGGAGCGCTCGCTTAACGCACCCACCACACCTCAAGAGACACTGCGTCAGACCGTCGTTGTTGTAGAGAACTTGACAAAGCTGGTTCACGATCCCGCTGAGGCTCGTACTTTCTTGCCTAAGCTCAAACCTGGTGTCCAAGCCGTCAGGGACCGTGCTTCCCTCCCTGAGGTTCGAGAGCTTGCCACTCGCGCTATGGATGTCATGGAAAAGGCCATGAGCGACAAGGATATCGCCGCCGGCTCTATTGCCAAAGTTACCCCCGATGAGGTCCTTGCCGTCCTTGACGCCAAAATCCAGGAGAATGGCGGCCTAGCCCGCCCTGATGCAGTCACCTTGTTCCAACTCGGTAAGACCTATGTCGCCGAGATTGTTCGTGAGGATGTCAACTGTCGCATGCATGATCGCATCCCTGGATGCATCAGCCCTTATTTGCGCGGTCTGCTCTCTGAGGAGAAGCACGAACAAGTTGCTGCCGCCGTTCAGGCCCACTACGTTGAAGAGGATGAGCGCAAGTTCGGCAAGCCTATCCCAGACGACCCTAATGAGGTTGAGATCGTCAACGCCAACTTCTCGCTCGCTTATGGTGGCATGCTGCTACTATCTCACACCAACTTGCGATTGTTGAAGGGACACCGCTATGGTCTTTGCGGCCGTAACGGTGCCGGAAAGTCAACGCTCATGCGCAGCATTGCGAACGACAAGCTCGAAGGTTTCCCGCCCCCAGATCAGGTCCGAACCTGTTTTGTTGAGCACAACCAGGGAGAGGATGCCGATCTCACCATTTTCAATTATGTCAAGAAAGATCCTAAGATTGCTGCGGAGGGCGATGAGCACATTCGCAGCGTTTTGCTCGAATTCGGTTTTACCGATGGTCCTGAAGGCCGACAGTCGCAGGGAGTCGGCTCCTTGTCTGGTGGTTGGAAGATGAAGCTGGCTCTAGCTCGTGCCATGCTCCTGAAGGCCGATGTGCTCCTTCTTGACGAACCTACTAACCATCTGGATGTTGCCAACGTCAAGTGGCTACAAGACTATCTCAAGCAGCATACCGATATCACCAGTCTGATCGTCAGTCACGACTCTGGCTTCTTGGATGAAGTCTGTACAGATATCTACCATTACGAACAGAAGAAGCTGGTTTGCTACAAGGGAAACCTGGCCGAGTAAGCATTTCCTCCCGTCTGTATCATCGTATGAATGAAGACTAATCCGCCGCAGTTTTGTCAAGGTCAAGCCTGAAGGAAAGAGTTATTATACCCTATCGGCTTCCAACGTTCAATTCAAGTTCCCGCCCCCCGGTATCCTTTCCGGTATCAAGTCCAACACCCGTTCGATTTTGCGCATGACCAACTGCTCCTACACCTATCCAGGAGCCAACAAGCCATCGCTAACTGAAGCATCATTGTCGCTTACTTTGTCGTCTCGTGTTGCGATCATCGGCGGAAACGGTGCGGGTAAATCTACTTTCATCAAGATGTTGACCGGTGAAACCATTCCCCAGACCGGAAAGGTGGAGAAGCACCCCAACCTGCGTATCGGCTACATCAAGCAGCACGCCTTGGAGCACGTCGAGATGCACTTGGAAAAAACCCCTAGCCAGTATTTGCAGTGGCGTTACGCCAACGGAGATGACCGTGAGGTCTTCCTCAAGCAGACCCGTATTCTTACGGATGAGGACAAGGCACAGTTGGAGAAGCCAGTTGACCTTGGCGACGGCCGTGGACCTCGCCGCATTGAAACCTTGATTGGTCGCCAGAAGTGGAAGAAGTCGTTCCAATATGAAGTGTATGTACCCTCGATAACCGACAAGGCCTGCAGCAACTAACATGGCACAGTAAATGGGTTGGTCTCCTCCCGAAGCACAACACCATGATCTCTCGCGAAACCCTCCTCGAGCTTGGTTTCTTCAAGATGGTGCAAGAGTTTGATGACCACGAGGCTTCTCGTGAGGGTCTTGGTTTCCGTGTTTTGGAGCCCAAGGTCATCGCCAAGCACTTCGAGGATGTCGGTCTCGACCCCGAAATCGCCAACCACAACGAAATTTCTGGTCTCTCTGGTGGACAGAAGGTCAAGGTTGTCCTCGCCGGAGCCATGTGGAACAACCCTCACTTGCTCGTGCTGGACGAGCCCACTAACTTCTTGGATCGTGACTCGCTCGGTGGTCTCGCCGTCGCTATCCGCGACTTCAAGGGTGGTGTTGTCATGATTTCTCACAACGAAGAATTCGTCGGAGCTCTGTGCCCAGAACAACTGCACATTGCTGACGGTCGGATTGTCGCTCGCACTAATGCTGCTATTTCTCTGGATCGCTTCGAGGACAGCGCCTCCTCCACTCCACAGCCCGGTAGCACTGCCGCCAGTTCCCTGGCCAACAGTGCAGCCGCCTCAGCAGTCAACTCCGGCGCCGAGGATCAAGGCGAACTCAAGTTCAAGGCAAGAAAGAAGAAGAAGATGACGCGTGCGCAGTTGAAGGAGCGTGAAGCTCGCCGCCGTCTTCGTCACATCGAATGGTAAGTCGTTTTGTCTGATAAAATACTCAGCAACTCAAAGCTAACTCACTTCAACAGGCTCAACAGTCCTAAGGGAACTCCCAAGCCGGCCGATACCGACGATGAGGCTGATTAAATGACTCGTTTCTTGGATTGATGCGTGATGAATTTACCTAATGTTCTGGGATAGACGGTGTTTACTTTGAGTCTTGTCGTATATACCTATAGACTTAGTGTTATAGTTCTGCTTCCTTGGCTGCTTTTGCCCATGAATTCATTGTTTTGATCTCATCATTTGCTGCTCATCTACGTAGGTCGGTCTATCCGTTAGGGTCTTGCCTTAGGTATTTGAATGAATTGTTCACTTCTAGGTGGGCTCAGTTGGAGGATAACACTTCCTCACTCACAAACGGGGCACCCAGTACGCTACTAGAAGAATGCAAAAACCCTCAACGAGGTAGCTCCGCTTCTTGAGAGTAAGTCCAATGGCGAGGGGGTCGGGCAGGTGAAACAAGCTCGCAGACAGAACGATTATTAAACAACAGATGAACGATGGAATCACCTTGTGGCACCCCATATAATATCCAAAAAATATAACCCACACTAGGCCAAAGCTCCGCTGAATTGTGGATGCACCGGACTGGATAGAGACTGATGATATCTTTATCGCTGCAGAGTGAATAAACCACATCTTGAACAAACAATTGAACAAAGAACAGCACACTAGGAGTTAGAAGCTGTAACATGTAGTGCTAAAGATTAGCTCTTCCTCATAATGGCAAAGGCAAATGTACTTTTCAACAAGTAGGCCGGCTGGCCCAATGGCAAGGCGTTTGACTACGAATCAAAAGATTGCAGGTTCGATCCCTGCGTCGGTCAATACTTTTTGGTGTATTTTTTTTTGGCACAATTGTGCTCGGGGCAAGAGGTCAAATACGGGACAAACTGCTCTTTCACAGCTTTCTGCCTGTTGCTTTTTTTGATAGACAGCTTTCCACCTTCCCTTTTTGTGGTTTTGTAGTGCCTTGCAGATAGTGTTGCTATTGTCTGGTATTTTTCTAGTGAATTTCCTTCAACAAATTAGGGTTCCAGGTGGGCTTAGATGAATCTGGCAGATGAAACCCTATTCCATAGCAAAGCCAGTTCCTTTTTCTGTTCCTGTAGTAGCAGCGGTGATCGGAGGGTGGCCTTGGTCGTGGAACTTATATACCACTGTGTTCCGCATCGTTGAGGTGTATGGCCTTGGGGTCGGTCGGTTAGACTACGCTTGAGGACCAGGAAGGAACAAACCGCTGACTATAATCACTAACCAAGGTGCAGGCACATTCAATCTGCCTTTGATGTTACAGGGAAACAATGTAGCAATCATCTAGTGCCTCCCGCGTATAAACGACGCAGGCTACGTCCTCGAATGGTTGAAGAGAGAGAGTCAACCTGACGGACAACAATCTGGGGCTTATATATGGTTTTCCACAACCCATGCGTTACCAAGGATGCCGTACACAAAACTTTCACAAGGTAGGCAAAAAAGCATGGAAAAACAAAAAATGACCGAGACGGGGCTCGAACCCGCAATCTCCAGTGTAATGGTACGTAGCAACCGAAAACTGGCGCCTTACCATTAGGCCACCCGGCCAATACATCATGTAATTTTTTCCTAAAATGTCATCTAAGGGTATAGGTCTAAATCCACCTAAAGAGCAATTTTTGACCAAAAAACTATGACCGAGACGGGGCTCGAACCCGCAATCTCCAGTGTGAGGGTGTCACAGAACCGAAAACTGGCGCCTTACCATTAGGCCACCCGGCCGGAGTTAAGGGATTTATGATCCTATTTGCGTACATAAGCTAGAGGGGTAATTAATTGCCAGAAAATTAATGTCTTTGGCATACTCTGCTCAAACACCCAGCTTAAATCTTTATCTCGCACTTGATAATTGATTTACCTGTATTCAAGAGATGCAGTGGTGTTTTATAGTGAAAACTATGGCAGTGTAAGTGCCCAGTTTTCAAGGTAGGGCATTTCATTGGCGTGGTGGTTGTTTGGGTCAATCGTTATGTTGCTATATATGTTCTGCTCTCGGAAGTACATAGCCTTAACCAAGACAAATCATATAACTCACGATACAGCAAAAGTTGGAGATTTTACCCAGTGAAGTCGAGGCCATATCAACACCGCTACAAATCGGTACTGTTCACTGGCCACCCATTCTCGACGGTATATGATTTGACCGGGCTCGTCCCATGCAGCACATCATAGTGCGTCCTGTCCCCACAAGTTTCAGTCCCATAGAGGCTGACACACTCATCCTTTAGCAAGGCCGCTACATTCTGGCCTGCCTCGCGCCCTTCATACCACGCTCCGTGCAGGAACCCAAAGTACTGTGCGCTGGTTGCTTCGCCGGCGAACCAGAGGCGGTCCACATTCGCACGCAGATTCTGGTGCATCTCCAATGAGGTACCAACTGGCCAGTTCGAGTAGCTGCCGTATGCCCAGGGCTCACTCGACCAACGCGGGTAGGCAAAAGCGATGGGGTCAGGGATTTCCTTATCAGGGAACATGTCGCGGAGGACTTCGAGGATTTGTTCCTTGGTCTCTTCGTCTGATTGCAGCTCAGCGCGGTACGCTTGGCTCTCGACGACGGTGACGAAGATGATGTTTGAGCCTGGGAGGAAGCCCTCGGTTGACATGGACTGGAAGACGGGGTAGTACCCGCGGGTCGCGGGGTCGGCGTAGAGAAAGTACTGTGTGTCCTCGGGCCAGAAGGTCTCGTTGAACTGCATGAAGATCTTGGTGTATGTGCCCATGGCGAATTTCTCGATTGCCGTTTGCTTCCAATCCGGGAGGGCGGGGGCGAAATCGACGTCGCTGTTCTGCAGCACGCCGACTGAGAACGTGCAGATGGCGTAGGCGGCGCTGATGCAACTGCCATCGCTGTTACGGACGATCACGCCGTCAGAGCTATGCTCGATGTCGGTGACCTGGGTGTTGAGACGGACTCGGGGGTCATTCGGTTTAAGGAAGGTGTCTGCCTCGCCTTGGATAATGGCGCTGTACCCACGCTTGTCTATGACGAGGTTGTTTCTGTCGCCGAACTGGTTGAATGTCAGGTTCTCTCCGGCGACGCCGAAGACAAACGAGCTCGTGTCTGGGGAGGAGGCGGCCTCCCAATCTGTGCTTCTGTTAGCGATGGGACCCAGCAAATGCAGCGTTACGAACGGGTCTCGTTGCCTCGTTCTGTCTCATACCCCAGTTCCACCATTCGACTGCCTGTGCTTTCATGTCATCTTTGTGGGGTCTCCAGCCAGCCAGTGCCAGGCCAGATCGGGCAGTCATGTCCTGGATGTTCTCGTTGAGAATCTGCCCCGCCGTTTCAGACGCATTCTCAGACAGCTCTGCATAGGTGTCGAGGACGTCTGTGTAATCCGTATACCCAGTTTCGTTGTAAGTGAGAATTGAGTCGTAGTTGGAGTATGTGTTTTTGAGTTGGTATTTTTTGGCCTGAGATGTTAGACCCTTCCAATATTTAATCCCTAGGTAAGATGCTCACCAGTCTCCAAACAGGGTTCTCAACCTCGGACGACCCCAGACCTTGCACCTACAGCGTGTGAGTAGAGATGTTCTTGAAATCAGATCCGCGACGAATGACACTCACCCAGTTCGCGCCATATTCGATAACGTACGGATCCCCATTCGGGTCCTCGCCAAAGTCGGTGTGCCAGACTCGGCCTCCCAGAACGTCTCTGTACTCGAGAATGACAAAGTCCGCTACCGAAGCATTTGACAGTGCTTGCTGGTGATATTAGTCGCGGCCATCGATAAGACGGAGAAAACAAACCGCAGCGGTAACACCGGCCATTCCACCTCCCCTAATTCGGTCAGCTCCACACCCCTACACCGGTAAACAGAGGAAGACTTACAGAATGGCCACGGTAGTTTTGGTGCACTGCGCATCATCAGCCCGCGGGTGTGCGACATGGCCGACACTGAGCTGGATGGCAGAGCCCGAGAGGGCGAGAAAGAGGGTGGTGAGATGCATGGAGGGCGCTTGAGAGGGAGAGAAAGAAGCAGATCAGGGACAGAGAGATACCATCCTAAATATACCCACCGCATGGCACTTGATCTGCTCCTCTTTGAGATAAGGGCTGGCGTGTGATCAGCAAGAATTCTTGGCGGGCCTGTGGAGGATTGAGGCCTAACAAAAAGCAAGGGAGTTTCTTTTTGAAGATCGACGAGTGCAAATGAAGCTATCTCATGCAGAAGCAGAACAGGCAGGTCCAGTCGGTGGCGTCACATCACAGGCTGGCCCTGGATCGAAGGAAGGATGGGGCTACGAATGAAGATCATCGCTTTTGGTCCGAGATGCAGAGCTCCGCATGGACATTCCTGATCTACTCGTAGCACTGCATGCCGCTGACCGAAAGGGATGTCTCTGTAAAGTGTATATGCGGGATTCAGTGAATTTACAGCTGAGGGGAAAGAGTGAGACTGTTATTGCTTTCCTGCAGCCTCCGCAGCAGATGGATCGCTTGTCCTTCGTCTTTTGAGAATCCAACAAAAATGCTCCATTATGCCATGTGTATGCAACGTTAAACAAATTGGATCATAAGTCGCTAAACAATACATGAAGGAAGAGAATCCCAACCCTGCAAGAACCGGCTGCGCAAGGTGTGAGAAATGATGGTAATGAATGCACCGTACTCCGACTCCAACTCCGACTCCAATTTGACGCCAGCGCCAACAGCTAAAACCATCACCGAACCTCATAAGCTTCCAGCGCTTTTTGTAGATCGTCTATGTTGTCCTTGTATCCATAGGCGTCCATGAGTTGCTGGTTTTTCCGGATTCGCTCTTCCTCAGCGATGTGGATATGCGAGTCCGTTCGCATGGTCCCGTACTGGGTTATCCCGTAGCCTGTGGAGTCAGCCTCGCCCGTCGCGACGAGAGGGTAAACACGTACCGATAGCGATGGTCGCAAGTAGAGGAATAGACCTGGAACACAGAAATGATTAGAGAGGCGATGGAGGATTCCAGGGTGGCGAGGCGTACCAGCGTCTGGAGACGGGGCCGGGCCGCTTCCATGAAGGCCGCGGCGGAGAATGGGGAGCGGATAGATCGGGTTGCATAGTGAGATTTGAGTTTAGCTCAGTAGATATTATTTCGATGTTCGACTTGCACGGTGGTGCGTGAGAGATGGAGGAGAGCTGCTTAAAAAGGAGCGACAGATGGAGATCAGGCCATCAGCCGGTCCCGGTCGCATGATGGGCTTCCCCTCACCCGCTTTCTGCGTCATGGATTACCGAGGGACTCGCACTTGGATCCCACGGAAGGCACTTCAGTCCGGGGTAGCGCGTAATACTTTGTCCCATAGGCTGTGTATGCCGCTGATCCCTGCCGACAAGAGCTGCCAGGACCGGCCCGGTTGCGATATACGGAGGAATAATCGGCAGAAAGGGCAAAAACAATAATAATAATACGACAAGACAGAGATTCGAACTCTGGCCTCCGAAGAGACAGCATTTCGAGTGCTGCGCCTTAACCGCTCGGCCATCTTGCCACAATTATAAAAATAATTTGACCCCAACGTCACTCTGAGTCAGCAGATGCACCCCACTATATTGCACCCACCTCATGCCGTGCCAGCTCACTTGTCAGGTACGTATTTGGGTGCTATCCCCCGGAAATCACGCTATGCTTACGGTTGTCTAGCCCGTGCGCAGCATGCATGGACGAGACATGAATGAAAGTTTGAATTAGATTGTCTGTGCTCCACCTGACGATCTTCGGTCTCACATAGACATTAGTACGTACGCGTTTCACCCTGCTGGGTCATCTTTCGGGCACTTTTCATGGACATCCTGCTTAATATCAGCCGTTTGGCAGAAATTAATAATGTGCATATTATAGGCGGTTCAATAATGTGCGCTATAGCTCCTGCCGAAGCATGGACCAAAAATGCTGGTATATTGAAGACCGTAGAATTTAGGGCTAAGTTTCAGATACATCCTGACTTTCCGACCACTCCTAGTTTGATGAATCCCATTAATTTATCTGAAATGAACTCCTGTATTGGCAAGGCTTGTCTCGTTCATTCCACCAGTAGCGGACGCCTGCTCGAGTCAAGCATGACAAGCTTTGCAACTCATTGATTGATCCGATTCAGTTGTTTCTCCGTCGAGTAGTCTTGTCTCCTCGGAGGTCTGTAGTATAAATATCACCCCAATGTTGTCTCTTTTTGGATCGAAAAACGGCTTAATCCTCTTTCTATAGTGATTTCTGTTGATACTCTTACTGTTTATCTGTCAAAATGAAGCGCTGTGCGCTCTTAGTTCCCTTTGTTCCAGTTGTTCTTGGATCCTCATCTACTGGCATAATCCCTACTTCGACAGCGTCTCAAATTCCAGTCTCTGTGCCTTCTATCACCAATCATCCCACACCGGCCTCCGCGTCTTTCACCGGAAATGGTGGCACTACCTGCACCGTGACCGACTACGCCTCCATCTCTTCGGCCGTTGCATCCTGCTCCAACATTCTCCTGTCCGATATCTCAGCTCCTCCATCGAGCACAATCGACCTGCAGGACCTGCAGACCGGCGCCGCTGTCATCTTCGATGGTACCACAGTAAGCCTCCCCTTTCCACCAAACCAATGATACATCTAACCTGCTCCATAGACATTCGGCGAAACGGCCGATAGTGACTTCGACCCTATCGTCATCTCCGGCACAGACATAACCATCACCGGCAACGATGGCCACGTTATCGACGGCAACGGACAGGCGTATTGGGATGGCCAGGGCTCGAACGGTGGCTCAGACAAGTACTATACACCCCCAGCCCTTACTTCTACCATTCCATACCTCTACTTCAAAAAGCTAACCAACAAACCTAGACCAGACCACTTCATCGTCCTCAAGCACCTCACCAACTCCGTCGTCTCAAACCTCGTCATCCAGAACTGGCCCGTGCACTGCTTCGACATCGAGAACACCGAGTCCCTCACCATCACAGGCCTGACCCTCAACAACACAGCTGGCGATGAGCCCAATGACGCCAGCGACGGCGACCCCGCGGCGCACAACTCCGACGGATTCGATATCAAGTCTTCGACGGACCTGCTGCTGCAGAACACAAATGTATATAACCAGGATGACTGCGTCGCGGTTACGTCGGGGACAAATATCACCGTCGACGGGATGTACTGCTCGGGTGGACACGGGCTGAGTATTGGATCCATTGGCGGGAAGAGCGATAACACCGTGAACGGGGTTGTATTTTCGAACTCGCAGGTCGTGGACTCCCAGAATGGGTGCAGGATTAAGACGAATGAGGGGGAGACAGGGGATGTGGAGAATATTCGGTATGAGAATATTCAGTTGAAGGGGATTAGTGATTATGGGATTGTGGTGCAGCAGGATTACTTGAATGGTGGGCCGACTGGGGATCCGAGTAATGGGGTTACTATCAAGAATGTTGAGTTTGTGGATGTTGAGGGCACGATGAGTGATGGGAAGGATTATTATATTCTTTGCGGGGATGGGAGCTGCTCGAACTTTTCGTTTGACGGGGTGAGTATTACTGGGGGTAGTGGTGATAGTTGTAACTATCCTGACTCTGGGTGTCCTTGATTCTGGGTCTTCTTTAATGAACCAGGGTATATAAAGGACCTGAACCAAAGGTTTTGACAGTGGCCGTGATGGCTGTACGAACCGGTTGACGCCGCCTACACCATATCTGGTATATGCTATACAATAGGATAGATAAAGCACTTTATTCTACCGATACTGACCTACAACGTATCTGTATTTCAGTGAAGCCAGTTTACTGGCCTTGGTTCTTTGGGGCTGGAGCAGCCGGTCCTTCGGGGGTAACGTACGCCTGTCACAGTTAGCTCATGGGTCTTGAGTTAGAGGGCTGAAAACATACCCTGGACATGCCACCATCAACAACAAAGTCCGATCCGTTGACAAAACTGCTCTCATCACTGGCCAGGAAGACAACAGCGTGGGCTTGCTCAATAGCCTCACCGAATCTTCCCATCGGGAAGTGCACCTCGCGGCGGTGACGCTTGGCCTGGTCATCACCCAGCCAATCTTGCAACAAAGGTGTGCTATATATCCATTAGTTACTAAGCAAATGAAAAAGAGTGTATAATATACTTCAACGGTGCTGGGCATAGAGCATTAAATCTGAATCCCTCTCTGGCGTGCACAATGGATAGTTCCCTCGTCAGTGCCAGAACAGCTCCCTTGGAAGCAGTGTACGCCAGCTGCGGCGTTGCACTACCCACCAGGGCTACCACACTCGCCGTGTTAATGATGCTTCCCTTGGTCTTCTTATGTCTCCGCAGACTCAGCACTGTATGCTTGCTTCCAAACCAAACACCCTTCACATTGATATTCTGCGTCATGTCCCAAATCTTCTCAGGGGTATCGATAGCATCGGCATCATCGGCGTGCATGATTCCTGCGTTGTTGAAGATCACATCCGTGCCGCCCCAGGCATCCTGGAATTCAATCATGGCCTGGACGTCGGATTCCTTGGAGACATCGCACTTGATGGTCTCAACGCGGGCTGCGGAGGGGACAAGCTCCCTGACTTTGGCGATGGCTTTCACGAGGGCGGGGGTGGAGATATCGGCCATAAGGACGTTGGCGCCCTCGCGGGCAAATAGGATGCTAGTTTCAAGGCCGATTCCGCTGCTGGAGTTAACGATGCATTCACTTGGGTGTGGTTCTTGGTCTTTGTGTGTGATTGTGTGTGTGTGTGCGTGTGGGAGGGGTTGCATTTACCCTGCGGCACCGGTGATGATGGCATTCTTGTCTTGGAGACGGCCTCTGGGGGTAGCCATTGTAAATTTAAGCTTTAAGGGTTGATATTTCTTGGAATTGAGATGTTGAAGTGGGATACGAAAGAAATTGGAAAGCGAAGAAGCTGAGTTGGAGCTCGAGAAGGAAAACAGGAGAGAGGTATTTGGTGCGGGGCAACAATGCACTTATCTAAGATAAGCTCCATACTGCCCACATTCGGCAGCCAGGGAATGAAACCCGGGGACAGCCCACAAACACCTCTTTCGCTCTGTTTTGTATACCTGTTAGTGCATAATATCCGTCGCAGGATGGCAATGAATGCTAACCGTTAATTTTTAGGCATTCCCAGCGTCCATAATTAGGTTTTTTTCGTTTCCCGAACCAACCACCTCCGATTCCCCGCCGACGCCTCAGCTCCGACTCACGAGCCCCTTACACGAGCTGCTTTCACCAAGAACATTACCATAACAGCGGCCGCCACGTTATAAGTCCTAAGCGAATGCCATGTCGGATTCAAAGGTCACATTTGAGAACGTCGCCGAAGTCCTCCAGAATGACACGCGCGTGAAGCTGGCTGGCGTCGATGCCGACGGCATGCTCCGAGGGAAATTGGTCTCCAAGAAGAAGTTCCTCTCGGTGATCGACGATGGGTTCGGTTTCTGCTCTGTAATATTCGGCTGGGATATGCATGATCGGACATACTTTCGAGAGCTCCAGATCAGCAATAAGGAGAATGGGTACAGGGATATCCTGGCCAAGCCAGACCTGAGCAGTTTTCGGCGCATTCCCTGGGAGAACAACGTGCCGTTCTTCCTGGTCAGCTTCTATGACCCCGATACGAGGGAGCCATTGCTTGCATGCCCTCGTGGCTTGCTGAACGAGGCGCTGCGCAAGCCGGCTGCGAAGGGGTATCGCGCGATGGCGGGAGGTAAGTGCAGTCATTTCGAAGTATTGCTTGCGGAGGATAATGCTGATAATCGCTATTTTCCATAGCTGAATTCGAGTTCTATCAGTTCGCTACACCTGATCGCAATGCCTCGTCGACGGCTACCTTTCTTAAGGAGAACCCGGTTGAGACGCTGCCGCCGCTGACGGAGGGGATGTTCGGGTACAGTCTGACCCGCCCAATCCACAACCAGGAGTACTATTACGGCGTTTTCGACGCATGCGAGCAGTTCAACTGTGGGATTGAAGGGTGGCACACGGAGAGTGGACCAGGTGTCTATGAAGCGGTGGGTGATTACAGCTGAACTGGGGTTTCGTTTCGTGGCCCATGCTGACGGACGAAACTAGGCATTACAGTTCGGCGAGGCCAGTGAGATGGCGGATAAAGCGGGCCTTTTCAAGTGAGCTGCTTCAACTGGGCTTGGATGTTGCATTGGGGTTGCTGACAGTTGTATAGATATGTCGTCAAGTCTATTGGCACAAAACATGGCATCACGCCTACGTTCATGGCGAAGCCTCGTGAAGGTTTACCTGGTAATAGTGGTCATATGCATATATCGTTGGTGAATAGTGACGGCACGAATGCGTTCTTCCGCTCGACCCCTGATCCCTCCCCGCCATACCCTGATGTGGCTCACCTTTCTGATGTTGGACGGTATTTCCTTGCGGGAATCCTGGCTGGGCTTCCGGACATCATGCCAATGTTCGCGCCGACTGTCAACTCCTACAAACGCTTAGTGGAGAACTTCTGGGCTCCTGTTACGGTATCTTGGGGCTTGGAGCATCGGGCCGCCTCTATCCGCTTGATTACGCCGCCGGCCGCCAGCCCCAAGGCTACTCGCCTAGAGATCCGTGTGCCGGGCGCAGATGCCAACCCGCATTTTGTACTGGCAGCTATAGTCGCATTGGGCTGGCGGGGTGTCGAGAAGAAACTTGAGATCCCTGTCCCGCCACTATCCAAGGGTGAGGATATGGGAGGTGCGAATGACAAGGGAGTGCGCCTTGCTAAAAATCTGGGCGCTGCAACAGCCACCTTCATGCACAAAGACAGTGTCGCACGGGAGGTCTTTGGTGATGCCTTTGTTGAACACTTTGGCGGTACTCGGGAACATGAAGTGCGCTTGTGGGAAGAAGCCGTGACCGACTGGTAAGAATTTATATATTCCCGGGAGCAACGTTTAACGTTTAAGGTTGTAATCTGACTGAATACTAGGGAGGTGAGACGGTATATCGAAACGGTCTAGATCGACCAGAAGACGTTAACCTTGGGAGAAACGAAGTCGACCCGTCTAATCCCGAGCGCAGACCGGGATTTGGGCGTGATCCGCAAGCCTGAATTAGATTCCAATATTCGATGGTATGTCACATGCTAAACAGCTTTGTTTGATCGTAGTTTCATGGCGATTTCACATGCGGGTGGGTGCTGCTGTTCTTCAGCGACTTGACTGGTGGCAATTCTGATATATAATGAACTCGATTTCTCAATATTATTCAATCATATTTATCCTGCATTTGAGAAGGGGAGGCGACTCTGCGAACGCAATAATTGGACGAAATCTCGGATGGAGTCGGTAGAGAGAGCGTCGTGACAGCGGATATTTCACCATTCGTCCGTATGGCCACAGCAATTGATCAACCGCGGCTGTGGGAGCTCAGAGCTGGAGCTTCGGGCGTGCGGGGAGTTGCTTCCACCTTTCCACTCGCGCCCTCGGCATTGTCCAGAGCTCCCTGCCCGGCTGCTTTCCGATCCTGGAGGCCTCTCAATGAGTCAATCGTGGTGAATTGTCGACTCCAACAGTCGACATATTTGTAACACAGCCCGTTCAGCAGTCGGACGAGAGAGCTTATCGGGCGACGGCGGCCCCCGGTAGAGCAGAGCACACTGCACAGTATTAAATCGCAGCGAAAGCCGCAATCGGCCGAGTTCAGTAGAGCCGCCCGTGACTTTCCCGCGGACAAGTCACCTGATAGACTTCCTGTTTGGGTGAGATCCGTTCATCCTGACGCTTTCAACCTCACAAACGTCACTCTGAATGGCCCAATTCCTATCGTCCCTGCTCCATCCCCGTCTCCATCTCTTCCTGACTTGCCCGTGTTCATGGATCCAATCCAAGTGCCTTCCAATCACCGGCCTCGGTTGGACCGCGGTTGTTTCTCGCTCTCTGACGTAGTCGCCCATGCTCCTGCCGAACTGTTATCGATGTGCTACATATATATGACTCTGGTCTAGGCTTTTCCTTGGGTCTTCGCTTTTGCTTTGACTTTCTCCTCTTAAAACTCTAGCAACGCTTCTCCTTCAATTTGAACTTTGGATAAGTCTACGCTACAATGTCTCAGGTCGACGTGCAGGTCAAGGATGTGGCCATCCTCGGCTCCGTGAACAGCGATGCTCGCAGGATCCTCACCAAGGAAGCATGCGCTTTCCTGGCCATCTTACACCGCACCTTCAACCCTACCCGTAAAGCTCTCCTCCAGCGCCGTATTGATCGCCAGGCGGAGATTGACAAGGGACATCTCCCCGACTTCCTTCCAGAGACCAGGGCTATCCGCGAGGACCCTAGCTGGAAGGGTGCTCCCCCGGCCCCTGGTCTCGTCGACCGCCGTGTTGAGATCACGGGTCCCACCGACCGGAAGATGGTCGTGAACGCGCTGAACTCGGATGTGTGGACCTACATGGCTGATTTTGAAGGTGTGTATCTTTACTGTGTAATTGGCTATTTTCGATTGTGATAGTTAACAGCTTGAAGACTCCAGTGCCCCTACCTGGGATAACATGATCAACGGCCAGGTCAACTTGTACGATGCTATTCGCCGTCAGGTCGACTTCAAGCAAGGCAACAAGGAATACAAGCTCCGCACTGACCGGACTCTGCCCACCCTCATTGCTCGTGCTCGTGGCTGGCACCTTGACGAGAAGCACTTCACTGTTGACGGCGAGCCCATCTCCGGCAGTCTGTTCGACTTTGGTCTGTACTTCTTCCACAACGCCAAGGAGCTCGTTGCCCGCGGGTTCGGTCCCTACTTCTATCTGCCCAAGATGGAGTCTCACCTCGAGGCCCGCCTGTGGAACGATGTCTTCAACCTTGGTCAGGACTACATTGGCATTCCCCGCGGCACCATCCGTGGTACCGTTCTGATTGAGACCATCTCTGCTGCTTTCGAGATGGAAGAGGTGTGTTACTCTTTCTTAATCGTCTTAAAGGATTACGCTAACAGCTTAGATCATCTACGAACTCCGCGATCACAGCTCCGGTCTTAACTGCGGCCGCTGGGATTACATCTTCTCCTTCATCAAGAAGTTCCGCCAGCACCCCAACTTCGTCCTCCCTGACCGCTCCGACGTCACTATGACTGTCCCCTTCATGGACGCTTACGTGAAGCTTCTCATCAAGACCTGCCACAAGCGCGGCGTTCACGCTATGGTACGAAACATCCCAATTAATTATTGACCTACCAATGCTAACATAAACAGGGTGGTATGGCTGCTCAAATCCCCATCAAGGACAATGCCGAGGCCAACGACAAGGCCATGGAGGGTGTTCGCGCCGATAAGCTCCGTGAAGTTCGTGCAGGTCACGACGGCACATGGGTGGCGCACCCTGCCTTGGCAACGATCGCAACTGAGGTCTTCAACAAGTACATGCCCACCCCTAACCAAATGCACATCCGCCGCGAGGATGTCTATATCACCGCCAACGACCTTCTCAACACCAACGTCCCCGGTAAGATCACCGAGGATGGCATCCGTAAGAACCTGAACATCGGTCTTTCCTACATGGAGGGCTGGCTCCGTGGTGTCGGATGTATCCCTATCAACTACCTTATGGTAAGCTTCGCCGGTATCTCTTCTGTATTTATATAGTCGATATTAACAAACAAATAGGAGGACGCTGCCACCGCAGAAGTCTCCCGCAGCCAACTGTGGCAATGGTCCCGCCACGGCGTTACCACCTCCGAAGGCAAGAAGGTCGACAAGGCCTACGCCCTGCGTCTGCTCAAGGAGCAGTCTGACTCCCTCGCCGCTAAGGGCCCCAAGGGCAACAAGTTCCAGCTTGCTGGTCGCTACTTCGCTGGCCAGGTGACGGGTGAAGACTACGCCGATTTCCTGACCAGCCTGCTGTACAACGAGATCTCGTCTCCGGGAGCCGCGTCAAAACTCTAATGACTTGCATTTTTCCTTTACTCTAATAGTGTATGTTATGTTAAGTTATGCTAGATGATGATTACTACGATTTTCAAATACCGTTCATCTCGATTTTGAATCTTTAATCTCCTTCCATTTGCGGGCAAAATGAAAGTGCATTTTTGTGTTAGTTCTAGGTACAACATGCATGCCATGCTATGTATGGTATCTCTGTACAACGAAATTGCAGCTCCATCTTCTATATAACGCATCAACCTCACGGTTTAACCCAGAGCCGAATTAAATATTTACTGAGTAAAGTAGTAATTTTAGGGTGGCAGTAAACCCCAAACCACACCAAGCAACGAACTAACCAAAGAAAAATGCAACAACCAAAGACAACAGGGACAAGAACAAGAACAAACCTACACCTCAAACGGCTTTCCAAGTGGTAAGTCGCGCGAGCTAAACCCAACCCAGAAATAGAACTCGTCCTGGGGCATGACCCAGTTCTGCTCGCGTACACTCCAGTAACTCAGATCCTTCCGGGTCACTGTCATGTTCACGTTGGCCAGCTGCCCCGGCTCCAAGTCGACCTTGGTGAAGTTCCGTAGGACGCGGTCCGGGAACTCAATGTGGTGGGTGGCTCTTTTGGGCTTTTCGGTTTCGGTCACGGAGTCGGGAAATGAGACGTAGAGTTGGATGACTTGTTGGCCGGCGCGGCGGCCGGTGTTTTGGATTGTTAGGTCAACGCGGGCGAGTTCCTCGTAAAGGGAGGGGTTGCCGCCTAGGCCGCCGCCGGCGTCGGAGGGTTTAGTTTTGCGGGTTTTTTCAAGGTTCCTGCGGTTTTTGTTATCGTCGGGGGTGTCGTCGTTTTCGCCTTTTGGATGTTCTGGCGGGGGAGGGGGCGTCGTGGCATCCAGGGTGGGAAGGTAGGGATAGACGTATTTTTCGAGAATGCGGAAGCCCTCTGGGAAGAGGACGAACTCGTTGGCGGGTGGTGGATTCGGATCGTATGCGGGTGGTTGAACAGCATCTGCGGGACGCGCTGCGGGGAGACGTGTTCGCTTGCCGCCGAGGGAGCTGATTTTCATGTTGGATAATTCCCAACTTGTGTAGGAGAGACCATAGCCGAACTCGTACCGCGGAGTGATGTTGTAGCGGTCGAAGTAGCGGTGGTCGATGTAGAGGGCGTCGGTGAAATCGGCTTGTGGGACTGGCGCGTTGGCTTCGTATAGGACTTGTGCGTTGGGCCCATAGTCTTCCAGGCTTTTGCCCACGGTGTACGGGAGACGGCCGCTGGCGTCGACATCGCCGAAGAGGACGTCAAGGAGAGCGTTGCCGCTTTCCTGACCTGGTAGGTGAGCGAATAGGACTGCATCTACACCAGGTAGATCGATCCAGGGATCAACAACAACAGGGCCTACGGAGTGCAAAACAACAACGGTTGGCCCGCCGCAGTTTTTGCCGACGGTGTCGATGAGAGTGTCACCTCCTTTTTGGACGAACAGGTTGGGGCGGTCGCCATGGATGCCGCCGGCGGAGATATACCCTTCGCCAGAGTTGGCGCTGACGAAAACAAGGCAGAGGTCCTTGTCTGATGTATCTACTGGCATCACAGCATTTCGTAAATACGGCGTCATTTCAACATCACTCTCCCATGCGGTGCCCAGAGCATCAATTGGACTAACAAGATATGGAAACTCGACAGTGCCGCTACCCCAACCCATCGCAAGAGTTCCAGAGTTGCAACCTCGGTCTGCGCATACGTTGGGCCCTTCGGCGGGAGAGGCACTGTCCCCATATACGCCAACACGATAAGGTCTTTCAGTATTAGCCCTGGGTGAACGGGATAGAGGTAACACCTCATCGTTATTCTTCACCATAACGATGCCCTCTGCCGCGACTTTCCGAGTGATGTTCGAGTGAGCATCGTCTCCACTGCCCTGGGCGTCTACAAAGCGGTTCACGAGAGCGGCGGAATCGTCATTTGGGCTACCAGGAAATCGAAGACCATACTCGTCATCGGTCCAAGATGAGAAATTGGGACCACCATCGCCCTCAGGCGGCGGGCGTTCCCAAGAATCTTGGCCTAATTGATACCAGGCGGCGACAATACGCGTCACCATGTCGTCCAAACGTTCCATAGGAACAGAGGTATTGAGAGCAGAGCGAGTTAGTTCGGGGCCCCAGAGAGACCGGCCGTCAGCCCAGTAAAGGCCATCGCCAGGCATGCTCATGTCAAGACCGCCAAGAGCGCTGTTGACACCTGATCGCTGAGCGAGCCAATCTGACTGTACAAATCCTTGAAAACCAAGCTCATCCTTGAGCACACCATTGAGGAGTTTGCTGTTTTCGCATGCATGGCTGTTGTTCACCTGGTTGTAGGAGCACATGACGCTAGCCACATCTGCGCGGATACTCTCGGCGAACGGCCAGAGAAATACCTCGTGTAAGGCGCGGTCTCCAATATTAGAAGAGATGGCGTATGGGATACCCCACTCATTAGGCTGGCGAAAGTGCTCTTGTTCATTCATGACATAGTGTTTGGCCGTGGCCATAACTCCGTTGCTCTGAATGCCGCGGATAGTTTCCGCCGCAGCGACGGCCTGAAGAACAGGATCCGAGCCAAAACCCTCCCAGTTGCGACCACCTGCGGGCATCATGCCAAGGGGACCCATAGATGGACCGAGAATGACATTCACACCCTTCAACCGTGCCTCTAGCCCAATCGCTTCACCACGCTGTCGTATCAGATCCCGATTCCATGTGGCTCCTGTTGTAATACCAGCCGGGAACGCCGAGATATGGTCGGCGAAACGAATTCCGAGAGGGCCATCCTGCAGACATAACGACGGGAAGCGGAGACGTTCGACGGGGCCTAGCGAAGGTTAACATTGATGTCTAGTACATACTCCAGGAAGCCAACCAACCCGTATTCCCGACGCACATCCCCATTTGCCAACCGGTTCCCGTAGTGATATTGACCTTCTCAATTAATGTCATTTGCTCAACCAGCTTTGCCGCCTTCTCGTAGCTGGCGGCCCAGCCTTTCAGAGTCCCTCCCTTGGGTGTAGGGAAGTACGAGTCCGGCCCCGGCATGTCCTAAAACACGTCAGTATATCTACATGCATCCACAAGCTTGCAGAACGCACATATTCGCCCCACTCATCACCACTAGACGCAGCATATGTCAAGAAACCCCAAACCAACAACCCCAGGGCAATGATGACGACGACCAGCGTGCGCCACCAAGTTTTGGAATAGTAAACAGCGCGCCAACCACCAGGTTTCACCAACTGCTTCCTCTTTTTCTTCGCCTCAGAAAGCCTCCGGCGAGCAGCGGCCTTGCCGTTTCCATGTACGTCTAAATCATCCAATTCATATTCTTTCGATGCGGTAAGCAGCTGCTGCTCGTCCTCGGTGAGGGAGTCTAGGTAAGTTTCGAAATCGGCGGATTTGCGGACGAGAGGAGCGAGGATGGACGGTTCGCCGTCTTCGTTTTCTCTGGGGGAGTCTGAGCCCGAGGCAGGCCGATCTATGTGATGGAGTCGGAAATTGCTGTCATCGTCGGAAGAGAAGGCAGGGTCTTCCTCGGGGATAGAATTCTGCACCGGGGCATAGGTCTGGGGCATGGTGCCTTTACGGGCGGCAAAAAGTGGGCATTGAGCGGAGCCGCGGAGGATGAAAGGGACTCGTTCTGCAAGAAACAAGTCAAGTTTAGTATCGAGAACAGCGAAGATGGAACGAAAAGAACCGACCCTAGCTGGAAAGGTTATAACAAAAGAACAAAACAAGCAGTTGTGGGCTTGGAAAAGGAGAAACAGGAACAGGAGGTTCAAGATGGAGACGCGAGTACGACGCCGATGACGTTTCACGTGCCGCCTACTGCTTCAAGTAAACTGCGTGTCCATCCACTGCACATCCAAATATACACTGTCCAGATCCCCATGGTCGCTCAGATTGATCGGATCTCTGCAGCTTTAAGCTCCTCACAGAAATGACCTAGCCAAATCCTTAGGCCCGCTCTGACAGTTCCTGGGGGCGGGGTCTGTTGGACACTTGGACTGTTGGAGTGCTGCCAAGTGCCAATAGTGGATGTAGCGCCGAGACATGTGCGCTGGCTTTAGTTTTAGCGGCCAATCTGTGCTTCTAGGCCCAATCTCATTCTGGGGATGGACTTTTCTATACAACACAACTGCGCGCCTCAGGGGTCAGGAAACCCATAACTGGCCGTTGCCTCAAGATTCATCTAGCTCTACCCCATACGCTTTGTAACTCGATACTCAGATTTCTAGGCTCTATACTTCCACATCACAGAGAAGATGTCAGCTTACGCTCCCCATCCTCCCCAAACTCGATCTTCTTCCCCGAGACTAGACTCTGCTGGAGAGCCTCTGCAATCTTCAACCCCGTCAAAGCGGCCTCCAGCTTCATCGGAAGCTCCTTGCCATCTAGGATTGCCTCTGAAAATGCCTCCATCTCCGTCACAAACGCCTCCTTATATTGATCAATCCAGCTGGGAAACGCCTCGCGTATAATCCCACTAACCCCGGAGACCTGCACCTTATTCACCGTCGGTAACAGATTAATCCCAATCTTCCCCTCGCTCCCCACGATCTCTGTACAGTTATCATACCCATGCTGCGTCGTCCGCGAATGATAGTAATACGCTATCCGCCCATCCCAAAACTCGACAACGCCGACAGCATTATCGGCGTCCCCGAACTCCTTCATCTCATGATGATGCGAAATCAGCCCGGTCGCGTAGCATGATTTGGGCCGGGTGTCGTCACCAAAAAACGACAATGTCAAGTCGATATCGTGGATGACCGTATCTAGGAAGATACCCCCGCTGACGCGGGCATAGTTAATGAAATACCCGGACTTATCCAGCTTCTCAGTGCCCTGGGATCGCACGACCAACGGACTACCGATGAGGCCGGACTGGATCTTTGCGCGCGCATCAGCGTAGTTCTTGTCGAACCGCCGGACAAACCCGACCATCAGTCTTGCTGACCATTTCTTTGCTCTTTCAATAAGGGATTGTAACTGCGAGCATTAACATCCATTCGCGCTCTTATTTCATATAGAAAACCAAGAGAAAATACCTCTGCCACATCGGTTGTGATCGGTTTCTCACAGAGAACATGGATGCCCCGCTCCATGGCCGCCAGGGTATGCGTGATGTGCAGGTTCGTGGAGGACGCGATAACCACGGCCTGTAAGCCGGGCGTTTGGATCATCTGCTCCATGTCGGCAAAAACTTGGACACCCTCTGGCTTGAGTGTCTGCTCGGCCCATTCAATCTCATGCGGTGCGGGGGAGCAGACGCATAGCAGGCGAGCTCTTGGGACATGATGGAGGATGTTCAGGGCGTGGCGTTGGCCCATCCGGCCTATGCCCACTACGCCAATGTTGAGTTTGGAAGACATGATGTGAGATGGTGTTGAATTTCGAAGATTCTGGACTGAAATCTGGGGCTTGTTACTGGTGATATGAACGTCGGACATCAGATTCCGACCGGTTCCATGTCCGTTGGTTGATAAGCATTTCTCCAACTCGTGCCCTAAGTGCAGCTGTAGCTAACACCTATTTTGATTGGGAGTTTGCTCCGTATTGTTTCTGGTTATCTTGGGTTGACCTTAGAAATACTGTATTCTTCCATAGAAGGTAATAAATAACTCGGTTTTAACGGAAGGCACGATCGTGATCCTGGTCCCGTCGTTCCTTCCTCTACCGGTATACCAGTACGGTGCTAGGAAGGAGCAACCCGGGCCTCGCCATTAATTTAGAAAAGGAAGGAGCAACAGACTACTGCACTCATGCTGCCCTACATAGGAAGGCACAGCTGGTGGATCTCGGTCGTTCTTTCACTGCCAGGTGACCCGGAATTTAAATCCCGACTATGTTCTCTTCTGCTTCATCTACACTTGCAACCATCTGAACCTTAGTGCAACAGTAATATCTTGAAAATAATTATGGAAGAAAAATGTCTCCACGACATTCATATACAAAATCTGCCCGAAAACACGTCACTACTGCGTGCAATCCATGTCGAGAGGGCAAAGTCAAATGCGACGGCGTTAATCCCGTCTGCGGGAATTGCAGAGTGAAGGGCAAGAAATGCAGTTATCGGCAAGCGGATGACAAACGCAAGTAAGCCGATATACTGTCTCTGAGTACTATATACAGTTCTGAGTTTTGATTTTCTCTTAGGATTCCGTTGCGGATCACAATCAGTGTCCTTACTAGGCGAATCAACCAGCTTTCTCAATTTATCCAGGATAATGAATTGGAAGTTCCTCCGATGCCAGACAGTGATTATTCGACAATAAAGGATATCTTTGAGGCATCTGAGCTGCTAGAGCTCGAGGCACTTTCAGGAAGAAAGAAAGTTGGTGGACTGGGGATATCTACAGCCCTGGTTAGCCTAAAAGGAGGCCTAGAAGCTGAAGGATGCAGGCCTGGGGCCACTCCTGATGATAATATTGTCACTGGTCTTCAGAACCCTTTGCCGGGACCAGCTGAAGAAAAAACGGCCATTTCTGAGGGGCTGCTTCCTCCGATAACTTCGGTATATTCCTTTGATACTGTGAACCGGACTTCATCCGCCCCTGTTGCGGATGAATCTCAGAATGTTGCCTCTCCACTTATTGAGCTCGCAGATTCAAATCTTTTCCAAATCGCTCCCCGGGCACCGGTTACTGAAACTGATCCTCCCGACAGCAACGAAGAGGAGGAGGAAGATGAAGTCACGAACCAGCTCTCGTGCCGTTTGGGTAAGCTCCAGGTAACGCATGGCGGGCAACTGAGATATTTCGGGCCTACATCGAATTTTACGCTGCTGGATATCCTGGTTGACATTGCTCCTTCTACTCCTGTGTCTATCCAAAAAGGCACGCAGGAGATCCTGGACAGCGCAGATCTTGGTTTGACTGTAGACGAGTCATTTGAGAAGCATCTGCTTCAGCTATACTTTGCATGGAATGATCCATGCTTGCATGTGGTCAGTGAAGAGATATTTTGGCGGTCGAGAAGGCGGAAAATACATGATGGTGTTGATACGCCGTATTATTCGAGATCCTTGGTTGACGCAATGTAGGTTCTATTTTGAATTAGCCAGGCTTACTGCTAATGCTATTTCAGGTGCGCAGTCGGTGCTGCCTACGAGCCAAAGCATCATCCAGACTTTGTAACGTTCCCCCGATCGCTTGATGAGTTTTTCGGCGATAGGGCGAAGATCCTGCTCGAGTCAGAGTTGGAAAATCCATCCTTAGCAACTATCCAAAGTTTAGTAATCCTGAGTGCATATGAAGCGTCATGCACCAGGGATACTCGGGGATGGCTGTACAGTGGTGAGATTGATTGGCTAGATCGGCATGTCCAAGCATTAACTGATATTTCAAGGAATGGCGATGCGGCTCGCATTTGATCTCGGATTGCATCTTGATATGGCGCCGTATGTTGTTCGCGGCACCATTCCCCCCGAGAATGCCGAAGTGCGTCGTATGACGTTTTGGGCTGTATACATGAGCGAACAGCAAGTCTCCCTTACTGTACTTTCTATAGTACTTGCTAACTGCTCAGGTTCTGGGGGTACTACCTGGGTCGACCTACTCGGAGCCCAATGGAGGGAGTGACAGTTTCGAAACCTGGATGGGACAGCCCTATTCCCCCAGAAAAGTGGAAACAGTATGTCTCTCCACAATTATCCAGCACCAATACCGCGAATTTCCCCAATCCACTCGGGTTGGTATGCTACCAATGGGTGTCTCTGTATGATTATATGATGCCTCTTACCGATGTCTTGTAAGTGTTATATCCAATCCGGTCAACCCCTGCTAATCTGTCTTAGATATGGGTGTTGTGAGATATCCAAACACCGACTCCAAGAGCTCACTTTCAACACGGTCGAGAACCTGCGACTGTGGAAAGCGAATCTCCCACCGGAGCTTGACATTTATGAAACAAATCATTGCTTACAACCTCTCCCCCACGTCCTAGCTCTCCAGTAGGTCTTGCAACCCCACTGTAATAAAGCTGGGTCTGATATACGGGTACAGCATGCAATACTACCAGTTAATGATCCACTGCCACCGCCCCTATATATCCCGAAACCATATCCAACCGCAAAAGCCGCCACAAGGTCCCGGGTCCACTCATGCTAGAATGATGTGTGTTGACTCTGCAACATCCATCTCTGAAGTTCTCATCCTGTACGAACGATACTATACTTTCAGACGTGCGAACTTTCAAATCGTCTCATTTATCTTCTCTGCCGCCCTTATTTTGATTTTTGCCATGGACCCAACAGGAAAAGGTGAGCAAGATCGCGGATTAGTAGGCCACTTGAGCACCTGTTTTCGGGCGCTAGATGAAATGGGTGTCCAGTTTGAGAGTGCGAAGAGGACGAGTACGTTCCTCAGTACCCTACAACGCGAGTGGCATAGTAGGAGACGGAACGCGATGAGCAGAGGGGTGAAGAGGAAGTTTGATCCTGGTGCTCATGAATTGAGGAGTGCGGAGCCCCTGGTGAACCAGAATCAGATGATCCATGAGTCCGAATCAGGCATTTGGGGTGGGGACTCGGTCGACGTGCCGCCTTATGCGCTCGACTTTATGGAACTAGATCTGTGCAATATCCTGCTGAGCGAGGGCATTCCTCGGTCCTTCATTTAGGAAGGCAGGGCCGAGAGGTGACTGGGGGCTCTCTCGGGTCGCGCCTTCTGTGTGTAAGTATCTCGGTCCCACTGGGGAGGAAGGCACAACCGCAGGTGCTTTCTAGTTAAAGGAAAGTCAAAAACACGAGTTAATAAGGCAGTCAAGCTCCGCCTTGTCAGGAAAGTTGGAGTGGTGACTGTTGCCGCAGTAAAAGCTCGCGGATCGTGTGTCTTCCGTGGGGGTTTGATTGCATACGTACTGGGCCAGGTCCACTATAGGCAGACATGAAAAGGCTGGACGAGCTTCTGTGGTTCAAGCTTCCGCCGCTCCACAGTGCCACGCCATAGGGCTGAACTGGCTTGTTCAGTTCTTCGGTCCACAGCCCTACCACCAGGGTCATCAATAGTCCATGGACGTGGAAATGGCCTGTCCTAATTCCGGTTCTGACCGCTCCTGGAAATAAGCGTGATTATTTGTGCATCTTATTTGGTTTTTCCTGACAGATTTGAATGCGTGCGGCAAACCTCTGGGCTCCACTGGCTACGCTATAGAGAATAGGGCTGAAGGGCTTGATGTTGACCCACGAAAACTGCAAGGAGGTTTGGTGATAGGTCACCATCATCTCGTGGCTTTATGGCACTCCGGGACAGGCAGCACTGTTTTTTATATCTTATCTGATGTCTACTACATATTGGATCGGATATCTCCTCTCGGGGTTTATTCTCAGCCTGTCTTGTCATTCACAATGACAGACGTGTCGCCTTTTAAGGACGTGAATGTCCAGGAACAAAAGGTTCCTACGGCTACAGCCCCTAAAGAAGCTTCTAGTAACTTGAACCCCCTAACGAAGACCTAGGCAGTTTGTGGCACAATACTAAACCACTGTCTTATGGCAGAACCAGACTCCATTGACAACCTCCTGCGCGCCGCAGGTATTGGTATTGCTGAAGATGACCCAACCGAGCCTGTTTTAACTCTCCGGATGTTCTTACTCGGAATAATATTTTGCATCGTGGTCAGCGGCTTGAACACACTCTATACTCTACGAACGCCGTCCATCACGATCTCTTCATCCGTGGTGCTTTTGCTAGCCTATCCATTGGGAAAATTATGGGAGAAGACTGTTCCTAGCTGGACTGTGCCTCTGGGTGTGTGGTCGTTTAATCTGAACCCGGGGCCGTTTAATACCAAGGTACTTAAGCCCATTCATCCAAGTTGCCGCATTCTCCGATACTTATTCAGGAACAGGAACATGTCTTAATTTATGTCATGTCCAACCTCAGTATTTATGTTCGTCTTGGAGCAGACGTCCTCACAGAACAACAGATGTTTTACGGATACAGCGCCGGATTTGGCTTTCAGTTCGTCATCACGCTCGCCACGTTTCTGGTCGGATTCTGCCTGGCCGGCCTGTGTCGCTCTATTGCTGTCGTGCCGAAAGATTTGACTTGGCCCGGGGTCTTTGGTGTGACTACCCTTGTCACAACACTACATGGTATAGGACAGAAGGATACGCAAGCAAGGTTTGTGGGAATCCGACCTATTATATCCCGCCTTCGACTGCTGCTAATTCTTGCCGTGGGTTACATAGATACGATACGTGGAACATATCCCGCTATGCCTTCTTCAGTTTGGTATTCTGCATCTCATTCTGCTGGTATTGGTTTCCAGATTTTATATTCCCTGCTCTGAGCAACTTCAACTTCGCTTGCTGGATCAAGCCGAAAAGTGTGATTGTCAATCAGCTGCTGGGTGTGAAGAGCGGCATGGGTCTTATTCCTATCACATTTGATTGTAAGTCTGTTATGCGCCGTTAGTGTTTAGAGCTCCTGTATTGTGCTTACCAGGTTGTTTTCGACTAGGGAGTCAAATATCATATCTGGGATCACCACTGCTTATTCCATCATGGGCTATCTTTAATATCGCTGGCGCCCTTGTATTTTGGATTTGGGTTGTGGCTGTTGCTTGCTACTATAGTAACATCTGGAATACGGGATATTTGCCGTTCCAAAGTTCTAAAGGTTTGCCATTAACTGTAAGGTTCAATGATCTGCGTTGTCTGACAACAACAGTGTTCGATAACACGGGAGGCGTATATAACGCGACAAAAATCGTCAATGCTGTATCTGGATACACCCTAGATGTTCAGAAGTATCAAGAGTACTCGCCAGTATGGGTTAAACTAGTATGCCTTGCATGCAAAATGGCTGACGGAAAACTAGGTGTACATGCCTGTCACTTACGCGTTGAATATGTTTGGATTGTCATTCGCAACCCTAACTGCTCTTCTAGTTTGGGTTGTTATAGAGCACTCGGAAATTCTAGTTACCGCAATGAAGAGACTTTCTAAGGGGGGCAAGCAGTTATTATCAGGTCGAGGCCAGAATAAGCAGCCCACAGACAAAGAAACACACAAAACCAGCACGTCTGAAGTCCCTTTTTGGTGGTAACTGGTCTGTTCTGTGTTAGCTCTATTCCTGTGCATCCTCGGAGTTGAGTATTGGGGGGTTGAGCTAAGGTGGTACGGTGTGCTGCTTTCTTGCGCGGTGGCTTTGATCTTTTATACTCCGGTATTGCTCCATCCCCATTTATCTCTATTTCGGTCTTCACAATTTAATGCCCTATACAGCTAGCGCTTGTCTATGCGACCACTAACCTAAAAATCAACATCGACATCATCTGCCGTATCATCGCGGGTGTTATCTTCGAAGGCAAAGTTCTCGCAAACATCTGGTTCTTCGACATCGGCTACATCACCACAATCAAAGGTTTATATTTTGCCCAGGATATGAAACTGGCGTACTACAGCCATGTAATGCTTCCAGATCTAACCCATTGACTGAAAACCAACCCGCTAACAACCAACTCTGTGCAGATCCCCCAGAAATCGCTTTTCATCGTGCAATGCACAGGAATGCTCTTCGGAACCCTCGCTTCTATCCTAACACTAAACTGGTCTTTCGCGAACATTGACTCTGTATGTACTTCGGAAGCTCCCAATGGGTTCTCATGCCCATTCTCCAGCACGCACTTTAACACCTCCCTGATTTGGGGCGCGATCGGGCCCCGTCGGTTCTTCAAAAATAACTATCGAGCAATGTTTTATTTCGCAATCCTGGGTGCGCTCCTAGGTCTCCCGATATACATTCTCCGGAGAAAGTATCCGCGCTCCAATTCGTTGTGGTCCAAGATCCATATCCCGCTCTTCCTAGGCGGCTTGAACTACATCCCACCCGCAACGGGTATGAACTATGGCAGTTGGGTTATCGTAGGTCTTATTTTCGGGTGGGTTATCAAGAAGAGATTGAGTGCATGGTGGGGGAAGTATAACTTTGTGCTGAGTGCGGCGCTGGACACGAGTGTCAGTGTCGCTGGTGTGGTTATCTTTTTTGCGATTTATTTCTCGGGGGCTTCGAAGGGGTTCAAGTGGTGGGGGAACGAGGTTTATAAAGTATGTTTAGACCCTTTACTGGCTTTATTCTGGGTACTTGGCTTAACTTTTTGTTATAATGCTAATTATTGGTCTTGTAGGATACGTGCGATTGGAAGGAGTGCCCATATCTAGAGGTTCCTGAGGGAGGGAGGTTTGGTGTTTGAAATGGGGATCCTGCCTAGGTGACTGGAAGAGTGAAACCATCCGTTGATGCACCATGTCAATATCCAAGTCACTGACTGTATCCTTTGGAATGGTCATAGTCATCGTTGCCTCAATACACTGGACAACGTGACCTGGAGATACGTAGGGTGGGGATCGATTAGGGCTGCCGTCCATTCACACAGTTGTGCCAAAAGGGCAGCTAGGTTTTGTCCTAGAATATATTCTATACACATTAGAATATTAAATAGTATATTAAATTAGATATAATACAATTGTATCAATTATATTGAAAAATCCATTATTCGTCACAGGGTTGACTTATTCCCATCCTTCTGAACACGGAGAGATAGTCAGCCCTTCATTATACCGGTAGTCCCCATCACAGCCTACCCTTGTACCCATGTACCGTCATCCCTCGCGGAATGACCCTCCCTGGGTCACATCTTTCGATGAAGCTCCCGGGAGCCTCACCATCCGTTGAAAACCATGCGTTATTATTATAGCACGCCCAGAACGTATTCAGGCCGCCATAAAACAAATAATTCTTCGCGTCAGGGATATACATAATCCCATTCGCAAGGGCCGCATCTTTCATCCTTTTTGTAATGTCTGACTCAGTACCGGTAGGTGCGTGGCAGGTAATAGCCCGCAGACTACCACCCTGAGCAACCGAGCCAGCGACAGAAATGCTCTCGAGCTCATGATCCAGAGCGCAGAAATGCCGATCCATCCAGTTCCCGCCATTGGCGTAGAGCCCTAAGGACTCGAGCTTGGGGGGTAAGTGGTTTCCGAACTTGGTACCTTCTTCGTGCTTACAGTTATGCCCGTAGAGACCCAGCACAGGAATATTTAATTGTCGTAGCTTGGTGAATTCGCCCAGCGGCGGGCAGAAGTGTGGGAGTTCGCCGTTGTTCCATCCGCGATCGGTGGCAAATACCGGCAGACTCTCGCGTGGAGGGAGTCCGATGTCACGTCTGTCTTGGTATAACTCTAGAAAGCATAGGGTGTCCTTTAGGTGGTGGATCATCTGCCATACTCTCAGATATTGGTGTGGGCCATCCGGGAGAATTTCCCCAGTCTTCGCGCCATGGTACCACCCTCTCACTGTATGATCGACCTGCAACCCTAGTGTGAGACAGCGGAGGTTACAGGTCACCGTAAACAGTGTTGATATACTGCCCTGGAGAAACTCCTCGGTTTGAACAGTGAGGTGTTCAATGTCGCTTGGAGTCTGGCTTTCCAAATCGGCGCTGATCTCTGCATTTAGCATCACAAGCTCTTTTAACTTGGGCAGGGACCAGTAGCTCTTGTAATGGGAGATACTGGTACGGTTAGATTGGAATGATTCGGCCGGGCCTCCAACTCGGACACGCTCAACATTTGCCAAGGGCCGGCTGATTTGAAGAAGAGGCCGCTTCCCGGTTCCCATCGCCATCACCTCTTCGAGAAATGGATCTTGTGCCCAAGTGTCCATGTTCAGACGGACAATCTGCGGGCACAGCGCGATAATGATTGCCATCAATGGCATTTGAAAGTTCCCATACCCGTCACCGTTCCTATTACAGGTGAAGAATGCCGAACTCTGTCTCAGCATCATGCTTGCGCGCTCGGCATTTTCTTCCGTGAAGAGTTTCAGGACCGGATCGAACCACCCTCGATTGTGCTCATAAAGGGAAAATATATACCATTCATGAAATATACTCTCGATGAGGCGATAGAGGCATTGGTCTTCTTCGTCTTGATTTCCATAGTCCACATCCACCCAGTTGATAATCTCAGGCGAGGGTGGACGTGCTTGGCAAAACCATGCGAGGGTTGTATCATCAGGAATAGAGCAGTCGTCACCAATCGGATACTCCTGACAATATCGTTGAAACGTGCACTTATGTTGGATTAGTAGTTCAAAGGCACGCGCCTTCTCTTTCACTCCAAGATCCCTGTGCGTGGACTTGGTGGTAAAGGTTAATTCTCGGACCAGAGAAGCATGGTCCTTTCTCTGCACAATAGTGCGGACAAAGCACCACAGGCTTCCTATCTGGTTTACATCACCTTCGTACCGATAGCTGGCATAAAGCATCGGCGTAAAGGTGCTGTGCCACCTTGAGTTTACCCGGCACAGATGGGCGGGAACCTCCCCCATGAAGTCTGACGCCCTGGGATTGCCGCCAACAATATACTGGTTGATAATGTCCAGAATTTCTTGGGGAAAGCGGGCGGATTTAATACCAAGCTGGTAGTCCAGTACTGGGGCCTCATAATAACTGCTATAAGTCGCCATGATGATATACGTGAGAGGTTCAAGTGGGAGTCATGGAGTATAGACTTTCAGAAAGATCGTGGTGTGGACGAAGCTCGAGTAAGTTTGGAATTTATGACAGCACGACGAATTTTGAGTTTTGCTTGGAGCACTGAGCTTATTTAAATGCTTTTCGAGACTGCCTTTGATGAGAATCATTGTGAACAAGATCTTTGTTGAAATATGCACCGCCAGGTCATTATTGAAATATGAACCGCCATGGTGGCACTTCAGCCGTGAAACCGTGAAGGCCTGTTCACACTTCAAGACAAGGACATCAAAAGTAGTGAACATCAAACAGTAACATCACAATGGACTGGTTTCAACTCAGATGTTGCTGGTTGGAAAGACAATAAAATTAACAGTGGCCTCTTTATTCTTGGAGGCTGCTTGCAAGGTGGTATCGCAAGGCCGGACTCTGTTGTTTCGGATCTGTTCTTCATGGCTATAGATGTTAGTTTTCTGGAAATCTTCTTCCCAGCATTATTCTGTCAGGGGTTTACTCATATTCTATCTCAAGGGAATAGACTTCTCAGATTTGAGCCTTGGTGATGGGGTCGGAATGTTCGCAAGGAGGAGGATACTCCTAGAAGCCATGACTGAAGGTAATATGGAGAAGATGTTTAGTTAGGATTGATAACACAAACTAAAGCAAAAATTCACCCCCCTCCGACTTTCCTCTAGTTTGATATTGCTCTTGTTGTGTTTGTCTCTTCTTTGCTGTTTCTGTTTCTGTTTCTCTTCCACCCCCAACCCACCTAACATCTCGTGGAATCCATCCTACTCTCACCTATTCTATCAGTTTACAACCAGCCTACCACCCTAATATCCCATTCTCCTATCCATCAAAGCAAAGACGCAATGACTCGCAGAAATGGCTCCTACTCTACCCAGCCACACCTCCACAAGTCAGTGGTCGACCTCGCCGAAGAATACGCAAACCTCACTTTTACCTTCCGCCAGGGTGACACAGACCGCAGAGCCACCGATGTTTGAAACACCAGCGTGATGGGCAAATTGACATGCTCCATTGAAAATTGTCGCAAGAGTGGCTGGTCGAGCAAGAAGATAGCGATTCGAATCCGCATGTACCCGGGCCGCCAATACAACGCGAGAGTCTATCATCAGCGCTGCAAGAAGTGTGAGCGGCTTGGTGAGCTAGACCTGGATAATTCCTATGCGGAGCGCGTTGTATATTGGCTCATGAAGTGGAATGACGTGTAAATGGAGAAACCTAGTCATGGTGGACAGGGCAAAGGTCCGCACAACAAGAAATTCTGTGAGGGTTGTAAGGCCGGCCATTGTGAGGAGTAAATGAACTTTGCATTATTCCCATTGAAGGGAATAGAATGTACATGATAGACTATCGATTGGGCTGGGATTGTCACAGACAAGGCTTTGCTAGACTACCAATATGGAGAAACGGATTATTCTGGTTTTAACTTCATTCAGCATAAAACGTCAGCATGACAGACATGATGCGTAGCTATGGTATATGTATCACCCTGACAGGGTATAATTCGCAAACAGCTATTAAATAATGGAAAAGTCCTCCGTGACTCCGCACAGTGGAGAATAGAAGGAGAAAGCTAATCTAGCCAGGTACCGCTTAAGCCTTCTGGGCAACATCTTCAACGGTCAGAGTCACATCCTTTTCGGTGAGACCCATATCAGCGGCGAAGGTGCTGTGAGGCTTCCACTTGGAGGAGGTTCGTGGCGTAGTCTCCTCCATCATCTTGTCAACTTGCTCGAGTGTGAGACCCTTGGTCTCGGGAATTAGGAAGTAGGCGTAGACAAAGGCGCAGGCGCATAGAGAGCCCCAGATAAAGAACACCTTGGACTGGAGGTAGCCCTTATCAGAGTCGACCATGTATGGAGTAATAATGGCGATGATGCAGTTCCAGAGCCAGTTAGAGGCGGTCGACAGAGCAACACCGCGCGAACGGATGGGCAGCGGGTAGATTTCGCCAATAACAACCCAAGCACCAGGGCCCCAAGTAGAGGCGAAGAAGACTGGGAAGGCGTTAGTACCATAATGCAAATATTGGAATAAGGGGAGTACGTACAGATGTAGATGCAGATGAAAGAGATCTGAGCGCTGACGGTCTGGGGGTTTTGGCCGTCAACGACACCAGCGATAGCCACAATAAATTGACAGATAACCATGCCCAGCGCACCCCAGAGTAACAAGGGTCGACGACCAATCTTTTCCATTGTGTAGAAAGAGATAGGGGTGGAAAACACGTTGACAATGGTGGTGATCATGCTGATTAGGAAGGGGTCTTTGATGGTTTTGAGCTATTCGAACGGTTAACTGATAATCCTAGCACGAAAGTGAGAGCGAGGTATACGTACGGTAGTGAAGAAGGTGGTACCGAAGTAAAAGACGAAGTTGACACCAGTCCACCTACCAAGGAATTAGTAAATAGAAACCCAAGCAGCAGGAGGGGGGGTGGGGGGGCGTATAAAACATACTGTTGCATCATCTGGAGGGAGGTTCCCAGAATGGTCCGGCGGAGGTTGCTGTTAGGAGACCAGATGCTGCCGCGGAAACAGTTGAACCAAGTAGCAAAGTAACCACCTTGTGGGATCATCTGCATTTCATATTCGTTGTTGGCCACGATTTCTGCCAATTCTTCCTTAACGTAGCTGGACTCTAGAGGCTGGCCACGGACACGAGCAAGCACCTTAGCTGCGTTGGCCACATCTCCCTTTCGCACATAGTAACGGGGTGATTCAGGAAGGAAAAACAATCCTGTTGCCAGGATAATAGCCCAAAGAAGTTGCAGGGCAATAGGAATACGGTATGAGCCGGAATCAGTGCGGTTCTCAGTACCATAATCCACACAGGAAGCCAGCATCAAACCAACAGTGACGCAGAACTGATATCCAGAAACGATAGCACCACGGACCTTGCGGGGAGAGATCTCTGACATGTAAAGAATGAGAATGGCAGAGACAAAGCCGACACCGAATCCAGCAATCAAACGGCCAACCACCAACAAGGCAACAGTGGTAGAGGCCGTCTGCAGAGCGACACCAACCATAAAAATTGCACAACCGCTAATGATAGTCGTGCGACGACCGAACCAATCGGCAAGGTCACCAGCGATGAGAGCGCCAAAGAATGTTCCAGCGGACAGAATAGAGGTTATAAGGGATTTGTTAGAAGCTGAGATGACAAAACTATCTGGATCGTCCACGTAGTCGGCCTTGTTCTATAATGTCACAATAAATGTTAGCCCAGTTGAGAGGAACCTAAGAGGGTTCAAACGAACCTTTCCTGTGAACTCGTGGATGAAGTAGTCCATCGCCATAACACCGTTGATGTAACCAGAATCATATCCGAAGAAAATGCCACCAAAGGCAGCGAAAGCGCACATCAGATACGTCTTCCAAGTAACAGGGGCTTCGACACGCTGGCCGTCAACAACCCCGTCCGCTGCAGCTACAGGCCGGGCATCAACCTGCCCAACTGCAGAAACTGTCTCCGTCATGGTGACTGAGCGTAAAGATTGTGTGAAAGGGAGAACCGTCTCTGATAAGGCAAGGAAAAAGAGACACAGCAAAAGAGTCTCCCACTGATGGAGGGGACGCCCGCAAAATAAAGGCCGGGGTTGTTATGGGAGAATGGGGAGTCGACGAACTTGTGAAGGGGAGGAGGAATAGAAGAAAACGCAAGGAAGGGGAGGGACGGGCCCGGGAATTTATAGCTCATGCAAGAACGAGATTGAAACCGAGCTGACGGGAATCGCGGTTTCCCCATGCCATTCATTCACTCTACGGGTGCTGTGGTCGGCACAGCACCGGGCCCGGGGAAGCAAGCCCACGGGGAATGCGCCTCTCAACTCGGCCCCACGGCCTCACGAGAGCCACGGAAATTTTCTCGCTTGGTTTCTTTTCTGCTCAGCCCGTCGCTCATTTAGCGGACGACAGACGACCCCACTATTGGTGGTTTGATTGAATGAAATTGCCTCCCCGGGTGGTTTGGCTGGAACCGAAACAGCGCAGGGGAGCGAGGACAAGACCAAAGCGTTGGAAGTGCTCCGGCCACGAGAGAAAGCATTGCAGGGCCAATCAAACACACGAGTACGCGGGCCTTGGGGCGTCCAATTCACAGGTTGCATCCACTACTCTGGTGCTGGCTGCAGGGCGGGTTGTGCACCCTGACCATGTTGTCTCAACTCAACTGAACCCGGGCCAAACGCTGGCAGTCCGGCACGGCGATGGTAGCCGCTAAAAGACAAGGCCCCGACAGAAAGCACATCCCATTGGACTGGATTCCGTGGCGAAGACAAGCCATGGGGAGCTGGCCAAACAGAGACTCGGGCCAACCCCGACCTGACATTCGGGGTGGATGTGGAGGAAGGAAGGCTGATGCCAAGACTGAATCCCGGCGTCAATCTCGATTGGGATGGCCCCCATCCTGCGAGCTCTGATTGGCCAAACCCGACAGGGGACGGAAATGTGACCAACCACGTGGACTCCAGCCAGGCGCATTTTTCGCAACGGGGAGTGCGGAGATTGACCCCGAGTCAGTTTGACAGCCAAAGAATCCAGACCACTTGCAGTCTGCTAGACGACCAAATCCAAATTCTCGCTGTTATTTGTTGCTTAATGGCAACTTGTGAGAGGGCGTCAGCTTGTCATGGAACCTGGTTACGCGAGGCCAACCTGATGCAGTGGATGCTACCTCGCTACCTCACGTTTGTGGTCAGATGGGTGTAACCCTGCCAGTAGCGTGCCAGAACAACTTTCTTGAGAATCGCCACCGTCCAGCTGGATTTACTGTACCATGGACCAAATCCAGCCGAGGACTGCTCTCACTTGCTCTTTCTCTCACTGCTCGGGTATTGCCGAGGTGCACGTGAGCCTCTCCATGTCTCAGTCAGTCAGAGACTGATCTCCAGTCTCGACTCCAGACCACGAACTCGAGCCTTTCTCCAGTCTAATTATGTGATCCTGACTATGGAGTAATTTCCAAACTTCATCTGCCAGGCTGCTACAGGCTAATCTCTTGGCACTCGGGTTGGTCCTGCAGACTCATCGGCCTTGGCACACAAAGCACTCGGCACTTGCAAGACAAGACAATCCAAGACCCCTCAACGAGCCTTAGTTGCCAACCATGTTCCCGATCGTCTTCTCTCTCCATTTCGGAATGTATATTCTGCTTCAATTAGACTTTGGCGATAGCAGAATTGCACCAGCAAGAGCCATCAACGACTCGTGGAAAGTGGGATGATGGATCACGGTTCACTGGCGCCACAGCGCAGTAGCGTCTCCCCATTGCCTCCCAAGAAGGCTTGAGCCCTCATTTCCAACGGCCGGCTTTTCTTCGGGGTTCACGCCTCTGAGCGAAAAATCCCCACCGCTCAGTTCGAGGCCCCAGAATAATGGAAGTTTGGAACTGGGGTTTTGGACGCTTCGTTCTCCCGGTGAGTGTTTTGCGTTAGTGAACACATTTCAGCAGTCTGGGGTCAGGGCATGGAAATGCGGGAATCCCATACGAGATCTATCCCTGTCATCTCGAGTCAATCTGGGGCCATTATTGAATAATACGACATGGGCCGCATTCCGCCCCGAACCGTGCAACGTTCCATGCCATCGGCCACGTTAGTCAAAAAAATCTCACTATTCCATCTCAGGCCAACATCGCCCTGTCTATTCGTCCATTCGCCCGTGACTAGTGTTCGTTAATTTCCGCTCCCCACAATTGATATTGAGCAGTCTTGGACGGGTAAAAATTTTATCGGAGACAGACTAGCTGGAGAGGGAACTGCGTTTGATTGCCTCAGGCACGATAGCCTTGAAGTCTTCATTGGCGTCATGTCTTTGGTGAGGCTGAGTGTTTCTCTGATCTTCTCGGTATTAGGAAAACGATGGCATTATTCAAATATGAGGTTCCCTACGGCGCCAATGTCGAGGATGGCTGTCCAATGTTTCACGGCATCTCAGTCTGAGCACATCCGTTCACTAAAAACAGCGCACCGAACACATTATGCACTTACAACATGCAAGAGCCTCATTCGAAATTAGTGGGAGCCTCAATCAGAGAAGATGCACTGTCCACTTTACCTACCACGAGGGAGCGGCAACCCGGATGTACTCCGTGACAAGCATGATCGTTTTGAGCACTGTCAAGGACAAGCATTCTGCAAATCGAATACACCACCCGCCATTCTCTTGTCTTTTTTCTTTTGAGGAACAATGAACTTTCACTCCGGGAGGGCTCTCAAAGTTAATTCCAATCTCACCCAATTACTCAAAGGGATACATATACTGTCAGAGACGGGCTACGCGCACGCAGAAAGCTTGACTGGCCCCTCACACTACGATCACCTATCTGCCATGCTCGTAGATCGCACGCTGAGCGGAATATACCTAAGGTTCTCTGAGCTAACCTTAATGACTTAGGCCACTTGCCGCGTTTTTTAACACGTTCCTAGCCGCAACCACTTAGATATCAGGCGTATCCTGAGTGTCTCCCCTTCGAGTGATCCTGCGTCACTCGGTCGTAGAACCTCGCAGGGCCTTCATTGAATATACACAGCCTTTTCATTACCACAGGTCTTATGGTTATGGCCGGCAACATATTTATCTTGCGCATATGATTAGTATGCGTGTCACATTTTCATTAAAACAAGACAGTACAACATTGTCTATTTGTCTAGTATATTCAGAATGCCTCGCTCATACGCCAAGGCTAGAAGTACTTGGTAAATACAAGGAAATTCAAAAATATTCAATCCGATCATCTCCTCTATCTAATATCCATCACGAATCTACAATGGTATTCGGTGCCGGGAGCGTCCCATTAGCAAGGAAAGCATCAATTGCCTTGGACGCCGCACCACCCAGAGAATAAGACGTATGGCCACTCCCATCTCTCGTCAGCAGAACTGCCGACGGAATCTGCGCTAGCAGGCCATGCGCCCAGACATAGCTAGTCTCGGGGTCATGGAAGGCGTTGACCATCAGGATTGGCGGCGCCTTTGCCATGGCAGTTTGGTTGAGCGTATGAGGCGGGTTCTTCACAGGCGCGGGCCAGCCAATACAGCCGGCTTCGTAGAGATAGGACTGGGTAGCGCCCTTTGTGTGCGGTGCAAGGTAGTGGCCGAGCTGCGACTTGTATTTGAGCTGCGACAGGGTTGTGGAGCTGTGTGACCAGTCGAGACATCCGACTGCGAGGGAGGGGTATGAAGGGTCAGTCTCACTGGTAGCTATCGTGGAGGATAGACCCGTGGCGTTGCCGGCGATGGTTTCGTTGAGGACTTGCGCTAGGTTTGCCCAGCCCGATGTTCCCCTTCCGGAGACTGGTTCTACGAAGTTCAGGTACCCGTTTCCTTGGACGTTGAGGCGGATGTCTTCGCCTGTCACAAATGGTCGGCAGGTGCTCTGGTTCCCTCTGCATCCGGGTGCGGGAATAGGGGATGCGTCGGCCAGGGCAACGAGGTCGTCGAAGATCTCGGGAAGGTTTTGGCCCTTGAGCGGGCATTCATCTGTAGTTGCGGTGGTATTGCACCAGGCAAAAAAAGTGATTGAGGACGTCCTCGTAGGTGGAAGATTCAGTTTGCAAGGCAGTTGTTTCAGTCTGGGAGTGGTCAACGTTCCCATCGAGGACCAGTCTCCCAACATGTTCGGGGTACAACTCGGCATACTGGGCTCCGATCTGAGTGCCGTAAGAGAGTCCGATCAAATTTAACTTGTCTTCCCTGAGCGCAATGCGGACGGCCTCGAGATCCCTTGCGACGCTGGCGGTGTCGAGGTTGTAGAATAAAGCTCCGGTTTTGTTCCGGCAGCTCTCGCCAAATGCTCGGTTTGAATCCACCAGTGCTTTGAATTCTGCCTCGGTCGACGGAAACAGCGAAGCGCGTTTGTTGTACAGTGTTGGGTCACACTTGACTGGTGTGCTCAAGCCAATCCCACGAAGGTCGAGTCCAATCACGTCGTAGTTCTGGGTCGTTCCGTTTGTATAGAAAGGGATGCCAATAGCTTGTGCCATCGAGGATATCGAGGCAACACCTCCTGGCCCACCCGGGTTGTATATGATACTGCCCTTGTGCTTTCCGGAGCCGGGAGCTCGGTATCTTGACATGCCCAGGGTGATAGTGTCTCCATGAGGACGGCTCCAGTCCAAGGGCACCTGGAGTTCCGCACAGTCAAGGCCGGGCGCCGGTCCCAACAAGGGGGCGTACTCAGCAGGCAGCCCAATGTTTGACAGTGCTGGGAAATTCTCCAGGGTACAGTTCTTCCACTGGATGGAAGGGGCTGCTGCACTGGAGAACGAAACAAGCGACAACAGAAACAGTGGAACCATGGTGTCGAGTGAGATGCAAAAGAATTCGATTGAATTACTCAGATCTGGAAGCGACAAGAATTTTATAAGCTTGAGTGACTAGATCGTCGCTGCCTTGTATCCTGCAGCGGCAGAGCTGAGACTCAGCCTTGCTGGAGAGGGGAAGCTGAGTGGAAATCTTGTAAGGAAGGCCGCCGCCCATCACAATCATAACAAATAAACACAGCCGCAAAGCGCAGCTTGATCACCACACTAAAGTATGACAAGCAAAATTAGGCTGCTGGATTTCAAGTCAAACCAGACCACAACAGCTGTTTGAACCAAATACGTTTTTCCTTTTCCCTACATTATTTCTCGACCTGAGTCTCTCGGAAACACTCAAACAACTCTAATACGGCGATTCATCGTGTCTCCGTAGCATACCACACTACACCTCTTGAGTGGTGCAATTTGTGCATCAAATAATATGTGACATCAATTATTGATTACCTAGCTTGGATGTATATTAATAGGGCCTCAGTCTAACCTGCCGCATACGGACTCCTCTTCCTCAGCGCACCACCAAATTTCCATAAAAATATCGGTGCCAGAATCCCCAGCCCTAGCGAAATGAAACCGAGGAGACTATTTCCCCACCCAAATTGTAGTGCGTCATACATATAAGGCGCAAATAGTGGAAACGCGAACCCACATATTGACCGCAAAAACGAGGTCGCCGCGAGAGCACTTGCTGCGAACCGTGCATACGAGTCAATCATGTATGTCTGTGCGCATTGGAAGGTGACAATGGTTCCCATGCCGAACATTGCAGCACCGATGTTTGGCGCTATCCAGTGTGTGTGCTTCTCGCCTGTCCAGCCGTATATAAAAAGGCTGACCGGGGTGAGGAAAGCTGGGATGCAGAGAAGGGGGACCCGGAATTCAGGTTTCCCCGCACCACCATTCCGAGCCTTCAAACGGCGGTAGACTCTATCGTTGAGCGGGGCGCAAATCTGAGAACCAAGCCAGAACCCTACTCCTAGTGAGATGTAGTTCAATCCGCCAATGCCGATGGATTCGTTGTAGTATTGTTCGCCTGTCCAGAGAGTCGGAAAGGTTGAAAGGACGAGGTAAATGATTCCGTACATGTAAGCGAGGTAAACAGCAAGGGCTTGCACAATTGGCTGCGTGGTCAACAGGCGGAAAGGACGGATGAGAGCCGAGCTGAGTGTTTCGCCGAGTGTCTTGTTTTGGCGCTCTACTTCCGTTTGATAGGACGAGTCGCCCGTTTCAGCACGGATTTTCTTTGCGCGCCTACCAAGGAGAACAGGTGCGTAAGTCTCTTTCAGAAAGAAAAGACCAGCTACTTGGATAACCCCGTCGGCGATAGAAGTCGCGTAGAAGACCCAGCGCCATGTTGTGTACTCTGCGATAAATCCGCCTGCGATGGGGCCGACTGCCGGGCCAAGAAGAGGGGCCAAACTGTAGATAGCAACACCTTTGCCTCGCTCTTCAGGTCTGAAGCAGTCTGATAAAACCGCTCCACCAACCTACGTTAAAGTCAGAATGGACCAAACCTTTCATGGTTGGAGAACAACGTACCGCCATTGGAGCACTACCACCTAGTCCAGAAAAGAGTCGACAAACGATCACTTGCGTCTTGGTTTGTGCCACACCGCAGGCAATATTGAAAACTAGGTAAAACAGGTTGGACAATTGCAGAACGATCACCCTGCCATAGATTTCGGAAAGGGGACCAAGGAAAAGCGGGCCGACGGCGTAAGCCAGAACGAAGATTGAAAGTGTAAGCTGAGATTCAACAGCATCTGTAATGTTCAGATCTTTAGACATAGTAGTCAAAGCTGGTGCCACCATGGAAGAGGATACCGGGGAAATGAATGTGAACAACGACACTGTCACTACAATGGCCCATTTCTTCTTTATGGTCCAATTTTTGGGGTTTCCTGGGTCATCTGGCCCATCCCACGTAATCTGTAGACCAGTTAATATACCGAAAATTAAACAAGACAGCCGTAGTTTACTTACAAGCTTAGGATCAGGTGCTTGCTCAGAACGAGCTGTCCTAGTCTTCCCTATTTCAGCTGTTGGACCCTGCCTGTTTGCCTCCAGGTCAACGTCCCTTTCGTTGACGATCCCGTTCCTGACTTCCAGTGCCACGTCCAAATCCTTCTCGTTGTTTCCCCGCGACGAGTCACGATCTGCCGAAGCTTCATTGTCATAATCACCATGATAAACGGAGTGGTCGTCGAGATAGACACCAGAGTATATGCGAGTGATTTCAGAAGATCTTGGTCGGGAACTTGATCTCTCCCGCTGGGAAGTCGAAGTTGATCCTTGCCTAGCCCGAGGCTTTGAATCTACGGAATCTGAATCCGTACTCGAGCGAGAAGGTTCATGTGTGGTGCTTTCAATATCAAAGCGCTCACGGTGGTCTGACATAACCAGAAACAGCTTCCTCAGATGCCCCGAGCTTCGATATCTGTCGGATGGACACTTGGAAGAGCAACCAAGCCAAGGGCCAGAGAAGCGGGGGACTGGTCTTAACTTATAAGATGGCGAATCAAGTCCAGTCAATCGAACGCGAAACAGGGCGATCACGGTGATAGATCCATGTTAACGCCGATGTGGAGAGGCAGAATTGGAAGAGTGGAAAGATACGGTGGTTGTAACTTGAGGCGATTGGCCATCTCGAAAGCTTGACAAGCGAGAGGCCCGCTGGGAGTTGTTGTCTCTCCACGTCTGGAACCGGCGATTACCTAGGCAGAAAATTTTGCATGCCCATGTTCAGCGGGTTCAACCGCCGTAGTGAGGCAAAAGGTCAGGGAGGGCTATTAAGTCTTTAACTGCAGTGTCATTGGACGCAGCAGCGGCCGCAGACGGATCTTCGGCACGATAAGGTCGGATACGCTTCTTATCGATAAGTTGCCTGTCGCGGGGGATGCCCGCATAGATCCATCATCCCGCAGCAGCTGCCAACTCCATTTTCATGAATTCCAGGTAACTTACCAGTCAATGGTATACACTTTCGTGCCGGTATCCGACTTGCCTTGAAGCTTTATGTTCAACATTCAAAAATAGCTCCGCTATTCTTGATTTAGAAGACCCACAGATTTCAGACAACAGAGAAACTGAACACAGAGCTGAGATGTTGGTCACTGAATTGCCAACTCTCAATTTTCATTTTTTAAAAAAAAGAAAGATTGTTTCTAAACTATCAAGGTCGCCATAAGAGCAGGATACATGCCTGGTATGTGTCCTTGAGAAATCGCTGAGGCAGCGATGGTTCACATGAACTGATGTAGACGGAGATAGGCGGTGTTACTCCATACCCCCACCAGCACTGAGTAGGCGGAACCCATATTCAAAAGGTTCATCAAAGGTTCATTATACGTGTGCTATGCAAACTTATACAACTACTTGGGTCTCGCTATTTCCGTCAGGTGTCTATGAACTACTTACTGGTTCTATACAGTATCCAGATCCATACTAACGTTACATATTCTGGCAAGTACATTACAAGCACAAAAACAGATTACAAATCTGTAATATATATTAAAGCTGCTCGCGATACTCCAAAAATAAAGATACAGGATATACTAGCCATAACAGATTTCCCTTTCCAGAGCACAAGAATACACACCAAGATATCATACTCACATTCTTGCTCCCGCTGGGAAAGGAACATTACAAATTTCAAGGTAAAGCACTAAATAAGTATAAGGTGAGACGGTCGAAAGAGGGTCCATAAGACTGGGGTAGTGGCCAGGGACACAAATACGACGCAACTCTTGTATGGATCCTTGCGTACTTAGCAGGTAGGAAGATAGCACAATACACGTAAAAAGGGATGGAATAAAAGATTGCAGGTAGAACCAAGTGTAAAATTAAATTTTACCCCATAAATAACCAGTGCTCGCTCGAAACGGTAATAAAAACAGCTGCAAGATCGTGGCGTATTAGTTAACGCGGAAAGAATCAAAGATGACTATAAGCTGGTCAGTATACTTGTCGCAACAGCGGGATTGGAGGTACTGACTTTCTTGGCCCCTGCGGCAGCCGCTGGCGATCCACATCAATGTATTCAGGAAAGTATAGCGGTCATCGCCAGTCTCCATGGTGAGGTTCACGCGATACTTGTATGAGTTAGGGTTTATCCCATCCGCCATTGAAGAGTCGCCGAGCTTATCCAACACGTCCTTCGCGCCTGTCAACCATCCAGTGGTTTTGACGACAATGAACGCCGGGGGATCGTCTGCTGTCTGTAGCAGGAAGTTTGCTCGTAGGCTTGTGGAATCCTTGGTCATAACTTGGGAGTCTTGTCCACCGGGCTACTACCATTAGCAAGGTGTCCACAAGAACAAGACCAATGCATTAAGCAAACTTACGACAACTACTCCTTTGCCCCATCTTCCAGCCCACTGGCCACCAACGAACGTGACCCAGTCTCTTGTACCCCAGATACCAGGGCCAACGCCAACCTTCGGGTTCACCTTGAGGCTCAAGCGGAAATCCAGCTCGAGGCTGGGAGCAGGTATCTGAAGTGACCGCGCGACTTCGCCTTCGGGAAATGTGTGGAGGAGGTTATTCGCGGGGATCGAGTCCTTCATAACACTGAGGTAGGTAGGGCATTCCAGGAGATGCTGGCGCTGTCGACTGGTATTCTTTGCGCGTACCTGTTGGCAGTAAATGCACTGCACGGAGAGACACTGTTTCGCGTCAGGACCGGTCTCGCTGTCCATAGGGTCCACCAAGCTACTTACCTTGTCTTCCTCCTTTGCGCGGAACTCAACAAACGCGGCATGGACATCATCAAGGGGAGGCGCAGGGAGATTTGAATTCGACGTCTTTGGCTTCGCTTTCGGGGTGGTGCGAGCAGCCTGCTGCGGCGCGGGAGCAGAGGGGCCAGCGACAGGGCCGGAAGCTGGCAACGACGGGCGTCCAGATAGATTTTGAAGGGGTGTCTGCATGGGAGTCGCATGGGGATTGACACCATTCGACATCATGGCGCCGCCAGGTGTTGAGAGACCGGGATGGCTTGGTGCAGGGCCCGGTGCTGCTGGAGCTGGAGCATTAGGATTGGGGGGGTATCCATTGGCAGCGCCGATACCATTTGGTGTTGGCTGAGCGGGCTGTGTTTGAGCCTGAGCTTGTGCACCACGAAGACCAGGGCACTCAAGCAGGTGCTGCTTCTGGCGTGATGTGTTTTTTGCGCGGATCTGCTGGCAGTAGATGCACTGAACGGAAAGACACTGTTTTGGGGGAAACGAGGTTGTCATGTCAGTTCGGTGACGATGTCGTGTTGAGGCGGTTTTGCTGAAATATTACGCGAAATACGGGAGTCACGCACCTTATCGTCCTCCTTAGCGCGGAACTCGACAAACGCCGCGTGAACTTCCTGGTCGACGGTCCGACCCATGTTCACGACTAAAGGGGCGAAAAAATCGATGGTGAAAGTATTGAAGGGAACCCCCGACTTGAAAATGAGATGAGAAAGCAACTGAGAGAGGCGGATGGGATGGAAGTTGGGGGAGCTGGGCTGAACAGGCGCGCCTGGGACTCAGGGTGGGAAAGTTGAAAAGGAAGAAGACGGAACGGAGACGAGACGAGACGAAACAGTACTAAGCCGCGGTTAACTTACGCGAGCGTCACGAAAGCTTACCGCACCGTAATCATGCTTGCCGACTCCAATTGAGCAACTTCACAGCTAGCTCCCGACAGAGAATCTCTAACTTCAAAAAATAAAGATTTCTATATTTTTACCTTTTTCTCCTCATTATTATAAAAGATAACACTCACTCCTCAAACACCCCGCGAAACTGAAAATGTCGCGCGGCATCTTCCTGTCACGCGGCTGACGAAGCCCATTCGGCCAGTAAGCAGAACCAAATTCCTCAGACTGACTCGAGAGCTCGCTATCACCGTGGGCGTCCCCCATCCACCCATGCAATCGTTGCTATTCTCGGATACGCCAATAAAAGGCATTCCAGCGTTTAAGGAGGGGTGGGATCATAAAGTATTTAAGTGCTTGCTCAATTAATCTAGCTGCCTATTAATCAAAATCCAGCGATTTCTTTTCTCTCAGCTCCCCTCGTTTAAGAATCATATGTTAACTCCATAGTTCTTTGTTGAGAATAGCAAAGCAGTAATACCCTACCATACCGTGAGCTGGTGTAAGAGTGAATTAAAGAAAAGATACTGTGTATGGTGTACGCGTACAGAACACCCGACTCACTTCGTACTAGTACACCTGAAGTTACAGCAGATGAGCTTGTGAAATTGTGGTAAACTCGGACAAAGTGCTTCTTGATTTCAATTTATCTCTCTAATATTTTAAACAATGTCAATATATAAGGTACATAATCGGGACTTCAAGTTCATCTTGAATCTGGCGTTGGCTTTGTTACGAAACGGGTGAAGAAAGTTCCCAACCGCAGAAACAAAAGTCGCGGCACAGCCACAGCCACCGTCAACAACGGCCGCAGTTTCCCCTTGTCCAGCCTGAGGCCTTGAACCAAGCACATGCGAGCTGCCCCGTGCGCTTAGAATGGGTTGCTTTTTATCCTGGGAGAGGAGGAGGAGGGGTAATTATTGCGTAATATAAGACTACTATAATAATTAAGGATGTCATAGGACTGATTAAATACTACTAATATTATAGTATTTTGATTTTCGAGAACAGATCTAAATCAAGTTGAAGTAGGTGGTATTTCACTACGCGTTATCAACCATACGTACATACTATACTGTACATACCTGACTTACGTACCAGATGATGAAACCAAACCAAACCAAACCATCTCCACTCGAATTATATATTTACACTCCGGGACAAATGTTGGTTGATATAATTATACTTGGGCATCGGGTAAAAAAGGGCGTAATATTAGCACTACTTTATTGCATCACTATTAAAACTATTCCGCGATAGCTGATAGTCAATTCAGTTGCTTTGAGATTCCCTGGATGTGTCCGGTTACTACTAGTAAATTGCAAATCTTGCGACTCGAACAGTTGATGCGAATGACCCGAACAAGAGAAAAAAATATAAAGGCAATAACTATTTTGTGGAAAATAAATTGCATGAGAAAATAATATACTGCCGGTATGCTCTGATGTGCCGAATTCGCGCAAAGTAGAATAAGATAAAGAACACCGCTGTCACCGATCAGGTATAAAACGATATTATTGAGCATAATATCCTAGGCCTCCGGTAGGCGTAGGAAAATTTCTCCATACTCATACCGGACACCATGATCTGCGCTGCTCTGGTCTTCGTATGCGTTCTGGCGCACCGAGAGGAAACCTTTAGTCGCAAGGGCAAGGATATGCATGAGACCCTGTGTAGCGACCGCGGGAGAAGTTTTCTGTGGAGGCAGTAGGGTCGCGAAGGTAATCTCTGGATCAATAAATGTGCTTTCGGCAGCATTTTCCGCCGACTTGACCAAGGCTATCTTCACAGCCAGAAAATCCAGGAAGTTTATGCACTCCTGGTCCATCGCTGATTCCGTGAGACTGCTCTGGAGTTCTTGCTGGCTTGTATACGACGGACCAGCAACGTCTAGGTTGGCATGGCTGTTTTCCATGGTGTCGCCATCAAGGTAATGGCCTAGGTCAAAACCTTCCAGCTTGTCGAGGTCATCCTCATAACCAGGAATTGACAGCGAGTCTATGTCGTATTGAAACCCGCGTCCAGCGAGAGGGCTTGCGCTGGTTAGACGGCTACGTGCCCGTGAAATCCCTGAGATACCGACGCTTGCTTCTCTGCCGAAAGAGACGACTGATTCGGGGATACCACGGGATGAAAAGTCACTCACGCTTCCGATACCCCGGAATATATTGGCTGCGGAGGCGTCATGGCGAGAGCTTTGCACAGAGACCGTTATGTTCCAGGGCATTTGCGAAGAGTTTCCATCGTAAAGAGGTGGTGATGCATGACGGGCAAGTTCAACATCCTGGAGAAGTTAGCGTTATGGGTGTTCGGCGTTGGTTATCGAGTTGTACCTGGTTCCAAATATTATTGTCATCCACGAGATCCAACCTGCCCAGATGTGCGTCGTCGTCTTCTCTTGCGCGTACACGTCTTGCCTCAGACTCAGATTCATCATCCAAAGGGCGTTTGCGGCTTGGTTTCTTGGGAGCAAGGGTATCGTATAACTTATCACCGGAGAAGAAGCGCAATGGGTGAGTAAACTGAGCTGTCCCTACACCGGCACCTACACAGCCGATCCCCAGACCGAAAACCCAATACGCTGCATTTTTTTTCGCCTGTGTTGGTATCTTGTTGTTTCGCTTTTGCTTTGAAGCTACTACCATGTTATGCAGATATTCGTCATTCATGCGGGCCAAGTCCACATTACGAAGTCCTGTTTGTCCATCTGTTGGGAGAACTTTAGGAGCTCTTTGTCTTTGTGCAGCTGTCACTTCATTGAGATTATCGATATCTTTCAGTTGAACTACAGGATCGTCACCTATGCCAAACGTCCCTGCATGGCGAGTTGGTCGAGCTGGTTCGTTTGTTATTGCCATTTCAATGTCTTCATCGGCAAGTAGTGGCTATGCATTCCGTTAGCACATAGGTTTTAAATCAGCACAAAAGCTTACCTGATCATCGAACGTCGATTCATTCATTCCGGATTCTCGCGCATCACTGATGGGGTTGAGCCTCGCTTGACTTTGTTGTCTCGGCCCCAGTTCGATTATATTGCCATTCTCGTCAAACTCGAAGTCGGGTTGAAGGAGCACGCCTCCATCCTCGTTCGCCATAAACACACCAAAATCAAGACCACCTTGAACAGAACTTGCAATATCTGCTTCAGAGCTAAAGCCGCCGGTGTTTCCCGGGATGTTGTCATCAAAAGGAAGGTTTAGGTGCAGAGCTGAACTGCTTGAAAGCGCAGATTGACTGAGATCCGGAGTTTGAGACAAGCAAACGCTAGATTGTTGACTTCGTTCGATGTCAAGCAGCCTGTTCAGTTTCGAGAGATCCAGACCGAGCCCAGGAAGGTTATTTTCCGGCAGGAAGGAAGGGTCTTTCGGTAGTACGAGTTGGTCAGGCCTAGAATATTCAGTCAATGCAAGAAGCCAAAACATCGAGGAGAACAAACCTTGCCTTTCCGGCAGTTGGGTCCAACCCTCCAGCCGGAACTGATCTCAACATATGCCTCATTCTATCGTGCATCGCCTGGACATCGAGTAGAGTATATCCACATTGTTGACTGTAAATCCTTGAAACACCATATCTAACACCGAAGACCATCAACCTCAAGCACTCACTTGGTGGATAATGGCTTACAAGAGATTGCTCTGGAGCCTGAGGGCCATCGGCGCCACTGGGTCTATGATCACAGCACAAGCCTTGGGAACATCTACATCCTGTATGGTTTTCCGGTTCAGTCTCCTAGAGACAGACCTCGCACCAAGAGTGGCAACTAGCCTGGGTGAATAGCGTTGTCAGTACTTTCGAGTGTTTGATCGATGTATTCGATTGCTTGTCGATCAGGATGGCATACCAAACAGTGGCCACTCCGTGCTCGGGGGATGTAAGTACTATACGGAGAATGATATGATTAGCATACTACTTCTGAGACTTGCTGAGGATAGAAATGTAGATTTTGCCAATAGTTTATTAGCAGGGGAGGATTGATAAGTATACCTTCATGACTGTAGAACATATCCGTCAAATGGCAGCTTCTATGATTCCTTTTCTTAACTCTCGTTGCGCGTTTTCGTCACAGGTAACACGTTGCCTTGATTCAGTTTACGTGTTTATAGACAAGAGAAGTGCAAGGATGGCTAGAATGAGTAGCCAAAGGAGAGTAAGGAGTAACTTCTAACCACTACAAGTATAGATGGTTAGCGAAGCAATGATAGATGGAAGCTGGGAAAAGCCGGGGGCAATGTTTAAGGTGTCGAGACGTGGTAGGGGTAGAGAAGAGCCCGGGGAAGTGAGAGCATTCTAGATGGAATATAGAACCTCCTCAAGGCGTGACGTGACGTGACACGCCTCGCAACTACCAGTCCTGGAATAGGGAAACTTGCTCAAAAAACAGTTATGAATGAAACAGAGACTTTTCATTCCCTCTCTATCGAAGACCTTACAACGCCGGGAAATTAGATTTGTCTGAAGCGACGAAACGAGGAACGAGCTGTGGAAACGAGTATAAATGAAGGAAGACAGTGACTTAATATGAAAACAAAAGTAATGTAAAACTGGATGTACGTTAACTATGGACCCCCTGCAAGAGCCAAACCGGACTCTTACCAACCTAACAATCCCTGACTCAGAGTAGCAACCCGAAGGTGCAAACAGGGTATGTATGAGAAATGCAACCAGAAATATTGAAATACATATTGGCACCAAGAAAAAAAAGATATTTTCCCTTCAGACGGACGGGGAAAAAGAACAAACAAAACCAGGTTTGAATTTATTTCACAGACCTACCCACCAACTAAATCGGCTTTTATACGACACAGGATTTATAACAAGCGCTAAATGTCTATTCAAGAGGGATACCCTCGTACTCGCTATACCCGAGGGCAAGATTCATGTTTTCTATAATCTCCATGTTAGTATTGTCGGGATTATTAGAAAGGGTGACTAAAAACATACGCAGGCATTGGGTGGCGGCACCCTTGAGGAGGTTGTCAATGGTGGCGCATACAACGACGCGGTTCTCCTTGGAGTGAACGGCGAAGCCACCGACTTCAACGCCGTGGCGGCCAGCAATGTCCTTGACAACGGGTGGCTCGCCGATGATCTTCACAAGCTTCTCGCCAGCATAGCGGTCCTGGTAGATGTTGCGGATGTCACGAGAGGACATGGCCTCCTTGAGAGGAATGTTGATGGTCAGCTAAAAATTGGTTAGCAGAAGAATGATGAGTCGCAGAAGTAGATAAGCATACAGAGATACCCTGGAACCAAACAGCAACATGGGGCATGAAGGCAATGGGAGTACCAAGCTGAGCGCTGATCTCCCTCTCGTGAATGTGGTCCGTCAAGGAGTAAGGAATAATGTTGTTGGTGAGGTTCTGGACATCGTTCTTAGGGCTTGGCTTGGTACCAGCACCGGAGTATCCAGAAATACCAAAGACGGTGGGTTGTCCACCGAGGTGGGGAACAATAGGAGCGATAGCAACCTGAGTTCCGGTGGCATAGCAGCCAGGGTTGGAAATACGAGTTGCCTGGGCGATCTTGGATCGGCTGATCAGTTCGGGCAGACCATAGGTCCACTTGTTATCGAAACGGTAGTCCGCGCTCAGGTCGACAATCACGTTTCCGTCCTGGGCACCCTGGTCGACGGCATCTACGAAGGGCTTGCAGACACCGTTCGGGAGGGCCATCACCCAGCAGTCGACATCACCGTTGGATGACATGCGCTTGACATCCTCGGGGCTCAGGTTCTCATAGATAATCTCACGCTTGTCGTAGCCCTGTAGCTTCTTGCCAGCCAGCTCGCGAGAAGAGACGTGGCGCAGGTCCAGGTGGGGGTGAGCGTTGATAAGACTGATCAGAGCTTGTCCAGTATACCCACGAGCACCAATGAGGGCAACCTTGGAAGGCTTGGTGTTGGAGTTGTTCTTCTCTCCGAGAGGAGGGTTAGGGTTGGTTGTGGCGTAAGTACGGACACTTTGGATAGGAGCCGCGGGGCGTCCGAAGCGAGAAGCGCGGAGCGCGTTGGTGGCGGTAGAAAATGTACGCTTCTGGCCTGCGGAAGCACCCAGAGGCTTGCCAATGTTGGCAGCTGCCTGGGCAGCGCGCTGGAGTCTAGACTCAAGATTGATGTCACCGAACATCTGGCGACCGTGCTGAGTGAACTCTTGAACCAAGAGCTTCACCTCATCGCCGCTCTCAACGCCGTACCAGAATAGAACCTCACCTTCCCGGCTGAGGCTACCGTCGGCCTTGTCAAAGAACCAAGTGAGGTTCTCGTCATCTTCCTTGACGGTCCAGACAAGCTTGGGGTGATCCTTCTTGATGGCAGCGAACACGTTGTCGGCCACGTTTGTCAACCACCCAGACTTGGTGATGGTGAAAGTGGCAAGGTGGGCAGCAGAGGTTACGGAGTCCTTCGCCTGGGGCAGGACAACGGCCAGAGCCTCCATGGGCTCGTCGTAGTAGGCCTTGAAGTCGCGCTCTTTGAGACCCTCGACATAGCGGTCAACAGTCGCCCGAGCATCGAGCCCTTCACGGTCGCGGACCAAAACTTCCTTCAATTGGGCCAAGTCCTCAAACTCAGAAAGAGAAGTCTTGGTGTGCACCTTGTTTCCTCGGCGGATCAGAGTTCCAGCACCAGAGTCAGTAAAAAGCTCCTTCTGCAGATCGGCCGGGTGGATGATGGCAACGCTGGAGGAACGGGGAAGATCGCTGAGAAGATCCTTCATTTCCTTAATCTTCAGGCGAGTGCCGTGACGCACCCACCACTGTGACATCAGGTGATCATATTCCTCGTCGAGATTGATGCTGGAAATCTTCTCGCCGGTATCACCGTTGAACAAACCGCCCTTCTCAGCAAGGTAAACGATCTTAAGGGGCTGGAGAGAACGCGCAAGCTCTCCGGCTGCAACATCAGCGTTGACGTTGAGAACCTGGCCATCGGGAGTCTCCGCCATAGACGTGAGGATGGGAAGGCAACCGGCCTCAATTGCAGACTCAATGGGGGTCTTGTTAACGCCATTAATCTTGCCGACGAGGTTGTACTTCTCCTTGTCGAGGTAGTCGGCCTGGAAGACGCCAGCAGTGAGAGGGCGGGCCCTCACACCCATGCGCTCCAACTCCTCAACCAACTTCAAGTTCTCCTCCAAAAACAACTTCCGGGCCAGAGCCAATGTCTTGCCATCCGTGACTCGGATACCATCCTCAAATTGTGGCTCCACACCGGCGGCCTCAAGCATGCGGTTCAGCTGGGGACCGGCGCCGTGAACGACGATGGGGTAAAGGCCGACATGGTTAAGGAAGGCGAGGGCGGAAGAGAGAGTCTCGAGATGTTCAGTGATAATGGCACCACCGACCTTGATGACGGCAAATTGCTGCGAGGATACGGAGGTGAAGTGAGAGAGATATTGCTGGACCTCACGTTTCGAGCCGATGTTACTCAGCAGCTGGACGACGGTAGTCCGAGTAGAGGAAAGGTGTGTGTCGGCGGCGCGAGAGTAATGGCGGCTCTGCAGCAGCGGCACCGCAGATGCCCTCAGCGAGGCCCGGGTTGTGGGAGAGCAAAGTCTGGCAGATGCGACAGCGTGCGGTGCGGAGAGCGCTCGGAGGGGCTTTGCGGTAGAAGCTCTCCGCACAGCGGTGCGAAGGGAGAACATCCTGTCTACCAGCATGCGGCAGCTTCTTCCGGGTAAATTGGATAGAAGACCTAGAGGAGCGGAGAGGGAGAGAGAGTCAGAGAGGGCCGCGGAGCAAGTATAAGGACGGAGAAGGCGGCGAGCGGAGGAGTCACTGAGGGAAAAATGGAAAGTTGTGCGGAGCTGCTGCGGGTTCGACCGTAGGGACGAATTTGCCGCTCCCCAACGAATAATATGGAACCCGTCACCCAGGCACCGCCCTTTCTGCAGCCAGGATTTACTTTTTCCTTTTCTCCCTGTTTTCGAGGCGCAAAAAAGCAAAAGAAAAATTGGGGCAAGGGCACAATGGGGGGTTCAGCACGACTTACTGCAGGTTCTCTCTTACCCAAGGCTCTATCGGGTCGAGAACCCCCAAATCCGGCGGAGAAGCAGAGGGGAATGCGGGAGACCAGGCTGCAAGCTGGAGCTGCGCGATTTATAAGGGCCTCGAGGGATATATGTACTCCGTAGTATGAGCAACTTAACAGCCCAATGGTCTCCTTGCAGAATTTCAGAGAGAGAGAGAAAAAAAAATACTTGTAGGCCGGCAATGTGAAGATGTTGCGAGGATCGGACCCGACAGACCGCCCATGACTCAGACAACCAGGCAAGAGGTCTCTGCAGCCCTTTTCAGCCATTTTTTTACTGGGCCTACGTCGGAACAAGAACCAGGGTATATGGCACCTGAGTGGGTTATTTCTTCAGACTCGCTTCGACTGTCATGCCACTCGATTATCAGATTAGATCCTCTCCCTCGTTCAAGACCCCTCTACCCCCATACTAGCGCTGTCCCAGCGAATAGAGTCCGTTCCTCGTTACGGTGTGGATAGACCAGAGGAGCCCAGATGCAACTTTCCAACTGTGCGGGTCTTTTTATTATCTGATCCTTTAGCTAATGATAATTTCGCCTTGGGAGTGAGGCATTGCGTTAGTCAAGTCGACGTTGGCCTCGGTCATTTTTCGTCTGGCCCGCTGCCTGGTGCTCGCAGCCGAATTAGAACTCGACTTCTCCTTCCTTGGCGGGATTCTGAGGTGCCTACTGTACTGACCAGGAGAGTGTATTACTGTACGGAGCACTACCCGCAGTAGTTCTGCTGTCGGAGAAAAGGTATGATAACATTCATTATAGAAGGCTAGGACGAACAGCACAATAGCACATCAAAAGGGAAAGTCGGTAATCACATCCTCAAAAAAATAAGTAAAAAGGGAAAACAAACACCAGAGTATCATTTACATCTTCACCGTCGATGAGTCGTGTGGCATAGCCCTCATTCGAAAGAACCAGATCAATTCGTCGCGTTCAAGGCCTGCTAAACAAAGGCTTTATTCGTGACAACAGCAGGAATTGACGCCCAATAAAAAGCACATAAGGTATTAGAGGCTGGAAACAAAAGCTGCAGCGGCTTGACCGCAGAGATCCTGGGCGAAATGCCTCCACTCCAGAAAACATGACCGTCATTATTTAGTGGTGGTGACAACTACAATGGCACTGATGTTAGCATCTTTCTATATCGCACCTCGTGAGTAGCGTGGGACTCGATGTGGGTCTTACCAGCTGGGACGATGATCACCACAAGCAAGAGGATGATACAAATAATCAGACACACGCGCATCTTCATGTCTTTCCACCACATTTGCTTTCGCACGCGGTTGGCACCTCTGCGGAAACCTTGGGCTGACACGGCGAGGTTGTCGGTCTTATCCTGCAACGAATCTAGACGCTCACCACGCTCGGAGACCTTGAAGATGTTGGAACGCATGGTATCGACAGTTTCTTGGATTTTCTGTCACAGGAATCAGTTAGCAAACATTGCGATATAAAGCATAAGTAATAAAAGAAGTGACAATGGGGCTATCGCGACGATAAGGTCCATCATAACATGATCGAAAATATGGTCGCTAATGATCAAACAATGGAGATATTCCACGCCGGATGTCTCAAGGCGGCAGAGAAAAACAAAGGTCTCCAGGAGCGGCTGCCAGAGTAATAAATTCAGGGACTTACCCGGTCGATTTCCCGTGTCCGGTTGTCACCATTTTCTGCGGTAGCGCTGCCGCTGGCGGCGTTGGGGTTGGCGTTAGAGCCGGAAGGGATATAGGGGTCGTACGGTTGCTCGGACATGATGAAACTGCGCGAAAAGTTCGATATAGATCGCGAGTGTCGATATGCAGCGTCGGGGCGATCACAAGACCAGGTGTCGCAAATTATCCAGAGTCCGCTGGCGGGCTGGGTGTATCAGGGAGAACGGGTCGCAGGATAATTCGAGAACTGGCGAGGGGCCAAGTATTCAGGAGCCCAGATTCACGGATCGTATAAGTCGAAGAGGACACTGATGAGATGCGGGAAGAGAGTGAGATGGGAAGAATGGAAGGCTGACAAGAGTGACGGATTGGTGGTTGCTGGAGATGACAGGCGGCTTCGTTTCGGTTCGTCGGGGTGGCAACACGTGACGCTTGGGCCACTGCCACCGCTGTGAAGTTATTCTTGGGTGTGGTAGGCAGCGATCAATTTTTCCGGCTAGAACCAATGGCCACAGGCTTTATTAACAGGACAAAGACTGGATTGTGGCTGAAAATTCACGAGGCAATTCCCTCCGCCTGGCCTTCGCCCGGAAATATCGGTTTCTTCCCAAGTAAAGGGGGCGGGACAACCATAAACCTCAGGCGCCCAATTTCTATTCATGGAACTATCCGTGTTACAGCTTCCAAACCACCCGTGCACCAGGTTGCCCTGCATGCCGGACTCGACGGAGTCTTGTGATTCCACGATAACAGCTAATTTCCGATCCATTATACCACTTATCTAACCAATTATAGGAGAGACATTAGGTGAATGTTCTGTCATATAATTAATGATTGAATTGACGGCTTTTGTTGTATATACATTCAGCAGGGTGTGATTAGACCTGTGAAGCGCAAGCTTCACAAGCCATTATTGACAGCCCATATTTGCTGTGAACATGATAGTTACTTTCGCTTACACACAGTAGCCCCTGACGGCGGAAAAGCTGCACTATACTCGAGCCCCTCTTTCAGGAAGAAGACACTGGAATGAGTGGCAGTCGACGAGACCGAGGGGCAATTTTACTTGTCGACTTTATGATTTACAAGAAACAATGCAGTTTCTAAAACCTGCTAGCAACATAGCGCGTCAGTCAAAGAGATAATCACGAAAAATGGATGCGCAACTGCGAGGAGAGTAAGATTCCGTACGGTTTGAGCAACACTTACAAACCCGGATGACTGGAAGATGTTTAGGCTGAATCAGCTATCGTGGGTATGCTGAGGTCTTCTCGGCAAGAGTAGCCAGAGAATACCAAGTGTAACAAGAAGAGCCAACGCAAAGGGTTGTAAGCTTCCTACACCATGTGGCTGCGCAATAGCACCGGCAATGAAGGGCAAACTAACAAAACGAAAGATGGGAATTAGTGCGTCTGCCAACCGTTGCAAGAGAAGAATCTTACATAGCGGCGCCACTCCCCCCGAAGGCAGAGACCAGGCCAATGCTGGGGGTGTGCAGATGCTTTGGAAGGAGTTTGGCAGCGATTGTGACCGCAGCCGGGAATAGGGGCCCAGTGCAGAAGCCTATCAAGGCGACGGCCACGGCGGAAACAACAAAGTTCGGGACAAGCCAGAATATCAGCTCAAGCGCTATGGAAAGCGCTAGGTAAATGATCACTGCAAGTCTCTCGCCGAAGAACTCGTTCACAAACCCGAGCACGACTCGACCAACTGTGATGCCGGCCCAAAACCCCGTAGGAACAAGACCAGATGCTACCGCGCCTCCATCGCGGACTTGCATCATGAATTCGACAATCCAGCCGCCGATTGATACTATGATACTTTAGTATGCTGCAGGTTTAATATCAAGGCCATACCTTACCCTCGACACCCATGTAAGCAAAGAGAAAGAGAGCTAAAACCCAAGTGACTCGGTTCTTCATGGCCTCGGTCGTTCGGGAGTGCCCTGACGAACTTGTTCTGGGGTTGTTTGCCCGGAATCTATCACCATTTTCCGGCCAGAACAGCAGTCCGCTCGTGGTAAGTTCCATGGCGGACCCGCCAACTAAGGTGAAATAGAACGTCGACCACTTGAGGCCATGATCGATCATTGCAGTTGCAATAGCTGGACTCACCGTTGCTCTGATCGCGTTAAATGTATCAGCAATTTGTTATCTCCAAGAATATTGGTGTCACACATACCCTAGCCCATAGCATGCATGCAAAAGCCCCATCAATAAGCTAGCGTTCACCATATCGCCGACCCATGCGTTCCAGCCGGCGTCGATAAGTCCATTACCAAGTCCAACGAAGGCATAAGCGACCAACAAAACCGGGAAGCGGGGAACGGTGGCCATGAGAATGAATGGAATGAGGTGGCATATTGGCGCGAGGATTGCAATACCCCTTTGGCCAAAAGTCATATGTATCTTGTTCACTATCATGGACGCCACTGTATAGCCCACGAATGGAGTCACGAAGATCAGGGAGACCACAGTGGTAGACAAGCCGAATTCCTCACGTATCTAGAACGAGACCACCATTAGTATGGAACCCAGCAGTCCGCAAAAAGGTCTCTTGCTCCTAGAGCGAGGCGCTGGGCATTCGTACGTAGGGAACTAAAGCCTACACCAATATCAGTGGACCACGTCGACGAAAGAATTCATCCGTCATATGTGTTTAATGATACTCACACCATACACACCATCGCTGGCACCCACAACTGCAAAGCTGGCAAAGGCTGCAGCTACACGCCATTTGTTAATGGAAGGCTCGTTCCATTTTTGCTTGACTCGGGCGACGGGCGCATCTGGACCAGGCCCGTATTGCTCAGGTTCGCCTGGCACAGTGCGCAGTTCTTCACGAGGGGCGAGCTCTATGGTCACTGTTGACGACATAGTTACAACTAGAAGGTTGGGAGTAAATGGAGGAGGGAAAACAGATTCGTGGATGGCCTATTTGAAGTTTTTGTATATCTGAGTCATGGCTCCTACACTGTAGTCATCGTCCGTGTTCCTGTTGGAGAGGCGGGGAAACTTCGGGCTTGGATGACGCGGGGTTCAAAGCAAAAGTTCCGTCCAATAAACCTCGTATGATGACTTTTGTTGTACGGACATTCTGAAGCTTATGCACAAATTTAATATCGAAAAGCGATCGAGGTGTATGCAGTCCAGAACGGCTTAGTTCAAGTTGTGCACCGTCGGCCTTAATAGCCTGCTCCGACACCCAGTAACTGGCGCCAACACTGAGGAGCCAAGTAAGGGAGCGAGTGTTTCGGTCCGATCTGCGAAATTCATTTGCGAAAGAGCCATTCGAATCATCTCGGAACATGTCCTGACGTATTTGTCGGTTAGGCACATATAAATAGGTTCGGGCATTGACAGCCATGCCCAAACTGGCAAAGCTAGAGCATCCCACAGGGCCATAACTCTTGCCCGAGAGTATGATTTCGTCGTCAAAATCGGCCATAAATTTCAATTAACTACATTGTGCTGCTTTTTAGCACAACTGAGTCCTCTGTTGAGACCCTCAATAGCCAGTGACAGTGACACACGTGGCGAGCTCTAGTGCGGTCCTCCGTCTTCATCGTCATCTCAAGATTCGGCACAAGCGCGGCTGCTGATCCTGCAAGTTTGCGTGAAATCGAGATCAGAAGAATCATCGAACAAAGTTTACAAGACAGACACACGCTAGCCAATTCTATCTCTAGCAAGTTGAGGATTGAATTGGCTTTGTCTGTTCTGGGCCTTGAGTGTCGGTCTGCGCCCATGGAGGTCGATTACGATCACTTTTAAACGTCATCTCCTTTTTGAACACACAATCACGAGTTCATACGACAGGCAATGGCATCTGAAGGCGTACCACCTGCCCCAAACAAACTGGAGGTGGCGCTTTTCCTAGCTGCTAGTCAGGGTTATGACACGATCGTGAAGTTGTTATTGACCACGCCCGGCGTGAATTTGAACTGCACAGACCCAGACAACCGAACGCCTGTCGCGTGGGCTGCGGACGAGGGGCACGAGAACGTACTTCAACTCCTGCTTGAAACAGGCTCCGTTGAGCTCAATTCGCAAGAATCCAAGAACGGTTTATCCCCCCTATGCTCGGCTGCCAAAAAGGGACATACAGGGGTTGTGCGTCGTCTGCTGGACTGTCCTGGCGTGGACATTAATCTTCCAGATTCCAATGGGCAAACGCCTTTGTCCTGGGCTGTCGAGAATGGTCATACTGCAATAGCCCAGATGCTCCTGGGCGCTGGCAGTGACCCGAATACTCCAGACCCTAGTGGACAAACTCCCCTGTTTTGTGCGGTGTCAAAGGGAAACCAGGAAATTGCCGGGCTTTTGCTGGGAAATAGGGATGTTCAATGCAATACTCCCAATTCAAACGGACTTACTCCTCTATGCTGTGCCGTGAATCAAGGTCATCAAGGAATCGTGGGCCTGCTTCTGGGCCGCAGTGATGTCGACCCGAACACGCCGGATAGTGACGGCTACCCGCCACTGTGTCGAGGAATCGCAAAGAGATCTTTAGGAATGGTGCAAATGCTTCTCAGGCGCGGTGACGTCGACCCCAACGTTCTGGATCCTGATGAAGAGACGCCCTTATCACGGGCCGTGGAAGAAGAACATGAGGAGATAGTGAAGATGCTTATACAACGCCCTGATCTTGACCCAAACACCAAAGACTTTAGCGGACAGACACCATTGTTCCGCGCTGTACAAATGTCCCATCATGTAATGGTTCAGATTATTCTAGCGCATAGTAACGTTGATCCTGACATCCCAGATCCCAATGAACAAACGCCATTGTCTTGCGCTGTCGAACGAGAGGAACCCGAGATAGTAAGGCAGCTGTTGCGAGCGGGTGCTGACCCGGGTGTCGTGGATAAGAATGGCAGAATGCCACTTTCTCGAGCTGCAGAGAAGGAAAACCCGGAGATGACCAGGCTTTTATTGAGAGCCAAAGCCGACCCAGATGCTGCTGATGTGACCGGAAGGATACCATTGTCTTACGCCGTGGAATCCGGGCACTTGGAGATAGTCAGGTTCTTGATAAAGGCTAAAGCTAATCCAGACCTGGGAGACGAGGATGGGAAGCTACCCTTGTATTTCGCAGTTGAAAGAGGAGATCACGACATAGTCCATATGCTGCTAAAAGCAAGGGCTAACCCAGACCTCGCAGATGTCAACGGAAGGGTACCGCTGTCTCTTGCCGCAGAAAAAGGAGACCAAGAGATCGTTCAGTTGCTACTAAAGGCAAAAGCAAAGCCGGAGGCGAAGGACAAAAAAGGACGGACACCGCTTCTGTGGGCCGCCGACAAGGGATTTATGGAAGTAGTATGGCTTTTGCTTTCCACCGGCAAAGTTAACGTTGATTTTGCTGATGATGCTGGATGCACTCCACTATGGTGGGCGGCTCGACATGGACACTTACCCGTTGTGCGGCTGCTGTTACGAAGCGGAGCCGATATCGAACGACAACCGCAGGTCGATGATGGAGGTGGAAGCAGGTTTGGGGGTCCATTATTCCAAGCTGGCCGAAAAGGTCACTTGGATGTGGTCAAATACCTGTTGAAAAAGGGCGCTGATGTCAATGCAACGAACGGCGAGGATGAAATTTCACTGTTATTATCACTCATGAATGATCGAACCAAGCACGGCAGGGACGTCATTGGCCTATTATTACAGAAAGGAGCAGATGTCAATTTCGCTGACAAGTTGGGACAAACGCCGCTCGACATAGCTACCAAGCAAAACGATCTGGAGTTAATGAAAGCGTTGATTGAGGGTGGCGCTGAAATCGATTCGATGACGGAAGAAGGTGCAACCCCATTGCACCGAGCAATAATCAATGAGCGCGAAGATATAGCGGAGGTATTGCTAGACCATGGTGCGGATCCAGAGGCACAAGATCATCTAGGTGATTCGCCTCTTCATTTCGCAGCTGCGAGTGGTCGCCGTAAAATGGTCGAACTACTCTTGGATAAGGATGTCGATATCAACGTCACCAACTACACCGGGGATACACCTCTTCATGAGGCCGCTAGCCATGGCCACCGAAAAATGGTCGAGTTCCTCCTCCAAAATGGAGCCGAACTTGAAATGCGAGACGACTACCGGCAAACGGCGCTGCACAAGGCAGTTGGCGCTAAGCACCATATCCTGCGACTACTTGTCAATCGAGATGCGGATGTCCTTGCAAAAGATATGTATGGCAAAACAGTGCTCCATCTAGCTGCGGAAGCCGGGTTGAAAGAGGATGTGCATTTCCTGATGGGCCACGGGGCTGCCACAGATGGCAGAGACGGCAATGGACGGACTGCCCAGGATTTGGCTCGAATTGAAGGACACGACGAGGTTGCTGAACTTTTTAACAAGATGGCGCTGGTTGTCGCTGATCAATCTTCTGATTAATGATGAGATGGAAACGTACCCTAGACTGTACTATTTATTAGCATTACGATGATGGTCATGATAACGAAAATGTCTGCACGATGAAGTTGTACACAGTGTTCAACCCGGGCGCGTAGTAAATCTGCCGAAAAGGACAGTGAAGGCCGGAAAATGGAAGGTTGGATGTGAAGCTACCAAAAGAAAGCGGTGGGCTTCAAACATTAGGTAGTCGATCGATAGTTGATAATAATGGTCGAACGGCATTCTATATAACTTGGATTTCGCTGGACATGAATCATTCCAAGATAAATGGAAATTGTCCGAAATGAGCTGGGAATATTTACAATATCTGAGACTATTAATACATACAATACAATTGCCCACTTACCACGTAACCCAAGCCAGCGCCGTGTGAACTCCGTGTATCCCAACTACTCATTTTATGCAATACAAACCACAGGCTTTTCCCTCCTTCTCTTCGTAGCATCCCGGTGTCAATCTTGGGTAACAAGGACTGACCAGAACCCATAGCACCCTCAAAGGAAGAGCCCCTATTTTTCGCCCAGCAGCTCTTTTCTCATCTCTTCCTTCTGTATCCTAGCTTCCTCCTTGGCCTTATTCAGTTGTGTTTCTTTCTGAGCCCGCTGCTTCTCCTCCATCTCCTGCGCCGCGAACCAAACTTGATTGTAAAACCGACATTAGCCATGCACAGAGAAATTATTCGAAGAATAAGGACGTACTCGATTTATCAGATTTTGACCACTCCTTTAACCGGCCGACGTATTCCTCGAATTCGCGCGAACGTCGGTCGCCTTCCTCCAGACTGCGCTTTTGCAAGTCCGGGTTGTAGCGCTTGAAGAGCTCTTCATCTGTTGGGCGGAGTTTCTCGACGAGTACGGGGCCACCGACGCAAATAACGACGCCACTAAGTCGATAAAGTTTCAATGTTAGCACTATCTGTACCAGTGAGGGCATGCGATCCTTACACTCCCATCATTTTGAGCCATGTTCCCGCTCGTGACATTATGCAGGCGTTTCCGGGTTCTTGTGGGCGAAGTGAAGTGAGACAGTGATGTCATAGAAGGGATGCAGTATTTCTGGCCTTCGCTTCAATTCCAACGACCGAGGATGAGGTTGAATGTGGGCTCTGCCTACTTGGAAGCAGAGAAACGAATGAACCAACGGTTTGTCGATCTCAACTGTGGCTCACGATAGTGTGGCTCAACTGTGGCATCACGCCCAGTGCAGTGGCTTAGTACAGAGCCCGGCGGTGCAATGAGTGGCTGTGTGGATTACCATAGCCAATGATAGTCGTTTGCTTTGAAAGTCGCGAGAGCCCCAGGATGCGGACCAGGGTTCGCTTTAATCCATTGTCTTGCATTACTACTTTTAATAGTTTTATGACGATGGCTTGGCCATCAGAATCGCTATGTTATTCAGTCCTTGGTATGTATGGTGTATGTGCCGACACTGCCGAGTCACGGCACGGCCGGAGTTACCTGCCGTCTGTGTGTATGTAGTTCTCTTCCTAGCCTCTACAGACTCCGGACGGTAATACCCCAGTCAAACGCTTGATGGAAAGAGTCTGAGACACGATTTTCAGCCAGAAGTTGGAACTCAAGTCTAACTCGATCGTCTCAAATGTGTACAGACTTTGTAACAATTGGATCGCGAAGCACAAGCAGGGCCTAAGCGGTCAGGGCGCATGCCGCAGAGAGCATTTTTCCTTCGAGTTCAGGCTTACCTTGCCCTCCCGCCCTTGCTTTTTGAGCTCAGTCGAGAATGAAATGCGCCCTACATATTTTGTATTACTTGTAGAGTATGGCGGTCACGGAAAAGCGCTTCGGTGTCCAGTCGAGTTTGATTCTGAGTAACAGTGTGCATGTTTGCTTTTAAGAAAGGCATTGATTGACGGGTGGTGGATTTAGTGCCATAGGGCCAGTCCACAACGGGGATCCTTCTACAGACCAATAAGCGATCGCCCTACTGTCGTTTCCCCTGCGTTTCATGTGGAAATTGCTCTCGAATCGGAGGTTCCCGTGGGTCGAATCACTAATGTAGGTACCAGAAGAGTCGCCTATCATCAGTGTCAGCCCTCGTGCTCCTCGTGTCACATCTCACGACGAAGGAGTGCGCAGGGACTCTGCACAGCCAGGTCAGCGCCAACTTGAGACGTCATACGGGTCGTGTCTCGTTTGTCATGTCTGAGTGCCCCAGAGCGACTGGGTCTGGTCGGGTTTCGGAGGAAAGCTGTGAGTGGAAAAACGGCCTGAGAGGATCCCAATTTGGGCCCGCCAAGAGACGCTGTCCCTGGCTTGGGCTGACAGGATGGAGAACTGGATGTCCTCTTTGTGATAATAATGATTTTGACAATGAATCAGGAGTTCAGGACGGTTTCGCGTGGGTCAGGGACTTGAGCACGAAAAGTTGAACCTTTAAAAGAAAGCGAAAAGTGGGGAGAAACAGAAAAGAAGAATCAGAAACTGCGTCACTGACAAAGAGTATCGACGAGCGAAGAAAGAGTATAAATTATTGTTCTGTCAATCTTGTCCTCACTTAATTAATAGTACAGGTGGTTCCTGTTGATTTATGCCCGATTTGTCTCACAGAATCATCTCCTGCAGAAAACTCCTCTTCCACTCCCACGACTCCCCATCTCAAACTCAACACTCTTTCCTGGGTTCCATCCCTCCTGTCGCTAACCCCGAACAATATCCTGTCTTTGTCTCTCCTTCATTCTTCTCCCCCGGCATTCCTACCCCTCGATTTAATTATCTGGGTCATCTGGCTTGGCTTTCCCCTCCAGACTCCCAGCGTATCTTCGGCTGCTGCAGTGCTTAACCTTCCCACCAAGCTTGTCCGCTGACCTTGTCTTCCGCTCTTCACAACACTTCGGCGCTATCGCGTGCATGTTCCTATACGCATGCTGAACTTCGCCTGTGAGTACTGTATTTCCCCCATTATATCCCTTGGCCGCTGTCCACTTCGGGCTATATTCCAGTGGGGAGTAGCCGCCCGTCCTCCACATCTCACCCTCAAACCGTCACGTTCTTTAACCATCTGCTCGTGAATTAATAGTGAAACGCGCGATCGGACTCGCCGTCGAATAACTGCCGGCAATTTTGTTTTCTTTAGGCGACCTGCGTTTGTTTCTGCGGTTCAGAAACCATTCCGCTCGCTCCTTTCGCTTCGTCACACGCCGTCTCACCTACACCATGGCCTACCCGCAACAGAGAGCTCCCCCAGTCAGGAACTACGGCCCTCCGAGAGACCCGTCCTATGACCCAGGCTATCAGGACTATGGTTACGATCAATACCCGCCCGATGGAGGCTATAATGACCCCGGTTATGGCTATCCCCCCGACCCAGCAACTCCAAGATCGCAAGCTCGCCCTCGCGGTGCACCGCGACCGCCGCGTGGAGGCTATCCGCCGAATGCGCGACCTCCTCCGAGAGGCTATGATGGTCGACGAGACAGACGTCCGCCCCCGCCGCAAGATCGGGTGAGACGTGAGTATTACCGAAGCAAATTATCCAGCCACCCACTGACCTATCCCTAGCACCACGGAATGGACCCCCCATGTCGGGTTTTGACAGTCCTTTTCCCGCTGTACCCCCCGGGGGTAGGCGTGGACCTCCTCGGGGCATTGAAGGCGATATGGCGGCAATGAGTCTGAACGGCCCAGCGCCGCCCCGACCTCACACATCTAATGGGAATAGACGGCCTCCAGATATGCGACCTCCTCGACCGGGACCGAATCCCTCCGCCTATCCTCCAAGGGCAGCCAGTGCAGGACGCTCACGACCCTCTGACCGTAATGGGCCATATACTGACCCCAGGGGCCCACCACCTATGCCGCATATCAATCGCAGTGCGACTATGCCTGTTCCAGGCGGCCCGGGATATCTAGGACAGCCTAGTTCTCGAGATCCGAGAGAAAGTACCTATGGTGGTTTACTAGATAGCTACTATAGCACAGCACCCGATGACCCCGACATGCCCAATTTTGATGCAATGCCGGATTTCAGCAAAGGTGCAGTTGATGAAGCTTTACCAGGTCTAGAACAACCCAAGCCAAAACCTGAATCTCCTGGTGGTCCTGCACAAGGGCAATACAAGGCATTCAATCCAGCGGCCCAGGAGCTTCATATGCATACCCCACCGGACTCTGGTACTCCTACAGGGGCGAATCAATTCGCCAATGCTGGTTTCCAATTTGATTTGCCCTCGGAATCCCAGTCGGCCGGCCACCCTTACAACGCGATGAAAAATGGGTACGAGCCATATGAGGATCCTATGAATTCGCAGCAAAACCCGGATGCCCTTCCGCACCACCCTATGCCCTACCGCCCGGGCCACGATTCAGGTGATAAGCCAGCTCCCGTGCGACAGTACAACAACGCAACCAACAATCAACCACCAGCGCCAGCCCAACAGGGCCCTCTAGATGGTCCAGAACCACAGCAACCGGTTACCCAAGCTGAAATTGAGCGATTGCAGATGCAAGCTCGGGGCAACCCCTCTGACCAAAAACTTCAACTTCTCCTCGCACAGCGGCTAGTCGAAGCTTCAATAGTACTCGTCGACGCCAGCAGACTAGATCCAAAGTCGAAGGCCAAAGCCCGGGAGAAATACAACATTGACGCCCATAAAATCATTAAGAAATTGATTTCAAGCGGCTACTCAGACGCTCAATTCTACTTGGCCGATTGCTATGGTCAAGGTGTTTTAGGTCTCCAAAACGACCCCAAAGAAGCATTTTCGTTATACCACTCGGCAGCAAAACAAGGCCACCCGCAAGCCGCTTACCGTGTCGCTGTCTGTTGCGAAATTGGCCAAGAGGACGGCGGCGGCACAAAACGCGATCCCTTCAAAGCCGTACAGTGGTACAAGCGCGCTGCTTCCCTAGGCGATCCTCCAGCAATGTACAAAATGGGTATGATCCTTCTAAAAGGTCTCCTCGGCCAAGCCCGCAACCCGCGCGAGGGTATCTCCTGGCTCAAGCGTGCCGCTGAGCGCGCAGACATGGAAAACCCACACGCCCTCCATGAGCTCGCTCTGCTCTACTCCTCCGCCGGTGACAACGACGCCATTATCCGGGATGAGGCCTACGCATCTCAGCTCTTCCACCAGGCCTCCGAACTCGGCTACAAGTTTTCCCAGTTCCGTCTCGGAATGGCTTACGAGTACGGCCTCATGGGCTGTCCTGTAGATCCAAGACAAAGCATCATGCTCTATAGTGCCGCCGCTGCACAAGGCGAACACCAGGCTGAACTTGCGCTTAGCGGTTGGTACCTTACCGGTTCTGAGGGTATCCTCCAGCAGAGCGATACAGAGGCATACCTTTGGGCCCGCAAAGCCGCCTCGTCCGGTTTAGCCAAGGCTGAATATGCGATGGGTTACTTCACGGAAACTGGAATCGGGGCCACCGCCAATATGGAGGATGCGAAGAGGTGGTATTGGCGAGCTGCTGGTTTGTAACCCTTTCTTACACCGCCCCATTTTTTGCAATGAACACTGACTCAATACTACTATAGCCCAAGGATTTCCCAAAGCCCGCGAACGTCTCGAGGAACTTAAACAGGGCGGCGCCCGGATGCAAAAGACCAGGCTCTCCCGGTCGGCCGTCAACCAGCAGAAACCTAATGATGGGGACTGCGTTATAATGTAATGTGATTTGATGTGTGACCTGACGCTTATGTACAAAACCGTTTCTCTCTGTCCCATCGTCTTTTTTGGGCTTCTTTCGGGGTATTGACTCCCCTTCCCCCTTTTTTTTATCTATTATTATCTCCCCACCTTGTGATACCTCATCTACCTACCTATCTACCCTCATACTTCTTTCTTCCTCAACATTACTTTCTTCTTGCCCCAAACATCACGACCCATTCTCTTATTGGTTATACTACCTAGCGATTGCGATTACATTCCGGTACATATGAAGATTTCTGCGTCTAATGAGGGGTTGGATGACCTGCTATGTGACAATAAATTCCATTTGTTAGACGGCGCCTTGCTTTGAGCATAGACTACCTACCCATCCTTGACCGCTCAGTGCCTTGGGTCAGCTACGTGACGAGTGCATACTAATTTCCATGCCATATAATGAAGACATGCAAAGTTGGTTCAAAAGCTCTTTCTGTTTATAAGTATAGTCCTCCCATGACTCCGGCTCCCAGTTTTACCCGTAGCATTTATTCTCTTCCAAGATGTACACTTCAGTTCGGTCATATAAGGTTGTTGGTGTTGATGGCATGACTAATCAAGGCTCAATTCCGCGGTGGCCCGGCGAGTTCCGCTCCTTGACAAATGTAGAAGCAGTTCCTAGACCAAGTGGTGTGGTTCCAACGTATGATGACTATTGCTGACAATCAGACTCGTTATTTTCCTCTTCAAATTATAAAGCTGGCTGGGTAGTCTGCTAATTCTGTCGCGGATCTACCGATTTTAACTTCCTGCCAATCGCTGGTTCCGTTGACTATAGCCGAAGGGCCGCAAGACACCAATATATATGTCTTCCACACCCAACGAACAGCGAAACTCAGAGAGACCGTCCATAACCGTGACCTCTTTTGTTACGCTGCTTGTGGCCATTCTAGTAGCTTTTGCCTACGAATCTACCACATCCGCCAACGTGTTTGGATTTCGACGCTTCGCCCAAACATCCTGGGCTGCAATCGGATCTCGGCGGCCACTGAGCACTGCTTTAAACATTGAGCCCGTTCAAGATATCCAGAAGACCCCGGCAGTAAACGGACTCAAGATGAAGACGCCAGTTTATTTTTTGAGCCATGGTGGCGTACGTTCTTGCTACCTTTCGATTCCCCCGCAAGCGAGAAGTGCCCGGCCATTGTTTGGTTAAAGCTGACGCTCTGTAGCCCAACATCATGTACGATTCTGAACACCCGGCATACAAGGAATTGGGCAGGATAGGTCGCGAAATTACCGGCAAGGTCAAGCCTCGCGCTGTTGTGGTGTTCTCGGCACACTGGCAAGCAGGCCGTGACACCGTCCAAGTGAACACAGCCGAGATTACGGATTTAATTTACGAGTACGTGTTGCATACTCTTCTCGCTGATGCGGGTCGGCTGATATTTGCGCTTGCAGTTTTTATGGCTTCCCAAGCCACTACTATAAAGAGAAGTTTCCCAACGTGGGTAGCAGAGAGGTTTCCACCAAGGTGCTGGACGCACTCAAGCAGGCAGGAATCAAGGCCGAAGGAGTCAAGAGAGGGCTGGACCACGGAGTATGGGTGAGCTTTAAATGTGGTATGTGCTAACGACCCAACCCACGATTGATTCTTTCCGATTAACATGGGTGCAGCATTCGAGCCTGAATCCAATCCGTTGAATGTCCCCATTGTGCAAGTTTCTCTGTTTAATTCCGAAGACCCCATGCAGCACTATCGCTTAGGAGAAGCAGTATCGAAACTCCGCGAGGAAAATATTCTGATCATTGTATCTGGCATGGCTGTCCACAATCTCCGGGATTTGCGGTTCACTTTTGGGGATCCTCGGCCTATGCCTTATGCAGCTAGTTTCGATGAGGCACTGAAAGATGCAGTTACCAAGGACCCTGCGGAAAGAGCACAAGCAATGGCTGATTTACTGAAGCGAGGGGATGCTCGACAAGCCCACCCGTCCTTTGAACACCTTCTCCCGATCCACATTGGTGCTGGGGCCGCCGGAGAAGACCAGGGAAAGAGACTATGGACCCTGCCTGAGGGAAGTATGAGTTGGGCGCAGTATAGATTCGGCGGACTGGACAACTCTAGTAGCTCTCTATAGCGATAAGCTGGTAGATATCAATAAAGAATATTCCATTTGAGCAAAGTCATTTGACGGATGACGAATTCATTTCGGATATAGATACAGTGTTGACAGTCGAATGCGATACATGACAAAAATGAACACGTCAAAATTCTATGAGGTTGCCTTCACCAGTTGCGTAATCTTCTCTTCAATCTGTTGATCCGATAGGCCTAAATTTCAATTAGCAATGCTCTTTGCCAGGTCTTCACATTGAATTGGAGGGGTATTCGTACCGCTCAGCGCTTCCACTTGCTCCTTTCCAAACCCTAAAAAACAATCAAAAAGTGTTAGTTTCCTCGCGTCCCCACCGAGATTCTATTTGAACGTACCATATCGAGCGTAGACCCGGGGCAGTGTGCCGGCGGCCTCACGGATGAGGATTGGAGTGTGCGGGTTGTGCTTCTTCATGGTAGGATAGGCGCGGTTCAAGAAAAGTCTTCAGAAGCGACCCAGTCAGTCCCAGTTCACCCTTTGATTAACATTCCAGACTGGGATAAACTCACCTTGTCGCAGCGCTCTGCTCAGAGGTCTGGCAAAAAAGGAACCGCAGCTCCTTAAGACCCTGTGTGAAAACGTACTTGGAGGACATGGTGACGACTGTTCGGTATATAGGCAGCGCAGGAATGATCGCAATAGCACACTTCGACGACCCAGGCAGTCAATGCCAGTCAATTGAGAATAGTTGGGGATGGGCTGGCTGGTGAGGTCGTTTTGCAGGCGTGAAGCGCGAACCAATCTGGTCAAGCGGATTGTCACCTCACACCGCTTACCTCAGCCGGAACGATGGCCGCAGCCCGCAACAACCTCTGGGCCGACGTCGGCTCTGACTGATACTGATAAAGAAGCTTTCTTCGTTGTTGTCGCCCATTCTCCCCTCCACCCCTTAATTCAGGATGTCGACGTCTCGTGTTGGTTTCCGCTTTTTCCAGAACTCCCGTGCGGCCTTCCGCGAGGCCTTTCGCCGGCCTGGTGCCCAGGGACGCCGCTTCCAGACTTCCGATGCTGCTTCCGCTCAGCAACAGAGCACGTTCCAGCGTCTATGGAACAGCCCTGTTGGCGTGAAGACGGTTCACTTCTGGTATGTACTTTGTATTTATGAATTTTATCTTGTCCAAGTTTCACTGTATGCTGACGATACTCGATACAAAGGGCCCCTGTTATGAAGGTACGATAACCACCGTGACCAATTACTCGCCCATGACGACTAGAGAAACCTTGGTCTGATGATCGGGACTACAATTTTGCAACGAGTACAGTGATGATACTAATATATGCCGTGTAACAGTGGGCACTCGTCGTCGCCGGTATCTCCGATTTCCAGCGTCCCGCTGAGAAGCTCTCCTTGACCCAGAACGGTGCGCTTATGGCCACCGGTGCCATCTGGACCCGCTGGTGCATGATCATCAAGCCTAAGAACTACCTGTACAGTCGCCTTCCCAGGAGCTTAATTTTGCCGTGACTAACTAGTTCAGCCTCGCCGCCGTCAACTTCTTCCTCGGATGCGTTGGTGTTATCCAGGTTTCCCGTATCTACAACTACCACCGCAGCCTTGATGGCTCGTCAAAAGAGGCCGTGAAGGACATGGAGCACGAACTTGCTGGGGATGCGAAGGCTGTGGTTTCTAGTGCCAAGGAGGCCGTGAAGAAGCACGATTAAATATAGATTATGGTAGAGGATACCAGGACCGTCTAGCGGACATGTCAACCACCAATTCACACAAACATTTGTATATCTGAACGATGGTATCTCAAAACTCTAGTATATTGGAGCTTATTAAGATTTTAAAGTCATTATAATCATTAAGATCACGGAGCATTGATTCTAGTTCGACCGGCAGTCGTCCACCGGGCTTGCCCTTATATCACGCTTAGAACCCCGTTAATCTACGAGTAATACGCAAATCACTGGCCGTACGAACCGGAGATTCAGCAGCGACGATCAAAGGACCTCGCATTACTTGGGGAATTCTCCGCCATTCGGGAGATTCGAAGGCGCAACTGAAGCGGAATTATCCCTCCTATCAGAGCACAAACACCAATGTCGGACAGCAATTGAGCTGCGACACTCGACGACCTTTTCTCAACAACCCAATCCAAGCTCCAGCCTCGAGCTCGGCTCTCCACAAAATTTCCAATTATTGGCTATTCTCCCGGATAAAATGGAGATGCTTAGGGGTTGGCAATGGTTTTCTCCGCAGGGCTGCCGGAGGAGAAGCTGGAGGCAGAAGCAAATAATTTAGTATAAAGTATGCGCCGATCTCCCCTGCTCAAAGGAGCTCGTTGCTCAGATTGACTTACTGAACATAATCCTGTTCTTGATTTCGTCGTGAGAATGAAGCTATCAGGAGTCCTCACCTCCACGGTGAGCATCCTCTCCCTGGGGGCTACAGTCGAGGGCTTCTTTCACTCTCGAACCGACGCCGTTGCTCCTAAGCCGCCATTCAGGCCTCTCCCACATAGCTATCCTCGCGAGAAGGTCTGCCATGTGCGCAGCCATGGTGATGGCTCCGACGACTCTAAGTTTATCCTCTCCGCATTGCACCAGTGCAACCACGGCGGAAAGGTTGTCTTCGCCGAGGACAAGGAGTATACCATCGGTACTGCATTGGACTTGACATTCCTAAAGCACATTGATTTGGGTACGCTATCTGCCTTATAATTGCCCCACTGTTCCCATCGAGACGTACCTGTATTAATCACCCGGGGTATAGAAATTCTCGGCCGCGTCGTTTTCACCGACGACACAGACTACTGGCAAGCCAACTCTTTTAAGCACGGCTTTCAAAATGCCACTACCTTCTTCCAGCTCGGCGGCGAAGACGTAAACGTCTATGGAGGGGGAACCCTCGACGGCAACGGACAGATTTGGTACGATTTATTCGCAGAAGATGCGCTGATTCTACGCCCAATTCTGTTCGGTGTTATAGGGCTTCACGGGGGCACAATTGGACCACTGAAACTGCGCTACTCGCCACAGTGGTACCAGCTTGTTGCGAACTCGTCGGATGTGCTCTTTGACGGGATCGATATCTCCGGATATAGTAGTAGTGAGAATGAGGCCAAGAATACTGATGGCTGGGATACGTACCGGTCAAAGAATATTGTTATCCAGAATTCGGTTATTAATAACGGTGACGGTATGCAAGCAATTATAACTTCAACCTCTGTGTGGAGTGGAGCTGACATGTGTACGGTATAGATTGCGTTTCCTTCAAGCCGAACAGCACTGACATCCTCGTCCAAAACCTCCACTGTAACGGATCCCACGGTATCTCTGTTGGCTCTCTCGGCCAGTATGTGGGCGAGGTTGATATTGTGAAAAACATTCTCGTCTACAATATCTCTATGTATAACGCATCTGTATGCCTTTCCCGACCATTTCCCTTAATCCAACAACCAAAAAGCTAACAAACACCAGGATATGGCCCGCATCAAGGTTTGGCCTGGCGTCGCATCCGCCATGTCCGAGGACCTCCAAGGTGGTGGTGGTCTCGGCTCCGTGTCAAATGTTACATACGAGGAGATGTACATCGAGAATGTGGACTGGGCAATTGAAGTAACGCAGTGCTATGGGCAGAAGAACATGACGTTGTGTAATGAATACCCGGTATGGACATTTCCCCCTGTTCTATCACCCCTAGTTTCACTTAGCGACATCGATATGGAAGGCGTAGTAGATTGCTAACAGGCGAACAGAGCAACTTGACCATCTCCGACATTCATATTTCCAATATGTACGGCACGACTTCCGATGCGCAGGATCCGAATGTTGGAACGATCGTTTGTTCAAGTCCAGAGGTATGTTGTAACTTATTTATCTTGAAAGTCTTCTTTGAAGAGGGAAAAAGAATCTATTTTATTGACGAGAGGAATTGTGTAGGTGTGCTCGGATATCTATGTTGAGGACATTGATGTCGTCAGCCCAAGCGGTACGAATGACTTTGTTTGCACGAATGTAAGTCATGTATACCCTGTCCGATATAGGGTCATATATAGCTAACGAGTCCGTCTAGGTCGACGAGAGTCTCCTGCAGGTGAACTGTACCTCTGGGTGATGGGGTTCGCGAGCCAAATGGACAGACACGATATTTAATGCTATGTATAGCTAGTAAAAAAGACAATGAAGTACTTCTATATGTTGAATCATATTAATTTAATCAGAGGGAATAAAAAGAGATACAACAAAATATCAACCTGGCATACCAATCCCATTATCAGACCTGCTTAGTGGCCCGCATACCCGAATAATCTTGGTTTACCTAGTAACGTTGAAGTAGGCACCAGAGGAGGGCAAAATGGAAGCGTCGAACAACCCGGCTATAACCTCTCCGCAATCCGATGTCGATGCACCCAACTCCGACTCCTCTTTCCCCAGATATACATTGGCACTGTTAATAGAGTAACCCCAATTGTAATACCGCCAATTGTAAAGAAACAATTCTTGACACCCTGGGTATCGATCCACCCATTAACATAGAAGGTCAGACCGAAGGAAAAGATGTTTTTGACAAAGTTCATTGTTGCAAAAGCCTCGCTTGCTTTCTCGCGGTGGCAGTCGACGACGTAGGTTACAACTCCCGTGGTGCCGAGTTGCACTCCAAGATTGATGAGGCCCAGGCATACTATCACAGGGATCGGCCAGGGCTCGACAGCGTAGAGAGACTGGCCCCAAGCGAAGAAGCCGGTTGCGGTGAAGAAAAGGTAGGTAATCATAATAGGGAGGCGAAATTCGGGTTCTGTTTATTGTTGCATTTGGTTAGTGGATATTTCAAAATAAAGTGAGTATGAAGGGTGTTTACCGAAGATTCCTTTGTTGATCTTGGAGAGCCAACTTGCTACACCGTCGACTAAGGGTCCTGCAACGAGGGTTCCGATAAGGGACGCAACGAAGGACGAGACGTTAGTGGCGCCGACGGCACCGACGGAAAAGCTGTAGGGCGGGGCGGAGAAAATTTGAGAGATGGTGAGCGAGATGAGGACTAGCCACGAGATGCAGGTTGTGAAGAGGATGACAGCCCATACAACAGCGGGAGAAGCAATGAGGTAGGCAGGACGGATGAGTGTGTTCCAGAAGGAAACGTGGTTGACATAGCCGCTATACGGGAGAAGTTCTCGCATGTATGAGATGCGTGGTTCATTATCTGATGCTGGCGCCGGGTCTCCTGAGGCTTCAAGGTGTTTAACGTTGGCTTTGTTTTCTAGGGAGCTCTATAGTCGCATGGTTAGATAGTGGTAAGAAGCCAAGGCGCGAATGAATAGCAGACGTACGAGGTCAAAACCGGTATCAATGCTCAATGCATCTGTGCGTACATATGCGGTCTCTGGCATCCAGAAAAACACCATGATGAGTGTTAACGCAAATGCACCGCCCATCCCGTTCAGGCAGATTTTATAATCCCCATACTGTATGACGGCTCCGGCTGTGGAAGGTCAGTATGAGGAGTCTGAGCCGCTGAATATAAAGAAGTGCTTACCGATGGGAGTGGCAAGATTAATACCGCCTAGCACTCCAAGATTGAAAATTGCTGTGCGAAAACCGCGCTCATGGACAAACCAGACATCACCAATAGACGCTGGAACCAAGGCTTCGAACGGACCCATACATAGACCACTGAGGACACGCGCTGCTACTAATGAGGCAAAGTTTTTGGCCGCGGCAGCCCAGAAACATGCTACCATCATTCCGATGGTCGTGATCAGATAAACTGGACGTTTGCCATACTTGACTGCGAGACAGTTGAACACCAAACTTCCCACAGCAACGGCGGCGATTGTACTCCCCTGCACACCGGAGACAAAAGTGTTTAGAGGAACCCCAAACTGTTCAGCAAGAGGTACGAAGGCTGCTCCTAGAAGTGGACCAACAGCTGGTAGAGAGTTAGATTGAGAATTTCACGCATAATCGGGTTCTGATCCCCATACCTCCTGTACAACCACAGCCCCAGCCGAACGCGACAGTAAAGAGCTCTTTCTTCAATCGCGGCCAATTGTAGGGATCATTGGGTGAATCTGATGGTTGAGGAACAAGCACGATTTTGCCCGTCTCGTCATGTTTCATGAGAGCAGGGTCGATGCCTGAGTAGGCATTGTCCTGGCCAAGCTCGTTCAGGGGTGCAGTACCCGGAACGTTCTCGAGTTTGGTGTCTTCTAGAATCCCCAAAGGCATTTTCGTGGTGAAATGTAGGGCCAAGGGAACAGGGAACGGTGGTTTCTCCAGTCCTGATGTAAAGATGGAGGTTGACAGTCGGGGTGGGTAGAGGATAAAAATACGATCGACGGGACAGGTTGAAGTGGGAACGTCACGCCCTCCCAAAACTTTCTGGTAGCTTAGCTTCTTCACTTGCTAGGGGCTCTGTCCCATGACACGAAGCACTTCTTCTAGAAAGAGGAGATGAGACAAAGGGGGTTGAGGGCTGGGGGGAACTCAGCCGGAACTCCCGATCCCCATGGGGTTGGAGGATTTCCGGGGGATGTGGGAGACCTAGGAAGACCAAAAGTCTGAATTGCTTCATAATCCATTTCCAGATGCTCCAATACGCTCGCGTCTCTTGATGAGTCCTCCTGCTGGCATCGTCAATTGCTATTTGCCACAACTGACTCGTAGGACTCACCGGACCCAAAAACGTGGGCACTCGAATCCACCAGACCCAGAAGAAGCCCTCATCTCCCCGGACTCCTCGAGATACAACCCCCACAGAACCAATAAAACGTAGGGAGTGACGGGAAATTGAACTCTGCCAAAAGAAGCGAGTGACCCATCCAGAATCCTTGTTAAAAATCTGCTCAATCAACCGCCGTCAACGCGTCCACTCGACTCCATAATCCGTCATCCTTCAACCATCCCTCTACTCCAAATTCGGGATTCCCCCATCCCACATCGTGCATTACAGAGAGGGGCGAACGGGAAACTTCCGCACAATTTCATCCTCTGTGTCTGTACATAACGAAACTGAGCTCAAACAACCGGCGTGCAGTCACCCAAACAAGTGCTACCATCAGCATCAGCATCAGATAATCACAATGTCCCCTAAGCGAAGCATCATCATAACCGGTACGGACACCATAACTCCTCAGATCACTCAACCCCGACCCAACTGACATTCCAACGAACCTGTAAAGGTGGCGCATCAGGTATAGGACTGGGAATAACCCGCCAGTTCGCCCCGCAGCCAAACACTCATATCACTATCTTCGACATCAATGCGACGACCGGCGCGACCACTGTTGAGCAGTTACGCTCCGAGTTCCCCTCCTGCGGCTTCAGCTTCGAGAGAGTCGACGTTTCCAGCTGGGAGAGCCAAGCTGCGGCCTTCGAAAACGTGATTTCTCAGCAAGGCCGCGTGGATGTTGTCTTCGCCAATGCGGGGATCACGGAGAAGGGATCTCTCCTCCCGGAGAAAGATGGGAAGTTGACGAAGCCGGAGTTGGCGACGGTTGATGTTAACTTTGTGGGTGTTTTGTATAGTATGTTCGCGTCATGATTCCTCCTGCCAGTAGGAAAACAATTTGGGATGAGAGAAGGGCGCAGTAGCTAACTAGGTCTTTCGTGTGAAGGTGTTAAACTAGCCCTCCACTATATCTCGAAGAATGAGGCTGTCAATGGCTCAAAGGGCAGTGTTATCTGCACTGCGTCGAATGCAGGTGTATACCCCTTCCCCATGGCCCCGCTCTACTCCGCGTCGAAGCACGCCGTTATCGGACTGGTGAGGTCGTTAGCGAGGCCGTTGGAGAGGGAGCAGATTCAAATCAACGGGTTTGCTCCGGCTGTTATTGGTGAGTGTCTTGTCCATTAGTGGATGGAAGCATGGAAGTTAATGAGAACGCAGAAACGAATATTGCTCCAAGCTCAGACTTGTTCAAGACCATGATCCTCACGCCAATGTCGACTGCACAGAGAGCTGCTGAGCAGTTTGTGAGTGATTCTTCGCTGACAGGGAAGATTGCGGAATTGCACGGAGAACATGTGACATTTACCGAGCCCCCAGCATATGTGGATGAGGATTCGAGGAAGAATATTGAGAATTTCTGGTCGCTTGGGTATGCTTAAAGGTTAATGAATAAATGAAATGATCAAGATACCAATGTTGCCTGTGCTAAACGCTTGATCGTAGTCTATATGATATCCACACATACAAGAGGCATGAACCAGTCCTCTTTTGCCTCTATAATACACCCAGCGCCCCCAAATAAAGTTGAAATAGCCAAAGAATACCAAAAGACCTTGAATATATGAAGTCGTAGTCACATTAATCATTCTCATCTTTCAGGAGAACCTTGAGCTTCTCAAGCTTATCCTCGCACCGTACTTCCATCTTCATGACGACATCCACGCTTTCTTTCTTGGTGGTCAAAAGGTGAGAGACAAGCCAGAAGTTATACCCGTTTTTGAAGAAGCCCATGGAGGCCCATTCATGACTAGACACGGTGTCGCGGAGCGTTAACCAATGATCCCGCCACCGTGTTAGTGCTGTGCGGATGGGTGTCAAAGTTTGGTCGTTCTGAACAACGGATTGTCGCTTCTTCCCTAAACTCGACGCAGAAACAGACGGTTTTGTTCGAATAAGGGGTGCCAGACAAGTCATGTGCGTGTTGATAAAGGCGTAAAGTACTAAATTCAATCAGTATGGCTAACAGAAAGTGGAGAGAGGGAGAAGCTACCATGGATTAAAACAAACATGTCAAATACTGTTAGACTTGAAATGGGATTTGAAGAAGGCAAGGGAACAGGAGAGCCTTGTCCGCTGGTATCCTCAAACAGTGCATGGAATGCGTCACGAATGGCGATTCCCCGGGAAACTTGAAAATTTGGTTCTGCAAATGGATGCTCGGAGGCAAACACCGAGTCGAAACAAGGAAACTCCCAACCCAATTCTGTGTGAGAAAGGCGACAAGGGTAATTCTGATAGAATGAAAAGGCACAGTCGAGAAGTGAAACAATATTCATGTTGCTGGGGACGCTTAGCAACATTTCGCCGAAAGGGTGCAGACAGGCTTACCGGATGCGACACTCATTCTGAATCCACTTTGCTTCGTCCGCCCCATCTTCTGGGGTGTGTTTGTACCTCACTAGGCCTATTCGACGCGCAACCTATAAATTTGGTTATTCTCGACCACTCCAAGTGCGGGTTCGGACCATCATACCTTGACGACTTCACTAAACCGATTCTCCATAGCGCGACTGCTCGATACTGACCCCCCAGCCCAATATTGTACGACCACCATAAGAAAACCAGCCTGGAAATTCTGAAATTGAGACCAGTCATGGATTTCGGAGTCAACAGTTCGACTCCCGCACATAATCGCAGCTACTTCGTATTCACACGAGAAAATGTCGCTGGAGAAAACGTAGAGCTCTGCAAGATCAAGCAGTCTTTTGGCTGCGTATCGCTCTCGTTCATCCGTCGTGTACATAGCGCCCATAAACACAACAGATGCGAGGAGAGGCAACGCAACGGTATCAGGATCAAAAGACGGTACGTGGATTATCGTGCAGTTTGCGTGCCAGTACTTGAAATAAAGAGCCACAAATTTTCGGATGCGCGCCGTTGTCAGAAGAAAAGTGAGATTTGTTGATATCTCCTCGTGTACCTTTGCGTCGAGCGGTAAGGACCAGGATCGTGACAGAATAGCTTGGATCAAGGCAGTAGAATATGGTTTCTCGGGTTGGAACTGTTGCTGCCCAGAAAACGTCAAATTTGGGTCATGGCTCATGGGAATAGATGGCGAGTAGTCCATCATTCCTCCACTGTATGGATCGACTGTTGATTTGTGTGCGTCTCCGAAAGGTCCGTTGAAGAAGTCAAGAAAGGTATCTTGGAAAAAAGAGAGGCCGGTTGTATCAAACTCAGAGAATGGGGTCGCTACAAATTCTGTTGGGCCTCCCTTTGATTCCAACGCTAGCATTGAGCTCTCCACGCTCTCAGCTTCTTCTTTCTGGTGGTGGTACTCAAGGCCTCGCGTCCGATCACTCCGCGGCGGGAGGAGGAATTCCTCTGTGAAGCCGTCGGTGCCACCATTGAGAAGGAACTTGATAGACCCTCTATCTGAAGGTCGATCATAGTCTTCGTGCTTCATAGAAGACGTTTCTACTACTGTTAGACATGGTTCCCGTGACACTGCAGAGTACATATACCTGATACAGCCCCCGGGCTGGTAGTTGTCGCCTTGCGATCCTGAATGCACTCGAGATGTCTCTTGGCGCAGGATCCGCATGGAGTTTGTCCATCACAGCGAAGCTTCATCGAAGTACACTGCAATGAAGGTTAACTAATGAATTGAGCTAAGAGAGGCGAACATACTGATTGGCATGCATGTCGTCTCCTACCTCGCTGGCCGGTCTCAGGAATTTCCCGGTCGCCACGTTTGGCACAGTCTGCGTAGTGGTCACGCAGATTATCACTACATCTGTCATCAGCGACCATTGAGCATTTCAGGAACGTACAGGCCTAGTATATACACACCAGCGAGCAAAAGATTCGCTGCAAAAGACACAAGAATACGGCTTCAAGCCGGAGTCTGCGGGGAACAACCTGGGTTAGTGTGCGCAAGAATATGGAGCGAGAGAACCCAAAATGAGGTCTAGGGCAGCCACATACGACGCAGATGGTGTCGCTTCAGATGATCAATACGTGTGAAACCCCGCTGGCAAATGGTGCAGCAAAAATGCTTGGTTGGCTTCATGGCGAGGATCTGGGATGCATCGGGGAGGAGCTCGAGGGGGAGGAAAGTCTGGGGTAATGTAGGGGGACTCGCGAGGGGAAATAGATGAAGTGAGATCCCAGTCCGATCGAGTCAGTGAGGGCGGGGAGGGGAAGAGGAAGCTCTCAGCCTGTCACGGTTGTGGTGTCCAGCAGTCCCATGGGACCTGCCCTTCTGTGAGTACCGGGCTACCAACTTAGTGGCGAGCCAAAAGAGTTCAGTACTTCGTCCAACTTGACGGAGATGGAAAAAGAAGCCGGTCATGGGACAAAGACGCTGTGTGAATATTCGGTATTATTCATCGGAGTTCGTAACGTCTGGTAAATTTGGGGGCGTGGAGGTGGAGTCGCTCAGTGCTTGCTTGGAGTTTTCCGTGCGGAGAACGAGCTCCCGGTACCCGCCGGTCAGGTAAATTACTAGACTTATGACTGGAGGGTGCTCTATTATGTAATTGAGGCACACCGATGGCTGATTCGAGCAAGAGCAACACAACTCCGGCTCTCTCGATTCCTACCGGGTGAGTTCTTCAGCTCTCCTGGATGTCTTTACCGTTTCCGGGCTGGGCCTCATCTTTATTCTGCGAGATTGGAATTCTAGAAGGTAGGTATCGGAGTGTTTAATCCATACAATCGCTTATAATTAGAACGGCAGAAAACAGTGTGCTCAGTGCGCCGCCCCATTCATGCCTTTCTCAAGGTTCTCCCTGTCAATTACAGTTGTGGGAAAGTCAATTTTATCATCATCCAGATAATCAACCTTGATGATCTTGTTCTTCTCGTCCTCTGCCCAGCCGTCGCCAATCCAACCGTTGGGATTGTCGTTGACGTACTCGTAAGTGTAGTCTTCCCACCGAGGAGAGCTAAGAGCCTTCATCGCGTGAAGAGAGGAGCCTTTCCCGCTTGTCAGTTGCCGTCATCGGGTTGCGTTTGGACATTGATTGACTTACCGGGCCACAATGCCATAACTCTCCCGTTTAATTCTCCCCCCTTGTACCAGCTACGACATTCCATACCAAACACTGTCCGTGAGAAGTACTGGTCGCAGTGCCGTCTGAACTGCGTCACAGCTTTCTTTTGCACATCCATAGCTCGGATGTTGTCTCGTTGCATCTTCTCAATACAACGTGTGATGTAATCGATCTCATTCTCGATCAGGAGAAGCAGGTTTCCCTCACCCAGCGCTGCGTTGGGGCCCAGACAGATAAAGTAATTGGGGAACCCATCCACTGCGAGGGATAGATAGTTCTCTGGCGTTTCCTCCCATCGCTTTGCCAGAGACAGTCCATCTTTGCCAATAATGGGGAACCGTGGTGTGAAAGTGGTATTGAAGCCGGTGGCGCAGACGAGAACATCCGTTGGATGATGCTTTCCGTCCTCTGTAACAACACCATCCTCAACAATCTTGACAATGGGAGACGATATGACGTCGACCTTATCATCTGTGAGAGCCTCAAGATATCCAGGCCCAGGAGTCAGTCGGCGGCAGGCTGGCGCAAACGATGGCAACAGCTCCTCGACGAGTTCTGGCTTGTTTCGTAGCCGACGCTTCATATTCTCCGTGAAGAAAGCTGTAGCGCCCACTTGCTCTGGCGTTCCGACAAGGGTACAGCCGTGAACAGATTGCAGTTCTGTCTCAATTTCTGCAAGCAGTTAGCAACCGTTGGAATTGGGGGCTACATGCTTATTTACCTTTTCGAAACTTCTGGTATGCTGAATGATCTTTCTTGAAAGTCTCAATTTCCTCAGGAGTGAAAGAAACTAGTGTTTGTCAGCAGTTATCGTCCAGACGCAGTCGGTGGTCTCACAATTTTCAAGCTCTGAGCTGCGCTTGTCGACTTGCTCACGCGCAAATGTGGGGGAGAGCCAAGTGCGACCTCTGATGTAGTGGTCCAGGTGTGTCACCTTTGGCAGCATCCCAGGGACGATCTGGATTCCACTGGATCCGTTCCCGATGACAGCAGCCCTTTTACCCTGTCCAAATGATTAGTGTATGGATAATATGGTGATCGCTGCAACTCACACTGTAGTCATAGCTCTCGTCCCAGTTGGCACTGTGTATCAACTTCCCTTTGAAGTCATGGAGGCCGGGAATGGTGGGCCATTTCCATTCGTTCAGCGCACCGCTAGCGGACACTAAGACATCACATTGGTCCTCAAAGATTTCATCGTTGTCGATGTTTTTCACCTGAACACCTAGGCGTTAGAATCATACATATGACCGAGCATGGAGACCATGTCACCTTCAATGTCCACTTGCTTCGCACGCCATCCCATGTTGCACCAACAACCTGGTGCTTAAACTTGATGTATCTTTCGCAGCCATATTTCCCCGACACACGTTTCCAGTACTTGTGGATTTCTGGCGCCGCAGCGTAGAAAGTTGACCACTCCTTGTTCGGCTCAAATGTGGCCTGATATGTGTGGGCAGGAATGTCTACAGTATACTATTAGTGACCACGAAACGGTGAACAGCTCTTACAGAAAAGAATATATATGTACTCACCACAAGCACAGCCCGGATATCTGTTCTCAAGCCAGGTACCTCCAATATCCGCATTCTTCTCGTATACTTGGAGATCCAACTTGCCAATCCTTTGCCGAAGACGAATCGAAGAAATTATGCCTGAGATTCCAGAACCAATAACCACAACTCGCATGGGCCGAGATGCATCGATTGAGCGTTCCTCAACAATCCAGGGCTCAGGCTCCCCCGTCTTAGCTGCCACACCGTTGGCTACACCATTGGGTTCGGGGGCGCCATTGGTTTGCGTAGCCTCCTGCTGAACCTCCTTCTCAGACGAACTTCGGCCCAAAACTCGCGACAAACGTCTCATCATGTTGGGTATTCTTGCGGAAATGACAAAACTTCACAAATTGACTAACGGGTATTCAAAGCAGACCGACTTATGTTAAATAACCAGAGTGGAGAGAGCATCAGGAGAGACAGTGCGGCGGAAAGTTTAACCCCGACAAAAGCTCCTCCCCGATGATATACGCAAATTCTCTGGCCCCAAAAAATTGACCGAACTAGCGCCAGTCTCAACTCTCGACCAGGCAAGAAATGCGGAGACTCCGGCTTTCCCTTGGGAATGGCGTATAAACTCGGCTCTTTTTTCCTCCCCGCCACTTTACGATCTCCCCTCCCCGGGAGAGACAAACCACGTCTTGAGGTTGAGGTAGACGGAATTCAAGATCCACCCCCATCGTATTATACATGCGGAGTAATGGCGCCTTGTCACAAAGACATGAAACATTTTGAGCGTTGGTAATCAGGAGCTGCGCTGGGGCCGCCGGCTTGGAGAGTGGACCCTCGTCCTCGGTACCAAAACGAGATAGCCATCCCTCTTCGTCGCTCTTGCGGGGAAACGCGAGCTGGACGGTCTTCACTGGAGAACGCAAGACGTCCTGACTGGTCAGTCGGAGACTGCCAACATGGCAAGGAATGAGGGGTTACAAGAACGATAATCTGCTAACGTTACTGGTACCCGATATTTCTCAACTTCTCATAACTGAAGTTTCTATTTGTGGTCAAGGCGGGGGCATGCAGATTCCTACCTTCTTAGCAAGACCGTTCCGACAGACCCCGATCTGTCAGACGTATACAGTCAAAACCGTCATTTACGCCGGCAAAAGACTTGAGTCTACGGGCTAGGATGGATGCAGACCAGTGAGTAAACTTTAGTTTCAAACGCGGAATCCTGCCGAGCCACGGCCAGCCAGCCGGATAAACCCCAGCATAAGGCATCGATCGTGAAGACGGCGACCGTTTGTGATAATGATGACGAACATTGCCTATCGAATCATCCTAAAATTGGTTTCAACCCGGACTGGGACCTCAACCGGTTTCGCCAGTAATCCGAGATCCAATGAAACAGCGATAATCCGCCCGGAAATCCCCCAATCCCCTGGGGTGGCCAAGGCAGCTAACGCGGGGTGCGAAATCCCTCGGGGAGGTTGCTTACGCGCTTATTGATGACACGGGGAAGCGCATTCCTAAACGAGAAGTATCATATGCTCGTCGGAGACCAAGTGGGATTTTGAAGGACCCAGCGTGGCCTTAAGGGAAAGCATCTGGCTTCTCTCTGATTGGTTATCACTGCGAGACCATACTCCTCGCACGGATTGCGCAAGGTATTATACTTGAGTATGAATGGTTCCAAGAGTTGCCCCGGCCACAGCATATCGATGGGCATGTTCTTGTCGTATTTCAGCGTACTAATGTTGTTTGTTTTCAACACCTGGGGTCTTTTAGGGGGTCTCTCTACCTGTAAGTGGCTCACGAGGGAACACCGACACCTCCATATGGATACCGGGGGATGCATATTAATTGCTCCACAGAAGTTAAGCTGTGATCAGGAGGTTGGATATTTCCGTATATCCGCGAAATCCCAGTGCTTTGACTGGGCAGCACCCCAGGAATTGATCATCGATTACCGGGATAGCCCAGCCAACCAGATAAGTAATCTGTAAGGTTCAGATCCAGATTCCGCATTCAGCGCTGATGCGCCGTGCATAGAAGCGGCATGGAGGTTGACCAGTGAGATACTTCGCGACCCATTGATGCGGGCTTCACCTATAATGATTGTCTTAAGACCCGAAAGGGCCTTGCACGGCCCGGGTGTTCGTAGATGTCTAGGCAGGTTGAAGACGAATAGATTGTAGTTTATTCATGACCAACAGTGGTTTTTATTTTTTTCAAGAATATATACTTATACTTAGTAGGTCATCAACCATTGCATGATTTTATGATGGTTGGGGCATTAATGAAACCTGGTTCCGCATGCACCATGCACGAGTAAGTTAAGCCAACTCCATGCCCCTGCAGCAATTAAGTCTGGAGCGCCGTCGGGGAATCTCTCCCTAAATGAAAATGTGATTTCTTCCAAGATGGATATAAACCGACGCTGGAGCTCTGGACGTGGAATCAGTCATCTCTTAATAATTATTATCAAAATCAAAGTGGGGTTTCTCCGTTCACAGCAGCCATTCCTATATCAGTCCCCCAGGCGCAAATCAAATCGCTCCCAATATACAGACCAGATTGCTTACCTCTTAATTAATTATTTTCAATTGTCAGGGACCTTGCTTCAAGTGTCCCGTCGTTCGAATGCCTGTCTTCACAGAATTCTCCGCCTCGTCGCGCGAACTCCGCGTGCTCCCTTCCTTTGCACCTCCTCTGCCCCGCCTCTCCCCCGCCTTCACAAAATCCCCAGAGGCTGTTCAAGCTCCCCAACCGGAGGATCCCCAAGCGCAAGCGAAATATGAAGTCGTCGTTGTAGGCGCCGGTCCAGCAGGGCTGATGCTCAACCTCCTGCTCGCCCGGTACGGTCTAACTGATGACTCGCTTCTCTGCGTGGACGCAAAGCCCGGTACCTTGAAATCCGGCCAGGCAGACGGCCTGCAGCCGCGCACACTCGAGGTCCTGAAATCGCTAGGTCTCGCGGATGAGATCCTAAACGATGGTTGTCATATGGAGGAGGTGGCGTTTTGGAATCCCACAGGGAAAACGGAGGGCGAGGTGATTGAGCGGACTTCAATCGTGCCGGATGTCAGTGTGCCTGCGCGGTTTCAGCACGAGGTTACAATTCATCAGGGGAGGATTGAGCGGATTCTGGAAACAGACCTGCTGCGCTATTCGAAGCGCGGTGTGCAGAGGAGTACGAAGCTTCTTGATGCGAGGATTGATGAGGAGGGAGATGGCGAGTTTCCTGTTGTGGCGGAGATTGAGGTTGAGGAAGCGCCAGGGCAGAGTGTGAAGAGGACAGTGCGCTCGAAATACCTCGTTGGTGCAGATGGTGCGCACTCGAATGTTCGTCGGTGCATGGGTCTCAGCCTTGAGGGCGAGTCACTAGATCATATCTGGGGCGTCGTGGATTTGGTCATTGATACGGATTTCCCTGATATTCGGCGGCGGAGCGCGATTCATTCGCCTGCGGGGTCTGTCATGGTCATCCCACGCGAGAGAATTGCGACTGGCGACTACCTGACCCGGTTATATGTTCAGGTCCCGGAAAATGAGATTGAGGCTGAGGATGATCGCAACGCGAAGGAGGGCGCAAAGGCGCGCAGAGCCGGGGTTACGCTTGAGAGCATCTTCCAGCATGCTGCGGATGCATTCAGACCGTACTACATCAGGCCTAAGCAGGACGGTGCAGTGGATTGGTGGGCGGCGTATCAGATCGGCCAACGGGTGTCTGACCAGTTCACGGTGAAGGACTCCAAGGACATCAACCGCGTCTTCATTGCGGGTGATGCTTGCCACACGCATAGTCCCAAGGTACGTATTTCCTCAACCCCAAAGTTGCGCAGAGATGCTAACTTGACAGGCCGGCCAAGGAATGAACGTGTCCATGATGGACTCCTACAACCTCGCCTGGAAACTCATCTACTCCATCCACGGTCTGACACCCGGCCCAGTTGAATCGGCAAAGGTAGACCCAATCCTCGACACATACCACCTCGAACGCCACACAATCGCCCAACAGCTTATCGACTTCGACCGCGCCTTCTCATCCATGTTCTCCGGGAAAATTGGGTCCGAAGACGGCATCGGCCAGCTGACACACGAGCAATTCCTCGAAGTCTTCAGCACAGGCAACGGTTTCACCAGCGGCTGCGGTATCGAGTACCCCGAGAACGTGACGGTCGAGAAACCCCCAGTCAAGAACCCTATCCAAGGCACAGATTATCTCCATGGCATCCTGTACCCAGGAAGAAGATTGCTCAATGTCAGAGTGAAGCGCTTTGCCGACGGAAACAGACGCGATTTACACGATGGTATATACCTGCCCTCCAACAACTTCCTCTATATTCCCAACTTTCCCAGCTGGCGATACCGATTCTCCTTCGCTAACATATCACAGACTTCCTCTCCACCGGCCGCTTCCGCATCCTAGTCCTAACATCATCCGACCTCCTCAACCCATCTGGCAGATCAGCCAAGGCCTTAGGCGCCATTTCCTCCTCCATCCTCCCGCACTTCCCACCGTCTGTAATCGAACAAGTCGTCCTTCATCCACGCCTAGCCAACACCAGCGCCAAAGGCTTCATGTGGCGCGATCTCCCGCGGGAGATCAAAGAGCACTCGGAGATGCGCTTCTACAGTGGCTATGAACTCTCCGATGATGTCTATGCCGTTTATGGCGTCGATGAGAGTGAAGGTGCCCTTGCTGTTGTGAGGCCCGATGGGTATATTGGAGCTGTTGCGGCCCTGGATGATGTTGAGAGCGTCAAGGGGTTTTTGGCGAGGTGTGTGAGGACTGTTTAGTTAGACCGTAAATTAGGGTAGGGATGGCAATAGATCTTGCTAGTGCTGGGCGTATATTAATTAATATTGGAATGTACGGCAATTTAGATCAGGTAAGAAAAACAAGGATATTCGGTCATTGCATGAATTATAAAAAGTAAGAGCTATGGTATTCTATCAAATAACATCGCGGTGCTTCTCATGAAGGGTTGATTTACAATCAAGTCTCATTTATTTTAATCACAGTCCCATCTTCATTCTGTCCAAAGTTTAAAAGCCTGCATATATATGTTAGTAAAATACCTTTCATCACCAGGGAATAATAAGACACTAACCCTTCTCCGTGTTTCCTTCACCCATACTCTTCCCGGTGCTGCTTCCACTCTGGATGGCGCCTACAATACCATCCATGTACGGCGCACCGCTCCATTTCTGGTGAGTGAGGACATCAACGCCGAGTTCCTTCTCGCGCGACTGGATGAGGCGGACGTAGGCGAGCATTCCGTCGTCCTTGAAGGCGCGGGAGAGCTCAGCCGTGATGGTGGCACCGCTGTGGATACCGGCGAGGGAAATCAATTGAAGGACGAAACTAGGTTTGTTAGCCTTTTTGCGGGCGTTCGAAAGAGGGAAAAGGGGGCTTACCCATGCTGTGCGAGATCCCAGATGAATGACTTGAGTGAGGCCTCATCGAAACCTTGTCCCATCCAGTTAAATGACGGGCTCAGGTTGTACACGAGTTTCTTGCCAGGGTGCGCGGCCCGTACTTCTCCTGCGAGTGTACCAGCCTTTGCGACATCTGGATCGCCTGTCTCAACCCAGAGAAGGTCCGCGTAAGGGCCGAATTCCTTCGCGCGCTTGGTCGCAGCTGGGAAACCTGCGCGGTAGTGGTAGAACCCTTCTCTGGTGCGGGGGATGTCGCATGACCAGACGACAGGAGTCTTAGTGTAGTCATTGGCCAAGGCACGACGGCGAGAAATGGAGAGGTCTGGGTTTTCTTTGACGTGCTTCTTGTATGCATCGCGTGCGGTTTGAGGCGCGCCCTCGGCCTCGAGATGAGCATCGACAGCTAGGAGAAGTTAGTAAGTAATCATTCAAAGAGATCAGATTTACATACCCTCATCAAAGGTCACAAGTTTATGCTTCTTGACCCAGTCCAATTCATAGGCGTCAATCTCCGAAGGAGCGGCGCCTTCCCTCTCCATAGCCTGCAAAGTCTCCGCAAGAGGCTCCGACTCTTGGGTGACACCGAGGATGAATTCGTGGTCCCTGACATCGATAGCGCTGCTGAGAAGTTTACCACTCTCCGAGTCGGTCCGAGCGATAACGAGGTTCTCAACACCCATCATATCCCACTGGAAGCGCGCCGCCACGAGTCGATTGATATGCTCACCCATCGGAACTAGGACTTTACCCGCCAGATGGCCGCATTTCTTTCCGCCGTGAAGCTGATCCTCGAAGTGAACAGCCGCAGCACCATTTTCGGCAAAGAGCTTGGCCAGTTTCAGCACCGCAGTCAGGCCACCATGTCTAGCAAAAACGTTAACAAAAGTTGTCAAAAGATCGGACAATCGAACTTACCCTGTGTCGCCATCTGCAATAATCGGTCTCATGTAGTCAACGTAAGGAGTAGACTTTCGTTGTTCCGGTGTGAGCTTTCGTCGTGCGTCCCAATGCTTCCGATCGTGCAATTGCTGAGCCTTAAACAGTCTCTCAACCTGGTTTGGTACGGTGTTGTATGGGTAGTCTCCAAAATCCGGAGAAACCTCGTTGGTAGTGGTCAACGCCGAAGAGCAAGCCCATCCAGAAATATACAAGACTTCCTGGTTAGGAGCCTGCTGTGTCATCTGAATTGGGTCAATTGCGCCCACTACGGAGCTCAATTAGTATTTATAAACACGGTCTAGGTGCGAAGGCGGAGAGTAAAACATACTCGTGTGAACAGGCTTGTTTTCCGCAGCTCTCTCATTCAACAAATTGAAGAGCTTCCGAGCCATCAACGAGCTGGGATACGATTGTTGCAAAGAGCCCCGTTTGCTGACCACATCGGCAGCCGAGTACGGCCGCTTGATGCCCTCGAAGCGGGGAGAATTCCACCACGCCTCGACATCTTTGATCTGTTGCTCGTAGAGTGCATCCTCCGCAGCTCCAGCCTTATCGGCGGTCGACAGAAGTTGGTACGAATCGCCGGGGAGTGTTGAGGAAACCGGAGGCTGGACGGGCGGCAGCGATGACGACGACATCCGAAGGTAACCGCATGTGAAAGGGCGCAGAGCAAGACGAGAAGGACCGCCTGCGGTCGCTGAGATGGGAGGAATCCGACGTGGAAGTCGACGGGGCACTGATCGCAGCATCATTCAGAGAGTAATTTGGATAATGCAGAAACCCCTGATGGGCAAAAAGGAAGGTCCGTAACGGAGTGAAGGGAGGAGCAGTTATTATGGCTCGGCGGTAGACCGACCTCGGTCTGGGACTGGGGTTGCCGTTTCCCCGCGGCTCGCTTATACAAGGATAACCAAGCAATCGGAATGCTGAGTAACTATTCATTGTCATTAATAACTATAGCTTGTTCGATGTCCGGCCCGAGAAAAGCAGCTAAAATAAACGCCGATTCATGATAAACTTCCGAAAACCGGCCGTTGTTCACAAACCACAGCAGACCGGCTTCTTCACGTCTTCCTTGAAGGCGAAATCAAGCAGCGATTGAGGTTTTAGTAATTCTGAAGCATGATTTTGACTGAGCCCAAAAGAATCCATTGATTATTATTGGCATCTAGAAGTCTGACAGATTATAGACACGACCTCAACTACCCTCTACCAATATACACCCAGCTAATTCCACATCCTACAGATTAGACGGGTCCTTTATGCCTCACGTATCACATTAAATAGTACCCCCCAAATGCCACAGTTTCACCACTCACAGAACGCCAGTAGGCTGTTCCTGCTGCTGGATCTCAACCAAGTTGCCATCCGGATCGGTAACCATCAGAAGGAGAGGTAGTCCAATAATACCCTGAGCATCCATGAGCCTCTGCTTGGCAGCGTGATGCACGCCCGCATACTCGCCGATGCCAAATGCATTGTTAGCCGGGCCGACGAAGGTATTGATGGGGTCTCCGACGCGTTTCAGGATCTCAACACCCTTGCTCTCCAAGTAGTCCTGTGCCTTGGCGATATCTGGGACGATGAGGCCGACGTGCCCGAAAGTGTTGGTGCGCTTTGTGGATGCCACGAGGGTGTCATCAGTCACATTGAACTGGACGAGTTCGAGGAGACCGGCGAGGTTGTTCTTGGCGAGATTCAATTCGGCACCGGTTTGGTACCCCGTTCCATTTCGACCGCCCTGGGAATGGCCTAGGTAGGTGACGCTAAACTCGGCAGTGAGCTGGACGTGGAACAAGTGGCGCATGCCGAGAATGTCACCGTAGAAGTGTTCCATATCGGGGAGGTTGTTGGTAAGGAGACCGACGTGGTTGATGAAGTAACCCAGTGTTTCTGGAGGGGCTGGGCCATCCGTGCCAATGGTGAAAATGCCATCACTAGCACTGGGATCCGGCTCACAGGCAGTAGTCCATTGAACCGCGATTGATAGAGCCAAAAGGAATTTTTGTGCGAGCATTCTGAAGGATAATGGATTTGAGAGTCAAAAGATCGGGTTTCCCTTGGAAGAGATTGTAATGGTTGTGTTGTTGGGTCATAGTGACTATCCAGGTGCTTTTATACCTTAGCCGAACAGCGAGGCGTATTTCGACCTCAGTCTTAAACTTGCTGCTTAGCACCCTCCACGGTGAAAACGTAATGATCCCCGAAGCTATGAGATTGCAATCTCCGCAGTACAGAGGCATAGGTCGTGTAAACTTACCAGTCAACCTCAGCTGTTGTTTAGCGGCGCGAAATTGAGCCCAGACCAGCTAGCTCCAGTAAGCTTACACTCACCACCAACCAATCACCTTGTTGGCGGGGAAGCCATGTATACAAAGCCTTCAGCAAGAAGTTTGTGTCCAGGAGAACAACCCAGTTTCGGAACCATTTGGCGCGAAATCGGGGCTGTGGTTCCTTTGGCCCCAAAACTCTCGATGTGCCGGACCCTTACTCGGTACTGCCATTCTCAAGCGTTGGTCTTTCTCCAAGCCGCCAGGAACATTCATTCCTCTGCGTACCTGAGGGCTATTCAGTTTCTGCAGTATTATTGGATTTCACGTGGTGGCCTCGGAGGAACAGCCGTCCACTAATTTTCTTTGAGAGGTGTGAATGTTCACGTTTTGAGATTAAGTCGTTGCGAGAAGTCTGGTTCCATTGCCCTATTGCAACTTATTATTCCTCGCATAGTTCGACTTTTCCGAGTTATAACAACTTCGTGAAAGTATCAAGATGGCTGTGATTACTCAAAAAAGGGAGTTTTGCGGCCGATTTATGATAATTCACCGGTCTTTGTTCGTGATCCAAAATGTACCGAGCTAGGGTTTTGGATAGTTCGAGTCGCAACAGACCTCACGGCCCCTATTCAGTAACTTGCGTGGGTTTTAAAAGCTAGGAGCAAGATAATAGCCTAACTCTTCGATAATGGCCTTTGGCTTCGGGTTTCTGCACGATGTGTACGGCATGACATTTATGCCAACACCTCACATACGGGACCAAGGAAGCTCAGAATTGATGCGTTGTTCACTCTGACGAAAACTAGGGCCGGTCCCTCAGCATATGTTGTCAAGAATATGTACGTATTCCGAGCCGGCATTAACTATATCCAGCTAACTGAGGAGGGGGGTCATAGTTTGTCGATTTCACTCAATTTCGTGGCAAGGGTGGGTGCCATCATAAACTCCTGGGGTTCGACTGTGGCCGCTGGTGGTCAAGGCCAACAGTAGAAGCTCAAGAGCTGTGGAGCATAGGTCAGTAGGTCAACACTATTTGGGCTTGTGGAAAGAGAGATCGATGCTTTCAGGCTGATTTTCTGTTTGGCCCAGATAAGCGTGCATCAGCGTTGCATGGAAGCAATGTTCGGCCAAAGCCTTATATTTGTGTACCACCAATCCCTTCACCCAGAAATAGAAAGGACGAGCACGTCAAGAACCGAGAATATCGAATCATCGTGTAAGACTAGCTCGCGTTTTTCAGGGAGCTTACAACACGTCAGCAACCTCGGTAGCGGATCCCCACAGCATTTGATTCCTGCAGCATACGGTTGGAAATTGAGGTCCCAATTAGTCCATAATCCCTGTTTCCGCGCCCGGGGTCTGCTCTCCGATGGATCAGGTCCGCGGCAAATCTCGATTGGCTCATTTGCAGTGCAGCAATGCTCAACGGTGAAGGGCTGCAGGTTGAGCAAGCTTAACCCTGTTCTCTTTCGAGTATCCTCGATCACAAAAGCCGAGCCGTGCCAATTCCTTCCGGGTATCTCAAGGAAGATGTTCGGACCGGAGATTAGGAGGAATGAGGGGTTCTTTGTTCCAAAGAGGGGCAGTGAGATGGGCCACACGGCTGGCGGATCACGAGTGGATCCGACATTCTCAAAATGTCCTCACCTCCAACCATCCACGCGTTGGCAGACGCCGCGATCTTGACCCAGCTCAACCTCCAACGGCGTTCGGCGGGACTCCTGCTGCACGCATTCCAGGTTTCCACTCCGGCCCACTCTTCCGGTCGTTGAAATTTGAAAGAAACAATGGATCGACACTGCCAACGTGTGATCAGGGGATCGTGGGTGGGCGGACGATATATCCGGCCTTGCTTTGGGAAAGGCTATATTAATACATGGCTAGACCCATTTTCTCGCGGATCCTCAGATACTTGCAATTCTTAGACCAAGCCATCGATTCTATATTCTAGGCACCCGTGGAGTTCCCCTCATCCTCCCTTAGAAGCCATAATGTGTGGGCTTACAGCAGTCCTTTGTCTCAATGGAGGCGCTTGCCAAAATAATGTCGATTCCCAGGCCTTAGAGTCCCAGATGGATGAGAGTCTGGAACTGGTCAAACACCGTGGTCCCGATGCAAGAGGCAAATGGTTCAGTCCTGACCGTCGCGTAGGTTAGTAGTTCCCACGAAAGAGCCATATCAAAATCTGACTTTACTCTACATAGGTCTTGGGCACGCTCGTTTCTCGATCATCGATCTTAGCCCTGCCGGTAATCAGCCCTTCCATGACAAGGAAGAAACTGTACACGCAGTTATCAACGGCGAACTATACGATCACGAAAAGTATCGAAAGGAGCTTGCCAGCGAGTATGATTTCAAGAGCAACAGTGACTGTGAAATTGTGACTGCTCTATACCGTCACTATGGTATCTCCTTTCTTTCTAAACTGCGGGGAGAATTTGCTCTCGTCCTTTGGGACGCAAAACGAGAGTTGCTTTTCGCCGCCCGTGATCGCTACGGGATCAAGTCTCTCTACTATACGGTAGTGAACAACAAATTACTGGTGGCAACTGAGATGAAATCCTTCCTGCCCTTTGGCTGGCAGCCGGAATGGTCCGTTGAGAATCTCCTTCGGAAGGGCTGGCTGTGGGATACTCAGCTGTACTTCAAAGGAGTACACCGGGTAAGTTTTCTAGGCAGGGAGGCTTTCGTCGATACCATCCTAACTTACTGTTATAGCTCGATCCCGGTCAGTATTTGATCAGTAGGAACTACAGTGCCCCAGAAATAGGAACGTATTGGGATTTGAGCTACCCTGACAAAGTGAGTTGCTTGGAGCACACGCAATCACTCGCGTTGACTTACATGGAACTAGACAACACGTTGTCCCCTCACAGAAGAAGAGATTATTCTCAAGCTCAGGGAGCTCTTGCTAGAATCGGTGAAGCTGCGGCTCCGTGCTGATGTGGAGGTCGGGGTATACCTTAGCGGTGGTTTAGACTCATCCGCTATTGCGGGAATGACTGCACACCTTATCAAACAAGGCGAGCTTTTAGGAAGCGACTCCAGTGGTGATATCTCAAAAATGAGCTGTTATACAATTCGGTTTGGGAAGGACACCGGAGTAGACGAGTCAGGTATGAACGGATATCTCTATTGTCTTAAGGAAATTATCTAATATGACGAAGATATCGCGCAGCGGACGGCAGATTGGATTGGTGTCGACCTGCATCCAGTGACAATGGATGAACACGAAATTGCAAGCAGGTTTGAAGACACTGTTTGGTTCACTGAGACACCAATTCCTGATGTCAATGGAATGGGCCGAGTTGCAGTGGGAGAGTTAGCTCATTCTCACGGGAAAAAGGTGATCCTCACAGGTAAGTAAACGACTCAAGCTTGTCGTTGGCCTGAAACGCATTGCTAATGGGGCTAGGCGAGGGATCGGATGAACACTTTGGGGGCTATCCTGATATGTTATCCAAGATATTTCTTGAGCCTGATCATTCATATCCTCCACCTCCTTTCGAGATGCCTGATAGCTCTAAATTATTCGAAGCCGGTAGGGAGGCCATACCGCCACCGTATCCATCACCTGCTTCAACAAAGCGAATGCTTAATAATTCATCTGTATTTCCTCGTGTCAACTCATTTTACAACCTGCCATTCGCTCCGTGGACGGCAAAGTACGCAATAGACAACGATCTGGAAACAGCATTCGCAGAGCATTTTGGGGCACAGACCCTTGCCAACATCTCAGAGAAATGGCACCCTTTGCATTCGGCGAGCTACCAGTGGACCAAGTCCATTATGGTGAATTATATTCTCCGTTACATCGGCGATGGCGCTGATATGGTCCATCAAATTGAAACGAGGCCTCCTTTCCTAGACCATCATGTCACAGAGTTTGCGAACCAAATCCCCCCAAGCTTGAAAATTCGATATGACCCTATCAACAAGGTTCTGCGTGAGAAATACATTCTTCGGGAGGCCATGAAGCCATTCGTTACCGATGAGATCATGGACCGTACAAAACGGGCGTACTTGGGACCTTCGGTGTATAAAGAGGACGGCCCTCTATGCCAGGCTGTGCAAAAGTTAGTCACAGAAGAGAACGTCAAGAGGCTAGGATTTGTGGACTGGAACCAAGTACAGGATCATGTTACTAAAGGCTTCCGCGATGGTGATCAAAAGTGTTTCCGAAGCTCGCTCTTTGTCGCTCAGCTCGTGGTCCTGTCTCAACGATTCGGCGTTAAAACAGCAACAGACCTTGCGTAGGGTTAGACACCAGAGGGTTGCAGGAATACCGAACCGAGTCCACGAACCAGAATAAGAGTGCAATGTGATCACTCACGCATTGTTGGCCATGGTCCTTGGAACACAGTTCAGCTCAGCGTGGTGGGCAGGTGACCAGCCCGCCGGAAATCGGCATATCATGAAAGTTTATCCTTCCAACTGTATATACTTTGTCCCTGGTGACCTAAATAAGTATAGAAATAGAACCTTACGGACTCCGTGGAAGCAGGGGGCTGATCTGATCTGAGAATCGGAATTTTGATGTAACTAGAATGGTATAGCATCACACAATCACTTTATTGACAACCGCCGTCACGTTACAATTAAGCTTCAGCTGCAGAGCATATACAATTGCCTAGTGCCACTGATCGAGACTTGGAGCCCGAGAAACTATTTCTCATTTGATACTGAAAACCAGTCGAGAGCGTGGGGTGGAACTGGGGTTTCTCGTCTCGCGTGGCGACAAGGATACGCCTAGCTAGCACCACGTGGTTATACACTCGAGAAGAGCCATGTTGATCAGTGGGCTCCCACGAATTGCCCTGTCGTGTGCTTCATTTAATGGGGAAACCCAACGTCAGAAGAGAAAACGTGTATCGCTACCAGATGAAACTATGTAGCCTGCGATGATCTTGTATCAAGCTAACATGATCCAAGGCGCAAATTCAGATCTACATCCAACTGACCAAATGCTGAAAGATATTCCTAGATCTTGTGGGAGTCCAGCCTTAAGGCATGCTTCTAATTGGAAAGAATACAGCCCAACTCTCCAGCTCCTCCCTGCCTCGTCTAGCAACGGAGTGTGTTTCTCAGGGAGCATTTGCTGCAGGAACTTGAAGTGACGCTGTTGAGGTTGAGCATGCCGTCAAAAATCGTCGGTGTCAAGGGGTCTGTGGTATTCTTGGTTGCAAGGATCATTCCATCCGGTACGTGTCAGAAGTGCGAGGAGACTCGCTGCAGGCAGTCAGTCATGATGGAAAGTAAAAAGCCAAGCTTTTACCTCTCGTTTCCTCTGGCATGTAAACGTACTGATAGGTCAATGACAGCTGCAAAAAGCAACGTCGTACTGCCACAGGGTAGTTATTTTAACAACACAACCAGTCACATAATTTGTTTGTCTTCTTTTTCTGCGAAATAGACATCAAAGTGCACGGGAAAAGCATCTATGATCCCCGAGCCTATTCCCCCACAACAACAACGGTGCTAGTCCCTGACTAGCGCTCTCACCGGAGACTCGGCGCATTCCCACTTCCAACGGACTTTCCCTCGGGAATCGCAATGATGTCCTAAGACCACCAACCCCCATCTGATCCAGTCATAGATGAACACGATAGAAACCGGTCTAGACAGCGCCACCCTCCCCCAGTGACTAGCGAAAGAGTCATGGAGTGTTGCAGTAAATCTGCTGGCTGATATCCATCTCAATTATAAGACGGCCCAACTCCTAATCCATGCACTTCCACTGTGTTTCAGGCTTTCAGCTCCTCCGTGCTGTTACACAGTGGGGGCGTTTGTAAGACTCCAGATAGTGCTCGCTCCTTGGTTTCTGGTTCGAACTGGGTGAATCGCAGGCCCGAAGCCAAGGTTTGCTTTTGCAGCGCACCCGAGAGGGAAAGTGTCACGGGGTTGCTGCCAGCAGAGCAATGCTCCAGCTCCCGTTTGCTCGTCATCTCCTCCATCTCCTCTGGGCCCAGTGGCGTTCTGCACCCTATCAGCATCGACGCAACTCGAAGATTCTTTGCATCCGCTTTGTATGGAATCTGAGTTTTCTGATCATGCTGCTTTCTGGGAACAGCCCCTGCTCCGGACCCGGGCTGAGACGGAAAACGGCAACCAATAGAGCAGGAGAAACTTGCACTTGGCTCGCCCCCTCATTGTTCTTTTGGATCCATCGTTTACGTGACTAAACCTCGCATGAAGAACACATAGCTAGATGGCCATCTGTCTCATCGACCCTGGCTCCTTTAGGCCCCAATAAAATTCAGGCATTAATCCAAGCTACAGCAGATGCCTCTGACGCTGTTTGATCGGCACATCCGCGATTCGCGACTTGCTCCAAGTCTCCGCATTCTGCTGCTCTAGTGCCGACTCTTATCAAGGCGATGACGGTTTCTCCTCACGCCTCGGGGAATTTGGCGCCTTATGGGACTTTATCTTTTTCTCCCCCATGTCTCGTCCCTATCTACCCTTCGGCACCACGATACTTCTAATTGACGGCCTTATCTGCGGCCTCCTACACCGTACATTACATCAAAGAGGGCCCATCCAATCCCTCCCAAGCACCCTCGCAGATCATTATCATAATTGCTATCTCGCTTCGCATCTACTTACTATACAAGTCATCGTTTCCACGAGCGCCACCGTGCTCTTTCTCTTTTTCCATAATTTATCATCTCCAGCCAGCTGCTCCCCTATCGCTTGTGGTGTTTTCAAATATATGAGCTCTCTTGTTGGCATGGAAAAGATTAGGATTCCCTCGCCGTCTGCTATTCTAGACCCCATCCCCGCCGCTTCTCCCGCTGGACGTTCCACAGCTTCCGTCTCCACTCGGAATGCAGCGCCTGCGCAAACCGCTACAACGGTGACAACTAACAAGCCTAAACAGTCAAAGAGCCGTAATGGTACGGTATTGTCGATTCTTTACAGTCACCCAGCACAGAAATAATATTGAAAGAGATGGATAGAGAAAAGAAAGGTACAATGATTCATTAGTGCGCAGTGCGCTGACCTTCTTCCTATCATTAACATTCAGGTTGTATCACCTGCAAGGCGAAGCGACTGAAATGCGACGAGTCGAAACCAACATGCTTCCAGTGCAAGAAGCGCAATGTGGAATGTGGTGGATACAAAAAGGACTTCAAATGGCGCTCATTTGGGGAAAGTAATGTCCCTGGAAGAAGCACCGGCCCAAAAGTAAAGAAAGGTTCATATGCAACACCTGACAACTCTTTGAAAATTGGCTGATAAGCATCTCTTTTTGTTTTTATCGTACAGGAAGCCCGTCTCCGCCCGCTCGTAATGGGGCATCACATAGCCGGAGGATGAGTGAGAGCCAACTTCTTGGAATGGATGATGGTGGCTCCTTTCGTTCCCAGCGGAGCGCACCAAGAGATATTGCTTCCAGAAGATCAAGTCAGTCACCGGCGAAGATGGATCTGGGGCTTTCACTAGATCATATTCTAGGCTATTCAGGCTCAGGAAGCTTTAGTGATGACCTCTTTACCTCGTCATTTGCGGAAATGACACCGTCAGAGCAGTCGCCATGGTTGTCAAATCTTCTTTCTCCAGGTCCTAGCCATGACGGTAGTATCACCCAGAGTTTGCTAGAAGGCGCTCAGGGAAATGATGAATTCAGCTTTGAAGCCCTCCTAGAAGGAGATGGTGATGACATCGAGGAGATTATACGGCAGCCTGACCGAGGCGCGAGAATCAGAAACCTCAGTTTTCCAGCACCCTACGACTCCCAACATACTGAACCAAATATCATGCCTTCAGGACTACTTGGGGAGCCAGCTTTTACTCTCGCAAACCCAGAAATGCTTGTCCTGCATTTTGATAGGTCTACTTGTGGAATTCTGTCCGTCAAAGATGGCGTCCATGAGAACCCATGGCGCACTCTAGTTTGGCCGTTGGCTAAAGATACCCCAGCTCTGTATCATGCAATATTTGCGCTGGCTGCTTTCCATGCTAGCAAAGACAACCCATCGTTGAGAGTTCATGGAGTTGATCATATGAGAAAGAGTATTACTTGCATGGTGCGAGACATACAAAGTATGAGGTCGGACGCTGCTTTAGCTACAAGCCTCGCTCTTGCTTTTGCTGATACCTGGGACCAACACACTCGTTCTTGCATACAACATCTCCGTGGAGCAAAGGCGTTGGTTTCTCAAGTTGTGACACTCGGAATGCAGGGCGAACTTCAAGGGAACGATCTCAGAAGAGTGCGTTTCTTGTATAACACCTGGTTATACATGGATGTCATTGCCCGCCTGACTTCTCGTGAAGAACACGGAGAGGAAGAGATGGAAGTTCCTTCTTTCCCATTTTCAGAGAATACAGTACATGAAATTGATCCTTTGATGGGATGTGCTGCAACGCTCTTCCCACTGATTAAACAAGTTGCCCGATTGATCCAACGTGTCCGCAAAACTGAGTCGAACTCTATATCCCTTATTTCCCAGGCAATTGAACTCAAACAATTGGTGGAGCGATGGGAACCACCAGATTGGTTCGAGCCCCCAGAGGATCCTACCTCCGAAGTCCAACATAGTATTCAGACCGCCCATGCTTATCGCTGGGCCACTATATTGTATCTTCATCAAGCTGTCCCTGAGATGCCTTCAGAACCAACCTCGGAACTGGCTAAACGAGTCTTGATTCTTTTAGCCACCGTACCGCCTAGCTCGCGCACAACAATAATCCAGATGTTTCCGCTTTTGGTCGCTGGATGTGAGGCCGAGCAGGAGGAGGACCGGGGTTGGGTGCTTAATCGATGGAGCGCAATTCAGTCTCGGCTGATGTTGGGCTCTATTGACCGATGTATTGAAGTCGTCCGTGAAGTCTGGGCCCGCCGAGATGCGAGTGCAGCTAAAAAACAGGAGCAACAACTGCAACAAAACCTGGGGGCTAGCCGTTCTCGTAGCGCTGCAGGACAACCTCCGGGAAATAATAGAGTATTCTACACCGGCCAAGCTTCACGTCGAAGCTCTGCGCTGTCACCTTTGGAGAACATAGAGTTCGAGAAAACGGTACGGGGGAAGTCACATTGGGTTCATGTAATGCAAGAATGGAATTGGGAAGGTACGTCTTTGTATGCCTTTCGGAATGCTAATTTTCTAGGCTAACGCATGTATAGTATTCCTAGGTTAAGTATTGAAGCACGCTATTTCACCATGTACATTCATTTGTTCCGATTCTGGGTATCAACGCCATTATGGCTTTGATCATTATGGCTTCCCTGGCTTGATCGAGAGCTGGGACGTTCGCCATTCTGGGATGCTCCCGCGGAGGGACTTCCTGTCTTCATTTGTCGTCGAACGGGAGTTTTCCCGTCTTTTTCCAAATACATTCGAAGAGAGTCCAGGTATGGCTCTAGGTCGCGCGTTATCGACACTGTCGACATTCTCTTTTGTCGTTATTTGACCTGGATTTGATGGGTATGATATGAACGCGCTATGGGGTGTTTTGGAGTTTGATCGTGTGCTTTTTTGGGCTCAATAGCGGAGTCTACGGTTTAATTCCTAATGAATTAGCATATTGTTCTTGGTCGGTCTTGATTGATGTCACTTGCTGTTCGGGCTTGTTCACGGGCTACGTACGGCACGGCTTTCGACAGGGCTGGATAATGTTTTCCTGGTAGTGCTTGGGCTAGCGACTTGCTTACTGGCGCATGGGAAACGACGGCGGTTGGACCGGGGTCTCTGGGGTTCGAATGGCATTCAATGGAGTCGCAGAGAAACTACTATTGCGGGGTTGTTCTAGCTGCGACAGGATGATGAGGTCTCGTCCGGACGGGGACTCTTCGGTGGAGTTGAGGGCTTTCAAGAACCGTCAGTTCCGCCTTGGAAGTTAAGAGGGCGTTGCACAGGGTTGATAATTTTGGAGATCTGCATTGGGCGAGGCAACTTTCAGCAAGGTGTTGTTTTCTTGGATTTGCGAGTGCTGGTTCAGCAGCGATATTTGTAGGAACGAGAGGCGGAAGAAAGTCGGCGGAGGGAGAGAGGTACCTTGTATTTAAAGACTTGCGTCCAGACACCAGAACTCCCTACATCACACATCGTACGATCACGGGTACCACGGGGTTGGACGGAGCGTCTCGCTTTCTACTAGTCAAATATGAAATAATGCCACTCCTTGGGTATAGTTGTCCCGTATCCAAATTCCAGTTGCTGGACTGCGCTGCTCAATAGAGCGGATCTACTCTGTTCTTGCCACACCCGTCATCACGCCCATGGCCAGTCAACGACATTGAATAATACCACCAATACTCCAGCAGCTGCTGGACCATGAACAAGCATAGTTAACTTCCTTGCTGGGACTGAAGCGGAAGGGATGTGGCCGGCAACCCCTCATACAGTCCAGTGAGGTGTGATGGGAAACCCTAACCCAGACGGGTAAAAAGATCCAGCGCTGCTGCTATCAAGCACAACCCCTCATCAGTCGCGAGAGAGGGGGAGGAGTCCTGTTGGGACAAGAAACCGGGGCAATTCTTATTGGATTACTACTATCAGAGTTCTAACTCAAGCGGGCAGTCTTTTTCCTTCCTTGCCAAGATGATCTCTCCTCTAACAGGAGCTTGAAGCTTGGGCTAGTGGTCCCCTCACGGTTTGGCCATCCCCTCATTTTCTTTCTGGTAGTTGGAGATCGAGGCCTCTGAGCTCGATGTCGTCCGATCCGGTCCAATGATGCTCTCTGCAGTCGTCGAGAGATAGAGCATCTTGACTGCCGTGATGTCCTACTCCAGAAGGTCAATCCGACATGTTTACCACGTCGTCTCGAGCGGTTATTGTTCCTGGAAATTGCAATGGGAAGAGGGAAGAGCCGAGTGAAATATAAGGACCTCATCGCATCTCAATCGCAAATGTAGCTGACCTGGTCATCTACTCTCTGTATCACCATTACTGCCGGTTAAGTAGTACTACATCATCGCATCGACGCTTCTTCTATCGCAAGCAAAATGCCGACTCCTATGGTTTACCATGCCAAAGCGCAATCCACTTTCAAGCCTCCTCTCATTGCGAACGAGAACGCCTTCCTAGGTGATGTTGACTCGAGGTATCTTCTGCCTGTTATATCTTTATTCTTCCCATAGATAGGATGACTGCTAACCGCGTCAGCGACTCATACAACCCGGATAAGCCTATCTCCGCTGGCTTCTACCGTCTCGAAAAAGGAACCCCGCTTACCTACGAGTACACCTACGATGAGATGAAGATTATCCTCGAGGGCGAGTACGAGATCTCAGACGAGACAGGACAGAAGGTGACGGCATTGCCGGGCGATGTGTTCCATTTCCCCAAGGGATCGAAGATCACCTTTACAACGCCATCTTATGGGCTGGCATTTTTCGTAAGTGAACGCCAAACGGAGGGCCTCGGTTTTGGGACTCAAGAGTGGAGTGCTGACATGTGTTTTGTGTACCAACAGACTGGACAGCGGGCGAAAGGGGTTCTCTAAGCTCAAAGCGGCTGGAGTATGACATCAGAGTTTGCCTGGGGTGGGTTGAGTGAGTGCGATCTGGGCTCGGATCCATGGTTCAAGGTTTGGTGCTGGTGCTGGGGTCCGCTCGTGTATCTTGGATGAGGGAACAGGGGGAAGGCGAGGTCATGTCCAAGTAAATAAAGGAAAGCAAGCCCAACAATGCAATGAAATGGGCAAGTTATTGTCCCTATCAATTCGAGATAGATCCTCGCATTCAGCCCGGCACATCGTGGTTCTCGTAGATAATCCTTCGTCGTGCTGCCGTCCACCATCTGCTCCACCTGTGGCTGAGCATCCCGATCAAGATTTCAGATGGATCGCCCGCCCACAAATGACCAGCGATCGCCTTGTTTGTTTTTTGTGACAGAATCCTGCGGGCGGCTAGCGGGATGACTCGCAGCAGGATTGAGGCAGGACCGATCTTGGGCGGAGGAGAGGGATCGGAGCAAGGGAGTTGCTGGGGAAACAATCCAGGCACAGACCGTGGAGGGGCAGCAAGTTGGCAGCAGCCAGCGATCATCGGGCTGGAAACGAGCAGCAGGAGCAAATGGAGAGCCGTGGCTGGCTGGTGGTCAGGTATCCAGAGCATCTGGGCCTAAATGAATTGGATGGAATTGTGGGCTCAGCTTCAGCTCAGCTCCGTCTTCATTCTTGTTCTTAAGATTCAGCTTCCCAGTCGCGCCTTCCCCTCATCGGCTTCACCTTCACCTTGCGCTCACCCCTCGCGTCGAGAAAACAGCCATAACACCGCCCTTGTTTGTGCTCAAACTTGCAAGTTGCAGCCTGTTTCTCCCAGACAAAGCCATTCTTGCTCTTTCATCCCCGTCGCACTGCCGAACAGCGAAACAGCGAAACCAGCCTGTGTCACGCTCGCTCGCATTGCTTTTTTAGCTCGACGATTTTCTTTTTCTCGCTCCGTCTGGCTGGGATCTGAATTAATTTTCCTTCCCGCGTGTCAATTGCATCTGGTTTCTTTAAATAGCGAGTTGGGCCCCTCTCGAGTCTCGCCGCTTGCGCCTGACGTGTGGATTGAGTCGCTGAGGAATCACACCCTCGCCACGGTGTTCTCTTGAAACGCCTTCAATTGCTAGATTCACGAACTTCATGCCATAATGACGCTCGACTTCGACTCCAAAGATCGCTCCGGCTTTCGTCTCCCTCATCCTCCTCCGCTCTTGCACACCCGCTCCGGAAATGAGGCTTACGATCGCCCATCAACTCCCCGCGAAGATGGATTCACCAGTCCTATTCAGACACCGCAGGGAAGCCCAAGCAAGAATCGCATGCCTCCTGGGGCTTTTGACCTCCCCAATGTTTTCGACAAGGCTTTGAAGCTGCAGCCCTCTTCTCCGACTAAAAACACCCACAACCATTTCAACCATCCTATGTTCTCCAATGCCAACCAGAGTGGCGAGTCGCTCAATGAGAGTGTTATTCGCCCAGCGAGCCCAACCCGAAAATCCAACAAGGAAAACACCCCTCCAAATTCAGGCCGTTTAGGGAAGGACCTGGGGCCCAACCCAGCTGCTGCGGCGGTTTCTCGTCACGAACAATACCAGTCCAAGGACTTGGAAAGCGTTCAAAGGCGCCAGGTGCCGATGCGGGGTCTGACCCCGGAGGAACTCGAAAAGCTTCAGGATCCTCGGGTTAAGCGATTGGTCAACGTGACCCAACTCTGTAAGTCGAAACACAGTCGCCACAGTAGTGTTACTTCTAATAGTGCCAGATTTCCTTGATCACTACTTTGATCTGCTCAGCTATGTTCACAACCGCCAAACCCGCCATTCCCAGTTTCGTGCCGCAAACCCTGAGCCCCCCGCAACTCCGGTGGAAGACTACGAGCCCGCTCTTTCGAAATATTTGGGTCGGGAGCGGGCCCACCTCCGCAAGCGTCGTACCAGACTTAGACAGGGTGATTTCCAGATTTTGACACAAGTCGGCCAGGGTGGATACGGACAGGTATACTTGGCATCAAAGAAAGATACAAAGGAAGTGTGCGCCCTGAAAGTCATGAGCAAGAAGCTGCTATTCAAGTTGGATGAGATTCGGCACATTCTCACTGAGCGTGACATATTGACAGCGGCCAAGAGCGATTGGCTCGTCAAACTTCTGTACGCTTTCCAGGATGATACTCAGATCTACCTTGCGATGGAATTTGTGCCAGGAGGCGATTTTCGAACGCTGCTGAACAACACTGGTGTGCTGCACAACCGACACGCTCGATTCTACGTTGCCGAAATGTTCTGCTGCATCGATGCGCTGCACGCACTCGGGTATATCCATCGTGATCTGAAGCCAGAAAACTTCCTCATTGACTCTTCCGGGCATGTCAAATTGACAGACTTCGGTCTTGCAGCGGGAATGTTAAACCCCGGAAAAATTGAATCCATGCGAGTGAAATTGGAGGAAGTGGGCAACACCCCAGTGCCATTTGGCCGCCCCATGGAGCAGCGTACGATGGCCGAGCGTCGCCAAGGGTATCGCAGCTTGCGGGAACGCCAAGTGAACTATGCAAAGTCCATTGTGGGATCGCCCGACTACATGGCGCCCGAGGTACTCAAGGGTGAGCAATACGATTTCACCGTTGACTACTGGAGTTTGGGATGTATGCTTTTCGAAGCCTTGGCGGGTTACCCACCATTTGCTGGTGCAACAGTGGATGAAACCTGGCAGAACCTCAAGAACTGGAAAAAGGTGCTCCGGAAGCCCGTGTATGAGGATCCGAACTACTTTTTGTCGAAACGAACCTGGGATTTGATCACCAAATTGGTAGCATCAAAAGATTATCGATTCAAGAACATTCACGAAATTCATCAACACGAGTACTTCCACGAAGTTGACTTCACTCACCTGCGCGAGCAGCGTCCGCCATTTGTGCCCGAGCTGGATTCGGAAACAGACGCCGGCTATTTCGACGACTTTACCAACGAGGCTGATATGGCTAAATACAAGGAAGTGCACGACAAGCAGCGCGCCTTGGAGGATATGGCAGAACGTGATGACAAGATGAGCAAGGGATTGTTTGTAGGATTCACATTCAGGTTTGTCAGCCCCCATTCTTCGTCAGCGCGCGAAGCTAACTAGCAACAGACATCGCAAGCCTAACATTGATGGGACTGGTCGTCTTTCCCCCCGCAAGCCCATTGCGACGGATGGAACCTTTGGCACGATGTTTTAAACCCGACTTTATGCACGTCTGTTCTTTCTTCATGTGTGTTCCTCACGAGCTGGATCTCGGACGGCCATTGTTTTGAGTAAGCGATTATCAGTTTAATGCACGGTCGGTACGGTCTGAATGGAGTTGAGTTGTATGATACATAGATGGTATCGTAGATGATAATACAATCACAATTTCTATTCCTCTTTTTTCATCCCAATACCCTAGTAGAGTCCTCGGTATCCCCTTGGGCCAGAGAACATTTACTCATTCGCCTGTCTAACCATCTTCAAAATCGTACTTTCCTCATCCCCAACAACAGCCTGCCCATTCGTCCAATCCACCGTGAGAGGCCTTACGAACCGCCCACTATCCTCCTTAAACTTCTTCAGCGCATCCTCGGCATCTCTAGCGCCCTGCACAATCTCCGAAACCGCATACGTCGGACCGCCCGCTTTGCCGCCCGAGCTCGGATCCCCTGTAGCGTACTCAAGGATGTTGCGCAGCTGGTCCGTTGTTGGCGGGGCAGTGGTCACTTCGAGCTGGAACTCGCCTCGGCCGATTGGGCTTGAGGCTTCACTTGCGGCAGCAGACGCGGCTTTGAGGATGTTGTAGACTTTGCTGGAGGATTGGATGGAGGGGGTGTGGAAGAGGGTGATGGGGTCGAGGGTTTTGGCCTGATAGATGGAATGTTAGTTTTGTTTTGTTTTGTTTTTCAATCGGCTTATATGAGTGAGGTTGGATTGAGAGGTGGGAAGGAATTCAGTTGGAGCTTTGAGCTTTTGTTGTTTGGTTGTTGGTCTGGTGTTGGTTCGATAGAAGCTAGGGAGAAGTGGGAGAACGTACGAATCGGAAAACCATCTTGATATGCCTTCCCTTCTTGGGTCGTAACTTGGTATGCTTGGGGGTTTTTGGTAGCTTGTAAGGCTGAGAGGTATGGGCGAGGTGAAATCGGGATAGCGCAGCTTGGTGGTGAAGGAGGCTCCGGGTGAGTCAGGTGATTACGTCATTTGGCAGGTACCTTATCACGTGGCTCGGTATTTTCCTGGGCGATTTTTGACATCAACACCGTAAGACTAACGAATTACATAGCATCGATGGGGATGGACTCAAGGTTGTGGNTTTTTTTTTTTTTTTTTTTTTTTTTTTTCTGCCTCCATTTTGCGCTCTAATGACTTTCTCCATCGGCTTTGAATATGTGTGGAGTCGGTGGTTAGGGCTGAATTGAGAGGTTTAATCACGGAATTCATGGTTTACTGCCGTACCTAATTTATGTAGACGAAGCACTTCGGGAAAAGGGACTTGGGGTTATCCAAGCTATCCCACTGTCCTTGTTCATGTCCGAAATAGGCCCCTCGAATCATCCAAATTCACAAAATATTGGACCATTACCTGGTTCTACTAGCAGCATTATGCAGTTTATCTTGGCTTCTGTACCATCAATGGGCCCTCTCGACTGCATACCAAAAACCCAACTCCTGTTGAAATTTATTCCAGCCCCATCCATCACTTCTACCATCCGAAAGTCTCCACGTGGAGGTATATCCCCTGGGCACCTATGCCCGTATCTGCAACCCGTTCTTCAGTGAGGCAAACGACGCTGCGGCGGACATCGTCTGATAGAGCCGGAGGTCCGCAGACAACTACGGCGCTCTCCCCTTCGTTCTGTTGGAGGGTCGTACGGATTATTGTATCCACAGATGGACGTCCACCACCCAGCGTCATTTTTTGGGGGGTAAAAGATCGCTCTTCTTCCTTGGTGGTTGCGAGTCCCTCATTTGTTCGGGAAGCAGAATGAGGAGAGGGAACATGTTCGTCGGCTGTTTCTCTCCTCTCGCCACCATTTGATGCAAGATTTGTTTTTGCTGGGGTTTGAGCGGGACCCAGTTGATTCTGGTTTGCTAGCACATCTTCCAGGTTCATCCAACCGGGTTCAGTGATGTATATGCTCAGCTTGAGATCTCGAATAACATCGGGTGCGTCACGTCGACAAGTATCAATGTCCCGAGCCACCGACTCTAGCTCTGTCCCAAACCAACTATAAAACTCGGGTGACCTGATAATCCACACAAAGTGGATATGCCTTGTCACATCCAAGCGTGGCTTGTCACCTTGCGAAGACGCCTTTTTCCACCGTCCAACGATATCCCGGAGAAGCGGCATCGTGAAGGTAACCCCCATGCCGCCGGCGAAAAGCATCAAGCTATCAAATTGTCGAAGGGAGCGGTGTTTTCCATATGGCCCTTCAAGGAATACGACGCGATTATTCTCACTTGATCCGGCGGTGTCCGCCGCTTCGAGGACGTTGTTTTGCACTGCATGTTCCCAGAATCGTTTCGTGGCACCCTTCTCAGCTCGAATGAGGAACTCGATCTTGCCATCCTCAGGGATCGAAGCGATGGTGAACGGGTGGCTTTGTAACGGTGCTATTGAATGGCAAGTAAGGAACATATGCTGACCGGGTTTCCATCGGGCTCCTGGGTTTTGGATGGTGACTCGAGCGACGTTTCCGGATAGCGGAGTGAATGATGCATGATGCGTCCAGAGACCGCGCCACGTTCCAGCAGTTTTATGAAACACCGACAGGTTGATAAAAGCTGCCCAAACATATCGCACCAGTCGATCAAAAATAAGAAACCCAATGGATGCCCAAACCGGAGCCCTAACCGCTTCATCTACATGAAGCCAAACTGCCACCGTGAAGCCGATGAACATCACAAGATGCTGTATAACGAAGAACTCATATCCCAGTCGACGGATAGGCCACGCAGAAGAAATCACGATGAAGGTTAGGACGCACCAGGCAGCAAATCCACATTGGGAGTAGTATTCGTTTCTGAGTTGGTGGGTTATATAGCTATACCTTCCCCAGCTTCGAAACCAGAATCCCATATGGATTGTCGCACATAGCCAGAGAGTTCGAGCCAACCATCGGTGGAACCAGTTCAAGCTCTGGTAACCCATACCAGCTAGACACCCTATAATATTCTGTCTTCCGGCGAGGATGAACACCAAGGGCATTTGGGCAATCGTGGTAAATCCAGTGCGATACCCCACCTCCTCCCATTCCCACTGGTTGTAGGTATCCAGATCATAGAAGCACATCACAGCAGTTGTGGCGAAATGAGCTGTAATGAATAACCACGGCATCACCGGCCCAGTGTAAACCCTGCGACCAAACAGCAGCACTGGTCGTAGAGCTGCGCTGCCCACAAGGCGGGCCAGTACCGTCAAAGCGGCATACACACGAAAGAACACTGATTTCGGTTTCGATGGAGTGGGGGATTGGTCTCGGAGTCTGGTATTTTGAGTTGGGATTCTTTTCCATGCATACAGCCACTCACTCACCTCTGAAACTCCAGGAAGCGATTGATCAAGTTGGCCAGGGCTTCTACTCCGATGAGGCAGGACATCCAGCTCCAGTAGATCTTCTGAATGAAGAACGGGTTAATTCTGTCCTTAGCAATCTCCAAACTTTTGCTCATATCCATATTGCCGGCGTCTCTAATTGTTTTCTTTTTTCTAAAGATGAGTTTTGAAGCTTTGGCCCTCAGGAGTTGAGTTGGGAGAGTGACCTCCCCAGGGGCCCGGCAGGAAGAGCGTGCCTTCCATTGTGAATAATTTGCGCACTTTTCCACCTATTTCAGGTTGTATCAAATAAATATGTACTCGCAATTAAAAAGAGCTTCAACACTGGCAGCGTTAATCGTGGGGTGATGACATTCTATTCTTATCTCCTGGAATGTACATTCCTCCGGGGTCAAAGTCCAACCCATTTTTCTTTCTCTCTCCCTCTCAGGTCCGACAATTACAAACTCTTAAACATCCCGTGTAACCTTCAAAATGAATATGAATGCGATGGATCATGAGGAAACTGTTGTGAGCCACTCAGTGGTCTTCACCACCTCCCACAGCTCTCCTCTGTTTTCCAAGGAATGGTCCCCTTTATCCACTGGATCCTACACGGGTACCTGTATCTTTCTGGTCATCCTCGCCATTATCGCCCGCTGTCTTGTTGCATCCAAAGCGTACATGGAGCAGCGTTGGATGTACGCCCATCTCAAGCGTCGCTGCGTGGTCGCCGCAGGCCGGCCCTCCGAAACCACCCGCATTGAAACAGATCCAGACGCGAATCTTGCAAAGCTTATTACCGCTGACGGCGTCGAGGAGTCAGTCAAAGTGGTTTATCGCAATACCTACGAGGCGCCTCCATGGAGATTCAGTGTGGATCTCCCCCGCGCTCTTATTTATGTTTGTATCACAGGAGTCACTTATCTGCTGTATGTCTACAACTGTTACTTAGTTGACAACTCATTAATGTCTCTTAGGATGTTAGCTGTTATGACGACGAACATTGGATACTTCTGCTCCATCCTTGGTGGGTCTTTTCTTGGGGAACTTGTCGTGGGACGATTCATTCAATGGAATGAACAAGGGCATTGAAGACTGGCAATTGGCAATTTGGGAGAGTACGTCCCTAGAGACAAAGCAACCTAGACTGCAGTAACCCCGATAGGAGTTTAAATCTGCCTTCTATCTTAGGCGCTGTGCTATACGAGGCCCAGGACTATGAATAATACGGGCCTTCCACAGCTTTCCATATATACCTATGTTGTCTTACCGTTGTTTCCCAGCAGATATGCGCTTATAAAGTTATATAACGGAAACTTTCCACTATTCACTGGCTATTTAATAGGATTGGCCATTTAAACCATCATCTGCTGGTAATCCCTTCCCGCCGCAGCTTAGAAGTGTTACCACTCCCGACTTGATATTGAGCCACAAAACACTATTTTTCCTCCACAATCTCTCTAATATTCTCTCTCACCCCCCTGATACTCTCCAAACCATCAGCCATTATGAAATATCTTATCCTCCTTCCCTCACTTCTGGCATCTCTCACTGCCGCCCATTTCACCATCAATTACCCTCCCTCCCGCAGCACCGATGCAAAGACCCAGTCCGAATTTCCCTGTGGGGGATTCTCGAGGCCCTCCATCCGCACTAAAATCTCTCTACACTCACCCAGTTTCCCCATTTCAGTGGATATGGGCCATGACCAAACAGCCATTCGGTTCCTCCTTGCCGTAGGCTCGGCCCCAGGCACGAACTACAACATTACGCTCAGCAAGACCTTCAGGGTGGAAGGATTAGGTGAATTCTGTGTACCTGATGTGGTTCTCTCCGAGGACATACTCGGAACAAAGCTCGAGGACGAGTTGAACATGACGTTGCAAGTACAGGCAAATGGGCATCCTGACGGGGGCTTGTATGCTGTGCGTTTCTACTAAACCCATTTGCCTATCAAATTTTCCATGAAGTACCGTACAATCTCACTAACATACAACAACACTGTCAATTAGTGTGCCGACCTCCAACTCACTACAGAACCCGTCTCCGGTCCATCCAAGTCCACATTCAAAAATAACACTGGTGTTGTCGCTGTCCCTTTCACTGGCGCGGCTGCAGACCGAAACGCCAACGTCTCGACTCCGGAAGTATGGCCGCAGGGTGGTGAGGACACCAAAAATAAGGGTGAATCGCATGCTCCTTTTTTGACAGGCGGGTCGGCGTTGCAAGCGGCTTCTTGGGGCGTTTTGGGCGTTTCGGCCCTCGGATCACTGGCCATTTGGTAAATGTGAACTATTGAGTTTCTTTGGTGAACAATTGGCCGAACTATACTATGGCCGAACGTGGATGATCATGTTGATGCTTTGGAAGCAGCTTTGGTGGAATATAGCCTATTTATTAATCTAATCCGAAGGGGTAGTTTTTAAATGAGATGTTATCCCGTCGACTTCTACGAGCCAGTAATTGTAAATACAAGTGAAGTGGCTCGCCTTCCTTAGACTTCATGAGATTCTTGTAGCACTATTATATATAGTTGTCACCTCGAACATTAGGAGCGATTGACAGTGTGGTGAGACACAAGTCACCAGGACCACAAAATCACCCCCCACATGTGGAAAAGTTATTTAGCCTCTTATTTATCATGAAAATAAACACGCATTTCATAATTTATGGTTGGGTCTGAAACCCTGGATCGACTTTCCCATGGATCCTTGTCACGTGGCCCAGGCTGACTATATCCACAATCATAAGATCTTCGTATTGTTCTCCGATCTTTTTTTGCTCTTCGAAAAATCGCTGCCTAGCTGTGAGTTTCAGGAGTCACAATCATGACTACAGCCACAGATAACTTTGAGAGGCTACGCGCAGTCGGTGAGTGAGCAATTGAGTATTAGTATACGATGTACCTACCTCTACTAATGAGTTTAGGCCTCTCGGAAAAATACTCCACCTCGCGGCATCCCCTGGGTTTCTATTTAAATGTTGCGTTTTCAGCAAATTATACGGTCCCAGAAACATTCACGCTCCCTCTCAAGGACTACGTTTATAGGGCTGTTGAGACGTTGATAAATCAACATCCCATCCTTTCTGCAATACCCCTAGACGAAGATACTAAGGATCCTTACTGGGTGCGACTCCCGGAGATCGATCTTAGCCAACCAATTTCCTTTCAAAAGGCTGCGCAGACCTTGTCACTAGACGAAAATGACGGCGAATTGCAGTCCATTCTTGAAGCCCAACATGGAATCGGTTTCACGGCGCCGTCCCCGTTCTGGCGGCTTCTCATCTTGACTGAGGATGATGAAGCTAGGCGTTTTACTGCAGTCTTTGTATACCACCATGCACTCGGTGACGGCACCTCTGGAAAAACATTCCATCGGTCGTTTCTGCAGGCTTTGCGTGGAGCTGTATCTTTACAACCGGATGAAGCTAAGCAAGTGGTTCCCTCACCAAAGACACCCCTCTTACCCAACCTAGAGGCCGTCCATCCGCTTCCCATCTCTATCCGCTACCTTCTCAGGATCGCGTTCAAGGAATGGGTGTATTCCAAGCCAGATCCCAAACTATGGGCAGGTGGCCAATTCCAGGTTCCGTTGAAAACAAATATCCGGTTCCTTGTCCTGACAGCCGCTCAGACGTCGGCTTTCGTCAAGGTTTGCCGCGAACACAACACGACACTCACATGTGCGCTCTATACGGCCATCGCTCGCTCAATCTTTGCTCATGTTCCCGAGAAATTCACCCGCGTCACGGGTAGCATACCAATCACCCAACGCCCTTGGCTTCCAGATACAATTACGGAAGATTCAATGGGCGTTTATGTGCAGGAGCTCGGGGAGTCTTTTTCGCGCAAGGCAGTGACCGGGAAGACTTTCCCGTGGAGCGAAGCGCAGCGGGTTCGGAAGTCGGTCAAGAAGGAAGTTGCGCTGGAGAGCAAGAACACTTCTGTTGGCCTTTTCAAATACGTTAAAGACTACCGGAAGGACTTGTGCGAGTCCAAGATTGGCAAAGAGAGAGGATCAACGTTTGAAGTGTCCAGTCTTGGTGTCGTGAAGGCGGAGAATGCGGATGACTCGTCCATTCCGCAGATGGGTAGGGTTATCTTCACCCAATGCGCGAGTGTCACGGGTGCTGCTCTTGGTTTCTCTGTCATCACTGGCCCAGATGGGTGTTTGACGTTGGGAATTTCGTGGCAACAGAACGTCGTGGACGATGATATAGTGCAATCTGTGATCGATACGCTCAAGAAGGAGCTACACCAGATTTCTGGCTGATTGAAGCTGACATGTATATAATTACAATAATGTTTAATAGACCCGTATATACTTAAATAGAATTAATCCATCTTACATTCACAATTATTTTGCATCTTTTATACAATTATGTAGGCGGTCAGGACGCCGAACCTCGGCCTCGGCGGCAGAATGGGGGGGTTGTTCGTTAATCCTACTCCGACAATCGTCAGTCTTCATCCCATTTAATCTTTTCCTCTTCTTGTACACTTCAAACGGCAGTGCAAGATATCATATCAAAATGTCTCGCGCACCTTTCATCGTTCCCGCGCTGAAAAAGCACACCGCCACGGTGATCATGGCCCACGGCTTGGGCGACAGGTTAGTCTCGGGATTCTCAGTCCCACACGCCGCCGGTGATGGCCCAGATAGCTAATCTTCTCTTCAACTGGTAGTGGTGCAGGATGGTATGTCAAACTCTCGAATTAAGAAGTCCTGGGCCCGCAAATCGGTTTATTAATGCGATGGGTGGAATAGGGTCTCTCTCGCTCACAACTGGCGCCGACGGGGCATGTTCGACGAAGTCACTTTTATCTTCCCAAATGCGCCTGCGATTCCGATTACAGTGGTACGTTTCTGATGGCTGGATATGGAATACGGATAACCGGGATTGGCATTGTGTACTGATTTGCGGCGGATTAGAACTTCGGGATGTCAATGCCCGGCTGGTACGATATCACCAAGCTTGGTCGTGATGTGAGTGTCTCCCGTTCTTCTTAAATTACCTTCTACACGACGAACAGCTGCTGACAATATATTATTGGGTAATATAGCTCGACTTCGAAGAATCCATCAAACACCAAGACGAGCCCGGTGTCCTCAAATCCCGGGACTACTTCAACACCCTCATCAAAGAGCAAATCGAGCAAGGTATCAAGCCATCGCGGATCGTGCTCGGCGGATTTTCACAAGGTGGCGCGATGTCTGTGTTCTCCGGAATCACAGGACAGGAGAAGCTAGGTGGTGTTTTTGGTCTCTCATGCTACATGCTGCTGAGCGACCGCATTAAGAATTACATCTCAGCCGAATTCCCGAACAAGAAGACGCCGTTCTTCCTTGCGCACGGTCTTGACGATGACATTGTGCCGCATGAATTTGGGAAGCTCTCGGCTGCGATGGGCAAGGAGTTGGGACTTGAGGATGTTACATTCAAGTCTTATAAGTGCGACGCCCTTTCCCCTCTTTGCCGTTGTCGCGTTTATAGTGCGTTCCGCTTTGCTGACGATAATCTAGGTACCTCACGCACTCTGCGGACCCAGCAGAGATTGAAGACTTGGAAGCGTTCCTTAACAAGACGATTCCTCCTGAGAGCGAGGGCAACTTATGACTCGGTTCATCCTCGGGGCAATGGAAGCCGCTCTCATCTAGTGTTATTCTCGGCGTAGTGCTTCTGTTAATAGCGATTCTGATACACAGAAGAGATAGAGCTTCATCCGAGCGTGATTCTAATTAGACAACGCCGAACCATTACCGCATTAAAATATAAAAATAAACAAGAAATTAAAAGCCTACTTCTCTTTGGATGCCCTCTCGATAACCCTCTCAATAACCCTCACCATCGCATCATTATTGCTCATGTCAAACGGAATCATATGCTTCGACCCATGGTCATAAACCTCCGACTTCCCAGGCTCACAAAGCCCAAACAGCTTCATCGACTGTGGGTACAACGGATCCTGCCGTCCTACAATGTGCGCCGTCGGAATCGTCACCCGGTATTCCTTCCCGTCGTCGTCAGGCGAGCTAACAAACTCCTTTCCGTCAAGCACATACGGCGCACCGCCGCATATAAACACGGCTGCCTTGAACGGCGGCGCCGCGGTCGCGCCGTTCTTCTGTACGTGGTGGTCAAATAGTGAGTATGTGAGTGCAGCACCTTGCGAAAATCCCATTACTGCGTCAAACGGCCCCTCGCGGTCGATTATGCGTAGGGTGTATTCGATTGCGTTGAGCAGGTCTGGGCCTGGGGGAACGTCCCGCGGGTAGTGGCTGAAGAAGGGGGGTGAGGCGATGCCTCTTAGTTCTGGGAGGAGTTAGTAAAACAATAATACGTGGTTCTTGGTTTAGTGGGTAAGGGTGGGTAGGTGAAGTAGGTACCAGGTTCGCACTCGGAGTTGAGTCGGCCGTTGATGAAGTGGAATTTGTGACCTTGCTGTTCGAGGGTTTGGACGAGGCCACCTGGGTTGGTTAGCAGGTGGATTAGGTCTGATATTTAGCATAGCTCGCTTTAATCGACCCGTACCGGATTGGATCTCGAAGATCTGTGGTCTTTGGTTAGATATATTGATGCTTGAAATTGAGTGCGGGATGGGCGTACCTCTCCGCTTGTGCTGGCGCCGTGCAAACACAGGAACCGCATTTTGGCGACCGGTTGTGGATTATCAGCTATGGATGTTTTCTTCACGAGTATAGTATGACAGTATAAAGGAACGTGGTTCAGTAATATGGATTGAGGGTTGTTGATCCGATGACGGCATACGTTGATTGATATGGAGTGGGGTTTGAGGAAACCGGAGAAGTAACGACCTGGCGTACGAGCTGCACGGAACACGGGATCTCGCTTGAGGTCACTCTGAGTAATACGGGCACTCGTTTGCAACTCTTACTGGACTGGGGAATATGGATTTATGTCAATATATTAACTATATCAGTGGCGAAAAGTCCATCCCCAACTTTTCTATACTTCATGTGAGCTAAGATTATTTCCAGATTCGGCAATGCCCGATCCAGACCTGGCTGCCTTACCTGCCTGAGGCATCAATAGTGAAGAAGGCAGCATGATCGAGGTAATGAGGCTGTTTTCTAAGCTGAGCTTCAGATTGACGATATAGTATGTATAAAGCATAATTGTAGTTCCCTATATTCACCATATTACGCAGTTCAGCCTTGTTATGCATAAGCAGCTGGCGGTTGCAAGTCGATGCCTGAATCGTTAGGGTTTAGCCGAGGAGCCTCTTTTTCAAGCACAGCCCACACAATCACCACAATACTCGAGGTAGATACTGAATCCAACCCGCAAATGCACTGTAGAAGTCACTTGTATCAATGTAGAATATAGGTCGTAGCCATGGTCGTAGTCAAGTTAGCCCATCACCCTCACGCCGGAGTTAGCGAGCGATGCGGCCCGCTTTCGCCATTCTTCCCTCTGCTTCTCCCCACACAAACTTCGGACCATCTGAACTTCACCACCTTTGCGCATCCATCCTCACCTCACATCTCACCACCGTCTCCTCCCCTCAACCTCCAGGTAAACACTCCCTCGTTCGTACTATAATTAACCCCGGCTCGACACTCCATCATCCTCCCCTCCCCCCGCGTTCGGGCATTCGACCCCATCCGCCCGACCGTCTGACGTCGTGAAGAAATCCGAGTCTTGGCGCCCTTTCCCACAGCACACAACCTTGACCCTCTCCGTCCGACATCCTCGCATTTGGACTCTGATAATTGACTCGCGGCTCTCGCTAGGTTCCTTTCACCAAATAAACCACCGTCAAAATGGATCACGCAAAGTTGGCTAAGATGCAGGCGAGCGTGCGGATTGGTATGTGATTTTTTCTCTTTCTCAATTGCAATTGTGCGATGCGGTGGGATACAATCCAATGCTGCGGGAAATACGTAAATTCGACTTCAAATCGAAAATTATGATTTTGAATGGCTGCTTTTTGTCGAAAATTCGCGATATTTGGTGGAATTGAGTGCATTGGATGTATTGAATTGCTTTGAAATATGGCGCCTTTCAATGGGCTGGCTGCTGCTACATTAACTAGATGATGATCCGCTGACATTCGTTTACTCTATAGGGTATGTACCAACTTAGTCCCGATTTTCTCGTTATACCCCTCCTACCCGCCTTCAGACGACTGGAAATCGAGAAATATACCGGGATAGAGGAAAGGAAGAAGCATGCTGATAAATCGAACAGAGGAAAGGGTACTCCCCGCCGCAAGGTCAAGAAGGTCCACAAGTCCTCCGGTGCCGACGACAAGAAGCTCCAGGCCACCCTCAAGAAGATGAACGTTCAGCCCATCCAGGCTATTGAGGAAGTCAACATGTTCAAGGAAGACGGAAACGTCATCCACTTCGCTGCTCCCAAGGGTACTTCTCCCCGTCCACATCTTCTCCGGTCAACATCATCAAAGACATGAAAAGAGAAAACGCGAGGAATTTAAAAGAAACGACGAACTAACAAGATGAAACAATTCCAGTCCACGCCTCCGTCCCCTCCAACACCTTCGCTCTCTACGGTAACGGTGAGGAGAAGGAACTCACTGAGCTCGTCCCCGGCATCCTGAACCAGCTCGGCCCCGACTCCCTCGCCTCCCTCCGCAAGCTCGCCGAGAGCTACCAGAACATGCAGAAGAACCAGGGTGGTGACAAGAAGGACGAGGATGAGGACGATATCCCCGATCTGGTGGAGGGCGAGAACTTCGAGAACACTGTTGAATAAATTAACCCACCCGTCGATTTCCCACGCGGCGTGAGCGAATGATGATATTTTTTGTTGCAATGCAATGAGATAAGGTAATAGGTCTGGCAAAATCAATCAATAAAATATCAACGTTTACGAAAGAAGCACTTACTTATGAGTGGTACTTGGTTTTGGTTGCATTGGAAGGAAGATTCGGGTTAATATTTCGACTTCCCTACTTGTGACGGCCTTTTCATGCCTCTTTGAGTGGACATGACCTTGGGATTGGGGAAATTGACTCGAAATTGTCAATTTTCCACTAAGTAACAAATAATTGTATAAGTTGGGGCACGGCCAATAATAGGTCCACTAGCAAATACGATTCGATTATCCATTCCTTGAAATCTTTCCACGATGCTGTACTAAACAAACGCCCACTAATGCTATCAAACCCCAATCCAAAAGCAGCAGTACGAAAATAAAACAGACAGGTCAGTATGTTAAACACTCCGCATAAATAGTATCTATCATACAAGCATCAGGGTATAGAATTGAGTAGGATAGGGAGGAAGGCGGGGAGAAAGATGAAAGAGGGGTCGTGCTAGTTAGTATCACGACTCTTCCCTCAGCCCGCAAATGTCGGTTCCCAAAATCATGTCAACCATGTACCAGAATCGCCAGTACACATTGGACTTGTCGTAGTCAAAGGTTCCATCTTCCCGCAGTTGCGGGCCATCGCCGACAATGTCGCCTGTGAACCAGCTAAGGATTGGGATGGAGCGGAGCACGCGCTCAGTGACTGTCGGAGCGGGCGGGAGGGCTTCGGTAATCGGTCGAAGTTTTGTTCGACGTACGGTCGGAACATGCGTCATAAATTCGGATGGGGTGGGAGGTTCCTTGGGGACATTTCGCTGGTGGGCGATGGGTTGTTCGATGCCTGTGGCGGTTGCAGAGCTGACTGTGCTGGTTGACTCTTGGGAGATAATTTCCTCATCGGCGATGCTGGCGAGGTTATTTGTGCCGAATGATCGGGGTAATGTTGCGCGTTCCCCTCCCTTCAATGATGATGTGCGCTCCTTGTCCTTGTTCTGGAGGAACGCGGTTGAGTGAGATGTGGTCAATGCGCGCTTGTTGTTTGTTATGAATCGGTTCGCCTCTGTCGAGCCCTGGGGGATTGGGATGTCCTCCGCAGGTCCTTGCCCATGATAGATCTCACAGAAAACAATGTGTCCGTCGATCTCCTGCGGCGAGTAGAAGCACGCGCGGTCCGCCGCATTCGAAGAATCAAATGTAACTTTAATCCAATGGAATCCACCTGCATATCGCTTCGACTTGCGGTTCGCATCCGCAGACAAGTTGGCCCGAATTACAACATCACCACCACTAAGAATCTGAGAGTAGCCAGCATTGGTCTTCGGGTCGTTCCTTGGGTAGTCTTCACAGATCACGCCTCGAGAAATTCGCTCGAACTTATCAATCACCTTCCACTCCGAATCCTTATCCCTGTATCCGTATAAAATGCACTCCGTTGCAACTTTTTCCGTCTGCTTTCTAGCATTGTCAAGGTTCGACGACGATGATGACTTGGGAAGCGTGTTTCTTGATTTTTCTTGCTCCTGCTGCTGCGCGAACAGCCGGCCAAACTCGGCCACATTCTGGTTCTCCTTCTTTGCCGGGGTTCCCGTACGGGTGCGTGATCGGGACTGTTCATAGCGGGCGTTTCGTCGCTTGCCGAAAGGTCCTGATTCCTCGGGCGGTCGTCGGGGGTTGCGAGATTCACTGTTCAGTTAGAAGGCAAGTTAGATATATTCGAAATCTATACCCATAAATCGGGCATATAAATACGGATTAGAAAACTCACTCTTTATAAACATAACCCCATGGGAGAATATTCCCCTTGTCGTCTTTCGCGCGCTCCTCCAGAGGGACAGAATGGTACTCCATCCTGAGCAGCGGTAGAAGCTTTCAAAATGTACTTTTATCGTAGGGAGCAAATGGCAAATGTTGTGCTTCCGGGCTCGGTCGCCGTAAAATAGGGAAAATCAAGGCTGATGTCAATTTGTCCTTTGATGCAGTTGCCGCCGATCAAAGCGAGCTGCCAAAACTTTTGTCGCAATAAACAGTGTTAGCCCGGATACCGGTCACGTGGGGCGGTATGCAGTTACTAATCCAACCATGTAGTTATGCATAACTTAACTTATATTGTCTGAGCTTCATTTTCACCTTTTCATAATTTCAGTTGTTATACTAGGCATATCTATATGCAACTACGCATAGAGAATCTTTCCATGTGCAGGGTCTAGTCCTGATGCAGAAATGTTATCCGCCCGACATCCCCATCAAGGCCACACACTTTCCCAAAATCCCCAACTTCAAGCTTGCGACGTCGCACATGTGCGTTGAACTCGTCCAGAGGGCAAGAAAGCCCCCGCCCAGACTTGCAATGCGGCAGAGGTACTATATCGTCATTTATGTTGACCCGGATAAAAACATCGCTCTTACTACCCTTGGCACCATCCTCTGTCGACGAGCAAGTCATACGTTCTAGGATAATGCGACCACCCATTGGCAGTACCGGTGAGGTGCGCCAGATGCGATCCGTTGCCCTGTGAGTTGTTGGGAGATCCGGGTCATATTTCGGATCTTTCATAATATCCAATGCGTCTAAGAAAGGAGAAATATCTCCGTCGTGGACACTACCAAGACACGCATTAGATGATCATACTTCTCAGAGATGGCAGAAGGTGCAGGATCAGTGTGGACTCACAAGCTGAAAAACAAAGGACCAGCCACCGGTCCGGACTGTAGAAGATCAGTCGTAGCATTCAGCCAAAGCCACCCCATAGCGCCAGAATAAGGGTTTCCGGGACCACCCCTGTAGTAGTGCACTAGATCCCGGGCATATTCGAAGTTCTCCCAGTCGTCGCGTGTGAAAACATTACACCAGGGACTTGAACCTCGTACGAGGGTTTCAAAGCCGCACATTTCCTGCATGCTGAAGACTTCAGCGGGCGTCAACGACCCAAGGCCCGGGTTCCCCTGCTCAGATATCAAACGCTCCGCTATAGCCGGGGCGTACGCCATTTGAAAACGCGCGAGCATGTTGGCGCCCTTGTCATGTCCGTCTTCGGTGTCCTCAAGGTACATCAAACAAGTATCACCCGGCGTCAGTGTATCCGCTCGTCGATCAAATGTTTCTGGGATAATCTCTAGCTCGGCTTTTCCATTCTTCTCCCAGTCCAGGCCGAGCAAGCCGTATGCGAAATACTTGGCTGTCTCAATAACGCGCTGGCAATCGCTGGCCCAGAACCGGATCTTGGAGTCCCTTGGAAGGAGATGCTGATACCGTGTTAATAGACGAGCACCAGTTGTGAAGCCACCGAGGGTTCCTGAATATGGACCCGTCCTCGTCAATTGGTCGAAGTCTGTCTCGGGAGTAGTAGTAAAGTACTCCCAATGATTGAGAAACGATAATGAGCCGTTGAGAATCACGTCTGCCTCTTTAATCCGGTTGAGTAGAGCGAGATGGCCTAGGGTGATTGGTTAGATTTAAAGACATGCTATATTGAAATCGGGAATTAACATACGCCTTCCGGCAGATTTTGTTGGGTATCTTTCTCCATGGCGAGCCATCTGGTACATTGTTAGAGGGATCTATCTCACTATTTAAAGAGAAAAGTGGGCAATACCATATGGACCTGGTCGACATGACACCCGGCCGGCGGTTCAAGACCCTGTACTGCGCCATCAAGCTTCTCAACCCACGGGCCATAACCGCCTAAGCGGTAGTAGAGGTTCCAGCCATCGCTTTCAGGAATCGGTGAATCTTTATCAGCGGCCCAGCGAAAAGGATCGAACCATGTGTTCCAGCTAGGATAATAAGGCGATGTCCCAGTATTATTGTGACGTGGGTGCTGTGCGGTGAGACGATCTCTAACTTTCAAGAAAGGGCTCTCGTTGGAAAAGCCTAGGAAGGCGGCTACTATGAAAAAGAAACAGCCAATCGATGATTGGAAAGATAAAAGACCGGGCATTCTGCCGGCGAACCCCGTTTGCTGGGAATTGGGTTAAAAAGACAAGAAGAAACATGGAACTTGCAAGGAAAGCCATTGGAATGATCTACCGGTTCCAACCGCCAAGACAAACCGGTGGGCATGTTTCGGGCATTTCAGAGCCGTATACAGCAATAAAGCACAATGGATATAATTCTATTTGAGATGGTTCTATAATCTTGATCGTAAAATATATATCGCTTTAATCACAAGCCCATATTATCTCATGTCGAGTACCGAAAGCGTGGGCTCCTATCGCCCATTTCTTCAATCTCTTCATCCGTCATGCCCTCAATCTTGTGGTCTTTGAGACCCTGGTCTCTACGCTTGTTCTCCCAATGATAATAGGCCCACATAAGGCCGTAAACTGATCCCGCAAAGCCCACCATCCCCAGAGTCACAGCATTGCCTCGCACATAGCGAGGTCCTTCCTCGGTCTTGTAGAGGAAGGGAGACATTATGCCGCTGATATTTCCAAACGTCAATTGCAAGCCGGTGGCAAATGTTCGCTTTGCATAGCGCGGGAGATTTGTTGGTAGCCAGGCCAGTGGCAGCCCAACGGCCACATACAGCCCCATAGCAATAAGCAGTGCGCCAAAGTAATGCACGCCCGAAGAAGAATCCGAGATAAGGATGCCATACCCAACAATCGAAATTGCTGCGAAGACGCAAGCATACACTCCACGACGCTGGGTGCGGTCACTGATCCAAGCAATGATCAAGTACGCTATGGCACCCAGTGCATAGCAAGGAATCGTGAGGGCTTGAACTTCCGGGACAGACCAATCTCCTAGTCCTTTGATTATTGTAGGCAGGAAGGTGCTGTATCCGTAAAGCATGGTATCAATTCCAAACTCAGCCAAGGAAAAGGCGTAGATTTTCCAATCCAATGCCCCTTCTTTAGCATCCGCCCAATGGAATTTTTGGGCAGAGTCGGTGTGCCCAAAATGGCGGCTGCGGCACTTGACGACCAAAGCCCTTTCCTCTGCGTTGAGGTAGTAAGCCGTCTCGGGATCATCCGCGAGGAAGAACCAAGTTGCGACGCCTATAAGGACAGCAGGAATCCCTTCGATAATCAAGATCCACCTCCACCCCTTCAGCCCACTAATCCCGTCCATAAAGCCAATGCCATAAGCGAGAAGACCCCCGCACGCCCCAGCCAGGGCTGCACTGCTGAAGAGGTAGCCCGTTCGTAGCGCAATTTCACGCTGGCTGTAGAAGATAGTCAAGTACGTGACGAGGCCGGGGAAAAGACCGGCTTCAACGACACCTACAAATAATCAGTAATCAGCTTAGTTTAAGCGTTATAGATAGTGTCATTTACCAAGAAGCAGACGGCAAGCAATAAGGCCGCCATAGTTTTGAGTGATACCGGTAAGTGTTGCTATGATACCCCAGATGACCGCTATAGATGCAATATAGCGTGACGGAGTAAGCTTTTTTATGACGAGATTCGACGGTACTTCAAATAACTGCAAGCCATTGATAATTAGATACCATGTCGGTATATGACGGTTAGATTCAGTACGTACGCAATAGGTGACGAAGAATATCGACACCGCGATCTGATATTGATCACCCACCAAGCCCAGGTCCTCCTCCAGCCCGTATAACCGAGCATTTCCGATGTTGACTTGGCATCGATTGTCAGCAGTTGTTGTACAAAGTAGCTGGGGAGAATACCTCGGTCTAGAAAGCTGAAGAGATAGAGAAGGACCACGAAGGGAAGAATGTACATGTCCATCTTTCTGATGAGTTTCTTCTCGGCTTTCTCGTCGATCGACGGGAAATCGGGGCTCAGATCCATCTCCGGCACCTGTGCTCCTTTCTCCTCGAACTTTTGCTGTTCGGCATCCATTTTGCAGTCTTCAGGGCTTCTTCCCCTATCCAGAACTATGTTGATTCCCCTCTGCAGTGTCTATATATCGTCGTTTGTTACAGTATTTCGAGTAAATACTTAACCGGAGATGCGGCCGATCTCGGAGCGCGGGGAGCGAGAGAACATTCAAAATCTGTCGACCTCAAAAGGGAGCACCCATGGTGTGCCAGCTCACGAGTATTCGATACCGTGGAAAGCGCATAAATCAGTCATGCGACGCCCAAGAACGGGCTATCAAGAATCATATCAATGGGTTGAAGAGGTTAAATGGGGGAAAAAAAACCGGAAGGCAAAGCCAGAAGAGGGCTGGAGGAAATGCCAAGCCTGCAGACCGAGAGCTTATCAGAGTTATCGACAGGTTTATCAGCAGGAAATCTCACAAAAGTGGGAGCACTAGATGGTCCCTTTTGTTACCATGGTTGTGCCTCCGAACTTTCCATCCGCTGCGGGCTCCCACTCTTGAGTCTTGCAGTCACACCTCGTTCTTATGTCTTATGGTCGTAAGGCCGACGTGTTTGATTGCCAGCAAGGGCTGCATTCTATTACTTCTTCCTGGCGTCAAATTCTCCATCGTCGTTGAGATGCCCCGCTTAATTAAGTAAAGCGCCTCCCTTTCCTCGGTGATGATGTGCATTGTGCATGAGTTCACCAGATGAACACCCGCGTGTCAACTGCCAACATTCATTGCAGTTTTGGCTCTCAATTTATCTTCACCCAGAACATAGAATCCGGCTGGGGGTTTTCAGAAGGAGAAAGTAAAGCATACATTTATCCTGTAGACAAGACGGAAAATCCTCAAGAAAATCATCCATGTATTTCCCCGCCTGAGATGAGAGTTGAAAGTTCCTCGGCAGGGGCATCGACGATAGGCTCAGCAATTACCAAGGTTACGGTAATCCTCACGTGTCACCACAAGGTGGAGAAACCTTCACAGCAACCCAGTGCTGAAACCATCAAGTACCCTCTCTTCTTATTGTTTATTCTGCCAATCTAAGCTTATTTATTCTCTGGGACATTCTCACAATGCCGGAAAACTACGGTGACTACCAGACCGAGATCTATGGTCAAGGCGCCTTGCTAGGCCTGAAGCCGAATGTCACCACCGACCCGCGCTTACTCGAGGAGCAGGCGCGCAAGGTACTGAGCGAGCGGTCTTATAATTATGTTGCAGGTGGCGCTGGTGAGAAGGCCACCATGGACAGTAATCGTCTGGCGTTCCGTCAATGGAAGCTGTAGGATTGACCGGCCTTCTGGCATATATACTACTATAGTCCTGTACTGATGTCATCCCGGTGGTATGTAGAGTTCCGAAGATGCTGAGGAAGGTTAGTACATGTCTCTTTCCATCCTCTTGGATAAGTATGGAATTAATATACTGTCTAGATGGATAAGCAAGACCTTGCAGTGAACATCTTTGGGCAAAACTACCCCACTCCTCTTATCATGGCACCGATAGGTGTCCAAGGCCTATTCCATTCAGATAAGGAGACAGGACTCGCTGAGGCATGCGCTGAAGCAGGGGTACCTTATTCTCTCAGTACTGCAAGTACTAGCTCCATTGAAGAAGTTGCGGCAGCGAATGGAGACGGTAAAAGGTGGTTTCAATTGTACTGGCCTAATGATGATGACATCACCCTTTCTTTGCTGAAGCGCGCAAAAGAAAATGGATTTTCTGTCCTCGTTGTTACGCTAGATACTTGGTCTCTGGCCTGGAGACCGGCGGACTTGGATAACGCCTACATCCCGTTCATCCGTGGCGTCGGAAACCAAGTCGGCTTCTCAGACCCAGTATTCCGGGCTAAATTCGAGAAAGAGACCGGGTCAAAGGTTGAGGACGATGTCGTCGGGGCATCTAGAGCGTGGATCGGTAATGTTCTGTCCAGTGGACCTCACACCTGGGACCAGATCTCCTTTTTGCGCAAAAACTGGGATGGTCCTCTGGTCCTCAAAGGCATCCAGCATGTGGATGACGCGAAACTTGCCCTCGAAGCTGGCTGCGACGGTATCGTCGTTTCCAACCACGGAGGTATGTCATTCGGCCCTCAATTCTTCTATTTTAATATTATTTGCCACCATCTCGGCTATGGGCTAACCATGATACAGGCCGTCAAGTCGATGGGGCTATTGGCTCCTTGGAAGTTCTTCCAGAAATCGTTGATGCGGTCGGCGATAAACTGACCGTCTTGTTTGATTCTGGAATCCGAACAGGTGCCGATATCATCAAAGCTCTGTCTCTTGGGGCGAGGGGTGTTCTGGTGGGCAGGCCAGCGATTTACGGTTTGTCCATCGATGGGAAGAACGGCGCCAAAGCCGTTCTCAAGAGCCTCCAGGCCGATCTGTGGCAGAGTATGTCTTTAGCAGGAATCTGTACAGTGACGGAATGTACCAGGGATAGAATCAGGAAGGTTCAGTATCCTGGTGATGGCAAAGCCATGTTGTGATCTACGCAGTAAACCTTATCTGTGTGTACATATAGTTGCAACCGAAACAACGCGAACATGGAGCAACACATGTTTGTTGCCACAAGGGAACCTTGAATAACAAGAAATAATATTCCACAAATACCACAGCTGAATTTGTAATGGCCTGGCCCGCCCTCCGATCCAACAACCGGCGCCTGATTGGAATTGGAAGTGGGGTGTTTGTTGGGGGGACACGGGGAATCACATGCAGTTCAACCAACCCTTCCACTCTGACTGGTCACTCGCATCATCGCGGCCACCTGGGGGTCTTCTGACGCAACGCATGTTAGACCATTCCCAAATGCCAGGGCAGACCCTCTTCCTCCATCATTCAAATGATAACGCTAGTGCCTCCCTGCCCTATGGCTCAGGAACAAACACTCGGAGAACGTCAAGTGGAATCGAATCTGGCGATTACGTCAATGGCTCGCGATGCCTAGATTATTGGGGTTTGGACCAAGCTGGAAACAGAATCAAGTCGCGACCACCGAATCGAATAACACCGGGGAAGCGAGCCATGTGCCTACGAGCTCAGGCACCTCTTTGCTTCCACGACCTGTCGCTTCCTTAGTCTCGCTCGTCACGCAGTCCACTTCCTTATCCCTTCGAATAGGGACTTACTTCGGCGGGGTCGCCCTCGATGGGGCAAGAGTCACGACATTGACAGGCCTAGAGCTTAGTCGAACTGTCATCGAAGGAATTCTGACCAGGGCCGGACACGATGTTGCTGTTCGAAGTGGCGGAGAGCATGGAAAGGCGGAGGCCGAATCCATACTTGAGAGGAGTGTAAGCCAAGTTCCTGGGGGATCGGTACTTGTCGCGTGCTCGTGGACTAACCTGGAATATAGCTCGCTGCCTTGCACACGACAATAACGTCCGCCTCGTTCTTTGCCGCTGCATCTTTTCATTTCTCCTCTACGACCCTTTTGTCCGCCTCGAATACGTCCCAGGCCCTTCTATCGACCCTCGATGCTATCCTTGGTTCTACAGAGTCGTCGCGGGCAATCGCAGCCATAATAACTCTTATTCGAAAAGAGTTCAGTGACCAGAACGGCAATGTAGACGGTGAGAAGGTTGGAGTTGGGGATCTATTGGTTGGAACTGTCGGGTTTGCGATGCTTCAACGGTGGGGGAAGAAAAACACAGAGAGATATATCCAAGTCAGTGGTGGGCTGGAGACTATATGGGATGTTGTCATCCTCGACAACGGCATCCGAGCAGATGTTCTTGAGATGCACCACATACAGCCTATGAACAGCCCGCATGAAGCCATACAAGACGGGTCGAGACGGTCCTCCTTCATGTCTCCGGGAGGCACTGACGACGGATTCGATGTTATACAGCGTCCGGAAACTGCAATCGACGATGGGGAACACCCCCCTTCCATTGTCATTCCAGATGGTCAACACGGTATAACTGACGAAGACATCCGACTCTACATAATGAAGCAACTCCCTCGAGGGTGTCGGGCTTCAATAAAAACTGATACTGTGACCGCGCGGACAATAACGGTGAACGTTTACGATGACGATGGCGGGGATATCTCTGCCCCTCCAGGCACTATGATGGTTGAAGAAAGGTTTCACAATGTTCCTCACGAGGGTGGCAGGGGCCCAGTCAATAAACGAGCCCCAAAGCACACAATCGTGTTCCGCACGGCATTCAACAGGTCTCAAAGTGCTGATGTGAGGCCACCATCAAGGCATCTTATCGGTACTCGCGAAGCAGATAACGGCGATAATAGTTACGAGCCTGGGCGTGTTATAGGGCTAGAAGAGTCTGCGATGCCCGATGTCGAACCAACCTTAGAACCGCAGCATAAGAGACTTGATAATGCACAGCCAAGAAAGCAATCATCCGATCTACACCATCCAGGTGCGCCCCATAATTCACCTAGAGAGACGATCCAGTCAACCAGACGAGCTTCTGGGTCGGATTCCAAAGCGACTTTCGGCAAAGGCTCACTGAGTAAGTTTGCGCAAAGGGTCAAGCCAGTTGCAAGCGAAAAGAATGATCAACCAAAACGACAATCCCTGCGATTGCCTTTTCAGCAGTCAAGCGCCCAAGTGCCATCAGGGCCCTCGAGACCACGTAATAAGGTTAAAGTGCCGGAAAGGAAGTCCTCGGCACAGCTACATGCAGACAGGCCTGCGCGACAACCAAACACAGGGATGCAGCCCGTGCCTCCCAAGATAGAAACGTCACTTCCTGCTAATAGAGGGGCCCCACGGACCCTTGCCCAGGACCAGCGAGCACCGCCTGGGGCGGCCACGAGTAGGCATGGGGGCTCTCGGTCAATGGGATCAAGAGCCGACTATTACAAAGTGCACGAGAAGAGCCAAGAGTCATACATGATGCAGACGGATACTTATTCTCCATCACGAGAATTACGGCCCTCCTCACCAGCGGCGACAAGGCCTCATGTCCGCAGCAGTAGCTCTTTGTCGCTTACACGATCTGAGTCAGAAAGCACCGTCAATATAATTCCTGATAAACGACCAACCGCTCCCGCGCACC